CAACATCCGTACCGCAACAACCGTACCGCAACATCCGTACCGCAACAACCGTACCGCAACATCCGTACCGCAACATCCGTACCGCAACATCCGTACCGCAACATCCGTACCGCAACATCCGTACCGCAACATCCGCAACATCCGTACCGCAACATCCGTACCGCAACATCCATCCGTTATTGAAACATTTACTTCTATTTACAAACTAAATCAATTTAATAATATATCTCCAAATGAATCTAATGGTTTATTAATTTATATTTAAATTATAGTTAATTATTTATGCAAATATTCTATAAAAACAATTTCCACGATACTCAATCTTTCTTAGTTCATTAATAATATAAATTTTATGTTTCAGAAAATAGAAATTTGACTTCTTGATAAAAATAAAATTAATACAAAAGAAAATAAGAGTAACAAAAAAAAAAAAAAATCAAAATATGCACATCAAATAAATTTTTTTAGTTAGTATACAATCGAAATAAATTGTAACAATTTTAGTATATAATAGGGGTGTAGAATATATATTTGTATTTGTATTTACTTAAAATTAAAGTTTTGTAATTAGTAGGTGTAATATTTACTAAATAATTAAATTACTATTAACTGTATTATTCATAAAACTTTAAAATTGATCTAAATTTACGAAATGATATTCTTTGAAGTTTGTTTCAAAAAGATTAATATCAACAGAATTATATATGGAATATCAAAAATATTAATTAATTAATTATCAACGAATACTATTAAATAGAATATTACATTAACCAATAAGAATTTATATATATATATTTCAATTGTTGTTGAATTTAAAAGGAATACCGTATTTTATTTACAATATTTGAAATCTAAGACATACATAATTAATTATTAAATTAATCTGAGACAAAATAATTTATTTGTCCAAAGTAAAAAATAAAAAAAGAGTAGTGTAAATTGATACAAAAAAATAAATTAAATCTCATATCAAAAAAAATATCAATGAACAAGAAGTAAAAAAAAGGAAATTATTATTAATCAATTAATATAATCAATCATTTAATCAATTAATCAATCAAATATTTATATTTGTATTATATAATTATACAATTACTTATCAAGTTCATAAATCATAAATATAGATACTGATTAGATTTTAAGTAATTTACTCATAATATTATTAGAAGGAGAGAGAGAGAGAGATAATTTTAACAAGAGAAAAATATCAAATATTTTTATCTCTATTTATCAATTTCAATTTAAATTAAGATTAATATATTTACAACTGCAATAAAAATCATATCGTATTAAATATCATTATCATCATCATTACCACTTTATCATTAATAATTTACCAATCATATCAAAAGTTTACAATAGACAGACACTTATCATAATCATCATTTCACTTAATAACAACAATTTCAAATAATTTAATTAAAAATAATCAAAAATTATAAATATTATATCAAATTGATTTCAAAATTAATTATATTCATTTCTTTAATTATTTTGCTATATTCAACTTTAAATTATAATCAATTGCTTAATTTTTTTTATTCATCTGGTAATAATATTCATCAACATCATCATAACTACAATTACAATTACAATTACAATTACAACAACAACAATAATATAATGAATTCACAAAATAGCGTATCAAGAGTATATTCAGATGTTTTATCATTAAAACCACAAACTTATTGGGATTATGATGATTTAAATATAAAATGGAATCCACAAGAAAATTATGAAATTATTAAAAAATTAGGTAGAGGAAAATATTCTGAAGTATTTTTAGGAATTGATTTAATAAAAGGTGAAAAAGTTGTTATAAAAGTTTTAAAACCTGTTAAAAGAAAAAAAATTAAAAGAGAAATTTCAATTTTAAAAAATTTAGTAAATGGTCCAAATATTGTTGCATTATTAGATGTTGTTAGAGAACCTCAACTGAAAACTCCTGGTTTAATATTTGAAAATGTTAATAATATAGATTTTAGAACTTTATATCCAACTTTTACTGATTATGATATAAGATTTTATATGTATGAATTATTAAAAGCTTTAGATTATTCTCATTCAATGGGTATAATGCATAGAGATGTTAAACCTCATAATGTTATGATTGATCATGATAAAAAAATTTTAAGATTAATAGATTGGGGTTTAGCTGAATATTATCATCCAGGTACTGAATATAATGTAAGAGTTGCTTCACGTTATTTTAAAGGTCCTGAATTATTAGTTGATTATAGATTATATGATTATTCACTAGACTTATGGTCATTTGGTTGTATGTTGGCTTCAATGGTTTTTATGAAGGAACCTTTTTTTCATGGTAAATCAAATACTGATCAATTGGTTCAAATTGTAAGAGTTTTGGGTTCAAATAATTTAAATAAATATTTAGAAAAATATAATTTAACATTGGGTGATGAATATGAAGATTTAGGTTATTATAATAGAAGACCATGGGAAAGATTTATAAATGAAAATAATCAACATTTAATAAGTGATGAATTTTTAGATTTAATTGATAAATTATTAAAATATGATCATCAAGAAAGATTAACTGCAAAAGAAGCTATGAATCATTCTTATTTTAATCCAGTTAAATAAAGGAATTGCTGATCAAAGACTTAATTAAAATTCTATATTTGACTAATTAAATTAATACAATTATAACTTTTAATGATAATAATAATAATTAAAATCAAAGTGAATATTCTTTTTTTGATCTCTTTCGTTAACTATAAATTTTATTGTAAGAAATTTAGTAAATCAATTGTTGCAGACAAAATTTTTACAAAATCAATGCTATTATTTTAAAAATTATGTCAATTGTCCTTTAACTTATAGTTTTACTCAATATTCTATACACAATTCATTTTTTAAAATTTTACAAACTTTTAATCATATATTTCTTCTTATTATCCTTATTTTGAAAAAAATTTTGACATTGATTTCTTTTGTTGATCTTTTCTTTTCTTTATACTAGCTTTAACATCTTCCAATCCCTTTTTAATCATTGGATCATTTGGTTCTAATTTTAAGGCTTCTTGAAAATTTAATTGAGCATTATCTTCATCTTTAATTAATAAGTAACCAGAACCTTTTCTATATAATGCTTTAACTTTTGATTTTTCATCAATTGAATCAGTATGTAATGCATCATTTGCAGATTTTATTGCTTTTTTACCTTCTTTTAATTTTAATGCAACTAATGATAAATTTAATAAACTTGAAATTTTTAATTTATTGATTTCTAATATTTTATCTTGAGATAAATCTTCTGGGAAATAATCTTCAATATAATTTACTGCTTTTTGATATTTTTCAAATGAATGAGTTAATTTATTTTCTTTTAATAATTTTGTACCAATATCTTTAATTCTTGTAATTGCATTTATAACTGAATTTGGATCATTTATATCAACTTGTTTTATATCATTATCTTTTAAAATTTCTTCAAAATTATCACCAGTTCCATCATCTGAATTTGAATTTAATACATAATCAGCTGATAATTCTCCACAATCTTCAATTTTCCATTCTTTTAATGGTTTATCACCTGAATCTTTATCACTTCTTTCCATTTGACGTATTATTGATTTTCCTTGAACTAATTCTCCAAATACAACATGTTTACCATCTAAATGAGGAGTTGCTACTGTTGTAATAAAAAACTGTGATCCATTAGTATTTGGTCCTGCATTAGCCATTGATAACAAAAAAGGTTTATCATGTAATTTATCAAAATTTTCATCCTCAAATTTTTCACCATAACTAAATATTGTTAGTATAAAGTCCCCAAATTTTTAACAATTAACTAATAATACATACATCTAAAATATAGTTAGTAAAAGAAACTCTACAAAAATCAATTAAAAATTCTTTAAACATACTGATTCACCACCAATTCCTGTACCATGAGTAAAATCTCCACCTTGACACATAAAATCTTTAATAACTCTATGAAATATTGAATTTTTATAAGTTAATGGTTTACCTGATATTTTAGAATTTCCTTGATCTCCTGAACATAATGATCTGAAATTTTTAGTAGTTTTTGGAACTATATCATCATATAATTTAAATACAACTCTACCTTTTGGTTTTCCATCACATGTTAAATCGAAATAAACTAAACTTTTATTTGCTTCCTCTGCTGCTGTCATTGTTTAGTGATAACTGAACGACCTAATTGAGTTATAAAATGAACTTATTAATTGACCTTTTATATCGTTGAATGAACAATTTTTCAATTGAATTGGTATTTGTTTAGAATTTTCTGGAATTTGCGAATCTTTTTGTTTTAAAAATTGAAATTTGTTGCAAAAAAAAAGAATAAAAAAAAAAGGGTTGCAAAAACAATCAAGAACTACAACTCTAAAAACTATTATACAAATAATACTTTAATTGACCTATAAAATTATAATCTTTATTAAAGCTTATACAAAATACATATAATAATTTATTATCAATAGTTCTATTCTTTTTCCTCTTTTGGTGAGTAATGTGGAGATTTTGGTGAATATTGAGGTGAAGTTGGTGAATATTGAGGTGAAGTTGGTGAATATTGTGGGGAAGTTGGTGAATAACTTGGTGAGGTTGGTGAATATTGTGGAGATGTAGGTGAATAAGATGGAGATGTAGGAGAATATTGTGGTGAGGTTGGTGAATAGCTTGGTGAAGTTGGTGAATAAGAAGGTGATGTTGGTGAGTAAGATGGAGATGTAGGTGAATAGGAAGGTGATGTTGGTGAGTAACTTGGTGAAGTAGGAGAGTAACTTGGAGATGTTGGAGAATAACTTGGAGATGTAGGTGAATATGATGGTGATGTTGGTGAATAACTTGGAGAAGTAGGAGAATAGCTTGGTGAAGTTGGTGAATAACTTGGTGATGTTGGTGAATATGATGGAGATGTTGGTGAATAACTTGGAGATGTTGGTGAATATGATGGAGATGTTGGTGAGTAACTTGGAGATGTAGGTGAATAACCAGGTGATGTTGGTGAATAACCATAACCAGGACTTGATCCACCATAACTTGGACTTGTACCACCATAACCAGGAGTTGTTGAATAACTAAATGGAGATGTATTACCTGGAGAAGTTGGTTGACCACCATATGAAGTTAAACCACCACCATTCATTTCTGCTGGTGCTGTATGAATTGGTGAGAAACCAGCATTTTCATCATATATAGCACGATCATCTTCCATTTCAACATCTCTATAAGGTGTAGCACCACCATCTTCAGCAATTTCTTCCATTGCAACACTAACAGGAGCTTGTTGTAACATTTTATCATCAACCATAACATCAAATGAACCAGTTCCTAATGGAGCCATTTGACCCAACATAACATTTTCAGATATACCTTTACAATCATCTAATTCTGCAGATGCAGCAGCATCTAATAAAATTTCAACAGTTTCTTCGAATGAACAACGCATTAATGCACCAGTATCTGATCTATTAATACCATGACGAGTGATTGCCATTAAATGACCACGTGAAGTCATAACATCAACCAACAATGCCATATGACGATAATTAACATATGAACCATCAAATGCAATAACATTTAAAATTTCTTTAAATAATGCAGATCTTGTTGCTTCAATACCTAAAACAGATAATATTTCAATAAAATCATTTGAATAAGTACGTGTTGAGTCAACACCTGGTACTGCCATAACATCAGCTAAATTAACACCATCAGTTTCCAATACCCATTCTTTACCTTGTTGAAATTCACCAGTTGCATCTGGTTTACTAACTTTATGTTGCATCATGAATACTCTTGTAATACCTGGAATACCTCTTAAAGAAATTGATTCCAACATATGAGCTTCAATACGTTTTAATATTTGATCTTCTTCTGCATCTGCATCTTCATCTAATGATTTTGGATCTCTAACAACTCTACAACGGATAATAAGTTTATCAGCAGTATCATCTGACCAAATTACAAATAAATCTTCTCCAAAATTTTGTGAAATTTTTTCTGCAACTTGAGCCATAGTTAATTGTTTATCCAACATCTTGGCACGATCAAGTTCTAATCTAAGTAACCATGGTGATTGTTTTTCAATACTTTCTTCAACTTTTTGATCAGGAATTGCAAAATATGCTTCAACAGTATCAAAATCTTCTTCAATAACGGTTGTTCTTGGATCTGGATCATAATAAATTTCTGTTGAAGATGTAACATTTTTCAAAGTAGTATGTTCAATTGATGATTGAACAATTTTAGCTAATTCAATATCTTGAGAAACTTCAGGATCTAAATAAACAGTCAAGGCAGGAGTCTTGATATTTTTAGCAACATTTAAAATTTCTTTTAAACGAGGAACACCCAATGTAACATTTTTAGATGAAACACCAGCATAATGGAAAGTATTTAATGTCATTTGAGTAGCTGGTTCACCAATAGATTGTGCAGCAACAACACCAACCATTTCACCTGGATGTACAACAGATTTTTGGAATTGTTGTTCAATTTCTCCAAGAATCCAATCAAATGATGATCTATTTAATTTATGTTCTTCAATTACTCTACGTGATGCCAATCTTGATCTTACCAAACATTGAAACAATAATGTAGCGTTTTCTTGAGCTTCTTTTGTTAATTTAGAATCACCTCTAAGAACTAATAATTTTGTACATAAATTTTTAACTCCATTGATAATTTCATCTAGTGTTAAATCTGAGTTACCTGTGAATGTTAATTTCGAATTTTCTATAATACGTTTGATATTAACTGGTAATGGCCAATTATAATCACCATTTGGAAATACTTTTCTTAAAAAGATTCTATCCTCAACTAATTGATTATATTCTTCATCTAATAATTTTTGTAATTTTACATCACCTTGATATTGTTTTAATGAATCAATATCACAATCCAATAAATCAATTCTATATCTTCTTTCGAATTTTTCATCTGATCCAGGTATAGTATCAATAGATTGTTTTTCAACTTGGGTAGCATCAATACCATCTTCTCCATAAATGAATTGAATAATATCTCCAAGTGAATTTCTTGTAGTACCATCATAATGGACCATAATATCTTCCAATGCTTTAACTAAACGACGTTGAATATAACCAGTTTCTGCAGTTTTAACAGCTGTATCAATTAAACCTTCTCTACCAGCCATAGCATGGAAAAAGAACTCTTGTGGTGTTAAACCTCTTAAATAGGAATTTTCAACAAAACCTTTTGATTCTGGTGAATAATCATCTTTTGTAAAATGTGGTAAAGAACGATCTGAAAATCCAAATGGAATTCTTTTACCTTCAACAATTTGTTGTCCAACACATGCAGACATTTGTGAAATATTAATGAATGAACCTTTTGAACCAGAAGTAACCATTTGTTTAACATTATTCAAATCTTTTAAACTCATTTCTGCGGAACGACCAGCTGTATCACGCGCTTGATTTAAAACTCTTGAAACATTATGTTCAAATGATTCTCTTAAAGTCATACCAGGTTCAGGTTCTAATGTATTATGTTGTGCATCAAATATAATTTCTTGAACTTTTGATTTAGCTTCTTGAATTGTTTTGGTAATATCTTTCATTGTACTTGCATCTGCAATTGTATCACCAATACCAATACTAAAACCATTATGTAATAACCAAAAATTCACAACTTTTTGAATTGAACTGAATAATTGAGCACAAACTTGAGCACCTTTTTCTCTGAATACTGTATGAATTAATCCACCACCAGTGGCACCAACTGTTTTTTTATCAACAACTCCAAACATAATTTCTCCATCAACAATTAACATACCACTATCTTTTGGACTAAGTAAATCTCTACCACCATCAAATCTTTGTAAGTGTATACCCTTTGGAATGGCCATTGATAACATTTGTTTACCAGACCATAATGGTTTTGGTTTAATTATTGCAGGTGGTGGAATAACTCCATCCCAATTTGGAATCCAATAACACATATTCATTACTTGATCATATTCAATAAAAATATCTCTAAGAGTCATTTTTCTTATACCACATAAAGTATCTTGAACAATACCCATAACTGGTTTATTTGATTGTGGAGAAACAATTTGTAATGGTACAGCACAAATTTGTGATAATTCAGATCTAGTTTCTGGTGATTGTGGAACATGTAAATTCATTTCATCACCATCGAAATCTGCATTATAGGGGGAAGTAACTGATAAATTTAATCTAAAAGTCGAATAAGGCATAACTTTAACTCTATGAGCCATCATAGACATTTTATGTAATGAAGGTTGACGATTAAATAAAACTGGATCATCATCCATAAGATGACGTTCAACTTTCCAACCATATTGTAATGCTATATCCCCAGCTCTTTTATTATATCTCAAATCTATTCTATCACCAGTATCTCTAATCACGTATTTTGCACCTGGATGTTCATTTGGACCATTTCTTACATATTCAGTTAATTTATGAATATTATATGGAGTAACAATTTCTGGATAACTTAAAGTCTTGGCGATAGATATTGGAACACCAACTTGATCCAAATCTAAATTAGGATCACCAGAAATAACTGTACGAGCAGAAAAATCAACTCTTTTACCCATAAGATTACCTCTCAATCTACCTTCTTTACCTTTTAATCTTGCTCTTATAGATTTAATTGGACGACCAGTTTTTTGTAAAGCTTGTGGTTGACCTGCTATATCATTATCCATATAAGTTGCAACATGAAATTGTAATAAAGATTCAAATTCACTTATAACATGTTGTGGTGATCCATCAATTTCTAATCTTTGAACATTTATATTTGCTTTTATAATATCAGCTAATTTAAAAGTTAAATCATCTTCTCCTCTTGCTGTATCATTAAAAGCAATGGATGGTCTTACTGGTGGTGGTGGAACTGGTAATACTGTTATTAACATCCATTCTGGTCTTGCATAATCTTCATTAAATCCTAATCTATAACAATCTTCTGGACTTATATGTTTAAATACATTTAAAATTTCAGATGGACTTAATAAACGACGTTCTGGTTGATCATTTTCTTCAAAATTCTTATTATGTTTCCAAGTACCCCATAATTTTAATCCATCTCTACGTATAGTTGGTTGAGTATGACCACAACCACCTCTTATTGGATGATCATTCATTTCATCTTCATTCATAGCAGTTTCACAAACCATTTTAGATTTACATAAACTCCATACTGCATTAAATCTCTTTTTTGGATCTCTAATTTTAATTGCTTGTGCCATTAATGGATTAGTTTCATCTAATAATAATTTACTACAATGAGTACAAGTACTTTCTAATACTTTTTTAATTTTGGCAATGAAACCAATATGAAATACAGGTTTTGCTAATTCAATATGACCAAAATGACCAGGACATTCTGCCATATTCCCTCCACAAGACATACATTTATGAGTTGCATCAATAGTTCCTAATCTTGGATCATTTAATCCACCTTCTTTTGGACGTTTGGAAGTTTGATCCATAGTTTCTGGGAATTCTATCTTAGCAACAGATATAGCTCTGACCTCTTCCGGAGACAAAAGGCCAAACTGTACCTCTTTGACTTCCCTTATGAAATTCATGACCTATATCTTTAATGTTGTTTAGGATGATTAGAATGATTAAAAGGTTGTGTTGCCTTTGTTATTTTTATTATTTTTTTTTTTTTCACTTTATTTTTTTTTTTTTTCAGTGGCCAGCTAAATCATGTGACACGGACAATAAAGTACGAATTTGAAGTGCTAAGTATTTGATATATTAGTTCATGACTTAAATGAAAGTTTAAAAATAAGTCAAGTCGAGAAGATAGATTAAATCATTCTCTTTAATAATCAAAACTTGAAAATTAATTGAGATTTAGAAAATGAAAAGTAGAAATTTAATCAAAGTTTAAAATTTCAAGTTTTTAAAAGATTATATCCAAAGGGTAGTGTAAGATATTATAAATCCTAAAGAGGAATGTGAATAGATATCAATTAAATTAATGATATATCACTTTATTAACTGTCACACAACATAAACTATGGCAAAAAGTAAGGGAATAGTAAAGACTTCTGATAAGGCTATGGGATCATCCATAAAAGCTAAAAATAATAAAAAAAAACAAGTATTTAAAGCATTATTAGAAAATCCATTTACATCAAATAATTGGCCATTTATACAACCAAAAGATTCAGAAGATATATTAACAATATTTAAAGTACTAATAAAACCATATTTTGAAAAAGAATCATCAGATACAAAAGAAATTAAAAGTCCCAATAATGGAATATATTTTGGATTTAATTCAATTGTGGAAGCTTTAGAAAGACAAGCAGCTAATTTTAGAGGTAAACATAAAGATTCAATAGAACCAATTAAATATGTATTAGTCTGTAAGAATGATTTACCATCTGTCATGATAGAATTATTACCAACTTTATGTTTTACAGCTTCAAAAAATAAAGATGATAGAGTTAAATTAGTACAATTACCAAAAGGAAGTATGAAAGTATTATCATATTCTGTAAATAAATCAAAGTGTGGAATCGTTGCATTAAATAAAAGAAAAGAGTTTGAATCATTGACTAGTCTAATAGATAAAATTGATGATATAGATATCCCATGGTTAAATGAACTATTTAATACTCCAACTCAATTTTTTCCACCAAAAGTGTCAACTAATAATACTAACAATAATGTAAAGATATGACGTGCACGCTAGTAATTACAGTTAGTTGTACTATAATATAATTCATTTGATTATAATATTATATAGTCTCTTTATAAAGATGAAACAACTTTTTAATGATAATGATAAAATTATGAAACAAACGCGTAGATAATTTATTTATTTTTCAATTTTTTTTTATGATCTATTACATATTATATATCAACTACATTATAATACAATCATCTCATGTCAAAGACTTTAGAACTTCCTTGGGTTGAAAAATATCGTCCTCATGTGTTAAATGATATAGTTGGAAATGAAGAAACAATTGAAAGACTAAAAGTAATTGTTAAAGATGGAAATATGCCAAATATGATTATAAGTGGATTACCAGGTATTGGTAAAACAACATCAATACATTGTTTAGCTTATGAATTATTGGGGAAAGAATATTATCATCAAGCAACTTTAGAATTAAATGCTTCAGATGATAGAGGTATTGATGTTGTAAGAAATAAAATAAAACAATTTGCACAAACTAAAATTTCTTTACCACCAGGAAGAACTAAAATTATTATATTAGATGAAGCAGATTCTATGACTCCAGGAGCTCAACAAGCTTTAAGAAGAACTATGGAAATTTATTCAAATACAACGAGATTTGCATTTGCTTGTAATCAATCACTGAAAATCATTGAACCTTTACAATCACGTTGTGCTATATTAAGATATAATAAATTATCAGATGAAGAAGTATTGGCAAGATTATTAGAAATTATTAAATTAGAAAATGTTCAATATAATAATGAAGGTTTACAAGCTATAATTTTTAGTGCAGAAGGTGATATGAGACAAGCTATAAATAATTTACAAAGTACAGTTGCAGGGTTTGGATTTGTAAATGATATCAATGTTTTCAAAATAGTTGATCAACCACATCCTTTAGTAATACAAAAAATATTAACAAATTGTTTAAAAAAAGATATAAATGAAGCTATAAATTTACTAGATGGTCTTTGGCATAAAGGTTATTCAGCAATAGATATTGTTACATCATCTTTTAAAGTTGCTAAAACTATACCTAATGTTGATGAACTGAAAAGATTGGAAATGATTAAAGAAATTGGATTTGCTCATATGAGAGTATTAGAAGGAGTTGCTAGTTATCTACAGTTGTGTGGTTTATTTGCTAAAATTAGTGATCTTTAACGGTTTGGATGTAAGGTCTAGGTGTATGCATTCGCTAATAATTTAAAATGATTAATTTGTTCTTCATCATTTTCTGATTCATTTGTAAGAATTGTAACCACTAATGAATAATTTCTATTTAAAAAAGTTTCTCTATCAGCTCCTTTAAAAGATGAACTTGTTTTAGTTATACTACTTTCGTAATCATTCCTTAGTCTTGTGATACATGTCTTTATAGGAGTTCCATCAATTGATAATTTGACCAAATACAGAAAGAATAAGCCAAATTGTTGTGTAGTATTTAATGGTACTAATGACTTTGTACTTTTCGAAATATGTTTTTTCATTGAATCACAATTTGTATCTATAATTCGTGTAAATATTGGCCAAAGCATAAGCAAAAGTGAATTTAAATAATCATCAAGAACTGGGATATGGTACTCATGAGTTCTGCTTTGAAATTTGTAAATCAATTTTATAATTAATAATATGGCATAAACATCAAATGAATTGTAGGTAATAAAACTCAAAAATTCTTTACTCATTTTATAAACATCTTCAAACATTGTATTTGCCCATGAGTTATTTTTTTCATTTCCCTTATAAAAAAATTCAACAACAAAAAAATATTCAACTGATACATTATCAACTATTGCTTCTAATAATTGTAAAAATACAAATTCCATTGTATATTGAGTAGTTATAGTTTCTGCCAATTGTGATGGCATACATGATTCATTTCCATCAAGGATTTTACTTCTTTGTTCAAATGTATTTATATAATTTGGTGAGTCAAAAACTGAAGTTTCTATATGTCGTCTTGATAATTTTTCTAATGAATAAATATATTTCGCAAATTTACTTTTATAATACCATTTCATAGTATGGAAATATGCTTGTTGTAATTGTATACCTAAATTTGGTTGTTGTGATTGTAAAAAATGAAATAAATTTGAGGATTCTTTTAGTTTTTGTTGAACTAATTGTGATGATATTGATTTGTGAGATCTTAAAGACCGTATTTGAGATATTACAAAATCTCTTGTTCTTTCAACAACTTTTGCTTTTATTGATTTTGAATCTTTTTCATCCATCTTTTCTATCATGAAAGTAACTTTTTCTAAATATTGATTTGATAATTCTTCATGCAATAATTCTTTAATCATTTCTGGTGGTAATATATTTTCGTTTATAGTTTTCTCCAATTCTCTTGTTATCATTTTATTGACATGATGATCTTTTGATAATTCACTGGATTGTTGTTCCAATGAAACTAAACTTGATGATAAGTTCTTTAAATCTTTTGAAAAATCTTCTATTATAATACCTACCGGTTCTAATTTCTGTTTAAATTGCAATAATGATTTATTATATGAATGGTATTGGGACATAGTTTCAACTAATTGAATATCATTTGAATTTTCAAGCTCAGATCGATAATGTTCTAGTAGTTTTTTGGGTTCAATTGTGACATCATTTGGTTGTACTTTCTCTAATTGATCTATTGGTAGTAGTTTATCTAGAACTGATATACCCATTATTCATATTTTTGTTTTAGTTTTATTTATTGCTGATAATCGTTTAAAATCAGTTTTTTTAATGAAACAAAATCAATTTTGAATCATAAATAAACTGCAACACTTTTATCTTGGAAATGTAAGGATTACTCAATTTTCTCGGACAAATGCTTTCAAACTTACAGAAACCCAGAAAAGAGATAAGTATTACTACATGAGCTATAATTGACCAAAAATATGACAATATTTTATTAATAGTACAACGAATTTGGAGAGATTTAAACTAATTTTTTCAATAAATCCATAACAGAAGGAGTTTCTTCTTTATTAAACTCTTTTACATTGTTAGCTTGTGGCTCTTCAGTTAACACTTCTTCTTGTTCGGCTTCTCCTACCTCTTCTACAAACTCATCATCATCATCATTATCTTCTTCTTCTTCTCCAACAATTTCTTCATTTTTATGTTCAAATTCATTAATTTCAATATCTTCGGAAAATGCAACTTTTTTAGCAGAAGGACTTGGTGAAAGTTTTCTTCTTTTGATTTGTGGTTCATCATCAGAATCACTATCTTCATTTTCATAAGTTGGTAAATCATCATCATCTTCATCTTCTACTTGAACATTGTTTTCCTCATTTTCAATACCATGATTATTATTAGGTACTGGTTTTTTTTCAAATTCTCCAGATAATGCAGCTCTAATTTCATAAGTTTTATTTAATTTTTCTCGAATAACTTCAATTTTAGAATTATCTGTTTTAATACCTTCATTTATTATAATTAATAAAGATTCTACACTATTTTTAATATCTTCTCTAGTAGATTTAATTTTTTCTATATTAGCAATTGAAACATTACTCAATTTTTCTAAAATATTTAATTTATTTAAATGAATTTGAGTTTTTGGTAAATTATCAGATTTTAAATTTAAATAAGTTTTACTTTGTATACCTAATTGAGTTAAATTTCCTTGACTAATATCAGTTAATTGATTTATATGTTGAAATAAGTCATTTATATGTTTTAATTCAGGTGTTACTCCATTGATTTGTTGCAAATCAGGCTGTGGTGATATTATTTCTTTAATAGGTTCAGGTTCTTGAGTTAATTTTTGTTTTAAATTATTTATTATATTATTATCAAATACTAATCTATCTTCCCAAACTGATATTAATCTTGTAATTTTTTTTTTAATATTTGAATCAACTGAATAATAAATTATATTAATAATTTCTAATAATTTTAAACTAAAAGAATCCAAATATTTTAATTTATTTTGACGTTTTGCCTTTTGTATAACATCATTACAAAGATATAGTAGTAATAATTTTCTATTATTATCCTTAGTTCTTAAAATTTGTAATTTCCAAATATTTAAAAATTCATCAAATAATTTTTCATTAAGTATCATATAAGTTGATAAAGCATTTATTGAATCTTGAGTTTCATTTATATTATCTAGTCTATTAGTAAATGATTGAACTGACATTTTTTTAATGTAATTGGTTGATTCAGTTGATGATGATATAATGTCATTAGTTTATAATAACTTTTGATAATAAATATTTTTTTTTCAATTTGGTTTTTTTCTAACTGTTTTTTTTTCAATATCATTACAATTTTACAATTTAATCATAAACAATAATACATCATTGAATATATAACGCTGGATCTTGAAATATTTCTATGTCTTGGGATTAAAGCATCTTATATGTCTGATAATATGTCCTATCTAGTAGCTAATCAAATTTAAGTCACTTTTGAACAGATTATGAATAAATTCCAATTTTTAGGTTACAACTAGTTTGATGTTTAAAACCTCTTTAATTTAATCTCTTTTATACATAAGAGGAATTGAGATGTTAAGATCATAATATCTTCTTCTTCGTTTCAATGATTTTAATTCTATTTAATAAATTAGATTGCAAAAACAAAACTAATGAAAACAAATACACAAAATAAATTTATTATCAAATATTTTGAATTTACATGTTTTGATTTTTGAAACAACATTAAAGTCAATTTACTTCCAACTTTAACTTGTATTAAACTTTACAACTACATTATAATGCCACCTAAAAGAAATATAAAATCAAATAATATACCCAATAGAAGATCAAAATCAACATCAACATCATCAAATTCATTTTCATCAACAGATTTAGACGTGTCATATTTTACAAAAGATACTATAAATGATACAAATATTAATAATATAATAGATATAATAAATGAAAATGTTCATACAAAAGCTGATACAATTTTAACAAAATATAGAGATATAAATGATCAACTACGAGAAAATGATCATTTATTAATTCAACAATTACAAGAAGAAAATGAAAAATTAAAAGAAAAAATTGAAGATTTAGGTTATATAAATGAATATAAATCACCAATTAAAAAATATATAATAAAAGATTCAGATTTTGAAAAAGAAAGAGAAAATATAAGTTTTTCATTTGATCTTTTAGAACTTATGACTGGAGTTAAAATTATAAATTATGAAGAAAATAATAATGAAATTCAATGTGATATAATACAAAGTAGTAATGATAAAAGTATATGGATTGAATATCAATTAATTATAAACAAACTAGATACAAAACAAATTAATTATATTCCTAAATTTTTACATGATGATCAAGAACAACAACAAAATGAAACAAATAAATTGAATTTAAAAAAATTGAATAAAATTTTACCAGATTATTTAATGGAATATTTATCATTTCCTGGTGAATCATTAGCACAATTTTATAATAAAGTGAATAAAGCTTTAAATCAAAAGTATTAAAATTTGAATGAAATTATCTTTTTTATTTAATTATTTGCAAGATTAACCTAACTTCCTTTACCAAACTGGTTCATCCTCTTTCTTTCTTTGTACCCTTTTCATTTCATAATCAGTTTGAACTTCTTTTTCAATATGATCAGTTAATAAACCTTGTAATCTATAAAAATCATTTTTTTTATCAAATGTTCTTTTGTTTTCAATCATATCTAACATTTCATCTTCTCCTAATTGTCTATATTTTTCATCATATTTTTCCCATTTTATTGAAGTAAATTTTTGTAAATAAATTGAACCTGCAACTATTGATAATAAAAATGGTAAACCAAGATATAAAAAATGATTTTTTTTAACTAATTTTGCATATTTCCCTGCTATTGTTTTATTAAAAGCTTCTTGTTCTTTCAATCCTCTAAATGTTCTAGTACCAAATCTAGACATTTGATGTAAGGTTCATATGATATGGTGGTTTTTTGATAAATTGATTAAAAGAAAAGTAGATTATTTCAAAACTGAGTTTTTTCGGTTCATTTTGTGATTACTTTTTTTGCATAAATTTATTTTTCAATTATCACCTCATCTTTCAACTAATCTATTCATTCATCATTTAAATTATAAAGTAATAGAGTCCTCATATAGTCATGGTTTCATTTTCATGTGAAGTTTGTAATGATACAGTTATAAAAAAGAAATTAAATCAACATCAACAAAGATGTTATGGAGCTTACTTTACATGTATAGATTGTTCTACAACATTTCAAGGAGATGATCATAATAAACATACAAGTTGTATATCTGAGGCAGAGAAATATGAAAAAGCTTTATTTAAAGGTAAAAAACAGAAACAACAACAGCAGCAACAAAATCAACAACAAAAATCAAAACCAACTAAACGAATAGTGGAATTAGAAGAAGAGTTTGAACCAATAGTGAAAAAAGTAGAAAAGAAGTCAGTCGAAAAACCAATTAAAATATCAACTAAAGAATCTAAATCAACAACATCAGATCCATTATCCTCATTTGTAAATAATTCATCACAAAATTTGTATAAAATTTTGAAAAAAGCTTCAAAAGATGATAGTAAAAAATTGAAGAATATTTTGAAAAACATGACAATTACCAAAGTAGATGATAGATTAGTTATAGAACATTCTTGAATAAAAAAAGTATCAGACCTCATTAGATTGCGAATTATCAATTTATACTTAATTTTGTATAATATTTGTGATTCTTTCAAGTTTGAGGTATTTGCTGCAAAAAAATTTAAATTTCTCAAAAACCATCTCTATAGTACCTACAAACGTGTCCAAAGGAAACATCAATAGAAGCAAATAAAAACCTCGACGGGGAGATTATGTTATGTTTGCAAGTACATTTTACCTCCTTTGGACAAGTTCAAACATGGAACACCAACGATATGAAGTCTGAAATGTATATACAATAATAAATACATAAAATTAAATCTATAAATAAGTCTATTAAACATAATGCTAATAAAATTTAGGAAATGTCTATTGAGATTCATGCAAATTATGCAGAGTAATAATGATTGCTTTTAAATTACTACGCAATATGAAGTTAACTTGTGCAAGTGCTAAGAAAAACACACCTATGATTAAGCCGTACCATAATCCAAATAATTCATGATGAAACTTAAACCCCATAATATAACCTAAGGGTATAGCCAACCCGTAAAAGCAAAAACAACTTAAAAAGGATGATAATTTATATTGAAACATTCCTCTTAACACACCAGAACCTAAAACATTAAATGAATCACATAGCTGGTTAATACCCGCCAACACGTTCAACCCAGTGGCAAGATTTAAAACTACTTCATCATCAGTAAACAATTGTGCTAATTTGCTTCTACCTAAAACAAAAATTAAACAATTTATAACACCCATGATTGGAGCTGTTGCAAAAAATATTCTAATCATAAGTTTGGCACCATATATATCTTTTTTACCAATGAAATATGATAATTTAGTTGTGATTGCAACGCTTGCTGAAAATGGTACTTGATATAAAAGTGAAGCAATGTTTGAAACTATTGCTTGTGCTGAAACTTTTGATGCAGGATCTGGAAAGTTGGCTGCAAAAAAGACCAAAATTTCAAATGCTAAAAATTCAGATATCAACGTAATAACTCCTGGTATAGCTAAACTCAACATTGGTTCCCAGTTAGAAAACGCTTCTCGTAACTGAAGACCACCCCAACATTTGCTACCATCAATGAAGTAAATATATCCTATCATCAACACTGACATAAACCAATATGTGATTGCTATCGTTATTGGAATTCCAATATATCCTAGACCATACTCACTTACAACCAAAAACCAATTCAAAATTATATTCAAGGGGACTGCAATAGCCAAAGCGTAAGTACCAGCATGGAAAATATGTTGTGACTGCAAAAATCGCTTTAATCCTTCAAACAAAATCAAACCTGGAACACCAACAATATGCCATCTTAAAAAGGTTTGTGCTAAATTAACTAAGTCTCTATCCTGAACAAACAACCCCAAAAAGACGCCTGAATACCACCAAAACACTATTAAAGGAATCATCGCAGTAAACATTATAGCTGTACATCTTTGAAAATATAAACCAACTCCAAAAAAATTTTGACGCCCAAACGTCATCGCACACAATGAATCAAGTGATGTCAGAAGGCCCTGAAAGATTGAAAGACCAAAACAGTTGAAAACCGTAAGAGCTAATGATGCTGCTCCAAGAGCAAGTGGACCTAGTCTACCAGCTGCAATTAAAGATGTGATTGAAAATGCATATTGCAAAAAAAATGTAATTGCCAACGGAAATGTGGCCATTAATAATTGTTTAAATTCTTCCAAAAAGGAATGTGAGTCTTTTAATTCTAAATCCTCATCTGTTGAACAATAAGTATTATAATCTCCATGAAGTAAGGCTTGTTCTGTATTAATACTCATGTTTTTCAAAAATATTTTCTCAGCTTGCAATGGGCGAAATAGTAAGCCCCTCGAGTTTTTTTTTGAATCTAACTTCTTTGATAAAAAGTCTATCTTAAAGTATACTTATTTGATGAATAATATAATTTGAAACTTGATCTAACGTTCTAATTCAAAACTTGTTTATTTTCCAATTCCATTTTCGATATCTGAAAAAAAAAAAGTATTTCTGCAACGGAAATTATTACCACGTTAGGAAGCAAAAAGATGCGCTTGACTAAAACTGAAACTTACTTGATATTAATAAATTTCATAATATTAGTGCGAAATATATGAAACACTTATATCTACCAATTTTCCATCAATAGACACGCACAATTCCTTTATTGATTCAGATCAAAAATTGAAAACTAATCAACTTGAAAAAAATCAACCTATATAAGACAAATTTTCGTTCACAAGTCTAACAATCATTTATGTTATTGTGTTACTACTGCTAAATTCAGAGATAAGATTTTTACACGGTGTACAGCTATTTTTACTCAAAAAAATTGTATATTAAAACATTTCATTTTTAATTTTGAAATAAATGTTATGAATATCTATATTGTCATTAGCAGTAAATTCTTTAAGAATTTTACAATCATTAATTAATTCTTTCACATTGCATAATCTATAACTTAACTCATTTAATCGTTTCAAACTTAAATATTCAGTTAGCAATAGTTCATAGTCGATATTGTTTGATTGCTTTAGTTCACCTATAGATTCATTCAAAGATGATGATGTTGAATTCAAAAACTCAAATGCTTGGTCATAATATCTTTCGCAACTTGATAGTTGATTGAAATTGAATGATTGTATCATATCATTCAATATTTTCAAATTTCTCTCAATATTTGATTCAGTTTTTTGAAAATTCGATAATATAGCTGATTCATTCAAATAATGATTACCAATTTTTTGATTAATTTTTTCAATTTCTTGCTCAATTTTCGAAGAATTTATGAAATATTTGTTAACTTCTTCTTCTGACAACTTTGATGATTTGAATCTTTCTTTTAATGACATTTCCACTTGAATGGAATTGTTTTTGGAGATTTGTGCATTTAGTTCTTTAGTTTGTTGTTTTAGTTCAAAATTTATATCAAATAATTTCTCATCTAATTCTTGAATTTTCTTCTCCAAACTTGTAATCTCCTGCTTTTGAGTTTTGGACTGTTGTTCATGTAAATGATTATTTTTTTCAATTGTTGTTTCTAAAGTTTTTAGATTCTTCTCGTAAAATGCTTTTAGTCTATTATTTTCATCATCAAAATCTTGATTTAATTTATCAATTTCTTTTCTATGCTTTATTTGAATTTGATCAATTTCCACATTTTTGTTAAACAATTCATTTTCAATTTCGTTAAACTTTAGCTTGTAATTTTGTAATTCTGAATATAATTTTGTATTTTCATATTTTTCATTCTGAAGTTGTGATAAAATTTCATCATGATCACGTTTCAACGTTCTATAATTTTCCATTTCTTCTTCTTGTTCTCTTAATTTACCTCTATTTATAACTTCATCAACTTCATCAAATTTATCAAATGAAACCTTTTTTGGTGACTTTATGAAGTATTTACTTCCTTCTGATTCATCATATTCATCTTCATTTGCAGTAAAGAAATTAACAAGTTTTGATAAAAATCCATTACCATGTGTTGGTTGTGAAGGCTTTGATATTCTATAATTGTCTGTGCTCAATATATTTTTATTATAAGACGGATCTCGTCTTCGTACTGAACCATTCAATGTCCTTATAGGTGAACCTAAATATCTACTAGGTTTCTCTGTTGAACTATTTCCAATATTATCATCTAAATCGTATTTCCTTATTCTAGAAGCAAAACTGTCCAGTTGGAATGTTGACGGATTATTGATTCTTGATTGCGATGAGTAATTGTATTTTTGAGCTAAAGATGAAGTTGTAGATGGTCTATATGAGCGATCATTTATTACTTCTTCATTTCTTAACCTTGATGTTGTTCTGTATCGATCTTGATTTAAAGAATCTGATCGATCTCTATCTAGTGATGATAATTTTGGATATAATGATGACACCCGTCGAGCCGGACTAGACCTCAAAACTCCATTATTTGATCTTGGTTCTCTATATTTATTCAATAAGTCAGACATATTAAATTCATTTGTTTAATTGAAGTTAAAGAAGTTTCAAAATATTATACAATTAATTTTTGTTTATATTTTTTTATGCGCGTTTATTTTATTTACGAGGGTTGTCATAAATTTGAGTTGTTAGACAAAAACCATTAAATACGACATAAAAAATATATAATTTTATATTTAGAATAAATGTTGATTACAGGAAAAAAAAATATATTTTGCAACCATTTGTTTTATTTCATGCTTTATGATTAATCTACCTCGGTTTTAAACAGAGATCTAGAGATATAATCCCGGAATTTTTAAATTTTGAAATACATTTGTATATCTATAAAGTTCCACGTAGAATAAATAATTTGAAATAAAAAGATGGATCAAAGTTTTATGGTTTTAAAGTCATTGAACTTGCAGAAGATTCTAAATCTTCTCTCTTTGGAGTTGGTGGTTTTTCATCAATTGCACATAATCCATTATCTTTAACAAAAAACGTTGTAATAACAGCAATTGACATCAATGGAATTAAGAAATAATAATAATTTTTTAATGCATTTGAATAAATTGATTTAATTTCGTCAGCTTCTTGAATCGATAATGTTGATGTATTTATTTTATTATAAATATGATTCTTAATATAATTTATTGTTTCTTTTGATAAAGTTGTTTTTGGACCTAAATGATTTAAAGAATTTAAAACTGAATTACTTACAATAGTTGAACCAATAGCTATACCAACACAACCACCTAATGATCTTAGAACATTTCTAGTTGATATTGCAACTGCTCTTTCTGCTTTTTTACAATGAGCTTGAACTGCAACCATGGATGGTTGAAATGTGAAACCAACTCCACATCCCATAATAAGCAAAATTAAGATATTAATACCATCAGGTAAATGTTGATTCCATAAAACCAAAAGACAACATGACAAGCACCAAAGTACATAACCAGCCATGACAACATAACTATAACGACCAGTATAGGAAATAATTTGACCAGCAACTACTGACATACCAGCTTGACACAACACCAATGGTAATATAAAGATTGATGTATGCAATTCATCTTTACCTTTAACGATTTGAAAATAATAAGGTAAATAATATGTAAAACTAAAATATGTGGCACCAAAACAGAAAGTTGCAGTGTAAATTAAACATAATGAAAAATTTTTAAATAATCTTAAAGGAACCATTGGTAATTTTGCAAATTTAGCTTCAACTCCTAAAAATAACAACATAAAAAGTCCACCAATAACAAACATAACAATTACTAAAGTACTATCCCATCTATAAGTTGAACCACCGCCATTTAATGGAACTAATATCAATGTTAAACCAATAGTCGCAGTTAATATACCTAAATAATCAATCTTTTTAAATTTTTCTGATCTTGTTAAAACATCATTTAATTTTTTGTTGTTCTTCAATGAAAAAAATAATACAATATTCACAACAAATGACAATGGTGCTAAAAAATAATAATAACTTCTCCAACTTGAGTTTTTAATAAAAGCAGACATAAGAAATGGACCAACAGCATTACCAATACCAACAGAAGATCCCAAAATACCTTGAAATTTACCTCTATCCTTTAATGAAACAATATCACTTAATATAACCATACTTAAGCTTGAAACACCTCCATTACCAATTCCTGCTAAAGCTCTGAAAATAAAAAATTCAACACCATTACGAGCAACAGAACATGCAATATCACCAATACATAATATTAAAAGACATGTCATTATAACATTTTTTCTACCAAAAATATCTGACATTCTACCAAATAAAACTTGACAAACAGTGTTTGCTAATAATGAAGCAGAACCAGCCCAATTGATCAGTTGTTGAGTATTTAAAGATTTTCCAATTTCTGTTAATCCAACTGTTATACCTGTTTGATCAGCAAAACTTACAAAATTAGCTAAAGCTAATGTACATAAAATTAATATTATTTGAGAACTTGGTAATTGATTAAAATGAGCATCACCTAATTTTTCAGCTAATTCTTTTGAATCTAAATTTTTTAAATTTATATTTACACTTTCTGCTGGTGTTTCAGGCACCGACTTTTCTGAAAACCTAATACCACCATTATAATTTTTATCTTTTTCATATTCTATATTATTATTAAATGTTATATGTTTTTCTTCAATTTCATTATTTGTAAAGACTGTTTCATTGGATGTGGTACTATTATTTCTAAATTGGTGTTGTTTCTCGCTCATATTCTTAAAGTATATAATTTGGTAAAGTTGTTAATACAGTAGAACAAGTTGCAAAAAAAGTTAAAAAATTAATAAATGAAAATATTCGACTTTTTTGTAAAGAAGTTGCAAAACGTTTATATACATTAAAATCAAGGAATATGACAATTAATTTAGTGTGATTTAGTATTAGGAATAAATCGGAAAAGCTACATATAATTTATAACATATAGTTGAAAACAATAAAAGACCATCTAATCTGACGGTTGTATATGTATGTTTAATAAAATTATAAAAAAAGGGATATAATTGATTGTCAATAAATTTTGTAATTAAATAGTTAAACTTTTTTAAGTGGTTTTTAAAAACAATAATAAAAATAATATGAAATTTTTCTTTTTTTTTAAAAACAATAAAATGAGAGTAAATTTTACAATAATTAAATTGTTAGCTAATATTGGACTTTATTATTGTGATAAAAATGATAAATTATGAACTTCATTGAAGTTTACTACTTTTGGAATCATTTCATGGCTTATTGTAGTTAAATCTGTATGGGGGTTTTGAATAAGAAAGCGAATCAATGACAAGGTGTATAGCAATTGTAATTAATTTTCTTCACATGAATTTATGTTAAGTATCTTATAGTCCTTGAAAATTTGAAATTTAATTCATTATAGTTAAGAAATTTTGTAATTATTAGTTGAAATTTTTATTCTGCTCTTTAGTTGTTTAAATTAAAAATCAAAAAAACAATACCATAAGAAAAAATACATAAAAAAAAAAAATATGTAAATTTGACACAAATCAAAAATCTTAAACAAGAAAATTTGACAAGTTACACAATTGAAAATCAATTTTCTCTCCTATTAATTTAATGGATAAATTTATGGATTAATTATAAGGAAAGCGCAAAAAAGTTAAAGAAATATTGACAAGAAAAACTTCATATCATTTATTAGTTATCTTATCAGTTAAATTTAAAAATGGATTATCAAAATAAGCAGGGATTATCTTAAAATAGTTACTTAAACTTAAGATTTTTTTAATCTTGTTTAAGCACTGAAATTAATCTAAATCTTATGATAAAACAGTTCTAGGATAAGGCTTTTAAGAATTTAAAATTAAAATAAATGTAAGATGTGTAAGATGATTTTTATGATAAAAGCCTATTCATTCCATTTAAAATTTTTATTGTTCATAAATTTTATAATTTTTCTATTTCTGTTGAATTTTGATTATAAATTACACAATTTGTTACCTTATTGTCTAGTATATTCTATTACTACTTGCTAATTTAATATGAAGAGTCTTCATAAACAGCAGGGTGAATTTGTTGTTCTACTACAATTTTATACACCACAGCCCTGACATATGATTCTTCTAATTGTTTTTTTCAATTGGTAATGTTTACCATATAAATTACAAATATATAAATCTCAATTCTTCATTTAAGCAATATAGTTTTTCGTAAATTTGAACCAGGCAGTAGCCTCAACGAATGTTAATGAAGACAAAAGAAAGGCACTAAATCTACTTTGTTTTTATGATAAAATTGATAAGGATTATGAATTTTAATAAGCTCAAAATACTTTGACTAAGATAATTAATATTTAAATATTTCATAACCATTAACGTTTTAAATAAAAAAAACCGTTTTTGATTTCATTTAAAATTATGTACATAGTGTTAAAACTATGATAATTTCTTCTTTTTGAACTTAATTTAAGAAAAGAAGGATATTTTGTTTCACAACATTATGAATGAAATATATGAATAAAGCTAAGATGAATGGCTAAAAATTGATGTAGTTTAAAAAAACAAAGCTCCTGACATAGGTTTTTCAAATCACTAAAAGAGTTATCGTTGCCTCATTGAATATGCTGAATTATTGTTTAAATTTTCTCAATGCTATTATTATATATCTTTTTCACTCTTTTACAATTGTGTTAAATCTTTCATACTTTTCTATAATTGGTTTAAACTTTTTTCAATATTTGGTAAATCTTTTATCGGATTAATTTCGTTTTTACACAAAGTGAAGAAGATACATACACGTTTGTTGTTGCTCGTGCATCAAAATTTACTGAATTATTTAGTTGTAAATCAAGCGTTTGCATAATTGAATAGCTGAACAATCGTTTTGAGCTGTCGAGTTGTGAACACTATATAAAATTATAATTGTTTATTATTTAATATAATTTAGATTACCTTTAATCTCTCAATAAGAAAAACAAAAGGCTAAAAAACTATGGTCAATTCTGAATACACGTTTTTGTTAATGATAATAATAATTCTTATGACAATAAAACTAACTCTATTATATTTGAAAAAACTATTGTTTTAGTCCTTCAAACAAAAAAAAGACAAATCTTAAACTATTATATTTAAATTCAAAATTCTAGAATTAATTTTGAACAAGAAATTAAGAATTTTTTAATCACACTAATACCGTATATTGTAAATGTGTCAATCATACATTTCAAATTTTGACATAATTATTCTTTTTTTTTGGTTATTTTGAGCATATGTACCACAAAATTTGAAGTACTATGATATTACATACATTTTAGAAGTTTTTTTTCAATTTGTGTTATACAACTTCAAGATTTTAGTAGAATCTCCAGATATCGGTGAAGCACAAATTTATAATATATATTATTATGGCTTATCTTTACTTTCAAATCCCTCAGTAAGATTGGATTATATATGGCTTAATTATTTAAGATTATTTTTAAATTTAAAAATTCTGAAAAACAATAAAAAAAAGATATTGAAATTTCAGACTAAAAAAATTTATTTTTTCTTATCCAATTAGTAAAAAAATTGATAAATTAAAGTTAAAAAAGAAGGGTGTGAATAACTCAACACTGAAGCACAAAAGAAGTATAATATTTGTAACTTGCATAGTTTTCACTTTCAATTACCAAGATTATTATAATTAAACAAATCATTTGATAGTAACTTTAACAGTTTGATTATAATTAACATTTTGTTGTTTTAAAACAAAACGTTTCTTAAATTTATTCGATATCATTTCAGAAACGTTCTTTAATAAAAATAAAGTTTGTACAAATTTTAGCTTTAAACTTTTTTGACATAAAACAACTTTTTTCTTGTTTATCTAATTTGCGGATGATTTAAAAGTAGTAGAAATTAGTACTGAAACGCAATAAACCTTTCAAACTTGCTCAACGATTGTGAGAACTGACTATTTTGCATTGGATAAGGTAAAGGGAGAATACAATAAAAAAGCTAAAATTAATAATGCAATTTAGTAATCCCATCTTTAAGAATTGTTAGTCTTTTAAAGACAATACCACTCAATTGTAATATGCTGTTTTAATCCTCAACTTCCGATTCACTTGATTTGAATTGTTTGTTGCTGAGATCTGAGTGAATTTATAAAATTTTTCATTTTCTTACCTATTAAAATTAGGGGGTTAAGTTCTGTTAATTTTACCAAAAATAAATTTACTCCTTTTTTGTTTCTTTTTTATAATAAGTCTCAATCTCAGATTTTGCAATTTAAGCCAGTATAAATACGATTTGCGATCACAGTATAAATTTTAAATATTTTTGGAATAGGGGTAATATCTAAATTAAGCTTACTAAAAGTTAATCTACAAATCAGTTGCTTCATTTCCTGGCAAAAGTTGACAGTTCTACTGTGATACGAATTATGTCATTAGATGCACACTAGTACTATTCACAATTCTTAATTGTAATGATTTCCAAAAGTTCTTATTTCCAATAATGGTTACGAATATTATGCAAAGCATTTTCAAAGGTTTTGTGTATTAAACTCACAAAATTCAAAAAATTCAGATATGGCTTATCATTCGGGGTTTTCATTATATTGTATTTTATTTTATCTCCCTGATTCCAAGTTTTATCATTTAAGCCTTAAGACAATCTGGGGGTAAAGTTTTATTCAATATGTTCTTCAAATTAACTTTCAAAGTATATTATGTTATGAAAGATTAGCACTAATGTAATTACATGCAAGTTTGAGTTGTAAATCAATTGATAAATTTTACTGATATGACGTAAATTTATTGTAGGATTAAATTTTGATTACATTAAAACAGCCCAGCCCTTTGTATACGTTTGATTACAAATTTCAGTAAATTATTGATATAACCGTTGAAATTTTTGCATGTGCATTATTAAGGACTTAAGAAATAATCAAGAGCGCAAACAATTGCATTTTATTTGCGCAAAAAGTTTTATTTTTATTCTTGTTTCATAACTTTGTATCATTTCTTTACGAATGGCGCAGTTCGTAATTAGCTATATCAAGGTACTTCTCAACACTTGAAACAGTCAAACGCTGGGGAATCTCTACATTTGTTAAAAGTTTTTAGCCATTTAAGTGTTGCTCGTACATTTTTGCAAAGTAACACTTGAGACTTTCTTACTTCAGTAATATCAGATTAAAAAACAATAAAATTTAGTTCTATTGTGAGATAATCATTGTAGATTTAATTTTGACTAATTTCCATTGGATGATGAGGCTCTAATATTTTCAAATTATTGAGGTGTTATTGTTTACAGCTGTAGATGCCACATAGTTGTTAACAGACTCTTGATAAAAAATCAATATCCTTTTTAGTTCTATTCCACAACAAGAAAGTGTAAGATTATTAGAGTGAAAATAATTTGGAATGAAACTGATAACTCCTTCTTATTTCGGAACACTGTATACATTCAGGATTAGGAAAATAACAACTGAGTATAAGTTTATATTAAACAATTGAAAACCTATCTAGCTAACATGACAACGAAAATTTTAAATATAGTACATTATTTTCTCAGCAACCAATATCAATTTCACCTGTTAATTCTATTTTTCTACTACTTGTAGCTAAATAAACTTTATAAGTACCAGTTTGAATGATCCATTGTTGAGATTCACAATCCCAAATTGATAGATCACGATGTAAAATATTAAAAAATACTTTTGAAGATTTTCCAGGTTCTAAAAAAACTTTTTCAAAACCTCTTAAAATTTTTGGAGGTGATGGAACAATTGTACTTGGAAATTCAATATATAATTGACAAACATAACCACCTTTTATTGGACCATCATTTTTAATTTCTGCACTTACTTCATATAAAATTTCCCATAATACTGGATTACCTCCCATATCACCAGAATTCAAAGAAGGACAATTTGGTTGATCTGGATTATAATTTTTTGGATATTCATAACTTTCATCATCATCAACTGATTTGATGTTTTCGTTATACAAATAAGGATATATATAACCTGGTGATGGATCAAATTCATCATGTGGAAATAAAGCATCTTCTGGATCACAAACATCATCTTCAACCATTTTAACAACTGGTAAATATTCAGGAGGATAAGGTAAATATTCTGATGGTGGATTGATTTCAGTAATTTTTAAATTGCTAATTTTAAAACTTGTGTATGATAATCCAAATCCAAACTCATATCTTGGTTTTATGTTATGTTTATCAAAGAATCTATAATCTAAATAAATATCTCGATCAAAATTATCTTGTGGTTCAACTTCACCTGCTAAATCATCAATTACTGGGACATAATGTTGTTTCTTTTTGGCTATTGTAAAAGGTAACTTACCACTTGGATTTGTATCACCAAATAACACATCAGCAATAGCTTGACCTAGAAATTGACCTAATGGAGCAGTAAATAATATAGCAACAACGTTTTCATGATCAATAAATTTTTCTAAATTAACTGGGCCAGTGGAAGTTATAACAACAACTGTTTTATGACATCTATCTGCAACTTTATTAATTAAATCATCACCGTTATGCCATAATGAAAGATTTTTCCTATCACCAAAATTGTTTTCAACATTTATATAACCTTCACCTGAAAAACTATTAACAAAAACAATTGACAAATCAGCATAATCTGCTAAATCTCCCATATTATCTAAATCCCAATTATCTGATGAATGATCAACAACTATTCCTCTTTCTCTACATTTTTTGGATATAGCTTCAACTGGTGTTATAATATATGGATTATTCACCGCAGCTGAACCCCAACCACTAGTTAAACAACCTTGTGTACATCTTTGATCTTTGCAATTAATACCTTGACTATCATAATTGGCTCCTTGACCAGCAATTAATATTCTTCTAACTCCATCACTTTTATCAATAGGTAAATGATGATAAGAATTTTTCAATAAAATTATGGATTCTCTTGCAACTGTCAAAGCAGTATTATCACTAAATTCAGATCTTGCGTCAACATGCCAATTCTTTTGAACAATAGGACCGTAATGTTGATATGGAAATAGTTGTCCATATGTATGATGAGTCCAAGAACTAAAATTTGGTACATCATCTTCTTGTGGTAAACATACAGTATCAATTGCAAAAAAAGGTACTAAGATTCTAAGACACATATCATTTAATCTTTCTTGTGATACTGTACCATTATATATTGCTCTAGTTAATAAAGGACCCCAAAATGATTTACCGGTTAACCAATCATCAAATACTTCACCAGGCATTGTCATGTCTAAACCAGATAATACTGAAGTTACACCAGAATGTTGAGCACCCCAATCACTAATAACAAAACCTTGGAACGCTAATTCTTCTTTTAATAAATAATTAATCAAATAAGAATTTTCACAAGCATAAGTATTATTAACTTGATTATAAGAACACATAATACTACCACAACCAGATTTTATAATATTTGCAAATGGCCATAAATAAATCTCATGCATAGCTCTATCACCAATATTTGAACTTAATGAAGTGGATAATTTATCCCAATCATTTTTAGAATTTAAATCATCCCATTCACCAACTTGACGAAAATGTTCTTGTTCATTACCAATTAAATGTCTACAAGAAGCAATAACTCCTTCATCTTGAATACCTTCAACTGTTGCAGCTCCTAAAACTCCTTGTAAATATGGATCTGAACCAAAACTTTCCCAATTTCTACCACCTTGAGCTTTTAACCCAATTGGTCCAATAACTGGTCCTAATACAATATGAACACCCTTTTTACGATGTTCTCTGCCAATAGCTTTACCCCTTAAAAATGTTAAACCTTTATTGAAAGTAGCAGCAGTAGCTAATCCAGAAGGAAAATGAGTAACAAAATCAGTAAATCTAACTCCATTTGGACCATCTTGTAAACATAAATTTGGAATACCTAATCTTGGAATTGATCCAGTATTACCAACACAAGGACCTGAACCCCAACCAGTACCTGTTGTTAGATTAACCTTTTCCGGTATAGACATTTTTTCAATTATTTTTCTTGCTTTTTCATATGATTTTTGCCAACAATTATCAATTCTACCACCAAGGGCTTAATAAAATGTGTGTTAGTATGAAATGGAAAAAAATTTGGTGCTCTATAAATACTTACGACTTGGATAATAACCAGGTGACTTATAGACATCTGTAGTATCCTCAACTAAAAACATTGGCTGTTCTTCATGTCTTGATCTTTTGAAAAAATTATAATGTGGTTGTGGTGATGAAACATTTGAAAATTCGGATTTTAAAAAGAATGATACTTCCTCCAGTGATTGAGAAGAAGTTATTAGGCATATCAAATGAATGACCAAAACTAAATTATCAATGATCATTTTGTTTGTGGTTTATTAAATGATTTGTCATTCTGGTTGTGAAAAATTGAAATTTTGGTTGCCAAATTATTTTTAAAAAAATAATAATATTGATACTGTATATAACTCAATACCGCTTAAAAAAGAAATTAGGGGGTAATTCTTTTTACAGCTGAATATTAATGAAATGAATATTTATTAAAAATGAGTATAAAATTTTAATGAAAATGCAAGTGTCCAATAGTATATTATTTGGAATGTCTATTGAGTTTAAATAATTAATAAAATGAAAGTGAAAATCAAATCTTGTATGAAATCGTGTTTTAATTTATGTACTCATTCTAGCGGTTACTTGAACTGGAGTAACAATATTTGGAGCAGCCAATGAATTGTTATTTGGAGAATTACTATTTTGAATATCTTTGTCTAAATCTATTAATGTGGTCGATCTTTTCATTGATTTTATTGATGAAGGTATTGAGGTTACTGAAGAATTTAAATGCATCATTTTGGTTGTTAAATTATTATTATTGGAAGTTGATATTATTGGTGAATTAGTTGTTGTATTATTATTACTGTTGCTACTATTTATAGTTGAATTTGGGGATGCCTCAATTATCTTATTCAACATGTTTTGATTATTATGTAATGGAGAACTTGGTTGTGATAAAAACTGTAATGATGTTGATAAAACTGTATGTGATAAATCATATCTTGTAATTTTTCTTGTATTATTATGATGTGTTTGGTGTTGTTGTGGAGATGCCTGTACGGAAGTCGATGTTGAACTGCTGTTAGACCTTATATTTTGTCTTGATTGTTGTGGAGCTGGTGGTGGTGGTGGTGATGAAGGTGTTTTTACTGAAGTATCTAATTTCAAATTTTTCATATTATTTTTAAGATCTACTGGTTTTAATAAAGTCGGGGAGCTTGGCACTAATGTTGTGACAGTTCCACTTGTTTCATCACTATCCTTGTCATTATCATTATCATTTTTTTTGTTAGCATTATTAGTACGGTTGATGATTTGTTGGATTTCTTGTAACTGTTGTTTCACTTTTGAATTGTCATTAGTATTACTATCGATTTCTTCCTCTACAATCCCTAGGAATTGTTTTAAATTTTTAATAGCAGAATCTTGATCTAATAACATAGCTTTTTCAAAATATCCAGGTTTTGAATCATCAATCTTGATGTTGTTATTTTTATATTTAATACCATAGAATAAGTTGAATAACTCAACTCTATAGTTTTTTGATAATTTATTTTGTGAAATATAAACATTATCAAAGTTTTTAGTGTTTTGAGTTAATAAAATTAATGATTTACAATCTGATAATTCAGCGATTTGATTTCTTCTTAAATCAATTTTTTCTAATGAGACTAAATTCTCTAATCCATCTAGATTTAGGATTTTATTATTGTTCAAATTTAACGATATCAAATTTTCTAAATTCAGTGGTAAATTATTTAAATTTGTTATATAGTTATCTGAAAAATTTAGATACTTTATATTTGTTAATTGATCTAATCCCTCTGGTAACTCTTGTAATAAATTGTTTGATAAATTCAACTTAACTAAATTATGTAATGGTTTTAATACATTTCTTGTAACATTTGTTATTGAAGTTTCTGATATCGTTAATTGTTTTAATACTGACCATTTTTGATCAGATGATTGGTCATCTTGTGGTTGAGGATTTTGCTGAGATTTGTTATTATCAATGGAGCCAGCTCCTTTTGATGAAGTATTTGTATTTCCTCTTTCTCTTTTATGTTTGAAAATACCATTAGATTCATGAGTTGTTGATGTTAACGCGATGTCATCAAGCACGGGATATTGTTGTTGTTGTCTTTGTTTCATAGTGGAATTAAAACTTGACCTACCATTTTCATCATCTAAAACCAAATCAAATAAAACTTCTGACATATCATTTATTTTACTTTTTCTAATAATTAGAATTCTTAATTGATCACTAAGTAAATTCCAACCAAAAATTTCATTTGGTTCATATTCTATTATTTCTAAAACTTGTAAATTTTTAAACATTTTTATAGGTACTGAAGTATCACAAGGATATTCTTCATATGATTGTATACTATTTATTTTAGTTTTGGGAGTTAGAATTAAGCATGGAATTTTGGTAAAACTTGAATATAAATACTTTATATCTTTTTTTATTATTTTTGGATCTTTACTAATTGAAAAAGTTCTCCAATACATTGATGCATTTGATACAATTGATTTCATTGAATTTATTGATGTAATTGATCTTGTATCACTATCCATTATTCTTGAAGATCTTGCATTATTTGCCATAAATGAAATAAACGTGGGTTCATGATTTGGATTATCTAATTTTATATTTAACGGTCCAACATCTATTCCCAAATTTGATGAATCAATTCTTTCAGTTAAATAATATAAATGATGTATTGTGAAAGTCAATCTTAATGGTTTTATCTTGTGTATAGCTACTTTATTCTTACTAAAACATAATAAACCATTTGCTAAAGATTCTTCATTTTTCTTAATATATGATGATAATCTTTGAATATATATATCACCTTCTATAGAATTATTATTATAACCAAATGAACCCATAATAAGAATTGTGATATAGATTGATTAATGGGAATGGTTGATAAATGCAAAAGGATATCAATTTGAATATTTTTAGAATGCTTTAAACAAGGATAAATGAGCTGAAATAGAAATATCTCTAGTTGTATAAGTATATCAATGATGGTATTGAATGCAAATAATCAGTGAACTTTGGTTTCGTTTAAGATTTGTTGTTTAGACTTTAGATTTTTAGATCTTTATTGATCTAAATCTAATCTATTAATATTTAATCTAAATTTATTATATTTTAATGTTTTGATTTTGTTTTAAATATTTTTTTTTTTTCTCTTACTTTCCATTTTTAGAATTTTGTTTACTTTTTCTTATATAAAAGAGATATAAAAAGAGATAAGATAGATAACTGATATCGTTTGGATAAATATTGATTTAATCACCAAGATATATAGATATAATGTACATTACTTCCAGATAATGTTTACAAATATTCATAATCATCATAATATTCGTCATCTTCCACTTCTTCTTCATATAATTCAGTCAATTTATTGATATAATCATTTGATAATTTAACAATTGATTCATCATGAATTTCCGATATATCATTAATTTGATAATGAGGTATTGCTAATTTATTATTTTTATACAATTTACCATATTTGTCAATAATACTTGATTGTAATTTTTCAATTTCTTTTGAATCATTTGGTTGTTGCATTCTTGATAAATTCATTAATACTCTAGAAATCTTATTTGAATTTTTTATAGATATATTATAACCTGAATTTCTCAATTTCTTTATAACTAAGCTTATATCATTATTTGATTCATATAATAATGTTTTTACTTGTAATGAACTTAAATAATAATTTTTATTATTTAATAAATTTTCCAAGATTTCTTTATTATCTTCATGTTTTTTCTTATCTTTACCAATTTGTGATGAAACAAATATTGATAAACTTGATCTTGATTTTGATTTTATTGATATTGTTTTTTTAAAAAATTGCATCATATCTTCATATTCAAATCTTGGATTTTTCTTGTGGTTTTGGTTCTTCCTTTTAAAATCATAATTTTTAGTTAATATACTCTCTAGATATGTTTGATGAATTGAGTCCTCACATCTATTATCACTGCTTTTATCAGGTTTTGTACCCACCGAAATGTTTGATGGAATAGCTTCATCATCTAAAAAATCATCATTTTTTGAAAACAATTCCATTTGTTCTTCAAATTCTTCATGTGTCATATCTAACAATCTTAATTCCCATTCAAAAATTACTTTATCAATTTCGTTCATTATTTGTGAATAATTATATGAAGATGAATTAACAAGTATATATAATCCAATTGTACTTTTATTAATTCTCAACCCACTCAATACTAAATATCCCAATTGTTTCTTAGTTCTTAATTGATATCTTACAATTTGATTTAACAAATAAACCATAAATTCAACATATTTTTTATTATCATCATTTCTACCACATAATTGAATATAATGATAAACGACATCATTTTGATCTTTTAAATTATAGTTAATCTGTGTAACATCATAATTTCTACCGGGTTTTAAATTTAAACTTGATCCAAATTCAAAATAACTCTGATGTAAATATATTCTTTCATGTGATGTTAAATTATTTAAAATTTTACATATTGAAAATACTAAATTTTTATCACCACCAGTTACCAATATATCTGTATGTTTACATTCACTCATTATTTTTTCACAAGTAGATTTTAAATATAATTTATCAATAAACTCTAGTGTCTCCAATCTTTCTTGTATATTTTTCAAATCATACTCCAATATTAAAGTTGATCCAGCTATAACTTTTTTATTTGTTTCACCATTTTCCAAATCTTTGTAAGTATTTCTAATTGATGACTTTACTCTCGCTAGATCCTTATAATCAATTTTGAAATCAACCAACAACTCTAAAACTCTATTAATAAAAATTTTGATAAATTCATATATTCCAGCTTTTGGTCCCTTAATTTCAAACGATAATGAAGGAGTAGTTATGAAATTTGCAAATATGGCCCAAGAAAATAAAGCAAATTCACCTTGATAAAATTCAATTTGTAGTATAGACCCAATATATTCAACAATAATCTCAAAAGATATTAAATTTTCAGTAGAGTTTAAAAAATTTGCAAAACATATTTGAAAAGATAGTATTATATTTAATGAATTTGAACTTGAATGCCATATTTCATGATATTTTGAAAAATCTATTAGTTTTGGAGTAGGATCATCTTTTTCATCTGCATAAAGCTTTTTAAAATTTATCGATTCATTTATCTTCAAATCTAATTCTTCGTGTTTCAGCTGTATGAATTTATTTTTTTGAAAAATGTAAAAATTTGGAGTTTTGTAATCTATTGGTGAGTATTGCAAGTCATAAACTTGATACTTAAAATTATAATATGGATCTTTCAACATATCATTGACCAGTACATTTAAATTTTTTGGAGGTTTGTCAGCCAAGATTATCACATTCAAATTTTTTAGATTCATTATCTCTCTTGATTTGTTTAAAAATTGATCAACGTCACCATCATATTTAAAAGATTCTCCAATAATTAAGTTCTGGTAGTCATAATCTGGATTTTGATGAATAAAATGAGCATAATTTGAAACCTCATCCATTGCATTAGAAGAATCATCAGAAGTGTAATAAGCTTGGTATTTGAATATTCTTGAACACTCTTTTAATATTATATTAATATTCTCTTTTTTCAACTTGAGTACTTGATTTATAAATGCCCATATTAACTGGATGACCAAATATACATCAAAAGAACTTTTGTAATCAAAATCAATCACCAAAACCTTATTATCCTTAGATAGCGATTGTACAAACACATACATATAATCAATCATTTTTAAACTTTTTAGATAATAGCAAAGTGAATCTTTTGATTCATCACCTAATAAAGTACACCAAACATTTTCAAAGAATGAATCATTATAATTAAAAATTGGTAAAAATAGTCTTATCTTCTTGGTTTCTTCTTGTGATATATATAGTATTTTCAGTGTATACTCCCTGGGATATATTTCAAACCTAAAATCATTTGAATTCATACTTGAATTAGATAATCTCAGACTAGATCTATTTCTTCTATGCATCCTTATAGATGAACCTCTTTTCAATTTTCTAGTTTTTGCAATACTTCCAAAATTTGCAATTGCCATTTTTTGTAATTGATTTAATGATAATGAGCTTTTCAAAACTAGAACCATATTTTCAGAAACAAAATTTTTTTCAAAATAATCAATCATTTCTGATCTACATTTTTTGGAATTTAGTGTCTTTTTAGTACCAGTTGCAAAATTATGGAATGGATGATTTTCATTAGCTAATATTCTCAACCCGTGATACAATATCTTATCATCATTAACTATATTCCCCTGGTGTTCATCATCAACACTATTTATCTCCAAATTCATATAATTTTCATTAAATAAAGGTGATTTAAAAAATGAACTAAAAACTTTAATTAAATAATTTAATCCAAATTCTTGACATATAGTTGTTTCATTTAATGGCACATCAAAATAAAAACATGTATGATCACCCATTGTAAATGCATTTGATTGACCTCCCATTGATATCAAAGTTGATAAAAATTCATTTGGCGATGGAAACTCTGAAGTTCCCATGAATAACATATGTTCAACAAAATGAGCCATTCCTGGTAAATCCTTTGGATCTTGAAATGAACCAGATCCACAACATATTGATGATGAGGTAGATGAACAGTTTGGATCAGATATTAAAAAAGTTTTTAAACCATTATTTAATTTAATTAACTTATAAGATTTTGAAATATCTGATAAAGGTTTTTTAAAAGTTGATTGTAATTCTGTTACTGAAAAAAAATCCATCCAGTATGGTAAATGATAAATAAAAGTGACAACAAAAGCAATGAGATTCAACATCTTATCGTAAAATGTATATTGAGAATAAAACAATCATTTTGAGATGTACAATTAATAATGATATATTTTTAATCTTGTTTTTGGTTGTAAATTTTTATTTGTTAATTAAATTAATTTTCTTTTTGATTCAAATTAAAGTTTCCTAATTTGGCTGTGACAATCAGAAACAAAATTTGGTAGCAATATTTCAAATGCTAGATATGTTTGTAGAATTTAAAATATTTTAATTCGTTAAAATATTATAATTCGTTTAGCCACTAGCCACTTTATCGTCGTTGTTAACTAATAAAAGCATTCGTAATTACAGATCCTTCATATGTATGTAAGGTTTAAACTGTTCGCTGCATCTTTAATTTAGTCTACTTACATTTGTATTTGGATTGTTTTAGAAGTAAACTAATATTAGGTGAAGGAAGAGCTAAAAGTTGCGTATCATATCAATTGTTATATAAACTTATACTTTTTATACCTAAATAAAACTTAAGGAGCCTAGGTTATTAACAGCAACTTGCATTTATAAAGAAATTAAATTACCACAAAATTAACAGCTTTTGCAATCTTTTACCATTGAGCATTCTCTTTAGCTTTTAAGAGTTGGAATAAACATTTATCCATTGCTTTCAAATGCAGATAACAAGTGTCATTCCCCTTACACTTTTTGTTCTTGCAACGGACTTGATTTCTTTTGATTACTGGACAAATGTGGTCACTTTTATCCTTGTTTGAGCTCGTGAACTCTTTTTTCTCTTTGTTTCGTGGTTTCATTTTCTCATACTCAATTTTTTCCAAGTCACTTAAATGCAGATAACAAAATTGATAACCTTTACATCTATAACGTCGACAACGTAGATTGTTCATTATGTTGATGCCATCACATCTATTGTCACCCATGCTTTTTAAATCGTTCCCTTCAAAAGACTTCATACTACCCCCCCCTCCTCCCCTCTCCCCAAGATATTTTGTTTGCTGTTCAAACTATCAAGATATGAGTCTGGATTCTTCAAAACTGACACTAAGAAGTTGCATATTGACTCCAAATTGAATAATAAATTTTTTGAAGTAAATGATTTTGAAACTTCAATAAATAAGCTAATATTTTCCAATTCTTCTGCTTTCATCAGTTTGGGTAAAATAGTGATATAAACAAAGAAAAATATTAATCCAAAGAATTTTAAAATTCGGGTTGAGAAAAAAAACTTCATAAAAACATCAAATAATTTATTAATCTAATTCGTTAATGCAAATTAATGCTGTTAAACTTTGAAACAACGAAATCAAAAATCAAAAAATATTCTGTGGTATTTGGTAGCAACTGGCTGCAAAACTTGATTTTTTAAAATCCTTATAATTATACCAGTTTAGAATTGGTAACTTTAAGAAATACTTTATATAAACTTAAATTAATTGAGAGTTGAATAAGTTTCAAAGTAAATCTTTGTAATGTTGTAGTTGGAAGTCTTGAATACAAATTTACAAATAAAGTAATTATTTTTAAGATGGCTCACTTCAAATGTACCATTTGAATTTGACTTTTCTTTTAGTGATTAAAATCATTGAATCTACTAAATTGAACAAGGTTTATCTACTGTATTAAATTTTGCCTAGAGTTTTTTTATCTATTAAACAAATAAATAATTTAAATAGCTTTATATATCTATTGTATGAATAAATTCTTATGAACGAATACTCATAATAATAATTTGTTAAAAATAAAAAAAAGGGGAGGAGATATAAATTAATAGGGGGTGTAAAATAAAATAAAATTATATATAAAGATTAAAGAGATGAATAAAAAACAAGGTAGTGTAAACATTACCAAATTTAGTCATTACTTATTTTATTAAAATAATCATCATATTTCTTTCATAATATTATCAACTTATGTTTTGAATGAATAAGTTCTTTTGAATTCAAATTAAGTAATACTAGTTTGAAGAGTATCATGTTGGTTGTAAAGTAATGTTTATTGTAACTCCATTAATTCATATAGTCTAAATTTGTATTCTATAAAATCATATTATTATTATTAATTATTATGTTAATTAATAAATCAATTATTTATTATTGTTATTATTATTATTTTATTAATGCTGGTATTAAAAGGGTGTAAATTTTAAAACGTATCTGTAGTGATAAATATGGGGGGAGAAAAATTAAGTCAGATAAAAGCTACCAAATAGTATTGACTCTCGCTCCAACCAGTTTTCTTCGCACTAAGATTGCCAGAGAGAAAAAAAAAGGTAGTGTGTTGATAAACAAAAAAGAAAAAGAAATTTAAATAATAAAATATAAAAAATTCAACAAAAGTTGTTCTTTCAATACAAAAATACAAAATATAATACAAAAGAGACAAAGAAAGAAAATAGTACCACAAAATTTGAAATTACTTTTTAATCAACGAGATTATCTTATCTTTAATTTATTTAATCAACCATTTTATCATATATCATCAAAGCTTAGTATTTTCATCCATTTACAAACAATTTAGACATTTCATCTCAAAAAGAACTATTTATCATCACTGTACTATAATATCATTTCATTGAAAAAAATTGCATTATTATATTATATTTTTAACAACATTCAAGATTTTATAATTTATGATCATTAGTTAATAAATTTTTATACCAACAACAACTCTTTATATCCACTCATATAACAATAACAATAAAAGTAATATATGCTCATTATATAAGACAATTAGAATATTAATTGAATAGATTATAAAATATTGACAAATCACGTTAGCAACAACATTAATAGTAATATTTAATACAAAATGGCAAATCAATATACATATAATAATAGTAATAATTATTATCAATATTCACCAAGTATGACAAATTCTCAAACTACAAATTCAATAAATTTAAATAATAGTCAAAATCATAATAATAATAACAACAACAATCAAAATCAAAATACTTCACCATTAAACAATCCATCATATTTAACACCACCAAATTCTTCAAATAACTCATTATCTAGTTCATTAACTTCTAATAATTCAAATTCTTTAATGTTTGGTCAACAACAACAGCAACAACAACAACAACAAATAGGCAATAATTCAAATTTATTATCCTCATTATCAACATCATTAAATTCATCAAATTTATCATCATCAACTACTTCTTCAACAACATCAAACTCATCATCATCAGCATCTTCAACAAATTCTTCATATTCATTTCATACACCAAGATTAAGATATTATTTATCAAAATCTTTTGATATTGAAGATGATTTAGAATTTTGTCCTGAAATTCCTGATTCTAATAATAGTCCAAATTTAAAAAAATTTAATCCTTATACTGCTACTACTTTTTCTCCAAGTCACGCAGATATTATTCAACATCAACAACAACAACAACAACAAGCGCAACAACAAGCTCAACAACAACCAAATTCAACTTCACCAAGAGTTATAACTCCAAGAATCAAAAAACCTTTAGAAATTATAAATCCTCATACAAAATTAAGAATTGGTTCACCAGCTACTACAGCAACAGGAAATCATAAATAAATAGATTAGAGAGAAAAAAGATTACATTAGTGATGAAGTTTATACAGTAATAACAATAATAACGACAATACAAAAAAAATAAAAAAAAAAAATAGTAATGATGATGATGATGATGTTTTGATATTTGATGTGTTTTTTTCCCTTCCTTTTTGATTTGTAATTTAACAGTTTGGTGGATATTTGATTTAGTTTGTTTTTAATATTTTTTGTTGTTTTTCAGAGATCAATTTTTCAAGGATTTACTTTAAGTATTCTTTTTGAAAGATTGTAAACCCATTTTAGACATTTTATTTAAAAAAAAGATTCTTTTAAATTATGTAAATAAATATTTTACTTATTTTCATTTTATTAAATTGTTTATTTATAATAATATATATTTAGTTTAGATTTTAATCTAATGAGAGTTGTAGATCTAATACAAATTTAATTGATTTGATAATAAATTATTAATAAATCATTAATCTCAGCCCCCCAATTTGTTTTGCAACACTATTTGTAAACATACATAAATATTTAAAATTAGAATTGAGAATTGAATTACCCAGTATTCTATCAAATGTATAATTCTTGGCTAGAGTTGAAACGAATTGCTTACTTATAGAGTCGACATCTTTACATAACCATTTGGATTACTTACCTTGCGCCTCAAATATAAATTTGTTTCTTAATAGTAGTAGTTAAATCGGAGTTTAAAGAAAAAAAGAATTTAAATTCTTTATTGATCTTTTGAAATTGTTTTATTATATTTATAAAGAGCATTTACAATTTCATGAATAAGTTTCAAATGAATTACTTTTATACAATATAAATTAATCAACCTCTTTCATAAATTTTATTTTCTACGACAAATTTACTAAAAATTATCAAAAATGTTCATTAGTTTTAACAATTTATCATCATTTATATTACTAATTTTAAATTATTGCATATTAATAAATTCACAATCAATATCTTATAATGAACAACAACAATCAGATTTATTAACAAAATTAGTATCAGATATAAAAACAAATCAACAACAATATATACAATTTTTTCAAACTGCAAATAATGTACCTATACCATTAAATTTAATAGGTAGTTTAAATCAAATAACTACATATACTGATGATTCATATATTGGTAGTCTATTAACTAATTCTGATATTTTATCTCAAGTTGATAATATTGCAACTCAATTACCTTGGTATAATGATAGATTAGCTGATAGTAATATTCCATCTTTAATTACTTCTTCAACTACAATTGATTCAAGTTCAAGTTCATCTAATACTAGTAAAAAATCACTGGGATTAGGTAATAGACATTTTAATATTTTTGATTCTTTTTCTATAAGTTTAATTTATGGATTATTATTATCAATATAATTTATAATATAATTATTTGCATTAAACATATAGAAATTATTTATAATTTTGGACTTTCAAAAAAATACAAGGGTTTTAGGTTTACATGGAATGTATAGTCTGTATTTATAGATAAGTATATGATCAAAGAGAATTACTTCAATCTTTCACTCTAATATTTACTTTATTTCACATTCTTTTATCAAACATAATTTAAATCTTTGTTATATAAAAATTGTTTAGATCAAATAATTTTGTGTTCTTCTATAAAATAAAAAGTCTCCACTAAAAAAAAAGAATAAACGTAGTAATTTCATTTCAAACAAACATTGAATCAATTAAGTTTTATCATTGAAATACAATTAATCAGATAATATTTAACCCTATTAATTGAGTAAGAATTAATCATTCATCTTCATATTGACTTAGTAAATAAATAAAGTTGAAAACAGTTCATTTTATTAAACATATCATCGGCTTATTTTACAATCAAAAAGTTGTGACTCCAATTTCAGATAATTACTTTAATCAATTAACGTTACAATCGGTTTAATGGCAACACACGAAAGTATGTTTTAATATAATTTTATTTTTTATCAATTTTGGAATTAAAGTACTAATCAATCGTTTATAGTAAACTTCTTACAAAATGAGAGAAGACAATCAAATACAAATTCCTCATCATCATCAAGAAATAGATTTGCTTGGGTTAAAAGATTAATGCAAGGTCAAAATAAAACTAACAATCATCACCATCATCATCAAAGTAATCATCATAGTACTGGTAATAATGATTCAACTATTGTTGCAGTACCTAAGAATTCAAATCATTTAATTAATAATTCAAGTTCAAATAGTCGTACAAATGGAATTAATCGTCGAGATAAACATTTGAATGGAAATAATAGTAATAATAATCTACATAATAACAATGATGCCAACAATGTGTCATACATGAACAATTTTCAAAATCAACAATATTCAGCTCAAATTGGAAATTATAATGATGAATGTGACAATACTTTAACTAATAATTTAAATCAAATACATTCAAATGGAAATCATAATGAAATTAAACCTAGAAATTACTCCGATAGTTCAGTAGAACAACCAAAAACTAGTCACCGAGGTCATATTAAGAAAACTAAATCTAATACTCAACATGAATTACAAACAAGTTCGCAACAACAACAACAGCCTCGTATTCTACAACAGAATGATAACAATTCAAATGGTACTAATGATAATATAAATCAAAACAACTATAATTTCAACAATCAAATACAAAATCAAACTCCAACTAGTAATCATCATCAATCATCAAGAGCATCAGCAATATCAGATAAAATAAGTCTTAAATCAACACAAGCAAATTCAACAACAAATGATAAAGAAAGTATCCATACAACTTTAAGATTTGATGAAACAAATTCTCAAATTCATAGAATTTCATATAATAATTATATAAATAATTATAATAATGATTATTCATCAAGTTTAATTGGAGAAAGATCAACTATAAATACTGATCAAATTAGTAATTCTGATAGAATTACAAATTATAGTGAAGATAATATTAGTACAATTCCATTAAAATCTATAATATCAAGACAAAGTACCAAGAATCCTAGTATTCTTAGTGAAGTCAACAATACTGATCATTATGACCAAAATACTGGTAAAACATCAATAACAAGTTGAAGAGTTTGTTATATAATATTATTCGTCTGATAAGTTATAGTTAGAATTATCACTAATGGCAAAATTAAATTTTCTATAATTGAAAAGATTTTGAATTCTATTTATATCGGGCTGATCAACCTTCTTCTCTTTACACCTCAATTTCAATTTCACTCTAATTCTATTTTACGATTCTACCAGATTATTTAGTATCTATTACTTCTTACAAGGTAATATTAGTTGGTATTTAAGTATGTCATATAGGTCGTGTGATTTATGATATTTTTCAGATTTTTTTTTTTGATATTTTTTTTTTTTTTATTATATAGAATCTAAATTAAAATTTTCAATTAAAGAACCACATAATTTGGGAATAATTTTGTAAATTAAAATAGTATGTGTTCATAAACAAATATCGATAAATTCAATTTCATGAAATACTAACAAATGAATAGATGTCTGAAGAATTAACTCAAAAAACTGAAGATTTATCATTAAATTCTAAACAACAACAACAATCATCATCAGATAAAACAGTTTTTGATTCAAAAGATGAATTTACAGTAAAACATCCTTTAAATAATAGATGGACTTTATGGTATACAAAACCTCAAATTAATAAAAATGAAAATTGGCATGATTTATTAAAACCAGTTATAACTTTTTCATCAGTTGAAGAATTTTGGGGAATATATAATTCAATACCTTCAGCAAATCAATTACCTTTAAAATCAGATTATCATTTATTTAAAGAAGGAATTAGACCAGAATGGGAAGATGAACAAAATTCAAAAGGTGGTAAATGGCAATATGCTTTTAATAGAAAAGAAGCTCAACCAATTATAAATGATTTATGGTTAAGAGGTTTATTAGCAGTTATAGGAGAAACAATTGAAGATGATGAAGATGAAGTTAATGGAATTGTTATAAATATAAGAAAACAAGCTTTTAGAATTGGTATTTGGACAAAAGATTGTGATGAATCAAAATTAAAAACTGTTGGTGAAAGATTGAAAAAAATATTACAATTGAAAGATGAACAAAAAGTTGAATTTACTTCTCATGATGCTTCTAATACAAGAGGTGCTGAAGCTCAAATTGTTTTATAATTGTGATTTCAGTTTTGTATAATATTTTCTTCTTAAATTTTCTACTTTATATTCAAAGTACTAAATAAATAAAAAAATAAATAATGATAAAGATGAATTGAAAATTATAATCCTACTGGATTGACTTGATTTTTAATGAATTTATGAATTTGATCCCAATAAGTCTCCTGTAATACTGTATCATTGTGATAACTATTTTCAAATTTAATAAATTGTTTATAATCACTTTGTAATAGATTATAAATTTTATCCATATGACTTGGTGGTACAATTTCATCTTTACGAGCACTAAGTAGTAACACTGGTATTGATGATGGTATATTAATAACTAATAATTCAGATTCCCATTTTTGATGTACAAAACCAGCTGCAAATTTTAAAATTGGGAAAATATGAGGTATTGTTTTACGTATTGATAAAAATGTATTTTCTAATATTATTGCATGAATTGATGAAGATTTTGTAGCTGCTATATAAATTGAAACTGCTCCACCTAATGATCTACCATATAATATTATTGATGATTGTTGATATTGAGAATCTGTTTTTAAAAATTCCATTACTGTATCTGCATCTTTTTTTAAACCAATTTCACTTGGTGATCCAGTAGACTTTCCATATCCTCTATAACTATATATAAATACATTGTAACCAAATTGTTTATAAAAAATTGATGCAATTGGTAATCCATGACCTATATTTCCAGCATTAGGTGATAAGATTAAAACTGTTTTATTTGTGTATGAAGGACTTTTAATATCTTGTTTCATCGAATAACACTGTAAAGTTTCTCCATCTGGTGTTTTCAACTGTATCAATTCATAAGGTATATCATATTCATCAGGTGTTGCACAATATCCATGTCCATCATTTACCAGAGCTGGATATATTATTGTATTTTGATAATAATATAGTCCTGCTAATGCTAATGCTGCTAAACCTAAGCCAAACTGACCTATAACTTTAGCTATTTTGTATAATGACCAAAACATTTTATAGTCAGTGATTGTAAAAAGCAGTGTTATCACCAAATTTGTAACAACTTAATAAATTTATATTTTTTTTTCTGTATGTTAACTAAATTTATGCAACAACAAAAACCACCAAATTTTTAATTTGATGGTCAATGGCACAAAATATTCAAGGTAATTACAATTTAGCCAAATTTGCATTTAATATATATGGAACATTAAATAGTTCAAATTCAAATGATTCAGTTTCTCCAAATTCTTCATTAAATTCTAAAACTTCAAAAAATTATTTAAATCATCAATTTCATCAAAAATTAGTATTCAATTGTGAACGTGAATCAACTGCATTATCTCAATTAAATTTTGGGATTCAAATAAATAATTATAATAATGGTAATGAAATTAGTCATCATGCTGTTATAGGTGGTAAAAATTACCTACGACTTTTATGTTTAAATGAAGATCAACTGAGAATAATTCAAGATATAAACTTACTAGACTCTAAGTCAATATATAGAGGTCCAATTAAGCTAAATAATATAAACACCATAAAAACACACTCAAATACTATTGCTTGTGGATTATCAAGTGGTGCAATATCATTGTACAAAGTTTCACCTTCTGGTCAAGGGAAATTATATGCAAAATTATCAGATCATAAAAGGACAATTAATTCACTTGATTTTATAGATTCTGATAATCAATTTGTTTCTGGATCTCAAGACGGTAGTATTAAATTATGGGATTTGAGAGCTTCTATAAATAAACCAGTTTTAACATTGCAAGCTAATTTACATAATGATCCAATTCGAGCTTGTCAATATAGTCCCCATTCATTAGTAAGAAATAAAACATGTATATTATCAGTACATGATTCAGGAGCATTATGCAAATTTGATTTAAGATCAAGCGTTGGAAGCAATATGTATTCTCCAGATAAGAAATGGAATTTGCATTCAGGTCCAGTACTTTCATTACATATTCATCCAGAAAAAGAATACGTTGCCACTGGTGGTAGAGATCAAAAAATATGTGTTTTGAACTATGGTGAATCACAATCTTCTTCAACAAGGTCAGCTGCTGATAGTATGATCAATACATATGGATCAGTTTTAAAAGTTAGATGGGGTTGTTATCCTTTACATGAAACTTTAGATGAATTTAATGAGCCAACAGGGAGTGCACCAAACCCTTTAATGAATTATGATTTAGCATGTCTGTACTTTGACGACCCAACAATTACTGTTTTTAATTTAAACAGAAAATATATTCCAAAACAAATTATGACTTCATATTTACAAAAGCCTATGGCTAATTTTGTATGGGCCCAAAATAATAATCAATCGAGAAAAATATGGACACTTTCCAAAGCTAATATGTTCACAGCATATGATTTAGACCTGACAAATGATCCCGATGTTAGACAACCACTTGAAGATTTAAATAGTTTATGTATGACTTGGAACAATGACAATAATTTTATAATGGTAAACCAAGATAAATTTGATTTTGAAATAAATGATGAATTTGAATCAGATGATTTACAATCGCAAGATAATTTTGAATTTAGTACTAATGAAAATTTTGATGATAAACTAGGAACTTCATTAACAACATCACCTATTGAAAAACCACAATTAGTAAGATCGTATACGCATAATCCTATGCAGCAATTAATTGCTAAATCTCCTTCGCCCGTTCTAAGAACAAGTACAAATGGGTTTGACTTATCATCTTCAACACCTGGTTATAGACCCAAACTTACAAGAAATCCTTCGCAAAATACTCAAGAATCAACATTATCTTTTGGTTCAGCTCCACAACCAAGTAGAAAACTGATACGGCATCAGTCACATCAATACCATAATTATGGTCTTTCAAGTCCATATGCTATACCTGTTGAATTCCCATTTCCGACAAATGATGATGAAATTTTTAGAGTTTTATCTACTGAATATATTGTGAAAATTCCTGATGGGTTTAATGTCGCAGATGTTTGTTTATTGAATGCAAATACAGCTGATCAAGCTGGTTCACATAGAACAAGTCAAGTATGGAGACTAATTGCTTTAACTTTGGAAGAATTAAATGAACCAATAGTTGAGGAAGAAGTAAAAGAAGAAATTATTGTTGAAGATAATAATGATAGTGATTCACATAATGATAATAAATCCATACAATCAGATTTAGGTAATATTGTTGGATCATTCAATTCAAATTCAACTTCTACAACAAATTATGGAAATAAAGTTTTGAGTGATAAAAATAATAGTAATTCCAATCTAATGGAAGCTATTAATAATAGCAGAAAAAACAGCTTTTCACAAAGTTTTAGAATTAACAAAGAAGCAGAAGAAGATAATATTAGTGAACATTCAAAATCGAAACCGATTCTGATTAATGAAGGATACAACAATGAGAATGCTAATCTAATGAATTCTGCTTTTTTAAGATCAAGTCCTAATTCAGGTGGAACATTTTCAAGTTTGGCATCATCTCCAAAATCTAATGGTGCTATTTCACGTAAATATTCTCAAACTCAATTGGCTATCAGAAGACAACTGTTGAACAAGATTGAAGAAACACCAACAGAATCAACATTAACGAAAAAACTAAGAATTAATGAGTCAAAAGCATGGGGTTTGAAAAATTTACTAAAGAAGTCATTAGATTATGCAGTTTTACAAGGTGATATAATTTTTTGTTCTTCTATAAGTTTATTATTCTATGATATTACAACAAATATTATTTCATTTGATCAATGTTTAGATTGGCTTTCCATCTATATTGAAATTTTACAAAGAAAACAATTATTTGTTAATGCTATAAATATTTTAAATTCTGCTCCCTTGGTGGTGCAACAAGAATTATCAAAACTGTTTTCATCTGACTTGATAAGATTATATTGTTCAAATTGTATGAAATTATTAGTTAATGAAACCTCAAAACATCTGCAAAAGGGTGAATTTGGTTATTGGTATTGTGATGAATGTAAGCTGTTACAACTGACTTGTGTATACTGTAATGAACCATGTAAAGGTTTGGTCGTGAATGTGAATTTAAAATGTGGTCACAGAGGTCATTTTGGATGTTTAAAAACTTGGTTTATTGATGATGAAAATATTGAATGTCCCGGTGGTTGTGACTTAAAGATTATTTAAATTAATAGTAGATCTCCAAATTCTAAATATTTTTTGATTAGATTATATTTTACAGCATAAACTCCATTTTCAATTAATTCTAATTCTTCATCTTCTAGATGTAATAATATTGGATCCTTTGTTATACACTTCACAAATACAAATTGATTCAAATCTGGTTCTATTATCATATTTTGTCCTCCTGTATTATCATCTAGAAATGTTAAAATTTGTGGAAGCTTTTTTAAAAAACAATTGTTGTATAGTGATGTAAGTAGTTGATAATATTTGTGAATATAATCTTTCTCTTCTTTTGATAAATATAAGTCTTCATCTTCGTTATTTGACTTGTTGATGTAAAATATTGTAAATTTATTTAACTTCAGTAGTCTTGTTCTTAGATAAAGCCGTACGATATAACTTATCCTTTCTATATCAGTCTCTATAATCATTAGTTGTAATTTAAAATCACTCGATATTATCCCATTCCCACTATTGATCTCTCCATATTCATGACTATCTAGTAAAAATTGTTGTTGGTTTGATATATGCGTTAAAATAGTATTTAATAGATCAGTTTTATATGGTAGTAGTTCTGGTGACATTCTTTCATTCATCATTGCCGTTATTAAATCTTGTTGTATTAATAAAGAGGACTTTTGGTACTGATTCGTCGAGGAATCCTCGAACTCCTTTAAAATATCATCAATATCCATGATTTTATAACTGGTGATGTTTTTGGTTGTAAAAATGAAAAAAAAAAATTAATATAAAACTTAAGATCAAGCATACGCGTTGTTTATCTTTGATAACAATAATCTTAAATTATGTCTGAAGAAAGACAAAAATTATTAGAACAGAAAAGACAACGACTACTTGAATTAAAACAAAGAAGATCTGCTAATGCTAATTTAATTAATGATGTTGTTAAACCAACAAAACAAAGTATTGATGTTTCAACTCAGACAATACCAATAATAATTTCAAACACACCACTTAAAGAGGAAATAACTAGTGTAGTCACACCAGCAATAGAAGAAAAACAATTGAATACTTATGATGTTGGTATTCAAACCACTACCCAAGTAGAAGAAGAACCCAAAGTAATAGAGCCTCAAGTACAACCAGAATTCATAAATAAATTAGATATATCATCAACAGAATTAAACCAATCAATTATCGAATCTATAAAGTTAATAAATAAACTACAAATAACTAAAACAATTGATTTAAAAGAAATCAAAGAAAAGGCAAAAATCAATACAAATTTCATAGAATCTTCATTTTCCTTTAAATTTGAAAGACCAATTGCATCAGTTGATTTGATTGATTCATCAGTGGTTGTATGTTTTGAAAAATCCTTTGAGTATGATCATGATGCTATAGTCTATCACATAGAAGATGAAAATCTTATACCAACTAATTATTTATCTTGTATACCAGCAATCACCACTATACAATTTGACAAATTCAGTAAAAACAAAATATTAGGTTTTTCAATTAATGATAAATTTTGTATATGGGAACTAGAACCGAATACATTAATTCAAAATCCTACTTTAATTACAAACTCAAGCTTTTTTACAAGACCTAAAAATTGGTTTTCTCATAATGACTCAATTATACTAATAAAACAGCTTAAATTAGATACTAATGAATGTATACTAACGTTGTCAAAAAATTTCATACTAAATATATGGTCAATGAATTTATTAAGTTCACCTAAGTACTCGTTTAATCTTAATCAAGCTGATGAGTTGAAAAAGGAAAAACTACAGAGAATTAAAGATGCAATGTATGTCGGTAATGATGAACTCGTAGGTGAGATTACTTTAAATGTGTTTAAATTGGTGATTCTAGGAATTAATAATAAAATGTATAATGAAACACTATCAATTATTCATGAAGATCCAAAAAGTTTATTGACAGTATCTATGATTAGTCTAAGTCAAGGGTATATACTTACGGCTCATTTAGATTGGACTTTAAAAATATGGAGAAAAGGTGACAATGAACCATTTAAAGAAGTGAACTTCTCAAAAAAGATTATAAAACTAATTGAGAGACCAAATTTTGAGTTTCAATTTATAACGCTAAGTGAGTATCAAAACAAATATTACATTGAACTTTGGGATCTAACAAAACAACTATATTCACCAATCATCAAAATCATCGAACAAAATGAACCTATAAAATTTGCACAATTCAACGATCCGAACAAATTGGTAATTGCCAAAACCAAAGAATTTTTCATTTATAATATAAATACAGATTTTAAATTTGTTATGGATGAAAATACATATGATAAAGGATTATTCAATTAAAAAAAAACACGCTAAATAAAATTATATAGATTATCTCTTGATGTAATATTAATTGTCTTGTCACTTTGATTTATTTTAATACAATCATTTGTTGCTAATACCAATACTTCAAAAAAACATCTTGAAGCTTCTCTTTTTGTATTCATAATATTTTTGTTTTTCATACCTAATGGTTTTATTGATTTTGAGTCTTCTTCAATTAATTCATTAAATGTTAAAGTATGATCTAGTCTAAACATATTTTGTAATTCTTCTGTAATTTGTCTGGTGCTTTTAGCAACATTATCAATCCTTTCGTCTCCAAAACTATCTTCTTCTTCTTCATCATCTGATTCTTCTTCTACTGGTTTTCTTGGTTTTAATGCTGTATCTTTTTCACTTTCACTATCTGACATTGATAAATCTAAATCCATTGAATCTGAAGTTGATTCACTATCATCTTCTTCTTCTTCTTCTTCTTCTCTTTGTTTTCGGAGTCTTAATTCTGCTGATTCATCATTTAGTTTTCTTTTTTTAATTACTTGATTTGCTAAATCTTCAATAATTTTTAATTTTTCAGCTATTGTTAATGGTGGATGATTTACTCTATTTGATCTGGTTGTGGTGTTATTTACAGTATTTCCATTTAACATATTTTCTTGATTTTGTCTTAATGTATCTATTGAAATTGTCATATTATCTTCTGAATCTATAATTAGTCTTTTATTTACTATTATCATTTGTCCATCTTCGGTTATTCTTGTTCTTCTTTGTCTTGGTCTAGATTGTCTTTGAGGTTGTGGTACTGGTTGTTCAGGTTCTTCTATATTTTGAGCATCATTGATATTTTCTTCTGGGATTTCTTCAGTATTGTCAAAATTTAATTCAAAATCTCCTCCAAACTCTTCACCCAAATCTTGATTATCTGGAAATAGATTATTTTTACTAAGATCTCCTAGTATCGAGTTGTTATCATCATTATCATCATTATTAAAAGATAAATTTCTACCCATTTCAATTGATGCATCATAATCTTCTTCATTATTTATATCATTTAACTCAAAATCTAATTCCATATTTGGTTGTGGTGACGATGTTGTGAATTCTTCATCATATCTACCGTACTCTATTGATCCCGCAGAAATATCTACTTGTTGATCAGTTGTATTGAAAACAGTGGCTAATGTATTTATCGGTTGTTGTATTGGATCTTCTAAATTTAAATCATCTTGCCATAATAAATCAAAACTCGTTACTTGATCTTTTAATATAATTGTATTTATATCTTGGATTGTTGTTTGTTGAGGTGGTAAGTTTATTCTTGTACTTGTAGATCCATCAGATCCTAATTGAACTCCACTTGATAATTTGAAAACCGTTCTTAGTTTATATAAAACATCATTTATATCATCTAACAAATACTTTGTTTTTCGTGAATAAATCTTAGTAATTCCTAATAATAATTGTCCTGATAATCTTAAAGTAATTGCATCTATTTCATTATCTGAATTTGTTGAATTATGATTATATTGATTATTTATATATTCGGTTGATTTAACAATATTTGTATTTAATAATTGATGTTTTGATAATTTTTTGTCATAATTTGCAGCTAACCAGATATTACTCAATGGTCCTTCTCTTGTTATTATTGATTCGGGTAACATGTAAGTTAATTATGTGGTAAAATTCTGTTGAAATTGTCTTTGTTGTGTAGATCGAAAATGAAAGTTTTAATTTTTGTTCCTCTGAATTATTGAAGGTTTGTTTACAACTATCCAATTTTATTGATTTTGTAATGAATGAATATTAAAATTGACTTGTTATCTTTGATAATGCTGAAAATATATTTAGATGAAAAAGAAGCCGTAGAATGATGCAAATGTAATATAAATAAAAAATTTATCAAGCAATTGTGATTTAATTGTAAATTGATTTAATTGTAAATTGAAATGTAGTTTTCCACTATTTAAATCGCGTTTCGTATTGTTTTGATTTTCTATATCGCTTTGTACCGCGATTAAAAAATATCTAAACATAAAAATTTGGTAGCGTATGATTAGTACGGATGTTAAAAAGTTATACCAATCTTTTGCAATACAGCAACATATTTTGACTGTAAACTTGGCCAATTTCAGTCTCAAGGTCTTTTAAGCCCAATAAACTAGTAATGTGTTTTTATACTAAATGTGATTACCACAAAAAATCTTTAGAATTATCCAACATCAAGGCTTTGATATGTAGCTTATACATGTTTAATGTACTTTTTTTACATTAATTGCAAAGCAAATACTTTATAATTTGATTTACTACAAAATTCAGTTTTCTAAAAATTACAACTATATATACTTTGAATAAACTTATTTGAAAGCAAGATATTCTGTATCCGTAACAGGTAATATAAATTTACACACTGAACTCAAGGTATTGTGAATTTAAGCCTTAATAACTATTTACCTCGACGAAAACGCTACCAAAAATTGTTTTAGATTTTTGGAAATTGTTTCATGTAAAAGCTTTTCCTACAATCAATGCTAAAAATTAGTCACTGGTTCTTTTTTCTCTTCTCAAAATCTTAAGAGTTTCCTAACTAAATCTAATCAAAAAATTTTATGACCTTATGTTTCCTCGGACTCGATCATTAAGAGAGTTTCAATCAAAAAGTAACAAGTCTTACCGCTTCGCCATCCCAACTTGTTAGTTTAGATTTAGTACTCAGCAATTTTTGACTTTGCTTCATCCCCGTCTGGCATTTTGCAATTTGTTTCTCCTATCACTTTAATTATTTATTCAGCTATACCGTCAAATTGACAAGAAATATTAAAAATTATTGGTGTATTTTGGGTTGGCCATTGCGTTGACTGGTAAGCCTAAATGACCATTTTTGCTAGTCAAACTCTGATTTGTTTAGTTCTGTTTGGTAGAACCTGCATGATTGAGATTGACGATTATTGGACTTCCCCTCATTTAAGATGGCTATACGAAATGATCAAAATCAAAAATTTAAAACAATGATTTTACCAAACCAAGTATGATCAGATTTTAGCAATCAGTCTTGTCAAATTTTACAATTCAAAAGTAGTTTAAGTTCATTTGAAATGAATTCGAGTGGTGAGTATCTCCAGGTTTTAAAATATTTCCAGCTTTCGGTAACAAAAGAAAAAGTGAGAAAAAAATTATCTAAACAATATAGATCAATTTTCTACTAATTTTATCGATCTACTAACTATTATTTGATCAACTCAATCATCATAATATGGCAATATGTCAGCCAATCTACAGACGAAACTAGATAACTCATTAAATGATATACTAAAGACTTCGGGGTTTATATTTGAAATAATTAATAACAACAAGAAACAAAGTAGTTTAATCACAGGGCCAAACAATCAATTAATTCAACCAACTATAATTCAACAATTAACAAATCATATAAATAAGTTTGATGAAATACTAGATGAAACGATTTTCAAATTTGGAGATGCAAAATGGTGTATTGATACAATGATTGAAAATAAACAAAAACAAGAAGAATTAAAGATCAAAGAAGAATTAGAGAAACAAAAACGAGAAGCTGAAGCTAAAAGATTGAAGGAAGAAATGGAGGCCAAAAAGAAAGCAGAAGAAGCAGCTGCTGCAAGGGCCAAAATAGAGGCAGAAGCAAAAGCAAAAGCTGAAGCAGAAGCTAAGAAACAAGCAGAAAAAGAAGCAGCGGAAATGAAACGATTACAAGAAGCAGAAGATCAAAAAAGAAAAGAAGAAGAAGAACAGCAGAAGAAACAAGAAGAGGAGGAAAGAGAAAGACAACAACGAGAGCAACAACGAGAGCAACAGCAACAACAGCAACAACAACAACAATCAAGTCAATTTGGAAATTTTGATGATTTATTAGGATTTGATGTAAGTATAATGCCCCAATCAACAGATCAAAAAATAAATGATGAAAATGACTTCCTTTCTTCTATTAATTATAATGATATAAATTTGGATATACCAATGGATGATGATAATAAAGATAATGATGTATTTATGAATATCGATGATTCAAATAATAATACCGGGGTCATTAACGATCAACAAAGTAATACAAATCAATCACAACTAAATAACCCACAATCTTCTAATAATAATAATAATGGACCAGATAATAAAAATGATGATGATATGGATTTAGATATGAATAATTTATTAGGTAATGATGAACTGATATTAGATGGTTTAAATATGAGTTTACTAGATACAGGATTTGAAGGTGAGGATAATAACATTAATAATGCAACAATGGGTGAAGAATTTGATGTTGATAATTTTTTAAATCAATTTAGTAGTTGAGTCTGTATGTACTTAGCAGTTTTAAAAAATGTAATATACTACCGGATTAGAAAGTCTAGTAAGTAAGCTACTAATAGTAATTAAACCAATAATATTGTAGATCCTGTATATAGCACACAATAGTAAAAAAAATTAATTTCGGTCAACCAATTGAAAAAAAAAAGTTTTGAAACGTTAAGACATCAAACTTCAAACATATCACCTTACATAACAACTACAACAACATCAACAACATATAATGTTTAGACAATCATTACGTCAAGTAGCTAAGCAATCGATATCTGCTGCAAGGAGAACATACGCAACTGAAGCAGCTCCATCATCAGATGCTTTAAGATTATCATTAGCTTTACCATTTCAAACATTATATGCAAACACAGAAGTTGAACAAGTCAATTTACCATCAATTAATGGTGATTTAGGTATATTAGCTAATCATATTCCAATCGTTGAACAATTGAGACCAGGTTTATTAGAGATTATACAAAAAGGTGGAGAAACTGAACAATACTTTGTCAGTGGAGGAATTGCAATGGTACAACCAGGTAATAAATTAACTATAAGTGCTATTGAAGCTTTTAAACCAGATCAAATTGATGCAAGTGCTGTTAAAAATTTAATTGCTGATGCTCAAAAAAGAGCTGAATCAGGTGATGAAGTTGTAGCAGCTGAAGCTAACCTTGAATTAGAAGTTTTAGAAGCTTTACAACACGTTGCTAAATAAATGGAGAAGAACAAATAAGAGAGGGCTTAATTACATAGAGGTTTAAGATGACAATGATATATTCCAATTAAATAGATATTGAAGAATAATCAAAAAAATATAAAAATATCAGTGAAAGGTTTTGGAATTCTGAACTTTCAAATTACTCTCTTTACAATTTGAAGTAATATCTAGTTACAATTCACATGGTTACTTACTATTAAACCACAAATACGTGGAATGTACATGAACCTTATACAAAGCTAAAAAATCTAATACTTGATATCTCTCCGAAAATTTAAGTAGACGTAAGAGTAAATTTGCTGTTTTACATTAATTTGGCATTAAATTCCAGATCAATCAATCAATTTTATCAAGAGCTTAATTGAACTATAATTTGCTAGTGTTTAATTATTCCGAGAATAGTTGCAAAATTTTAAATTCTTAATTTTTTCAAATACCAATTACAGCGTCAATTTGAACTGGAAAAGATCAGACTTGTTTGGATTATGTTTTTACATATATCTTAGTAGAGATCATTTGGTAAATTCTAATTATTTACAAATTCTTTTAATTAGATCTTAGTGTTTAGATATATGCTTTAATTCTTATAAATCAAATAAGTTAATAGAAATTTAAAGAAGAAATCTTTACTTGTTAGTTAAATCTTTAATTACCCCCACGCAATCTTGCTAATTTTTTACAATATGCATAGAATATTTTGCTTATATAAAAAGGTAATTTATTTCTCTAATTCTATCTCAATTTATTTTCACTGAGATTTTCATTTTTTCAAATCTTTATTTATCAACTTTTTAATTCAACTTTAATAAGGTAATTCAATTACAATTTTTTAAATTCAATTGAATACTTATTAATCAATTCAATTCAAATAGAAAATAATAAATTGCTAAAAATTTTAGAATCTGAAAAAAAATCACACAAAATTAAAATCCAAATATGTCAGATAAAAATCCATGTGTTGTATTAGAAAAAATTGATGATATCCAATTTAAAGATGAATCAATCCCAACAATTGATCAACCAGATGAATGTATTGTTGAAATAAAATATGTTGGAATTTGTCATTCAGATATAGCTTATTATAAACAAGGTAAAATTGGAGACTTTAAATTAGTCAAGCCAATGGTTCTTGGACACGAACCTTCAGGAGTTATTTCAAAGGTTGGAAAAAACGTTAAATCATTAAAAGTTGGTGATCGTGTTGCTATTGAACCAGGTATTGTTAAATCAAGAGCTGATAAATTTTATAAAGAAGGTCGTTATAATTTAAGTCCAATGGATTTTGCTGCAACTCCTGATCCAAATGGTAATAATCCTCAAGGTGCATTATGTAAGTACTACAAATCACCAGCTGACTTATTATATAAATTACCAGACGATGTTAGTTTGGAATTGGGTGCCTTATGTGAACCATTGAGTGTTGGAGTACACGCTATTGGAAGATCAAATTTGAAACCCTTGGAACCAGTTGCGGTCATAGGTTGTGGCCCTGTGGGTCTTTTATTAGCTTCAGCGGTCAGGGTCTTGTATGGTAACCCCACAATTTTGCTCGACATAGTAGATGATAAACTTCGTCTTGCTCGTGATATCGGGGCGGCATCCCATACTTATAATTCAAAAGATGGTAATGTTGAAGATTTGATTAAAGCCTTTGATGGAAATAGACCTGTTGTAGCTTTTGAATGTACTGGTGCTCCTCCTTGCATTGATTTAGCAGTTAAATGTGTTGAAGATGGAGGTCGTGTTGTTCAAGTTGGAAATGCCCTGCTGGATACTGTTCCATTTCCAATTCTTAATTTAATAAATAGAGAATTAACATTATATGGCTCATTTAGATATGCTTATGGAGATTATCCAACTTCAATTCAACTTTTGGAAAGAAATTACAAAAATGGAAAAGATAAAGCTATTGTTGATTTTGAAAGGTTAATTACTAATGTTTTCCCATTCGACGATGCAATTAAAGCTTACGAATTTGCAGCAAAAGGTAAAGATTTTGTTAAAATCATGATCAAAGGTCCAGAATAGATATATAGTAATAAATATCAAGTGTAATTAATTGAGTAAACATAATGATTCTACAATATAATTTTCAACATGCTTGAAACATATCTTGCTACCAATCGCTTCACAATAATTTTTTTTTCAATTTTTTCAAATATCACAAATACCTTTTCTAATACTTAAATATCGCTGTTTAACTTCAATCTCAACGAATAACCACTAGAATGTCACTAACATCAAAAGAAGCATTTGCAAAACTTCCCCAAAAATTACATAACTTTTTCATAAAATATCCACCAAGACCCTTTTCACAATATCAAAATAGACCATCATTAATAACGGATTCATCAAAAAATCCATTTTTCCCAAATAAAAATCCAGAAACTGGTAAATGGCATAGTTCACAATATTCAAGAAGAAGATCAGCAGACTTATTCAAATTAGCAAAAAAATTTGGTATACAAGATTTACTACCACCAACTCCAAGAAAATTCCATGAAGATAAATATGAAAATAAGAAATGGATGCAAGGTATGATACAACCTGCTGGTAGATCAGATCAAGCTGAATTGGAAGAGAAATTTAGAAAGAGAGAAGAAGCAATTAAGAATATGGATAATTTGATAGTCAAAGCCAGACCAAGTTATAAGAAATTATTGAAGAAAAAAGAAGAAAGAAGGAAAACGTGGTTTTAAATGGATGCTTGTATATATGTATTAATGTAAATAAAATGTTTCTCCACCATTTTCAATTTCTACCTCTACCTCTACCTCTCAAATTACTACCTCCTCGTTTAATAGGTTTTGCACTAGGACCAGCCCCATGACCTTTTATTTTAGTTTCTGATTTTTGTAAAACATGATCTATATTTAAATCTTCAGGTAATAGTATTTGTCTTATTTGATTACCTCTTATATTTATGAATTGTAGTAGTATTGGATCTTGATATAATTGTTGTAATTTAACGTTTCTCAAATTCAAATTCATTGAAGGTGTACAAGATAATAAAGTTCCATTAATTATATTACCATTTTTTAATTCTACTGTTATTGGTTGATTCGTTGAATTGGGTATGTTCATAAGAAACCTAACTAGTTTCATTGTGTGTCTTGGTTGTAAATGATGAAGTAATTTAAAGATTAATGTTTTTTTTTAGCGCATTTTTGGAACCAAATATTTGGACACATTTTAATTTTCAGAAAACACCTTTCATTAATTATTCATGAGTAATCCAATAATTGCTAATATTAAAAGCATACCACCAGTTACAAGATTTTTTACAATCTCAACTGTATTGGTATGTTTTGCAATTAGAAATTTCTCCCCTGCATTGGACTCATTATACATTAATTTCACTACACTATTACAAGAATATGCATTAATTAGACTTGTGACGAAAACAGGTCTGTCATTTCAAATTATAAAAGTTATATCACTAACAATATTGGGATGGTATAGATTTATAACTTCGTTTTTAATACCTTCAGGTTTATTCCCACCAAGTATGAGTGCATTATTAGATACTTATTTTTTTTATACATTTTCAAATCATTTAGAAGCTCATGAAGGTAAATTTAAAGGAAATTTTCCAGATTATTTATGGTTTATAATATTGTGTGGTACATGTATACAAATAACAAATTTATTCATAGATGCAGTTACTGGAAATTTTGCACGTTTAACTTATTTCCCACATGAAAATTTATTAGCTTGCATAACTTATGTTTGGTCAAGAAGTTTAAAAAATGCTAAAATAAATTTATTAGGTATAATTCCAATAAAGGCATATTATTTACCGTTGGGTAATTTACTTGTTAAATTAATACTTGGTGGTCCAGTCGCGTTAGTTGATACATTAGTTGGAATTTTTAGTGGTTATTTATATCTTTGTTTACAACTGCAAACTTTACCATTTTATAATTTAATGCCAGGAGCTTATGGAAAGTATAACACAAAAAAGAGCCATGAAGGTAGAAGAGTTGGAATGACACATATCGATAACCAAGAGCAGCGCGGTGGTTATCAATATGAATTTATTGAAGATAGTATATACGACAAAGGCTGTTTAAAAGCTCCAATTTGGTTATATCATTTGTTATCATATCCAACAAATACGTCAGTAAGAACAACAGCTTTTACAACAATTGGTAAACCTCCTTTAATTAGTAAAAGACAAGAGGGGCAAACGAATAGTAACAATAATAATCCAAATTCAACTGGTAATACTACAGGTTATTCATGGTTTGGTAATGGTGAAAATGCATTTAGAGGTAAAGGACATAGATTAGGTGATTAAGCCAAAATCGAATGATTTAAGCTCGTCAAATATTACATATTTTTACTTCAATTACTCGCTATCTTTTTGTAGTAAAGAATTAATAGAAATGATAATACATAAAAGAAATGAATCACAAAATTTATAATGTACACTAAAACAAAATCTAAAACTAAACTCTAAAATTATGTTGTTGTATTGTACTCAATCTTTATCAATTGCTTTTATAACTTAAAAAGTAATGTCAACTACTCCTGGACTGGGTCCATCAAATCCAAATCAACCATCTAGAGTGGATGAGTCTAGACAATCTAGTGTTACAAGTATTTCAACTCCGAGAAATAGATCAACAAGTGTATCAAGAAGAAAATCAAGACCAGCTTTAAGAAAACATCATAGTATAAGTCAAAGTCATGCAAAATTAATCTATTCAGTTGATGATGATATTAACGAACAAGAAGGAGATGAAAATGAAGGTTCTAAGCCAATTGAAGCAAATAACGTCAAAAAAACAGATCGAGATTATTTAGAAGGTTATAATGATGCATTAAAAGCATTATATCAAAGGAGAACTAGTAAAAGTCCAATGAGACAATTCCAAGAAGCTCAAGATGTACCAAATATTGAATCAACAATAGCCAAAGATTTATCAGATGCCGAAGTAAATTTAAGATTACTAAAGAAAAATGATAAAAAGAAACACCTTGTTAGTGATGAAGATGATGAAGATCAGCCACAACCAGAAGATGATGAACAAGAAGATGTGGAGGATGCACTGGACAATGGTTCTATTGGGTCCAATTCATCAATGGAGTCACTTAATTTGAAAGAAAGGCAAAATGCAATTAATTCAACTCACCCGTTCGGTATCAAAATTTGGAAACCATCATTGTATAAAAAGGAAAGATCTGTTGCAACAAGAGCGGATGAAGATATTCATGATTTTGATCCACGACGTCCAACAACTTCAAGAATCTTTTGGGGTGTAAGGCTAACAAATATAATTTGGAGTTTAACAGCTGGTTTGTTAATTTTCATTACATGTTTAATTGGAGCATTATTTGTATTTTTATTTTCTGGATTTGCGATAAAACCAAAACTGAGAGCTTATGTAGTTGCATTCTTGAAATTAGGTAAATATTGGTTATGGCCATTCGGAAAGTTTGTATTGTTAAACAAAGATAAAAATTATTTGGATGAAGATCAATTGGAAGGTAGAACACTTAATGAATTTCATCAATGGAGAGCTCAAGAAGAAGGTAGATTATTTTTTGCACCTCCAAGACGTTATACTGGCACAACTGAAGAATCAGCACCATTAATGAAAGATCATAGAGGTAGACCTTTAAGAGATGCTTATAGTTCATTAGAAGATGGACGAACACCCGAAACTGTTCATGAAACAGATGATGGAACCGAAGCAAATGATATTAAAGTTAGATTTTTTGGCAGAGGTGATTGGAGTTCTGGTAGAATTGCATTTTATGTATATTTTTATGTGATTGTACAACCAATTTCGTATTTAGTGGGTTTATTATGTTGGTTATTAGTATTTACTATACCAATAACTAATCTTACAATGACTTTAAATGATCATGTAAGACGTCATCCATTAGCTTTAGATTTTGAAATGGAAAAAGAATACTACCAGAGAAGAGAAAAAAATCCAGCATTGAAGAGAAAGAAGCAAATGATTTTATTATGTACCTATAGATGTTGTGGTTGGCATTATTATAAATATACTATAGACGGTACGAACATTTTTTTCATAAATTTGAATTCAGTTGTGTTATTCGTTATTTTTGATTATTATTTTCTTAAAGAAACATTAAACTGGGACGCCTTCATCACCAATTCAACGGTTATTTTTTGTTTGTGTTTATTTTCAATTATTCCATTAGCTTATTTTATTGGTCAAGCTGTCGCTTCAATATCTGCTCAGTCATCCATGGGAGTAGGTGCTGTCATAAATGCCTTTTTTTCAACAATTGTTGAAATCTTTTTGTATTGTGTTGCATTAAATCAAGCTAAAGGTAAATTAGTAGAAGGTTCTATGATTGGTTCAATTCTAGGTGGTGTTTTACTATTACCTGGCTTATCAATGTGTGGTGGTGCTTTTAAGCGTAAGACTCAACGTTATAATCCTAGATCTGCTGGTGTTTCATCAACAATGCTTTTATTTGCAATGGTGATTATGTTTGCCCCATCTTTGTTTTATCAGATATATGGAGCTTATGAAATTAAATGTAATAAATGTGAAATAAATACTGGTCTTGATGATTGCACCAAATGTCGTTTTATACAACCAACATTCACGTTAGATCCTTTATATTTTAAAGTCATCAAACCTTTTTCATTCATTGTTGCAATTGCATTATTTGCTGCTTATGTCTGTGGATTATGGTTCACATTAAAAACTCATGCTTCACTTATCTGGGCTACGAATTCCCATGAAGTTAAAAAGGAAGATTATTTTAGATCACCGAGTGTTACTAGTGTCAATACACCAGTTCATGCAAAACCTAATAATAAGATAGCAGTTCAAAGACTCGAAAGGGTAAACACACCATCTGATGCAGATTTCAGAAAAGAACATAAGGAAGATGAACAAGAAGAGGGAGGACATGAAGCACCAAATTGGTCAAGAACTAAATCAACTGTGATTTTATTAGGAGCAACAGTATTATACGCAGTGATTGCAGAAATTTTAGTGGACAATGTTGATTCAATTTTAGCTGATTTTCCCATTGATCCAAAATTTTTAGGTTTGACTATATTTGCGTTAGTTCCTAACACTACTGAATTTTTAAATGCTATTTCATTTGCAATTGGTGGTAATGTTGCCTTGTCAATGGAAATCGGTAGTGCTTATGCTTTGCAAGTTGTATTGATTCAAATTCCAAGTCTTGTTGTTTACTCAATGCTTAAAAATTTTATGAATGTTGATCAAATTTTTTCTTTAGTTTTTCCAAGGTGGGATATCATAGCTGCTTTAATTTCAATTTATCTTTTCACATATATTTATGCAGAAGGTAAATCAAACTACTTCAAAGGAGTGATTTTAGTTATATCGTATGCGGTAATTCTTTGTGGTTTTTATTTTAATCAAGCTGTCCAGGATTTAGAGTAATGCTTATTGGAGCTAGAAATGATGGATTGGTGCATGCTTAATTGGTCTTGTATATCATTTAGTGACTTTATAGAGAAAAATCTTTATTATTTTTGAAAATACCTCTTAACGATTTTTTATTTGTTTTTCATTTCTGTTATTTGTTTATTTTGAAGAAACATATAAAAGAAATTGTCATGGCCATAAGCTATGCTATGCTTCATAACCTATGTTATGCCTAATAACAGAGCCACAATAATTACTTTATATAAATACTTCCTTATTTCACCTCAATCATCTACTTTATATAGAGATCATCCAGAGATATAACTACGTGATAGCGACATTTATCGACCATTAAATATACATTATTATTAATCTAATTAATACTGAAAATAATTATACAACCTGTAAACTACGACAGAAATTCAGCAAAGACACCATAATGAATTACAATAAATTTATACTATTTGGAGACTCAATTACTCAATACAGTAATGAAATAAATGATAATTTTGCATTGCAACCTGCATTACAGAACAGGTACATTAGAAAATTAGATGTAATCAACCGTGGGTATAGTGGATATAGTTCAGAACACGCTAGGTTGATATTGCCAAAATTACTTGAGTCAGAATTAAACTCAAAAAAAGACAATATTAAATTGATGACTATATTTTTTGGGACTAATGATGGATTTGATGATATAAATTCTATTCAGCCTGTGGAATTGGAGAGGCATAAAGAAAACATTAAATTCCTACTTCAATTGGCTTTAGAGAATAACATTAAACCTATACTTATTGGTCCTAGTCTTCATGATCCAAAAATCGCTAAAGATGAATTTTCAAATCTGGACAAAGGAAGCTTAGGAAGGGACGCAACAACGAATGAAAGGTATCATCAATACTCCGAAGGAGCTAAAGAAGTTGCTCAAGAATTTAATGTTCCTTTTGTGGATTTGTGGAACTTATTCAGAATAGACGGAGGTTGGACCAAAGAACAATTATTTGAAGTAAGTGGTGATAAGGAGCATTGGCAAGTTGGTACATTAGCTGACTATTTAAATGATGGAATACATTTTACTTCCAAAGCTTATAGAATTATGTTTGATGGAGTAGTGAAGGCTATAGAGGATTATTATCCAGAATATTTACCGGAAAATTTACCAACAAAGTTAGTTGGTTGGAGAGAAATTAATCCTGATAATTTAGAATCAATATTCAAATAGAATGATAGAGTAAGGTACATTACTTTTTATAGAACTTAAGTTTCAAATTTCTCTTCAATCTAGATACTTTCAATTGAAGATGTTTCTTTAGAAGCATCCTGCAATTTTGCTTTCTGTTCATCCTTTTTAGTTAAATAATGAACCAAACAGGTAACTATTAAACCCAAAGCAGACAAACAAGCAGTGTATGTAAAGCCAATGAAATATTCCGGTTGATATTTAGTGTTCCAAACAGCTATCGAAACCATTGAAGTGACATAAGCTAGAGTGTTAGTCACCACAATCACAAAATTTCTTTTCAAATCATCTCGAACCAACAATGGATTTCTATTTATCCAGGAAAAAATTTGACTTTGCATAAATGCTGGAGGAATAGCTATCAAAACATATAAAAAGTAGTGAAATCCAACTGGAACATTCCATTTTGCAAGTAAACTGCACCCTATAATGAAAATAATAAACCCAGCTATAAGAAAATGAAAGTTCTTTCTACCTCCCAAAAAATCATTTAAATAGGAAAATATAATTGTCACCCCAATCCCAATTGCACTCAGAATTGCTGGCCAAGTATTATATACGCTAGATGGTTTCTTCAAATACAACTTCAAAAACAATTGGAAAGTTGGTTGTGAGCTGGAGTTACATGAATTGTTGTAACAAAGAAATAGTATAGGAAATACAAATAAATGCCAACTATTGAAAAACTTTTTGATGGCAGGTAATGTATAGCGTTGTCTGGTGTTCAATTGAGCTTTAAGTAACCTACGTCTTTCCAAGCCAACTAACACGTCTCTTTCTGTGAAGTAAAATGTATCCTTCTTATTTACTTGAGGTATACCAGGATGGACAATTAATGTATATAAACCAATGACAAAACTAATCATGAAATCAAAAACGAACATAATTTGAAAAGGTTCCAACGAAGAATGTTTGAAAGTTTTAATAATAGCTTGTTGTAAAAGTGGAGTAATGATACCTGCCAATCCAGCTGCAATTGAAAAATATGCACTCCGTTTGGTCAATTCGTTTGTTCCATAATTTGATCCTAAAATATATTCAGTACCACTAAAATAATTACTTTCAGCACTTCCAATAAGAAATCTTAAAGCATACAAGGAGCTAATGTTATCTTTTTTAACACCAATCATTGCCAAAGTTAAACAACTAACAATCATAATTGTAAATCCAAAATAATATCTTGCATTTACTCGATGCATGAGAATGCTTAGTGGAATTTGAAATATAATATAACCAATTGTAAACATCGTTACCATATAATTATATTGATTTTTATTCATGTTATAATATTCTGACATTCCATTCACGTAAGAAGTTGTAATATTTGATTGATTTAAATATTTTGCAGTATATCCTAAACATGAAGATGATAAAAGAAAAAAATCGAGTTTTAATAAATATGATTGTTCAATTGGATTTTTGCCAGTTCCATCCCAAAGAAATCTTTTAATTTTAAATGATAATGAATTATTTCTTTTTTCTAATTCTTCTGGTGTTAAATTAACTGATATATCAATATATTGTTCAGGAGTTTCATCAATTTCAACTTGATGGAATTTTGTATCTCCTGTTTTATTTAATGGTGAAGTTGATGAATTTGAATTTATAGATGTATTTGATCCATCAGATGGTCCATGATCTATAGTCTTTTGATTACCATTAGGAATAAATTTATTCCAATTTACCATCTTATGAACTTTTTCAGTGATATTTTCAAACTATTTCACACTGCTTTCAAGTAATATTTCACATTTTCACTGAAATGTTCATATCTTTTATATCTTTTATATCTTTGAATTTAGTTCTGTTTTAGTCATTGTGGCAGATGATGAAAAATCAATCTGATTAATTACCTTACTAATCAATTTTGTTTAATTTATTAAGTTATGCATCAGGGGGAACAATAGTATTCTAATTTAATTTAATAAGAATGAAGTATTTAGAATGTGGCTTCTCTAGATTAATTGATTAACGAATTTTTTTCCTTCTTTTGTTAATTTTTGTTAACTAATTAATTGTAAAACCAAATCAAATTAATTTTATATTAAATAATACGAATGCTTAGTAATTTGAATATCAAATGATAAATAGAAGATCAATTAATAAAATAATCTAAAAGAATCTATAAATCGTAAATTAAAACTTTGAAAAATTTCTTGAATTTAAATTTTGACGTTTTGAATTTAAACCTTAAAAAAAACCCCCCTACTATTTTTGTGTAGAGTGTGATAACTTACTACAAGAAAATAATACTTCGCTTAAATGTTTAATAATTATTTTGAATCAAATATCTTTAATCTTTCTTGAATTTGTTTTCATCTTTTTCCTTGAATCAAATAAATTATTGATTTCATTATCTTAATTTGAAATGAATCGATTTTTGTCAATCTCTTATCAATCTCTTATCAATTATTTTAAAAATCTGTGGTTGCAAAGTTGGAGTGCATATAAATAGATCGGAAAATTAGATTTTAATTCTTTATCTCGGAATACTTTTATAGCAATAAATTGCAAAAAGAAAGCTCAAACTTATGACAAGGAATGCCAATTTGTTAATCTTCAAGCACTTGAAACCTTATCTCAAGATTACATATATTGATATTTTATTGATTGATTTCATAGCTCTAGATCTTGCAAATTACTTTAAAAAGATAATTTCCAGATGGTAGCAACAGAATATTAACATGACTCAAAAGATTGAAAAATTTATGATTTTAATCAGTTGAATATTGCAACCAAACTTAAGGTCAAATAATATGACAGATGATAAGAAAAAACAATTTACTATAGTGGTGAAAATTGGCTCATCATCTTTAGTAGATGCTGTCACTAGAGAGCCAAGAATTGCAAATATGTCACATATAGTTGAAACTATAACAAAATTAAGAAGACAAGGTCATAAAATAATTATTGTATCTTCAGGAGCTATTGCATTTGGTATGAAAGTAATGAAATTAGAGAAAAAACCATCAAAATTATCAGCAGTTCAAGCATTAGCTTCGATAGGTCAAGGTCGATTAATTGGATTATTTAATGATTTATTTAGACAAATGGATCAAACTATTGCACAAGTTTTAATTACAAGAAATGATATAATTGATTATACTCAATATAAAAATGCTAAAAATACTATAAATGAATTATTAGATATGGGGATAATACCAATTGTAAATGAAAATGATACTTTATCCGTTTCAGAAATTAAATTTGGAGATAATGATACTTTATCAGCAATTACTGCAGGTATGATTCATGCAGATTATTTATTTTTAATGACTGATGTTGAATGTTTATACACGGATAATCCAAGAACTAATCCAGATGCAAAACCTATATTGGTGGTTGATAAAATTGATGATTTAAATGTAAATACAAATGATGATGGAGGAGCAGGTTCAAATGTTGGAACTGGAGGAATGACAACCAAATTAATTGCAGCTGGGTTAGCAACTAATGTTGGTGTTACAACAATAATTACACTATCAAGTCAACCTCATTATATACTAGATATTGTTAATCATATTCAATCACAAGAAGTTGGAGATGGAACAATAGAGGAACAAAGAAGTATTTTACAAAAGGATATTGATGATAAAAAAATTCCATTACATACTAGATTCCTAAGCTTAGCACAAGACATCAAAATACGATCAGATAAAAGATTCTGGATTTTACATGGATTAAAAACAAAAGGAACTTTAATAATAGATAAAGGTTGTTATAATGCATTAACTAGGAGAGATAGAGCTGGTCTTTTACCTGCTGGTATTGTAGATGTTGTTGGTACATTTCACGAGAATGAATGTGTTTCAATAAAAGTAGAACAAGAAGATTCAGATGAATTGATAGAGGTTGGTCAATGTAGAGTCAATTATACTTCAAATGAAATTAAATTAATAAAAGGTCATAAAAGTCAACAAATTGAATCAATCTTGGGATACGCTGATAGTGAATATATTGCACATAGAGATAATTTAGCATTCCCACCAACTAATCAATAATAAACTACTTGTATATAATTTTGTATTAAGTAATTGTATATCTTACTAATTGTACATATTAATTGTGTATTGTAGACACTTACAATTTCGGTGCGCAATATTATTTCTTTGAATCAATTATCACTACTTAATTAAAGATCAATGTCTTAATATTCATGATCAATTATATTATAGATCCATTAATAAATGATCTACCGTTAAAATCTAATGAAGTTATAACATCAATATCATCATATGAAAGAAATATCTATATAGGAACTTCAAAAGGTACATTATTTCATTATCATTTATTTGAAGATGCAACTGATTATTTATTAATAAGTCAATTATCAATTGGATCTAAATCGATAAGAAATTTAACATGTCTAAAGGAAACTCAAAAACTATCGTTAGTCTGCAATGGTTTCGTCGAAACTTATATGTTACCTGAATTATCACCATTTGCAACAACTTCTAAATTACAAAATATAAAGTCAATTTGTCTATACGAAGGTGGAAACTCCATAATTACAATTGCGAAAGACAAACTACAAATTCTACGATTGGATGGAAATCAATGGAACACAATAAAAGAAATTGACTACAATGGAGCCATAAAAGTTACTTCACCAGTGAACAATTTAATTTTACTAGCAAATAATAAAACTTATGCAACACTAGATACAACTAACGACAATTTATCTCCATTATTTGAGTATAAATCAGAATTGGATGTACAGCCACATATAATTCAATTTCAGACTCCTCCTGGAGATCGAGAGCATTTATTAACTATTCTGTCCGACGAAAATACATCAATTGCCATGTTTATAAATTCCGCAGGTGATGTAACTAGAGGCACGTTGACTTGGATTGATCAAGGTTATCCAAAGAGTGTTGCAATTAGTTGGCCTTATGTTTTTGCAATTTTCCGAAATTCACTAGTTGTTTCATCTTTAGAAAGTTTGGAGAAGGTTTTACAAATGGAATTAGTGGACTCAAATACACCTAGAGATTTGGAAAATCAAGAAAATATAAGTACAAATGAATCAAATTATAACATAGGTTCTGCGGATATAGTATATGAGGACAAAAGTGTTGAAGAATTAACTGGTAAATCTGAAAAATCATTAGCCAAGATGGTAGTATATAATGAGAATAAAGTTTTTTTATTACATGAAGAGAATATTATCAAGACAGCAAACAAATTATTTCAAGAATCTCTAGAGACTAATGAATTTGAAAAAGTTCTAGCTTTAGATGACGAACAAAACTATACCCACCTTTTGAAAACGTTAGCTACTTTTCTTAACGAAGAAGATCCTTTTGAGTTTCTTGTGAAAAAAGATTCAGATGGTGCTTTTAAAATTAATCCAAACTTGACACTCAAACTATTGGGTGAAGATGCTCCATATGAAGTCTATCCAGGTCTTCAAGAAGTAATCGATCAATGGGACTTTAAAGATGGAGAATTGGAAAAAAAGTACCTCCAAACAATGGAACCAAATGAAATGACAAAAGAATCTAGATATTTGTATTATAAGATACTACCGCTGGATACGATTAAAACATTTATAGACAAGGACACCTGGAGTAATGCAGAAGATGATAAATTGATAATTAAAGAGCTACTAGAAGACCCCAAAAAGCAAATATTGGTATCCAAAATTTACAAACTGAGTACAACTGATGTGACGTCTGAATATACCGAATATCTACTAAAATACATTCAGTTTGAAATAATAGATGATGCTATACAATTTTTACAAAAAGCAAACCTTGAAGAAAAAGAGTATAGTAAACTATTATTAAACGTAATAAGATTAGATCAAAAAAAGGGTTATGATTTTATAAAGAAGTCCAAGAAATATCATGAAGTCAATAGAAGAATTTTGAATGGGTTATCAGACGAGATGAAAGGTGAAGATTTTTCCTTTTTACAAATTGAGTTACTTGAAACGTCATTTTATGAAAATGAAGCTTTGAAAGATGAATTGTTTGAACTTATAATGTCCACATTAAAATCTATTTATAATGATGATATGTCAGCCAAGGTAAAAAAAGTCCACGAAGACTACAAAGTTTACAACTCCTTGGAGAATGACAACTGGCCCAAAATATCATGGCTAAGCTACCTCAACCTATCACAAGACGCTAGTATTAAACCATTTATTGAGCTATATCTCAAATCTTTCGAATTAGCTTTGGCAAGTGAAAAATCTACTAACATTTTCCAGTACCACAAAATCTACAAAGAACAAAATATACAAGAATTACTCAATTTTGGTGACTATTCAACTGCTGAAAAATTGGCAAAAGGTAAGTCAATAGAGTTTAAATACTATCCCAAACTTCAACAAAACACGTTTGAATACGACAAAACGAAATTGATATCAATCTTCGAGTTTTATCTAAGCATTTATGAAAAAGGTGAATCGGTTGAGCCTGCTGTTCTGCATTTTTTAGATACATATGGAAGTCATTTTCCAACTCATGAGATTGTCAAACTTATTCCAGAAAAAATGCCAATAATTTACATCATTACCTACCTACAAAATAGCATCAAACAATTGAAACAAAAATCTAGAGAAAAATTAATCACCAAAACAATTACCAAATTAGAATTATCAAATACTAAAAAATTAATAAACGATTTTCTATAATATACCCAAAAGTAATAAAATGTAATCAAATAATATTCCATACCAAAATATAAAACCAGTTTGAATATTTGAAGTAAAAGCACTCCAACAACTTTTTTCATTGTCTAAATCAACATTTATGATTTGTTTATATAGTCTTGTAATAGCAATTGCACCACCAATGAAAAATCCTGGACCCATTGAGTTCATTATACCTGCTAACCCGTAAAAACCAGCTTGAGCTACTGTCAATCCTTTTAAAATTGGTTTTGTTTTATCTCCCCATGCTAAAGCAGTTGATTTTATACCGGCTTTAATGTCAAATTTTTTATCTTGATGAGCATAAATTGTATCGTACGTCAAACACCAAATCCAATTTGATATGAAAAGAGGTACAGCGACTAATAAATTTAAAGGTGCACCAACAGCTGGGAAACCCAATAAACAACCCCAACTGAAACAAATTGACAATACAGCTTGTGGATAATAAGTATATCTTTTAAATAATGGATATGCAAATACAAAAGGTAATGATAAAGCTCCAAGATAAAAACATTCCCAAGGTAAACTTAACAAAACACCTAATCCAGCAAAGCATTGAACACCTAACCATGCAACAGCTTGAGGAACAGTTACTCTCCCACTTGTGATTGGTCTTTCCATAGTTCTTGCAACTTGATTATCCAAATTTCTATCCCATATATCATTAATTGTACAGCCAGCACCTCTCATAATCAAAGCACCAGCAGAAAATAATCCAATTGCAGTTAATGTAGTTGTAAGTGGTGCTGCAATTGAATAAGCAGCCATTGTTATGCCCCAATAACTTGGAATTAATAAAAGCCAAGTTCCAACTGGTTTTTCCAATCTCATTAACTCCAAATAAGGTATCCATGCTTTAGGTAAGTTTTTGAGCCAACCTAATTTAGCATCCCTCGTTAATCTAGCTAATTCTAATTCATGTGGGGTAAATTTTGATCTAGCTATCTCTAATTGAGTTTGATGTGAAGTTTTGGCTTGTTGTATATGAGTAACGATTGATTTTGAAAATGATCTCTTGAGAAATGAGCTAATTGAACCTCTATATAGAGCATTATGTAAACGAATGGAATTAGAAAGCATTTCTAGTTGTCTATTGTTTAAATTGAAAAATTGTTTCACAATCTATTATTTTATTATTTTTTTCGTATTTCGTAAATTTCGTATTCAAGACCAAAATTCATATTTCCATTTGTTCCTTTGGGCTAAGAATTTTTGAATATAACCTGCTAATTTGAGCTTGACTTCATTGCCTGAAGTAAGTTTTGATCATAAGAGAGGGGTTCCACGCTTAGAGAGTTTTTTAGAAGTTTGTTGTAAATGTAACATTATACTATATTCCTGAATACTGTGTCCAATGAACCATTTGATTATAAAAAGGATTAGCTTTGAAAAAATCAGCTGCGACCATTGATCAAGTACTAAAAATCGAGCTTGTGTACAGGGAAGGTCAAATGACTCAAAATTTTTGAGTTTTCATGAATCACAACTGAATTATGGGAGTGTATATGATCAAAAATAGCTCCAAGACATCTTTGTTGATTAAGTAGCAACGTATAATTATAAAATCAGTGTAATAATAATTTCCTAAAATTAGATGAATTTAATAAGAATTTGACAAAAAACCTTGCTGCAGTAAAAACAATTTGTATGCCCATATGAACGGCAAGACATTGACAACGTCAAATACTTTTTAATGAATGAGAAGTTGTTGCTTGTGGTTCCTTCTACCTTCCAAGATTAGATGAAACAATGAGAATTTCCATATTATGATAACTACTGAAAACTTGACGATCCTGAACTCCAATATACAATTTAAATATCACTCTCAAATTCATTATTTTCCAGTATTCTTTCTCTCATTACCTTATGACCATCTATTAACGTTTTCAAATTCACATATTCTCCTTTTGATTCATTATTTGTAATTAATGGCTTGAAAGTAAAAATTTGTCTACACATAGGACACAATCCCTTTGAAGATTCTTGTTCTAACCATTTAAAAATACAATGAAGATGAAAGTTATGAGTACAACCCGAACCTAATATAACTGGACATTCATCACCTGGATATTTACAAGTTGGACAAGCTCCATCAAATGAAACTCTACAAATCCCACATGTATCTTCAACATATCCCAGTCCATCACTATTAGTTGAAGATGCCAAATCCCAATGCCATGTACAATATCCTGTCCATTTCACCACCTTGACTTTCATACGAATATAATTTAAGTTATTAGTTTTGTAAGTTCTACATTTTTGCAACGCGATTTTTTTAATGCTTTTATGTTATTTTTTTCATTATGAATTATCTTTAAGAGGCTTTAAGGGGCTTTATATATCAAGAAGAATTTTAAAATCTATAATCATCTATTTGAACCTATTATGTGTTTTTTTTATAAACTAAACCTTTGAAGATATCAAAAGAATTGCCATCCGGTTGTAAATGTAACACTTCTTTATTATCTATATCCTCTGCAATTAATAATCCATAATCTGGAGTAATCCCCTTTATAATACAAATTCTTGTTTGACCATTATTCTCAACATCAACTTTTTGATTTGAATGAAACCATCTTTTGTAGTACAATGGTAAAAAAGGTTTCAAACCTGATTTCTTAAATACTTTATAAAATTGATCAATTGTGAATATTAATTTTGCTAATAACAATTCAGGTTCATAAGGTGGTAATACTGGCAAATTATTTGATTTTCTAATTTCATTTAACTTTTCCAATACTAAATTTAAGGACGTTGTTGGTGCAGGATTTGATACATTAACTCCACCTCCCCATACCAAGTTGAAAGTTCCATTAATATATTGTGAATTTATTAGAGCACCTGAAACTTTAACATATTTTTCATCATCACCATCAACAGTTGTACTAACTTCATGTTTTAAAGTATCAAAATATTCAGGTTTCAATATAAAAATATCATTTGGCCATTTCAATCTCAATGGCATATCTTCATATCCTATCCCTTTACCTGATACTTCACTACCATAACCCAAAATTGCTTCAATTAAGGCTAATCCACAAAGATACTGTAAGGAAACAATAGAAGACGAGGCTTGAGGTGACTGCGGAACTTTAAATAATATTGAAGTAGCTAAAACTCCCCTTGGATTTATCCAAACATTTCCACCACGACCTCGGCCAGCAATTTGAGTAGAAGCAGTTAAAGTAAAACCATTTGGAAGATGTTCCAACCAATTAGGATTTTTATCAAGAATTGTATTTGTGGATGTTATAACTTCAGAATAACCAAGAAAATTACCAAATTCTAAAGGAGCATTTGATGATAGCTTCTTTAAGTTTTCAAAATATTTTTGCATGTTAAAATATGGCGTCATTTTATTTGATGGGATATTGTTGGATGTTATGAAATTTATGTATTTTGAAACACTGTTCGGATCTTCTACTTCTTCCTCCGTGTCATTATATTGATGGTTCGAATGTTCATCTTGGAAAATGAAAGTATCATTAGTGTCTTTGAATGGTCCACTGATGTTTAATTTATCTTTAAGCAATTTATATAATTGTTCAGAATTATTTTCAAATGGTGACGCAATATACATTGGAGTAACTTTAGGCACCGTGGAATCAACATCTTCACTAACTCTTAATCCAATTTTTTTAAGTAATTCTCTCATTAAAATTTTTCTATCTTGATCAGATTCGTTCAATTTATCAACAACTTTTTCAAAACCTGGTTCAACATTTTTAAATAAGTTCGGTGTAAATTCTGGATGACTACCCGTCAATATCACATCACCTTTACCAATTTTTCTATATATTATTGCGGCTTTATCATCATCTTCGATATCAGTTTTTTCTTCATATCTCGCAAGAACTTCAACATCTTTATAGCTGGATGCATTCATGAAAATCCCACCCCCATTATAATAATTATACGTATGTTCAGAAACTTTTGGTAAAAAATGAGTATTTGTCACCAATTTTGCAGCTCTTGCACCAGAATGCAGTTCATAATCAAATCCTTTGAATGCACAACCTCTTGAAGTGCCTGGAAAAAATGCCAATTCTCTAGAACCTGTAACTTCCAATGGTCCTCCAATATCAAATTCACATCTGGCCGATGCATAATAAGCACCTGCACAAAATCCCATATATCTACCGCCATTCTTAACATATTTAGTAATCCTTCTGTTGCCTTCTCCATTTAGTACATTACAGTACGGTAAATCAGCTCCGCCTGGTATAACTAACATTGAAGTTTTCCTCATCCATGGTTCAGTCAATAATACTGTTTCATTAACAGGTAAAACGGCATAGTAATTTGCCAAATGCAATCTTAAAGACTCCAAACAGTGTTTAACACTCTCAGTAGTAGTACCTGGACCAGAATAGACTAAAACATTCATGTATTGAATTTGTTGTGGTGAAAGAAACTATTGTTGCAAAAACTAATATCACTAAATAATTTAAAAAATGAGTATCATATCTAAAAGTTGAGAATGAGAACATGATTCAGAATCATTATTTTTTACCCAACAGAACCAAACAATGTCAATTTTAGAAGCCAATCAATCCAAAATAATACTACATCCCAAGCCAGGATTCGTTGTCAAAACCAAAATTCTAGAGTCCAAAAAAAATGAAGAAATATTAACAAAAGCATTTATAAATATATGCCATGATAATCAAGTACCAAAACCTTCAGTGGAATTCGAACCAGAAATTGTTTTCCCAATGATTATAGAAAACCAATGGGAAATACCTATAGTTGTATCAAAAGCTAGACAATCAAAAGATAAAAAGGGATTTCCGTCGTTGGTATATGATTGTTGTGTAAATTCTCAATGTTTCCAATGGTGTCAATTAAATAAAGATTTAAGACTAATATTAATTGAATGGTGTATTGAACTGGTGGAAATGATAAATTTAATAACTTTGGAAAGAGATTATAGTATACCCAAAATGTTATCAAAGGGTGATATCAAGGAAATTGAAATTACAAGTGAAGAGTTAAATGATATAGGATTTAAAAAGTTGAATGATTTGAAGCAAAATGAAACTTTGGGAGTGCTAGAAGAATTAAATGGCGAGGATGATGATATAATGCAAGATGATGGATTACCAGATTTATTCAATAGAGGAAACGTGAGGCCGCAAAAGAAGTTAATAGAAGAACTTGATGACTTACCGGAAAAGATGGATATAGTGAAAGAAAAAAGTGTCGAACCTATAAAGTATAATTTGCAATTTAAGAAAATAGATATCGAACAAGAGTACAAATTGTGTATCATTTTTGAGTCAGACAATTTAGATTATGAATTAAAATATTCATCAAAAGATTCATCTGTGCTAATTACAAGTCTATCTGAGTCTAAATTTTCTCAAGGTTCACTGTTGAAAATACCAATATCGCCTGATCTACATGTTGACTTTGATAAAATCACATCCTATCAAGTTTCAAAGAAGTTTTACATTTTTTTGTGAATTACTCATTCTTCTCTAGAAAATTTAATAAAATTTTGCACTAAATCATTCAATTCGTATATTGTATCAAAAATACAAGTCTTTAAATTCTATTTTTTTCAAAGCAGGATAATATTCTATATAATTGAATTTTCTTATATTTTCATTAACAGCCAGTGTCAAATTAATAACTCTGCAACCTTGATAAATAACTTCAAAATTATCAAAATTCGAGTCATTTAGTATAATTAAATTTGGTGATGGTTCAATTCTTAATGCATAATCCATTGATTGATTTACTATTTTTAATTTTTTATCAAATGGTTGTAGATTACTTTGATCTAGTAAAGTCTTGACTAGTTTTCTTGCTTGTTTAATTTTATTGCTTAGTCTAACATCTTTTGTTTGGATTAATTGGTTTATTCTGTCTTCTTTGCTTAATGCATCTAAATTTTTTTGTTCTTCTAGTTCTAGATCTAAGGGAAACAAAATATCATTTCTTTTAAATTTATTCATTAATTGATCTTTGAATAATAAAATTTCTTGTGAAAGATAATTGATCCTAGTCGGATTCCATGCTAATACTAAATTGCCCTTTGGTAATAATTTTTCTAATCTATTTATGAATACTTTTGGTATAGATGGTTGTGGATATACGTTTGAACATGAAGAACCCAATGAGAAAGTTGACTGCCATGGATCATTATCACCTGGAATCAACACTATTTTGCAAGCGTTTACTATATTTGGAAACTCATTTAAAATGTGAGATAATTGATCAAAATTACTTTTATATATTTCGGAATTTGACAAGCTTGTGATTGATGAACTGGTTGATGTTAATGGTTTTGATGAAAATGAACCAATTAAAACTAATGCTAACGGTATTGAACTATTTTGTAAATCTTTTGATTCAATTATTGAATTTTCCAAATGTTTGAAAAATTTAGTTAAACCTTCAAGAACTTTGTTTGAGTCTAAATGTAATTCACTCCCCACTACTATAAGTTTATGACCCACCAACGACTTTTCCATTTGAATCATTTTTTTTCTAAATTCTTTTGGAATTTTGATGGCTTTATCACTCACTGTAGATTGTATATTATTTTTATGAACACCCAAAAAATCTAAATATCCATATGCATCTAAATTTTTATCCCTTCTTTCAGCTGGTGGTTGAGCTATATTGCTTACATAAAAACATCCACCAATATAGTCTTGTTTCGCATTCAAGTTCCCACCTGACGCAGAATAAATTCCTTCAACTAGTACATACATTCCACAACAATAAAATGAACCTTTGTTTTTCATTGCTTGATTTAAATTCAATTCAATATAATCTGTTGCATCTTCTAATATATAATCATCTGTTGAATTTTTAGTAAGTAATCCAAATAATAAGAATTTTTGACCATCTCTACCTAACACATTTTTAATCATTGTTATTTCATTATGTTTTGTAGTTGAATCATCAATAATTGAAGATATATTTGATATACTCGACATTGGCATTTTTTGAAAGTTTTCATTTCTTGATAATCTATCCATTATTAAGTAGTAGTGATTGTTCTTGGACTCAATCATATAGCTCAAGTTTGAATTCAATGAATTTAGTATTGTAGATTTACCTCTTTTCAAATATACGTTAAATTGTTTTCTATTCTTATCAAATATACTTATAGGTTGTTGGTTTGGTGATACGACATGAAAATAATCTTCCCATTTAAAATTTATTTCATTATTTGAATTTTCATCAATTATCGTATTTGATCTTTTAGCTTTCTGTAATTTAATTGCATCATCTTTTTGATTTAATTCTTTTAGTATATCTTTTAACCCATTACCATCAATGAAAATTCCTCTATCTTCTAATTTCCAAAATTTTGCAATTTCTTCTAAAAAATTATTCGATTGTATACTTTTCCAATTAAAACCAAATTTTAAACTTATTGTTTCAGTTAATATTGATAATGCTTCAGTATTTACATTTAATCCATGCTTTTTAGTTAAAATTCTGAATACTATAGGTCGAAGATTGGCTGGCTGTAGTTTTATTGGTAATGCTGTGTTTATTTGCTGTGAAGCAATCATTATATGATTGAATAATGGTATCTTGTATTAATACAAGTTTGAATGATTATAATAATAGAGATGTAATAATAATATGGTAAATCAAATAAAGATTAAATAATAAAAGACGCGTTTTATGAAACTACCAAATGATTTTAACGCAACTACCAAACTTTCATTTCAGTTGGTAGCATACTAGAATTTATTTTTTATTAATTCCGTTCTGATTACATGAAATATATCAGATTAACCAAGCTCATCAAACTACATCAATGTCTTCAGAATCAAACAATCTACCTCCATTTGTGAGAGACAAACATGTAAACTTTATAATTGAGCAAGAATCGAATCGATCTTATGAATATTGGTTAAGTGAACATTTAAGAATGAATGGATTATATTGGGGTACTACAACATTATTAACGATGAAACAATTGAATGATCAAACATTACCTCAAAATAAAGTAATTGAATATGTTATGAGTTGTTGGGACTCAGAATCAGGTGCGTTTGGCTCATTTCCAAATCATGATGCACATATACTATCAACATTATCAGCTTTACAAATATTAAAATATTATAATTATGATTTGAGTCCCTTGACAATAGATCAAAAACAAAAAATAGTAAAATTTATAAAAAGTTTACAGTTAAGAAATGGAAGTTTTCAAGGTGATAAATTTGGAGAAATAGATACAAGATTTACATATACTGCCATATCAGCATTATCATTACTAGATGAATTAACTAAAGAAATCACAGGACCAGCCACAAAATTTATACTAGATTGTTATAACTTTGATGGAGGATTTGGTTTAGTACCTGGGTCGGAATCTCATGCTGCACAAGTATTTGTTTGTGTTGGAGCATTAGCAATAATGGATGAATTATCAAGATTAGATGATTTGAAAATAAGTAATTGGTTAAGTGAAAGACAAGTTTTACCATCTGGTGGATTCAATGGTAGACCTGAAAAATTGCCTGATGTCTGTTATAGTTGGTGGGTCTTGTCATCATTATCAATATTAGGTAAAAAAAATTGGGTGGACTTGGATAAATTGGAAAAATTTATACTAACATGTCAAGATTTTGAAATAGGTGGTATAAGTGATAGACCAGATAATCAAACTGATATTTATCATACATGTTTTGGAATTGCTGGGTTGAGTTTAATTGATTTCGAAAAATACAAATTTGATGAAATTGATCCCATTTATTGTATGCCAAAAAGGATTACAAAAGATTTTAAAAAATGGAAATCATGATATGGTATTTTAATAGAATAAATAACCATATAATCTAGCGTCTACTTGTATACTATGAATTTTGACGAAAGTTACTCTATTTGCTGAAAACAATCAAAAAATTTGTAAAATATAAAACAATTGCTGTTTATTTTGTAACCAAATTGAACTAGTTTTTGAATTCAACATTTGGAACTGAGTTAATATTTGAGATGGAAAACTTCTCATACAGAAAACGATGAAATTTTGAAGCTTTGGAGCGAAATTTACGCACTAATTTTTTTTTACTTTCTTAAAAAGCGTCCTTAATAAAAAACAGCTAGTGCAATCTATGCATGACCTTAAGATTTGAATTGTATTCAATTATCAGCTATTAAGAGCTATTGATTTACAAACGTTAGTCCTGCATTATTGTACCTCAGGAAGAACAAACTTTAATTTACCACAATTTTTTTTAATTCATTACGCATGAAAAACATAGAAATATAACAAGCGAGTTGCATACATTAATTGGAGGTTTTTTTAAGATTCATTAAACCGCCTTCCAAAAACAAATATATGAAGAAAGCTTATTTAGCAAGTCAAAATGCATGGTTGTAATAATCTCAAAATCAAAATATTTTAACTTAAGTTGCGAGCTTGAACTAAAATAATAATTTTGATTTGGTACCTGATTTACTGTATTATTGGGAAGTGGTAATTGCTTGATTGACATGTGTTTTTATTGTTTATTCAAATGGTCATTCGAATAAGAATGAAAACTAAAACATCAATTAAACTTTTTTAAATTAGTTACTGATACATATTTGTGTACGCAAAGTTAATATAATTATTCTATTTGTTTAAGGATAAAAAGACAATAAAACTTTAAATAATACAATCAAAAACATCTACAATTATAATAGAACTTTTCGTTATTTACGAATAATTGAAAAACAAATTCAATTGTTACTATATTTAGAATTTGGAATTTATAGATCCAAATAGATAAAAATTCCACTCATAGAAACCATCAATGCGTCATCACTTTATTTGACACATTTATATTTCTAAATAAACATATGAAAGAATTTCGAGCTCATTTAATTTTATTAAACTGTACATCGTTTTATTACTTAAATACACACTTTATTAATTTAGATTTCATGACTTTAATTAGCTAAATAAGCTTCAAGTCGGATATAATTTATTATAAAATTAAGAAAGTAAAGGTTAAGCAATTCGACAGGATATGCACATAATTTTAGCATTACATTTTAACATTCTCGATTAAAACTTACTAGTGTCAAAATATGGTTTAGTCTTTTTGTTTAAGGTTATTAATAAATGTTTAATTTTAAGCTTTTAATTTAATGTAAAAATGCACCTCAAGTTTTTATCAAATCTATGAAGATAAAATTTTATAAAGGCGGACTAAAATAATTTTATTCTAAATTTGCTTTCTCATCTTAACTGGTCTGGATTGATTTATTTGTTGATTGATCTTAGTCCTTTAATCTAAAATATTCACAGTTCTTAATCAAATTAATCTCAAAATTACTTCACTTTAGTACCGGTTGGTATCAAGAAGCAAAACATTTTGTTTAAAAAGAATACAGGGTAAAAATTTAACCGCGGTGAAAAAAAAAAAAATACAAACCAAAACTGAATTTGAAAAGAAGGATAATAAACTAAAATCATATCAATAAGGGGAATGAATGAAAATCAAAGTATCTAGACCCAACCATTTTTAAGTTTTTTAAACTAGTCAACTATAAAAAAAACTATTTGATTTTAGTAGATAAGTTTACGCACTAATGTTTTATAAAACTTTATTGCTCAATCTCCGTAATTAATCTTCTTACTAAGTTTATTCTAGAATAATTGGAACAGGTTTTCCGAAGATTAGATCAGTACTAGATCTTTATGTAAATGTCAGAATTTGACATTATGCCAATTGCAATTATACTATTCTGGGGTTATGATTATTATTTGAAGACCCGTGCTCTTTAGCCTAACATTATTTTTAAGCTAATATTTTAATCTGCTATTTCGTACCTTACATCATTATCGTTAATAATTTTTCAACAAATTCTCCTGATCATCATGTCAAATCAAATTTAAAACAAATCTAGATCGATAAATTGAATTTCATATCTCATTTTAAATTAAGATTTCCATGTATCAAAACATTTATGTTCAAGATCAAAAAATTTCAGCAAAAGATTATCTAAAAAATAAATTATTAAATTTTGGACCCTTTCTCGTATCTGCTTACTTTTATTTTCTTATTTTTTATATTTGTTTATTATTTTTATTTTCCAGTTAACACAAAAATGGAATTACTCAAAAAAGATTTTGTGTTTCAAATTTAAACGAATTATAAACTTTGATAATTTAAATTACAATTTTAAAAATTTAAGTTTTAAATGAAAATTTCATTTAGCCTTAAAAGATTCGAAAGATCAGCCATTTTTATATATTTATACCCCCCCCTACAGATGCATCAATTTAATCAGTAATTTAAGGTTTTACTTTTAACTCCACCCGTAAAATAGAAAAAAACTTCAAATTCTTGTTTAATAAAATAGTAAGGAGGCTGATTATAAACTTTATCGGACTTTATGACTATACAAAGTGAGTGAACAAAATTTAAAAGCAAGTTTGTTAAATGCGTAACTAAAATCATTCTACCTAAAATGTATTTCAATTGATCTTTGACGATACTAAAAGAGATTGATTTAACGACAAAAGTTATGTATATTAAAATTTACTTAGTAATATTATGTAAAGTTCATGATACTTATCTTGCATTGAAAGCAGGTCTGTGGAATATCGACTTCACTGCATCCTTTATGAATTTATCAAGAATATTAATTATGATATTAAGTATTATGCAAAGTAGATTTCAACGGGAGGGGTAACTTCTTTTATTTACATTTTTAAACTTTATACTAAATTGGAATTTTAAGTGTTACAACTTGTAACCATATGCAGGAACTTTTTTCATTTAATTATTTCATTCTCTAGCCTCAATTAATCACCAAAAAATGAATTGCCTTATCAATGCAAATTAAACAGTTTCAACAACTAGTTTAGAGTTTTGTTTTAGTTTAGTTGCTAGCCATTTAAATAATTGAACACAACTTGATGTCTGAGAATAAAGATGATGTTTTTAAGATACATAATGCTAAAAAACCAAATTATGTATGTAGATCTACTAAAAATATGCAAAGCCTCTTAATAAATTCAAACCAAAACAATAGATTTTTTTTTGACCTTCCTTATTTGCTTTTTAGAAGTATTTCCAACCTAACTTAACAATTAGGATCTTGCTGAATTGCGCTAAAATTTATTTCAAATCTAGATTAGAACTCTAAATTCAAAAAAAATCATCTGATTTTTTTTTATCAGTTTCACAATTACAATACTATATTTAACATTTGTTACAGAAAATTTTTCCTATTTCGTATTTTTTTATATTTTTGAAGTAAGGTTTATTGGGTTCCTTAACTTTGATTTCAAATTTAGCAATTTTTGATATGTTTTTTTTCTTTTGGATTTACTGATTCAGTTTAGTACCCGCTTCTACATTATACGCAAATGATTAAATTTAGTCAAATGTGCTGGTTTGTAATATATCAAATGCAATGACTATATGTTTAAAATTAGATTTAAATTTTAGATTTGGCTTTATAGTTTAAAATTTGATTTGCACTGATCTAAGTTTGTAACCATAATTAAGAAATTTATCTACAATAACTTCTTTTGTTGAATAAAAAATAAATTTTATGATTTTATGCATTGATCGGTTACAATTTCTAAAGTGTGTAAAGTTTTTGGGGTCAAAAGACGCTATTCTCAAGTATATTAAATTAATTTGGAGAAAATTTTGTATCTTACATATCTTTTAATACAAACGTATAACTATAGAAGATTAAATTTGTAAAAGCCTATTTGTACATGACGTCTTGTTTATTCTTTGCAGATAGATTAGATAGTGTTATGAGAGCATCGAGCGGCATTGAGAAATTAATTAATGATCATTAGTTTGAATTATACAATATAAATAAGATAATTTTAACGAGTAGTCTACATACTGCAGGAGTTTTGTTTTTTTGGTTGAGTTACCTTTTTGTTTATTTTGCTTTTACCCCTTAAATATATGATCCGATCCGGTTAATAAGCAAATAATACAATTAATGTATTGTAAATCTTTTTCTTTTATTTTTAGTTTGATTAAGTCAATTTAGTAAAAAATTAATATTATGCTGTTGCTTTTTTTTATCATGATCTTCATCATTCTCATCATCGTTGCTAGGACGTTTTTTCTCCAATTTAACCTTATCTAATTGATGTATCTCTTGTGATTGATGATGAGCTTGAGTTTGACTCAATTCGAAAATTTGAGTGGTAGCGTCTGTTTTTATATTTTCTAATGAAGGATTACCCCTTAACAAATTTTGCTGTAAATTATCACCTTCATTTGTAAAATCAGTGGTTTGTTTAGCATTAGGATTTGAGTTTAAGTTAGCTCTCTCAGCGCTAATTATTCTTCTCCAACGAAATTGACATGCAAAACTACTACGAGAACCTCCGTAATACGATGAAATTCGACTCCAGCCATATTTCAATTCTTCTTTTAAATATCTTAATAGTGCATCTTCTTCTGGTGTCCAAGTAGTGGATTGTTTTGATTTTCTTCTTAATGAGATTAAATTTGGCTGTTGTGGAAAATTGGGATTTTGATAAATCTGCTGTGATTGACTTTCAAATTGATATGGAGGGTGTTGTGTAGGATAATTATGTTGAGGTTGATACATTTGATTTGGTGGTTGCTGAAATTGCTGCTGTGGTAGCTGGGACGAATAAAAATTCTGATGATGTTGTTGATATGATGTTTGTTGTGGAATTTGTGAATGACTTGAACTTGACATAGGTTGATTATCTTGTGGTTGCTGATAGTAAATACGTTGTTCACTTATTATTGAGGATGAATCAATGTTAGGCGGTTGAGGCTGTAGCGGTTGAGGCTGCTGCTGCTGCTGTTGTGGAAATTGTGCGTATTGAGCTTGTGTCTGGTTTATGAGTGGTAAATTTCCTGGATTTGGTTGTAATTGATAATTAACTGGAATATAACTTGATTCTGGATTGGATGAGTACAACGACAAGCTTGGTAACTGATTAGGTGATTGTTGTTGTTGATAGTTAGTTGAACCAAGCTGCGGTTGTTGTTGCGTCTGTATATTTGAGCTTTCATTTATTTTGAGGATCGAAGAAGGACTTGGTAATCTAATTTTTCTAGATTCATTGTCACTTTGAGACAGTATATTTGGTGGGTCACTCAAGGTTGAATTTGTTGAAAATGAACCAGGAAATAATTGTGATTGGTTTGGGGATGGTAAATTTCTTGGTTGATCATCTATATCTGTCAAAGATTCTGTAGATTTTGATGGATTGTTATCTTTATTCTTCATAAATTTCTCTTTATTTGATTTTGTCATTAATAAAATAGTAGTCATATCAATTCATTGTTTGTAATAAGTCAAGTTAATAATTAGATTTTAAATGATAGAACTAGTAACGTTTATTCCTTATCATATGTTAAAAAATTTATGATAATAAAATTTGGTTATTCTTGAAGATGTTTTGAAGATTTTGTTGCAAATTTGAGATTAAATATTATTGACTGTTTACCTGAGTATTTTCTTAAGTTTTAATTTATGATTTAAGGATCTTGATTACTGAATTTGATAGAATTTCAAACAATTGAAGAACTGGAATAACTAAATTTGTTAATTGGTTTTCCCTGATAGTTTTATCTTACGGGGGTTGAAATTTTTACCTTTTTTTGGAAAAATGAAAATTTAATGAATTAACGGTTGAGTCAATTTGAAACTAAAATTTGAGGCAATTAAAATTGTGAATATAAGAAAACAGTTGAACAGTTATATAAAATAAGATCTTTATATTAATTGAAAATGATATTATCCATACATACATATATATATATATATATATATAGTACAATATTTTTTTTTTAATATTATGAAAAATAAAACAATTATTAGAAGAAAACGAATAAAATAAATTACATACACAATAAAATTATAATGTTAAGAAAATAATTTAATCATTAGTACATGAAAATATTTCAAATCTATTTTTGAATTATAAAAATTTGAAAATAAACAATTCAACATAAACTTATTGTTTGATTGAATGCATTATTGATTAAAATTATATTGTATAGTTAATAAATAATTTAGACCGAAAAAATAATCAAAATAAAAAAATTAAAAAGTTACAAAACTTCAGCCAAATAATTAATTTAACCGTTTAAGAATAATGTACTATTTTATTAATAATAGTTTTAAATTCCATTCTAAACTGAAACTTGGATTTTATTATGGATTCATGTCATTTTTTTTTTTTCATGTACTTGTTAATGTTAGTATTTTTTTATTTTTCCTTTTTGATCTATTTATAGCTTGCAATTAGACGAAAATGTCAGAATCTAAATTTAATTATTAGTTTTCGTTCACTCTTTGACAGGATAGCTTTTTGATGATATCAGGATTATATTTTTCGATTTATATACAAATTTATCTGATAATACAATATGATGAGATTTTTTTTCTAGTGAAGGTCCTGAATTCTCGAATTCCATAAAACTAATTACGATTTTTCATTCTTTTAATTTCAAAATCAATTTTCCATTTCCTTTCGTATTTTTATTACTCAAAAGGGAGTTACAAAACTTGTAGATTTTCAGTATAATTCAAATCTTTAATCACACAATTGGTTTTCATGAGTTCCAATTTTTTGGGAATTTCAATTGATCATCTTAAATTTCGAAAATATCCAAAAAGGATTTTGCCTCTTGTGGAATACCTGACCAAATTTTCTTTCTCTACAAAGATAAAATCTCAAATTAGCAATGAAACTTTAAGTTTTAGATTTAAACCATTTTGCATTCAAAGTTTATAATGTTTCATTTTTCCGTGAAAATTTCATATAAACATCGCCTTGAATTTTCCGATAAATAATCAGAGAAACTTGATCTTTCTCGAAGTTTGAATGACTGATTATGAAAGAATTACATATGATATTATTGTTCGGTGAAATGTAAAATTAAAAATGAAATTAACTTGCATTATACATACACATTACTTGAATAAATGTAATTGTCTCATGTTTTAAGTATTAATGTAGAGGGTAAGAAATATCGAAAAGATGATAAAAATCTAACGTTCCTTGCATGTTTTAAAAAGTATGATATGTTAATTGAAAACTCATCAAATTTATAGAACGATGCAGAAGCTTTAAGCGATATCAGGCCATCAATATATATGTATGTATGTTTATTATACATGTATGTAAAAATTAAAATATTCAGTGCATAATTCGATATTATTTACCCAATCGATACATGTGAGATTGACGCAGTGAGAACCAGGTCTGCTATAATTTTATTTATAGATTAGTTAATGCTAATATCAAAGAATAAAGTTTGCCCTGTAAGATTTTCTTAAATACACTAATTTGCCGCAAAGTGAAACACTGTTTTGTGACACATTTTGTGTTTTTTTGAAGCACTAGAATCTACCATCATCAGTGGTTTCAACTATTTCAGTTTTTTAATAAATATCTTAGTTGATACCGAGTTTGGTTTTGAGCTATTGCTATTTCTTTAAATGTAATTTGTATTGGTAGTTTTTTGCCAAAGTAGATCTTAAATCTTTCAGAAATTACTTGATCCACATGTTCCGCGAATAAACTCTCTAGTGTTATCTCAGACTGTACTTTATTGATGATTGATAGGATATTCTTGTACAGTTCTTTTTGAATGAATTTCGTATCAAAGGTTTTACCTGAAGAACATTCTATACTAGGCAATTCCCATTTTATAGGACTCAACAAATGTTGACACTCTCAAACAAAAAGTTTGAAACTATGTATTCAGAGTTATAACTACTAACTTTATTGTTGTACATTACTATGAATCATTATTTATGCTAAAATAAAACAATCTTACAATCTCATTATACTCTAAGCACCACTTGAACCAAATTTATTTGCCCAATCTTCATATTGTTGTAAACCTTCTTCTGAAACACTTGGTCTAATATATTTCAAACTATTTTCAAAATCTTCTAAACTTATTGGTCTAATTTGATCAGTGGGAGTCAGTAATAATTTATCACCTAAAGATCTTAATGGACCCATTGCTGAATCTTTTGCTAATGCAGTCATATCACTACCACTAAATCCATCAGTTAATTTAATTAAATTTTCATAATCTTCATCTGATAAAGTATGTTTTTGATATTGTAATAATTTTATAATTTGTGATTTTCTTGCTTCATCTTCAGGTAATGGGATATATTGTCTTCTTACAAATCTTCTTCTAGCTGCTTCATCAATTGACCAAGGTAAATTTGTTGCTCCTAATATTAAAACTCTTGAAACATCTTCATTTGATTCTCTACCAGCTGCTGCACTTGATAACTCAGACCATTGAATTAAAAATTCATTTTTAATACGTCTTGTACTTTCGACTTCACCTTCAGTTCTTGAACTTAAAAGTGAATCAATTTCATCCATAAATACAATTGATGGTGCCAATTTTTTGGCTAATAAAAATAAAGCTTTAACTAATTTTTCAGATTCTCCCAAATATTTTGAAGTTAATGATGATGAACTTATACTGAAAAAAGTTGATTGAGATTCTGTTGCTACAGCTCTTGCTAACATTGTCTTACCTGTACCTGGTGGACCAAATAATAACATACCTCTAGTTGGTTCTCTTAACCCTTTAAATAAATCTGGTCTTAAAAAAGGATAAACAACAGCTTCTTTTAATGAATTTTTGGCACTTTCTAAACCAACTATATCATCCCAATAAACTTCATCTCCATGTACAACAACATCATTTAATATATTTCTCGCAGCTGTTGGATCAATACCTCGTATGGATGCAATAAGTTTATCTTGTTCTTTAGGATTAGTTAAGGAAGTATTTAAATCTGTCGCGGATTCAACACCATTTGTATCATCATATCCACTCAATAAATCATCCATCGTTGGTGAGCTTATACTTTCTTCCATTTCTTGCTTTTTGGCAACGGCCCTTTTGGTGTGACCATTTCCATTTGTAGTTGCAATTGGCTTTGGTTTTGTTGCTAATTTTTTTGTTGCAGTGGCTGGTTTTACATAATTGTAGGAGATATTAGATTTTGGTTTTGTAACTGTAGTTGATGCTTTTTTCTGATGCAGTTGTTGCATTAATTTTTGTAAATTTAAAGGTTTAGGTTTGTTATAAATATATGGTTGTTTTGTTTTAGATCTAACATCTGTTGTACTTTTCGATATATGTTCTATTGATGGCACATTTAATCCATTTCTTTGTGGTTTTGTACGAGGTGGTGGACTTTCTGAAACTGGTTTTATAGTTATATCATCCATTGATTTTGAAAGACTATTTTGATCGAGATGAAATTCTTGTTCTTCCTCTATATCATTATCCATGTCTATTAAATTGGGATCCTCTGAGCTTTCTGATAATCCAGATGATGATCTTGAGTCATATTTTTCCCAATTATTGTTTGTAGAATTATTATTTGAAGTATAAGTATCTTGATCAAAATCTGAAAAATAACTTGTTACATCTATTTTTGGAGGTGTTGAATGTTCAAATTTTTTTATTGATGGTTTGGACCAGGACTTTGACGCTGCTTGAGATGCTTGTTGAACGGATGTAGGTTTTAAATTAGCTGTTGGTGCTTTGGGAGTAGTTGCTTGACCATTTGAATGAGGTCGTAAAGATTTCATCATAGATCTTTGATTTGATGGATTTGGAATGGAAGTATTCATTGGAAGGTTCAGTCTCATAGAGGGAATGTTTTTATCTCTTACTGCTCTTGGCGGAGGAGGAGGAGGAACCCCATTAATTTGATCATTTTCTCTTTTAAGTCTTCTATTTTTTTCATCTAATCTTAATTGAACTCTAATAAGGTGTTTAACATTTTCATCTCTTATTCCCTTTAATTCATTAAGTAAAGTTTTTTCTTCAGAATCTAATTTTGTTGTACATTTTTCAAATACATCTAATTTATATAATAAAGTTGTATGTAGACTTTTCCAACCTTTTAAAGCATCATCGACATTATTATCTTCTTCCAATGTTAAATTTTTAATTGTTTCATTACAACAATCATTATAAGTTTGTTGTAGTTCTTCCACTGTAACTTGTGGTGGTTTTTTTCTAAACATATAAAATTTTGAATTGTGTTGAAACTGTAGTTGCTATAGATGAAAATGAAATTAAATATTAGGAAAGTAGGGTATCAATGATAATAATATAAAACAAACAATACGAAATGATTGACTTGATAGTATCTAATTGAATTGAGCTGAAATAAAATTGAATTCTATAAGCTATAAATATGAAAGAAATTGAATTTAAATTAAAGTATTCTTGTCTAAATAATCTTAATATTCTAAATTTAATCAAACTTTTTTTTTTGTACTTTTTTTATCTCCCAACTTTCCTTTATCTTAAGAAAGAAAGACTACAATTGTTTCTGAATACTTTTAAAGAATTTTTCGTTACTGTTTCAGAGTATATAAGATCTGTATTACTCCTTAGATCTCTTCCGTTTGTTGAAGGCAAACGATCTTGAATTTGACATCGGATCTCTATGTAACTATGACTTGTTCACAATTACTTCAAAAAGTCATAAAAATTATCTTTAATTCATTCGTAAATACACACTGAATCGATTAGAGTAGCTATTATGAAAAAAAGACTGTTTATATTCTGTCCATTATTATTCGCTTAGCCTTTCGTTATTCTTTGAATGTATTCAAGAAACCTTAAAAAAAATACTTCAAAAAAAGTCCACAGCCGCACAGATTTACGAGATAGGAAGTCAAATTGAATTTTTCAATTCCACATACAAATTAAATACACTTTGGCTACAATTAAACTGGCTTTCAGAATACAAAAATAATATCAAATGTAGTGATATAACGGGATACTTTAAAGTTTCAAACCTTCAAAATATTCTTTTTAACCACAATCAATGATCTGTCCGAACATTTATCAACAATGAATCAACAATATAAAAAATCAAACGATTAAAAAATTCTAAAATTCCCTAACTTAATAGGCGAAAATCATAATGAGCTTTTTGCACTTTCAAAAATAGTAAACTATTTCCTGATTCTTTATATCATAACTGAAAAGGATTGTCAAATTTCAAAATTCGGAGGTCAACTTTCTGAAGAAAAGAAAAAGAAAAGGGAAAAACATACAATAATAAAAAATTTTCAAATTAAATTTAATTTTATAATCTTCTCTCTACAATAACAGAGTGAGCTACCAATTTTTTTCAAACATTTTAATAAGATTAGTATGATTTTCTGCTCTTCAAAAGTTGGGAATCTGCTACAGCCAATAGAGCATGGTAAGATTCTTGAATCATTTAAACATCTAAATAACAACATGAAAAAATTCAAATAAATTGTCTATAAATTTTATCCTGTATATAATTACTCCACAAAAACTGAAACTTTTTTTTCAAATTTAGAAATTTAATTATTTTTTTTATTGACAACAAATCAATAAATTAATTACAACCAAAATACTAAATATCAAACACCAACAATTAATAATTTTTCATAATCACCGAAAATGGACATCAAGGATATACTAGTGTACTTAGGTACATGGGTAATAGCAGTACTTCAATTCACAATCTCAAACACAATAACATTTATAGTAAAAGCACATCAGAATTATCCCGAATATACAAATATAATATTTATATTAATTGGAATTTACATTTTGTATAAAGTATTTATAAGATCTATTAAAATGTGGTATAATTTTATGATAATGACTATCAAGACATTTACTATTTTATTTTTCATTTTTTTAGTATTCATTATATATTTAAGAGGTTGGGATAAATTTATAAATCAAGATATTCCATTTTTAAAAAATACAGTATCTGGTATATATAATTTAAGTTCAAATTTACAAGGAGATGATAAATTGAATTTTTTAAATTTGATAAATCTAGGTAATTTAGGTTCATTTTTAAATAATGTGAAATCCACACATCAAGAACCAGAATCTTTTGATCAATCAATGGATGATTCTCAAGCTTATTTAAATTATATAAGATCCAAATTTGGTGATGATTCTAGCAATAATGAATATTCTTCAAATAATGTTGATTATGAAAAATTAGTTGGTGAAGGGTTAAATTATTTAAAAGATAATGTAAATATTAATGATGTTGCTAATAATTTACAAGATATATTAAATAGATTTCAATAAAATAACCAGAGTGAAAAGTTAATAGAGTATTTAGGTGGGTTTTATATATAAAAATCACGAAATTTACTTGAATTGGAAATCTATTAATCAGGTATTGATAGTATTATATTTTACGAGATCATTCTAATTCTACAACAGTAAGTTATAAAGTAAATTACTGCTACATAAAGAAGTAACTCTTACCATATTGAGTGGACGACTGCTTAAATTTACGAGTTATTAAACAAAGGCATTTAACTTATTTTACTTCTTTATACATGCTAAACCATATCCTTCATTTAAGTTTTTCTCATACAATTTCTGATATAATATGTTCATGTTTTTTTAGTATTAGAAATTACTAATAATAGATAATACCTGGCCTTCGAATGAATCTATTTCTTCATTTTCTGGTTTTTTCAATTTCTTAATTGGAAGTTTATTATTTAATTCTATAATGAAATATGTTTTCACATTTTTGTTTATATCATCTACTTCAGGAATCTCGGGATTTAATGATAATGTTCCTATATTATTTTGTAAGTATTCAAGATCTTCATCATCATCATATTCTACATCAGGAGCTGGATAAAATTTAATTATCTTAACTTCTTTTGTTAAGTGATGTCTAATTAATCTCGGGGCTTTAGATCTTTCGGTATAATGAAGTGTGAGACTAACTAAAGTCCATTTCTTTATTTCTGTTGAGAATTTTAAATTAAATTTCTTTTCACCATTTTGGAAATAAAAATGCATAGATTCAATGAATTTGATACATTCTGATTTCATTTTTACAAAACGCTTGTCCATAATCATATCATAACTAAATGGTGAACAAACAAAACTAAATTGATTGGTCAAACCATAATCTAAAGTGTTTTGTAAATAAATTTTGTATCTCATAGCTTGATGAATTTCATGATATTTCTTTCTTGAAGCTTCTGGTAATTTTTCCAATTCTTTTTGAGCCCAATGGTTTTTGTATTTCTCAAAATCTGGAGATATATTAATCGAGTTCGTTAGTTATTAATGCAATTTGTTCAGTTATATTTTGTTTCAAAATAATCTTTAAGTTTTTTTTGTTTAATTGGAATTCATTAGCAATATCACCAACATAAGCGGTTAATTTATGAATTGGTAAAACAGAATTATTGTGATCTTTTACTATTTTTATTGCATCTAAAGGAGCGTCACATTTATCAATATCAAATTTTCTTATTGTTTTATTGACGGATTGAACAAATTTTGAATAATCAATTTGTCTTGGAATACTTTGTTGATTTGAAGTACTAGCCTCTTCTTTTTCTCGATTGAAACTTTCACTTCTTGATGTTGTTGACTGTGAACCTAATTTAAAATACTCATCTTCAGTAGGCATTTGAATATCTTCATTAATTGAAATATTGGATGTAGTTTCATTTAAGTTAACGAGTTTAACACCAAAAGAATGTTTTCAGTTAGAATTTAAGAATTTAAAAGCCGCATGGATTTCCGTAAAAAGTCTATCAATTACGTATTTTGAAAATTCCGTTCTAAGATTAGTAATATTTCATTAAATTCATTTATCAACTAATAAATCAAACAAACCAAACCTAATAATATCAAATAATAGTTTCAATATGAAAATAGCAGTAGGTCAATTATGTTCATCATCAAATTTACAAAAAAATTTACAAACAGTTAAAAAAATAATTTCAAAAGCAATTGAAAATCAAACAAAAATATTATTTTTACCAGAAGCAACAGATTACATATCTCAAAATGCTCAACATTCAATTGAATTATCTAAAACTGTAAATTCAAATTTTTTAACTCCATTATTAAATCATATTAAAGATTTACAAAATTCACCATATATATCAATTGGTATTCATTTACCTTCTACTACTAAAGAAAAAGTTTCAAATATAAATATTTTAATAAATCCAAAAGGTGAAATAATATCAAAATATCAAAAATTACATTTATTTGATGTAGATGTACCACAAGGTCCAATATTAAAAGAATCAAATTCAGTAGAAGCAGGTAAAGAAATAATAGAACCTATAAAAATTCCTAATACATTAGCATGTATTGGTCTTGCAATATGTTATGATATAAGATTTCCAGAATTAGCTTTAAAATTACGACAAAAGGGAGCAAATATTATAACATTTCCAAGTGCTTTTACTACTAAAACAGGTGATGCACATTGGGAAACACTAACAAAAGCAAGAGCTTTAGATACTCAATCTTTCATTATAAATGCTGCTCAATGTGGTAAACATAATGTTGGTACAAATGATAAGGGTGATATTGTTGAAAGAATAAGTTATGGAGATTCCATAATTGTTGATGGTTGGGGTAAAGTTTTAAATCGTGGACAAAAATATAATGAATTATCAGAAGATGATATCAAGAATAGTGATGAATATTTTGAAATAATTTATGCTGATTTAGATTTTGAAAATTTAGAAAAAATTAGAACTAATATGCCTTTGTTAAATCATAGAAGGAGTGATGTTTTGGGTGAATTATAATATAGAGGTTTTTGTTTAAATATAAAGTAAAAGCTTATCGTAGATCTATAACTTTAATCATTGGAGTAACATACAATTTTCAAATTTCTTCTGCGTTTATATCAATTTACTAAAATTTGCAATGTTTCATCTCAAACTTTCTTTTTTATTTTGCAACATTGTAGATCAAATACTCCTCATTTTATTAATTGTTAATCAATTGATTCAAACGTTTTTGCAATAAAAGCAAACTTACATTGATAAAGATTTGAAATCGATAAGAAAATTGGAGTAAAAATTCCAACTTGGAGAATCCTTCTTTAATAAAACATTATATGAGTTTAAAAGATTATTCGATAACACGAATTAATTAATATCAAATTGATAAATCAATTCAGTATTCAAATTATTAATTTAATTAATTAAAATTCTTCTTTCAATGGTTTAAAATTAAATCTAGTCTATTAGTTTACAATAATAAAATAAGTTTGTTATTAATGTAAAAAAATTGCTTTCTCTTACTTCTTACGGTCGAATGGAATCAATGAAAATTTAAATTTTAAATTTCATAATTGAATATAAATATTTCCATTAAACCGAAATTTATTTTAACAATTTTGAGTTTAAATATCCCACAAGACAAAATTAAACTTTTGCATTATTGATAATAATAGAGTATGATGTAATTTTACTACTACAATATTTGAAATATTCAATGTTAAGGATATTTATTGAAAAAACTATACTATAAACAAAGTAGGGTAATAATGAATTACCCTATGTAAAGAATTGAAAAAAGCGTCAAAAGCGTAACATCGTAAAAAACTAACATCAATAAATCAACCATTTGATTTAAAATAACTCCTCATGATAAAAACAAGTAAAATGCAAAAACCTAAACTTAAAAAATAACTTCAATAGTAAATTTTAAGCTCTATTAACTGGACCAGCAGTGAAAATATCTTCAGATGAATTAATAGTTGGTTCAAATATTTCACTTTCTTCTGTTGTTGAAGTACTAGATGATAAAGTTGAAGTTGAAGAATTATTAAATAAATCATCATTTGATACTAATGATATAGAATCATTTAAATTATTAAAATTTATACATCTTATTTTGGAAGAATAAAATTGTTTTGATATAATTTGATGATTTAATTTTGATATATTTTGTGAAATTTGTATATGATTATTATTTAATGATGATTTAGTGTTTTTTGTTAATTGTTGCTTTATTGGTACCCAACATCTTGAAGCAGTTTTTAAATTTGATATATTCAAAATTCTTTGAGTTACCATTTTTTATAGTTTATTTGTATTTGTATTTGTATAAATTTAAGTTTCTAACAGTAAAGTAATATAAGTAAGTAATTGAATATGTAGTAAATAATATTTATTTATTTATTAGTAAATATTGAGTTGATATAAAATATGAAGATTGTAATGATAAAATATTAAAAAAAAAAGGATTTGAAATGAAGATTTGAAAAGGAAAAATGATTTAAATTTATATTAATTTTCTAAATTGTCAAAATTAAAAAAAGTGACTAACAATTCTTAATGTTAAAATCTGGGGAATATGAAATTTTGTACTATTGTGTTTAATCATTAATCATCATAAAATTACACAAAAGGACAAACGGCCGGTAAAATGGATTTAAAATTTTTAAAAAAAAAAACATATGAAAAAAAATTATAGCTCGGTTTTTTTTATTTTATTATGTTCATTTATTTAACAATCCGTTCTGGAATTTCTCTTCTGTTAATTTCGTTCTAATTTAGAGCAACTTATCAATTGAATAAGAAAGGATATAATAAAAATGTATCGAAGAATGAAATAAATAGGGGGGTGTGGGACATAAGGAGAAAATATACTTACTAATGATAAATTTGCTAGTTATTCTAATTATTATTATTATTTCTTATCTTATGAAAAAATTTGAAAAAAAAGTAAGGCTGATTTGAAAAATAATAAATCTCCGAACAATTGAAAAATTAAATTATTATGACGTTATTTTTTTAATTGTTCTCAAATAATTAATTTTTTCTATTGTTATTGTATTTGAAAATTATTTAATAATTTTTATCTCCCTAAATTCTAATAATTCTACTTAATCCGAATAAAACTTTAAATTTGGGTCGAACGGAGATTAAAATCCATAGACCTAAAATAAATATAAATGTTTAATATTTAAGGAGAGAGATGAAATGGCTATGAATCATAATGTACAAAATAAAATAAAAAATTGCTCTTTCAAAAATATTAGAGTGTGAAATTAATATTGTGATATTCTTAATGGATATATGGAAAACTGAATTCCAATTTCTATTATTGTAAATTATTATAATCAAATGATTAATTATTGATTGTTTTCATATGTTGATTGTTTTTTCAAATATTTATTGTATCATTTTAATTTTCAACTAAATACAATAAACTAAGTATTTTCATTCCGATGATAAAATTTATATTTTTCAAACTTTATTATTATTACAAATGAAATTATTATATTAAGAATAAACTTAATAATAAAAATCTTATGATCCTTTTCAAATTAATTAAAAATTGTTTCTTTAGCCTTCAAAAACCCTTAAAACCGAACTACAATAATAGTTATTATTATATAATAAATAATTTTCAAAGTCTAAACATTTTTGACAACTTAAAATGATTCAACTTTTTAAATTAATCGTATCTTTTTATTTTTGCAAAGTTGATGTATTATATTAAAACTTGGTTTAGTCTAGTATAAATAATTATTTCTTTTATTGTTTCAATTTTATCCCTGGATATTCCTTAATTATAATAATTGGATGGATTAATTATAGTTCCATAACTTTATTATTGTTTGGTCTAATTGTTGTTAAACAACCTTTATAATTTATTGCAAATTTTTGGTATTAAAATAATGTGCAACAATAATTATTGTTGTTAGTATATACAAATGAAGCCACTTTGATCTTTAAGCCCACGGGTTTATAAGATAATCCGTTTGACCATTTGAACTTTACTAAATTTGAGCCCTGGGTTTAGTTAAAGTTTTGATCAGTCACTATTTAGATTGTAAATTATCATTTTTCTATATTTTGCAACAAGAAAATTCATTATACAAAAGAAAATTGCAATTATTATTTTTAATACAATAGAGCTTTGTAGAAGATCACAGGAGAGTTTGATGCAAATTATATACATTTGCTATTTGAAATCAACTTGACCAAAACACTTACAATTTAGTTACATTCATATTTCGATTCTTTGTATTTGTTATAAACTTTTAATGATTTTTTCTACATATTACTTTAAATGAAAATTTCAATTTTATTTTATCTTTGTAGTAGATTATTTAGATTTTGAAAAATTGCATTCAGCTCATTTACTTATATAATCATGAATTTGTACTCATATATGTATACAATTCAATTCATGAATGATATGATCAATTTCAATATTGTGTTAATAAATTTAGTCATATATGAATTGGAAATATGTTGCAAAAATGAATAATACTTAATGAATACTAACTATTAAAACTACCCCAGGTAGTGTAAAATTTGATAATTTATGTTGTGTTTTTTAATGTTGTTGTTCTCCATAAATGTTAGAGACATTATTTCAAATAAATAATACGAGTTGATTATTATTGAATTATTTATTATTATAATTTATTCAGTCAATCAATCAATCAATTGATTTAATCAATTTATTATATCAAATATTAATTTATTATTATTAATTAAATTGATACATTATTATTTAACATTAAGAGTACAAATTATTATTTAGACATTAGATCTATAATTATTATAATACAAAATTTTTCATTGATTAATTATTCAAAGATATATTCATTGTTAACTTTTAAACTGTTAGATTTATTTCATTAATCATTAAAAAATTACTACCTATTCAATTTATTAATCAACTATACTTAAATTTAAATTAAATCAATTACATATATATATATATATTTACTCACATAATGGGTACTGGATGGGAATTAACATCTAAATTAAAAGATAAAATATTTAAATATGCATTATATAATCAAACTCCTGTATCTTTAAGACAAATGGTACAATTTGGTCCTTCACCTTCTCCTGGTTCAATATTTTTAGCATCAAAATTTATAGTTGAAGAATTACCAATAAGGTTAGCTAAAAAAGTAAAAGATTTAGAATTAGCTCCATTAGGTTTAAATGAATCACCATCTACTATAAAAGTTAAAAATTGGTATGCTCAGTCATTTCAAGAATTAACTGAATTAAAAAAGCCAATTATAGATGATAATTTAAAAAAATTACTATATCAATCAAATTCAAATACTACCAATACTAATAATACTGATAATTCATCCACTATAAATTCTTCATTAGATGATCAACCACATCTAAGAGAAGAAATTCATAAAATACCTGATCTGCTAGATGATAATCCTGCAATAAATAATATTTTCAGTGATGATGGAATAGTGGTTCGACATCATCATCATCATCATCATAATCACCATAATCATAATAATCATACAATAGATCGAACTAGAATTTCAAAATCAAATGATAATACAACAATAAGAACAGAATCCCCAACTTATGGAATGACATATTTTCAACCATGTCCATTAAATATAATATGGCCAAAAGAAGTTTATGAATATAATAAATTAGTTTGTGAAGCATTGGAAAAAATTAAAAAAAGACATGATGCAACAGTGGCTACAATGGCCCAAGGTGTACAAGAATGGAAAACTAAAAATAAAACTGTTTTAGTAAATTCTCAAATTCAAACTTTTTTAGATAGATTTTATATGTCAAGAATTGGAATTAGAATGTTAATTGGTCAACATATTGCATTAAATATGACAACAAATTCACCAACAAAACAAAGAATATCAACTATAATAAATGGATCACAAGGTGCTAAAACCCCAAGATCAAATTATGTTGGTGTTATATGTACAGATTGTAATGTTGGAGAAATTGCAGAAGATGCAATAGAAACAGCAAAATATATATGTGAAGAATATTATGGATTATTTGAAGCTCCTAAAATTCAATTAATTGCTCCAAATCAAGATATTAATTTTATGTATGTACCAGGTCATTTAATTCATATGTTATTTGAAACTTTAAAAAATTCATTAAGAGCAACAATTGAATTTAATATACCAAAATTAAAACAAAAATATATGGAAGAAAATCCAAATATAAAATATGAAGAAATTGATTTAAATGATTTAGAATTTCCATCTATAAAAGTTATAATATCAGAAGGTATAGAAGATATTGCAATAAAAATTTCTGATGAAGGTGGTGGTATACCAAGATCTTCATTACCATTAATTTGGACTTATTTATATACAACAGTTAATGAAACCCCAATTTTGGAACCAGAATATAATCAAACAAGTTTTAAAGCTCCAATGGCTGGATTTGGTTATGGATTACCAATAAGTAGATTATATGCTCAATATTTTGGAGGAGATTTGAAATTAATTTCAATGGAAGGTTATGGAACTGATGTTTATTTACATCTTAATAGATTAAGTAGTTCAAATGAACCCCTACCATGACTATCCAAATTAGAAGGTTGTAAAATAAGTTATTTTTTCATTGTATTAAGTTCATTTACTTGTATTGTTAGTTATATAATTTATTTATCTAATTTGGTATAGTACTTTTAATAAAAAAAAATAGGAATAGTAGTAATAGTTTTGTTGATGTTTCCTGTAGTTGTTGATGCTGTTGTTGTATGTTTGATATATCGTGTATAATCCAAATGCCGAGGAACAAGAGGTGTGTCATAAAAATTGTGACTGAATTAAATATGCGACAATAAATAAATTTTACACCCTTTACTTAACAGAAGAGAAAACAAATGATCTAATTAATAATTGTAATATTAATTGATTTAAATGAAAAAGAAATATTATAATTCAAAGAATTTTTTTAAATCATCTCTCTGCAATCAACGCCTTTACTTTTAAAATCATATAATAAAATCAAGTAACATTTCTTTACTTTATAATAATCTCATTCTATCTTTTATTTTGATTTAGGATTTTAATTTTCACATTTAATATATAGAATTGTTTGTCACTTTATTCAATCTTAAGACTTGTCATTCAAATATTAAAAATTATAGAATTTTTTTATTAGGAAAAAAAAAACACAATCAACTTAATTAATTTAAACCCCACCTTAATTTAATCTGTGTCAAACAGCATCATAATCATCATCTTTACTTAATAATATATATATATATATCACTCACATAATACATAAATGTCAGCATCGCAGCCAAGAACGAAACCATGGGAAGTTTCACAAGGTACTTCAGCAGCTTCAACACAACAAACACAACAGCCGTCAACTACTACTACTACTAATACAGCACAATCATCAACAAATCCAAGTATACCAGATAGACCAACTTCATTAACTTCAGATTTCAATAATATGGCAGAAACTTCACCATATGGTAATACAAATGCTTATGGAACATCATCATCAACTTATGGAAATAGATATGGTTCATCTGGTTATGGTTCATCAATGTATGGATCAGGTTATGGATCAGGAATGTATGGGGGTTATGGATCAGGATATGGTTCATCAATGTATGGAGGTTATGGATCATCAATGTATGGGAATTCAATGTATGGAGGTGGAATGTATGGAAATTCAATGTATGGAAATTCAATGTATGGAAATCAAAATGGTATGATGCAAAATGGATTTGGAGAAGGTACTCAAGCTACTTTCCATTTAATTGAAAGTATAATTGGTGCAGTTGGTGGATTTGCACAAATGTTGGAAGCTACATATATGGCAACTCATTCATCTTTTTTCACAATGATTAATTTAGCTGAACAATTTGGTAATTTAAAAAATGCATTAGGTAGTTTATTAGGAATATTTGCATTAATTAAATTTGTAAAAAAGATATTTTGGAAAGTTACTGGACAATCTTTTAATAATGGTTTAAATATAAATGAATTTAATAAATTTGAAATAAAACAAAAAAAAATTGAAGAACAAATTAGAAAATCAAATTCATCATCACAACCTAAAAAACCAAGAATTTCTTTAAAACCATTACTTTTATTTTTAGCTGCATCAATTGGATTTCCATATTTATTAAGTAAAGCTATACAATTTTTAAATGAACAAAATAAAAGAAAACAAATGGAATTACAAAAACAACAACAATTAAATGGTGGAATTAATCCAAATGGTTCATCATTTGATCCAACAAATTTACAATTTGCAAAAGCAATTTATGAATTTAATCCAGAAAATCCTCAAATTGAAATTGAATTAAAACCAAATGAATTAGTTGCTATATTATCAAAATTAGATCCTGTTGGAAATGAATCAAAATGGTGGAAAGTAAGATCAAGATCAGGTAAAGTTGGGTATGTACCTTCAAATTATTTATCTGTTATTGAAAGAAAATCTCAATTACCTGCACCTTCTCAACTTTCAACAAATCAACAACAACCACCTTTAAAACAAGTTGAATCAGCTCCTATAATACCTCAAACTAATAATGATAAAATGCCATTTAATGACCCTTTTAATGTAAAACCTGATCAATTATTACAAGAATTTAAAAATTTACCTTAATAAATAAAATATAATTATTTACTTTTACTTTAATAGATTAGAGAATTTCTGTTAATTGTAGAGATAGCGTTGTATTAACTCTACTTTTGTTTATTCATTAAGACCTATTTGAGGATTGTGTCCCACTTCATTATAGGAGTTCATTTTCGTTACATCTGGAATAGTAGCAATTAAACTCGACTTATGTTGAAAATCTCTATACTGTAAAAATTTCTTTACACTAGCATTACCATCTTTTAAATTTTGTAATTCATATTTATCAATTTCATTTTGAAAAATTTGCCAAGATCTAGTAAATGGTAATAAATCTAATACAAAAGGTGCAGGTGATATATTATATAAAAATGAAGTTTCTGGTAATCCTGTAGTTGGTTCATTATAAGGATTTGATAAATCACTACTTGATCTTGTTGCTCTTGAATGATCTATATGTTGATAAAAAAATTTAGAAAATTTTTTGGATCTTGAACCTATAAAATTTTGACATTCGTACATTAAGTCTGTTAACATGAATTTTGGCTGTGGTTGATCGGTTATGGTAAGATTTAATAATGACTTGATTTCTTCACCACAATTGAACTCATAAAATTGGGTAGATTTCTTTCTTGATATATCATCGATATAATATAAATCTATGAATTCATTATCTTGAATGTCTGATAATATTTGAGATTTTGAACAACTTGAAATGACATCACTTGCTGAATTCAAATCATATTGTTGAGCTTGAACTTCTAAATTTTCGGATTCGTCTACTTTCATATCAACGATTTTGGTAATTTTCACAACTTGTTCTGGTAGATGATCAATTTTACATAACATTTCACACTGATTCAAACAACCTCTCAAATCATAGTTATGACCATTCCAATTTTCATCAATAATTTCATCAATAATATGATCATCAACATCATAATCTTCATTCAAGCAACATAACCACATATAATCTGCTACTAATTTTTTGGAAACAGGATAATCATCAATGAAAATAATTGAATCATCATCTTGTGCAAATTGTATTAAGTTTTTAGGAATATTCCATAATTCTTCGCATGTTAAAATTATAGGTCTTTTAGAAACATTTATAATATCTTGAACTACTTGCCAAAATGTTTTATCTTGTTCAAATAGTATATTAACATCTTCAAATAAAACTAATCCCTTTTGGAATTCTTTTGTATCATTAACTAATTGAGTTGTACATAATTCTTTTAATGAATTATGAATATCTTTTCTACTTCTTGCATTACCGGTATTTATCTCATGCACATACCCTTTTAATTGATGCATTGCAGTAAAAACAGCAGTAGATTTTCCTGAACCACACGAACCTTGTAATATAAGAAAAGGCAGGTATATTTCATCTTCTGTTTCTTCATCATCTAATATAAATGAATCTAATTTCCGTTTCTTTAATTTTCGATTAAGGTCTTTAACTGGTGCTTGAGATTTTAATTTTAAGAATGAATTTTCTATCCAATTTTTTATATGTTTCAAATTATGTTTATGCATGACTAGTTCTGACATTTGTTCAGGTTGATATTTATTTACCCATGGTAATTTTGGTTCTGGTTGTTGTTGATCAAGTTTATTGAAAATGGCTTGAAGTTGTGGAGCTTTATGTAGAATAGGTATTTTATTTAATGCAAATTCTTTTTTATTTACAGTATAATTTGTATATGAATATTTTGATTTCGATTTTGGAATATTTGGAGGTGGTACAATACCAGAAAATTCTTCTGGTTGTACATGCAATTTTTTAGGTAGTGGTGGAATATATGATATGAATTCATCTAAAACGTGAAATTGATCTTTTGAAAGTGGTGGTAGTTTCATTTCTTTAATTTGTGTTGTAGTTCTGAGTTTGTTGTTCTTACTTGCTGTCATCATTTCAGCAAAAACTGATTTACATGAAGTTCCATTGACGTTGTTTCCTTTTGTTCTTAATGGATTAAGATTAAATTTTGCCAATTGATTTGGATTTAATTTGATGATGACTGGGTAGGTGGTAATACCTGGTTGTAGTAATTCTGTAACTTTTGGTTTAAAATTGTTGAATAAATCTCTTGCTGTTGTTCTTTTAGCATTTTCAAAGATTTTTGATTCATGATCAATGACAGGTTTTTTGACTAGTGGCGGTTGCTTTTTTTCACTTGGTGGAGTCGGTCGTATATTCTTAAGCTTTTCAGAACTTATTTTTATAGTGATGTTTGAGTTAAATTCTTTTTTATTATATGATGTAAATAAATCTTTTATACTTGTTGATTTAATCTTGGAGTACATTTTCTTTTCTAAATCTTCTAATGTTTCAGGTTTTGGTTGTGTTATTTCTTCTTTTAAAACTTTCCTCTTCTTTTGATTTCCTGTCAATATTGAAAGTAACTGATGTGGTGGTTTTACTGTGGTTTCTTCTTCTTCTTCTAAATCTGATATTATACTTGACATATGTAAATCCATTACTCTTGGAGGAGTTGCATCAACGTCTGTTATATCACTACTATCTGGGGTATTAATATATTCTTGTTCTTCTTCGTATTCTCTTTCATCATCTGTTGCATTAACTTGTTTATTATTGACATCTTCCAGTCCATATAAATCCATGTAATTTTGTACTTATAATAATTGATCTTTGATGATATATATAATTAATGTGTTGCAAATTAAGATCAATAATAAATAAAACTTTACTAGTTAACATATATTATTATTTTTTATGAAACAAACGCGTCTTATTTACAAAAAGTTTCTGTACTCACAAAATAATAGATCATTAATTCAATATTACATTAAGCTTGGAATTGATAAGTTTGAGCAAAGCAAAAATTTGATAAATTGAGATTAATATCAGATAAAGAATACTATAAAGTAGTTCAATTAGTTCTGAGTTAATAATAAAGCTGTAATCAAAATTCTATCTAATTTTAGTATCTCATTTGGTAGCCAATTCTGACATAGAAATGATCATCAAGCATATTAATTTTATAATAGTACAAAAACTATACCCAATTATTATAACTATCAAATCTTACAAATCAAATTATATAATTCCTTCAAATGATATAACACAACAATAAAAATGTCATCAGGTTTGAAAATCAATTTGAAAAAGAAACTAGGTACAAAGAAGTTGAAACCTTTGGCTGATGAAAAAGAAGAATTTACGACAAAAACATTAATTAATTCATATTCAAAAGAAGATTCAAAAGAACCACCACCTAAACAATGGGTAATAAAACCTAAAAAAGTAAGTAGTTCTATAAATGTAAAACCAACACCAAAAAAAGAGGAAGAGAAATTGAAATATGGAGTTACTGAATTTACTAAAACCACCACAAATGAAGAAGAATCAATCGTTAAGAAGTTAATATATGAATCAGACGATGAATCAAATAATGACTCCGAGAACGAAAATATACCAGCAGAAGAATTTGGTGCAGCTTTTCTACGAGGTTTAGGATGGGATGGGAAGGAAGAAGACGAAGAAGCAGAAGAAGAAAATAAAAAAGAAAGTAAAGAAATACGACATCGACAAAAGGGAATAACTTTAGGTATTGGAGCAAAACCAATAGATGTAGATTTAGCAAAAGATTTACAAAATCAAGAATCAAATGGTAAACCAATGATAAAACGACGAAAAATCAATAAGTAACTAGTAATTGACATGACATTCGTACAGACATATATTTTTTATCTATTATATACAGAGTTTTGTAGATTAAGCTAATGCACCTAAACCCAAAAGTATTAATTGAGTAGCAATAGTTTTAGTCCAAGTTTTTGAAGAAACAATTCTTTTTTCATCTTCTTTAACCATTCCAATTAATTCTTCATACATATCAGCAACTATTGAATCAAACATTTTAGTTTGACCTAAATGTTCAATATTATAAAGATTTGAAATTTTTTCAATTATTGTGGTTTTTAAAGTTATTGGTTGTTTTTCATGATTTATAAAACCTATTATTGACCTTAAATCTGATAATGATATGAATGGAACTGAATTTGAAGATAATGGTAAATTTTGTGGTAAACTTGCTTGTAATTCTGAAAATTTAACTTTTACGTTAATCATTACATAAGATTCATTGAGTATTTCTTCATTATCTGATGATTTAAAAGTATAATATATAGCATTGATTGCGTCTTTTAATAATGAATCTTCATTGGATTTTTCAGTTGGTTTATTCATATTTGAAATATTATTAAATAATTTTGTGATTAAATCACTTATTGATTCGTTATGTTCCTCATTTTTAGGTAATGTTATATCAGCTATAACTTCTGCTTTACCATTAACTAACCAATTAAATTTCAGTTTGGGGTTAACTTTTGAAATGTTACCTAAATCAATTGCATCTAATTTAAATCTAATTAATTTATCATCAGGTTTACTTTGAGGATCTAAACTTTGTCTTTTATGAATAGTAAATAATGAATTATTTATAGCTCCAGATGCATTGTTTGCATTGAAAAAATCAAGAACTAATTGATCACCCCTTAATTTTGGTAAATCACAACTAAAAATATTTATTTTAGTTGGTTCATCTGAATTTGGTTCATATATCTCCAAAAATGAATCAAAAATTTTAACATGTTCAAAAAGATAATTTTTATCAATATCAACTAAATCTTCCTTTGTATCTGATTTCTTAACGATTTTAGCATTTAATCCAAATATTTCTAAATCATAAATTAATCCATTTCCTTCATACCATTTATTAAATGATAATGTTAAATCCATTGCTTCAATATTTGCAGTAACTTTTAATTGACTATTATCTTTAGATACTAATTTAAAATTCTTGAATCGTAATTTCCCATCTTTAAATTCTGGTAATATTCCCTTTTCAAATTGTAAATTAAATCCTAATCCATTTGACAATATACTACTTGTTATATAACCAAAAACACTATTTTTGTGCCTTTTCTCTTCCTTGGTTTCTGTATCTGAGAACAAATTATCTAAATAATGTAAAGAATACATAACTACTAAACCAAAAGTCGTAGTTCCCAAAATAATCCATAATAAATTTCCCATAATCATTGTAGAAATGAAGGCTGACGATATATCCCATTTTGAACCTTTACCATTTCTTATCAATGGCCACTTGATATTTAGCCATAATCTTTGTAATCTTGAACTTGTTTGAGCTAAAAGTGTTGCTTTTGTAGCAGAGGTGGTATTAACGGCAGATGATTTAATACCTAGTTTTCCGTTTGATTTTTCATTTAAAAGGTGTTTCGAGGAATTTATGCTTGATTTATTGGATTTTGAGAAATGCCGTATTAATATTGGACTTATTATACTATGTGATCTTGATAAATAATTTTGGTTGCCAAAAGATGGTATTAAAATTTTTATGATATTCGCGTGATTTTTTCGTAGTATTCTAATATTGGATAACATTGTTAATGAAGACTATACTTAAAGGTTGTTGAAACTTGATAATTATTGAGTTTAAATGTTGAATTTAAACAAGTATTATGGCTACTTTTTATAACTTATTCTAAAATATGGGGCAATTTAAAATTACAAAAATAAAAATCTAACTGGTTTAAATTTTTTCATACTTTAATTTTATTTTAGCAATTTATTGAGAACTACCAAATGATTTCAAAATTTGCATTCCTATTGAAAAAGTAATGAGTAAAGCAAAGAGATTAGTCTATTCATATTAAATCAAATTAGTTATCTTTTATCATGTTCGCAGCTTAGTATTTATGATTTACCTCCTATAATATTGTAATTGAATGTCTCGAACTTTTGATGTCAAAACTGAAAAAGAAACAATCTTTTATGACATGTCAAATTTCTTAAATTTGAAAATTTGGTCTGAGCCGCATTTAATTCTATTTTTGTAATTTTTGTTTTTGTGTCACTTATCAAAAAAATTAAAAGAAGAGAAGAGACAAAAGAATTATTAAGAAGAAAGTAAAGGTACAAGAGCTACAACAACAAGAACAATTCATAAATAGATAAATTCTAAGTATTATTGCAAGACACTATCATATATTATATAAACTGATTATTATTAATACAAACTCATATACACATACTTAAGAAATTCAAAATATGAGTGCACCAACTGCATTAAAACCTACAGATGATATAGATCAAATAGATCAAGAACAACCAACAAGTAAAATAATATCACAATTTTCGAACTCACATCCACAACAACAAGAAGACGATGATGAAGAAATGCTCATAGATACAGAATTAGTCCCACTCACAACCAACGAACCAAACACACAATCCACAACATTATCAGCAGACATAGATGAACTGGGAAAACCTAAATTTACATCAGAATCAAATACAAATATGAAAGTTAAACTAGAAAGTAGGAAAGTCCCAGTTCCACCACATAGGATGACTCCATTAAAAAATGTATGGACTAAGATATATCCACCATTAGTTGATCATTTAAAATTACAAGTTAGAATGAATTTAAAAACAAAAACTGTTGAATTAAGAACTAATAAATTTACAACTGATCCAGGTGCATTACAAAAGGGAGCAGATTTTGTAAAAGCTTTTACTTTAGGTTTTGATGTTGATGATGCTATTGCTTTGCTAAGATTAGATGATTTATATATTGAAACATTTGAAATAAAAGATGTTAAAACTTTGACTGGTGATCATTTAAGTAGAGCTATTGGTAGAATTGCTGGTAAAGATGGTAAAACCAAATTTGCTATCGAAAATGCTACTAGAACAAGAATTGTTTTAGCTGATTCCAAGATTCATATTTTAGGAGGTTTCACTCATATACGAATGGCAAGAGAAGCCGTTGTTTCTTTGATTTTGGGATCACCACCTGGTAAAGTTTATGGAAATTTAAGAACTGTTGCAAGTAGAATGAAAGAAAGATATTAGAATGGAAATAATTTTTAGAAATAACATATTGATATTTTTAAGTTCCTGATTGTAATGTTTATGTATTTTTCTTTATACAAGTATATCTTCTAGCAAATCTTTTGTTAAATCATCAACTATTCCCTTTTGTGATAAAGAAGGTAGTAAATCTTCTAAATTTAAATCTAATCTCATAGCATAAGCATCTTCACCATCTTGATAATAAGATTTTTCAATCAGTTGTACTTCAAATTGTAAAGAGTCTCTATATAAATGTAATGCAGCTCTATTTGATTTACGTACATGTAAACTAACATATTTTGCATCAAACAGTTCACACATTGCATATAATGATTGTCTCATTAATTTTTCTGCTATTCCCATTCTACGATATGTTCTCATTACTGATAATGATGTTATATGACCATGTGGTGTTTTATCTGTTGCTTCTGGATCATCTTCCATTTTACCTAATACATAACCAACAACTTTTTCCTCGCCAGATTCTAAATTTGTTGTAGTTGTTGCTACAAATGAAGCTTGTGGCCAACTTAATATATGATACATATAATATTTTAGTTGATAATTTTCAGGTAAATTATGTAGATTTGCATTTTGCATCGCCTGCACATCTGTTATATTTGCTTGACGAATTGTTATACCCATTGCTGTTGTTGGAGTTGGAATATTGGTTTTTGGTAAAGTGCTGCAAATTAAATGTACTTGAATCTCGAAAAATCATATTTTTAAATTTTTCAATCGATTTTTTTACTGCGAAATTTAATCAAGAGATAATATCCAAAAGATACAACAACGTCAAGAAAGACAATGGTAACTAAAAAGTAGAGCTTAAAGAGAGTTGATAGAGAGATGGAGTCTACAAAAATTAATTATTCGTAAGTCTAACATTTTCATATTTTTCAACTAAATCGTAAACTTTCTCTTATCATGACCAGTTCATCAAATTTTATCAAAAAAACAGTTCTTAAAGGATTTACATCCGTAAAAGCATTATGAGCAGTAACATTAGCATTGAAACCTGCAGAATCTAAAGCTCCTTCAATAATACCGGCAACAAAAGCAGAACAATTTAAATCTCCATAATCCTTTGGAATACTAATAAATCGATTTAATAGTGGTACATTATCTATAATCATATATTCGTTATTTATATCTTGTGATTTTTCTAGTTCATTTGCATACTTTCCAAAAATTGTTTTCCAAAATTGTCCATGTATGAATTGTAATATTCCTATAATTTTAATCTCCCTTTTATTTAATTTGAATCCCTCTCTTAGCTTTATTAATTCTAAATATCGTTGACCTATTTGATACCCTATTCCATTCAATCTATTTTCCAAATCTTGTATATTTATTGATTTCTGATGATAATGACTTACTATTGCACTAAATAAGAAAGATAGTGATGATAGGTTAATTATTTCTGGTTTTTTCGAAAGTACGTTGATATTACTTAGTGATTGAGTTCTTTTGCTATAGTTTGAGCTCGTGGGTATTATATTATGAGACATATGTATGTGTTGTATATGTGATTGATGTAATGGTTTAAGTTGATAATAATAAAGTTGATCTATAAATTTATTTGGATTCACAAAATTCTGGTAGCATTACTTATTTGAAATTTTCCAATTTAATAAGGAAGATAATTTTTACACATTTTATATTATAGATTACCAATAACGTTATAATTTTGAAATTGGTAAAAACTTGGATTATTTAATTAATGTTTAGTATTTTAGTAAAAGAAAAAGATAATGGAGACAATATTTACTCAATTATAATAATTGAATACTACCAAAATCAACATTTTGAGGGGTATTTATTTTGCAACACTTTTTGATACAAGTATGTACAAATCCAAAAAACAACAAAGAAAATCTTTAACATTACATGATATATTCAATGATGATAATTCAAAACTTAAAGATAAACCACCTAGATTTCAAGCTACTTCAACTCCCATAGGTTTTGAAAAGTCGCCTAAAAAATATATTATTAAGAAGAAGTCTAAGAAACAAGTTAAAACATTACCTGACATTACAAATTTACCTTTTGCTTCACCTGAAAGTAAACCATCTAAGCCACAAAGCAAAAAGCCGAAGGTGGTAACCAAAGGTCCAATACCTGGTTTTAATAATTTACTTGATTCAATAGTTAAATCAAAAATTGTACCTTCGAAAATTTTACAACCAATTCAACCAAAACCTAAAGAATCAAGAATTTACAACATCAATTCTCCATTTAAACATCAAAGAAAAGTTGGAACTCCTGATTTAGGTCATCACAACAGTTTTGTTTCAAATCTAAGATCAAAAAATATATCTACTCCATACTATCATCAAAGAAATAAAACTTTTGCAGCCATTGATTATACTCCAACAAGACCAATTATTAATTTTAATACTAGAAATTCTTTATCAACTATATCGGAAAAACATTCAATCAACTACATTATGAATGAATCAAATGATGAGTTCCCTCAATTTTATGAAGAACCTCCGGAATTGGGTCGTAATGCAAATCCAGTATCGCACGAACAACCACAAATTGAATTTGGTTATGATTTTGAATATGGTAACGAAGATTCTTTTCAACAACAAGAGGATAAGCACGAAGAATCCTTTCACATGAAAGAAGAATCGGATGATACAGCTCTTACTACAAGTACAACAAACACAACTAAACTGTTGTTAGAATTGGGTGGTTATTATTATTCAGAAGATGAAATAGATAACAACAAATTGCAAATTAACATAAAACAAGAACATCAGCCACAATCAAAAAATAAACACAAGGTCAAAAAAAAACCCAAGGAACAATTATTCATAGATGAAAGTGGTAGTGATACGGAAATCAATGATGATAATGATAATGACAACGATTACGAGACTGAAAATGAAAGTGAAAAAATTAGAGGGAAACAATATTTGAATGTCGTTTTAATTGAAAGAAGTAATTCAAATTCAACTAAACTAATGATTTATGATTCAATGGATTTATTAAAATGTGAAGAAAGTATAATCAAGTAGTAAAACAACTAGTCTTGTACAATTACGATAGCAGTGACCAGAAATTTAAATCTTCTCTATGATCCTATTCTCTTCTTCACATTTTAATGCTTCTTCTCTTGATTCTATTACATGAAATCATCATCATCAAAATCATCAAATCCATCATCCATATCATCCTTTTTAAAACCACCAACATTAGGTCTTGCAGCTGGTTTGGCTTTCTTTTTCCCAGCACCACCAGTAGCAGTCCCACCGGTTTTTTTCAATCTTGCTTGTCTTTCTAATCTTTCTTTATCTTTTATTATAACATTCAACGTACTTATAACTTTTCTTGTGTTTTCTACCGATAATGGTTGAGTTAAATCTCTAATTAAATCAATTGCTAAACTTGATGCATATAATAATGAACTATCTTCATTTAATGCAGTTAATGATGCACCAACTGCTTTTCTCAATCTTTCATATTCTTGTTTATCAGTTGGTTGAAATAAAGGATGTTCTTCTAATGGTGTATCTTTTGTTAATACTGGTCTTTTTTGTGCTGCTTCTAATATAGCAGCTTTTCTTGCTTTTTCTCTTGGATGTTCATTTATATCAAATTCGTCATTATCATCTTCTGCAACTCCCAAACCTCCAAATAAATCTGCTGCATTATTTAAATCAGCATTCAATTCTGCTTTTTTCAATAATTCCCTTCTTGTTCTTTCATCCAATCCATCGAATTCTTCCATGTCTTGTTTTTTCTTATCTTTTTTACGTTTTAATTCATCTTCTTTTGCTTTTAATTCTGCTTTCTTTTTAGCTTCTGCTTCTTTTGCTTCTTTTTCCTTTCTTTCCTCTTCTTCTGGATCAACATCCCAATTACTTATAAATTCTTCATCTGAAATTTCTTCGTCTTCCCAAGATGCCATTATTTATATGATTCTATTAATGTATTAAATGGTTATATCAACTTTATCTTCTATTTAGTTTGAAGATAAAAAAATAATTTTTTTTTACATACATCACTTTGAGCCTGTATATAAACACACTATTACTAGACTACCGTTTCGGGTATGACAAAACATGATGTAAATCAGTAGTTGATTATACAATATGCCAGTCAAAATATCAAAAGATGTGAGAATACCTGGTATTGATAATAATGATAAATTTGCAAAATGGGTTGATTCCAAATGTCAAAGTAACTTAACAATTGATCATAGTTTATTAGGTGGAATAGGATTATTTTATGAATCAACAGAAGAAGTGCAAGATGATGAAGATCAAATAATTTTGAGAATTCCTCCAACCTCAGTATATAACATGGATACACTACTTGATTTACTATCAGAATTGAAAAAAAGGGATAAACAACATACCGAAGATGCACCAATTATCGAATCACAATTAATTAACAACCTTTTAAAAATACTTCAACCTGAATCAGAAACTATTATCATATTCTCATATTTATTAGGATTGAAGATTTTACAAAATTATAGAAATAGTCACAAAGGTAATGTTGATTATTATATCAATTCCCCCTCAGTAGAATTTGATACTTATCTACAAATATTATCCAATACATCGACATATTGTCCATCTGAAGAAGAGGCTCAACAACAAGAACCAAAAATAAAACACTTTAATCAATTAAATCAATTACTACAAAGTGAATATGATGAATTGATGTCGGGATTGTCAGAACTATATCCGGATGTCAGGATAAAAGAATTATTACCTTATCAAACATTTTTTCAAATATATAGGGCTCTTACATCAAGAACATTAGAGATACCTAAAGCCATTCAAGAAGAAGGCGATGAAGATAACTTCACAACAAACATTACATTAGTTCCTATTTTGGATTATGTAAACCATAACAATCCAAATAATGCATATTTTGATATAGATAGAAAAACAAATGATATTGTCTTAAAATTGAAAAACAATGAAATACCCAGGGATAATACTAAATTGGAGATAACAATTAGTTATGACACAGATGATCAAACTGATGAATTTTTCATTACTTATGGATTCACACCTGATTCTTAGGTCATTTATTATCTGCATCTTATAAATACGTTACATATGAGTAATCAATAATTGTAAACAAACATAGATTGATTAATAATATTGTAATTTGGTTGAATGATCTATAGTGAAACTAAAGTTTGAAGATTCGAGAACAAATATTTTGAATTAGTAATAAATTTTTACTCTATGAATTAGAATTCCGACTTGATCAAGTCACATGTCTGAATGCATCGCTAAATTTATAAGCACATAGTATCTTGCAAATTCTTCACGTGATTTGCTGAATAATAATGAATGCGTTTTTTATTCTCAATTTCAACGAGTATAAATGAAATCCGATTTTCTTCAATTCTTTTGATTCACAATTTTTTGATCAATTCGACAATCTTATCAATTGATAATCAATCCAATTAATCAGATACATATATAAATATTCAATAAAAAATGGTTCAAGTAGTAACTTCATTATCAGACTTCAACGAGGAATTAAAATTCAATGGTTTAGTAGTTGTTGATTTCTTCGCAGAATGGTGTGGACCTTGTAAAATGATTGCTCCATTATTAGAAAAATTTGCAAAAGAATATTCAAATGTTAAATTTTTAAAAGTAGATGTTGATAATTCAAGTGATATTGCTCAGAAATACGAAATTTCTTCAATGCCAACTTTAATCTTTTTCAAAAATGGTGAACAAGTTCAAAAAGTTATTGGTGCTAATCCAAGTGCTATTAAACAAGCTATTGCTTCAAATGCTTAAATAATCAGAGAATCAAGTAGTGTGTAATTTATAGTTTCATATTTTTTTGTTTAATTTAATACAGTTATGTGAGTTATTAATGTTATACATTTTTATTGTAAAACTCAATTGAGTCCGAATCATTGATCATAAAAGACGTGAATATTATCTTACCTAAATTGAGCTTGATTACGTATTAAATCTTTTTAGACGAACTTCGCTTAATCTTCCGGCTTTGACCAAATCAAAGCCTTTCTTTTCAAAAGATCTGTCTATTATAACAATAGGCTAGCATAGAGTAGGCAGGAAAATACTTCACCTTAAGTTGGTCAAAAACGACCTAATTTTGTTAGCAATCTTATTTTTGACGCCATACAAATTACATTCAAAATTTCTCAAATTTTTTAATGACACTTTCAAATGAATTTTAATCAAAAAATTGAAAAATTGAGCTCTTTGAACCTTGGGGTAAGAGTCTTTGTTAATTTTTCTTGGGCGATTTAACAAAGAAGCAATGATTAAATTAGAACAATGTATCGCAACTAAAAAAAATAATAATAAAGATTGTGATCAATTCTATTGTTACTTATATAGAGGGATTTTAAGCTTTGACTAGTCACAACCGATTCAACCTACATTTTTTTCAATTCTAACTTTTTGAACTTTTTAAAACATGGTGTCTATATAAATAGTTTATAAAATTAAATAAAATTATTAACAAAATTAATTACCTGATGGATCTTTCTCATCAAATGGACCAGCACTACAAGTTAATTCTGGCCCTTCAGTAATGGTTGAAGGTTTATCTGGACAAATATCAGCAAAAGTTTTATCAGGATCATCTAAATCATATGTTTTGGTTTTATGTTTTTTCCTTTGAATTATAACTGGTATCAATACAGCATTATCAACTGGATAATCTCTATGACCAACAACATCTAAAATCGATCCAATCAATCCAGAATGTGAAACAATTGAAACAACTTTATCATCTTTACTAGCATCAAAAATATCATTTAATAAAGAAGCAGCTCTATATTTACGATGTTGACCAGTTTCTCTTTTTGTACTAGACCATAATTCATCATTTGAAGTGAACCCCTTTTCAAATGTAGCATGAGGCCAATTCAAAGAAATATAGTTTTTATCATGACGTTTACTTTCAGTTTGAATACCATAAGTTTCTCTAGCAAATTCTTTGATAGTTGGACCTTTTGAAGTTAAATCTTTCCAAACATAATCCCAAGTTTCTAAAGTTCTTCTAAGTGGACTTGAATAATAATGATTTGGATATGGGAAATTTTTGGTGTTTTTAATTTGTTGTGATAATTTTTTACTTTGATCAATACCTTGCTGTGTTAAAACTGCATCAGCCCAAACTTGACCATTATACCCATCTAATGTTTGCCAATAACAAGTCCAATCAGTAGATGGGGTATTACATTGATGAACTCCAAATGCATGTCTTATGATGAAAAATAATTTATGATATTCATCCAATTGATCTAATACATCGTTCCATGAATATTGATCTTTTAATCCAAAATTATTAGTATAGTTAACATTTGATGGTGATATACTTGAATCACTTTGTTCGAAATATTGAGTTGATGATTCAAATTTTGGTAAAGTATATGATTTATTATCACCAAGTACGATTTGTGAAAACACTAAAGTTAATAAAGAAGTAGCAAATAACATCATTCTTGAAAGCATTATGAATTAATTGATTTTAAAATCAAGATTTCAATAGTTATTTATATGATCTCTTTTCTCGAAATTTTCAAATCTTAAGAATATATCGTAACATAATTATTTCATTGCATAATTGAATGTATTATGAATTAAAAATAATTAAAAATTTTTATTAAACCTTAGTGGGTATTGTTTAATAATTTTTTTTTACATACAATCTTACACGTGTAAATTAAATAAATGTGTTTCATTAAAGTGAAAGTAAAACAATAAGAAGTATAAAGTGAAGTCTTTGTAGAGTACAATAAGGTTGTCAATTAATGTATCAAAATTTCAATTGGAACAAGACTGAGGATTCGCACCTCGTGGACCTTGATTAATGATGCAATTTTAAGAAAACAATCATTACTAAATTAACACAAAATCATGTTTTACTTTTGAAATGTGTTAGGCTCTTAAAATTCAAATTTAATGTGGAACTATAACTAGATGTGAAGTTCTCTACTCAAATCAAGCTATATGTGATTTTAGGCAATTACTGATCTATATAATAGATTTGAATTTATAAATTTCTCTGAACTTTTCAAATTACGAGATCCTATATTCCAAGATAAACATTCAGATCCAAAGCATAAAACATACGTCTTCAATTTTTTAATTTGTTTCCTGTCTGCGTCACTAATTAATGAATTAATGGGACATTGTTTGATTTTTTTGGCTCTTTTGTCAAATGTAGAATGAAAGTATTCATAATTAGCATCTGAACAAATTGTGATCGTTGAACGGATATTGTCTTTTATAACTTTTTCAAGTAATGATGCAAAATAGTTTTCCAAGTTCTTATTTGTAGTAGTTTCTTTCCATAATTTGATCATACTCGTGTCGTTATTAGCTCTTTCAGTTAATATTTTTGTAATATCTCTATGCAAACTCGTATTTGTAATAACACCATTATGATAAATGAACTCAGTCAAGTAAACTCCATCACCCCACCGTTCATGGGCAATTGCATGTTGGTATAATTCATAAGCCTTTGTTAAAATTTCATAATTATCAAACGAGTACATACTCACATTGATTTGACATCCATGACCAGGATCTAATTCGGCGATTAATGCACCTTTCGTATCTTTTTCTTTTCTAAATGATCCTATTGAAATCTTCTGAAGTATATTATGATAGTCCATTGAGTCCTCAGAAAAAGCGAATGGTAAAATATATATGGTGAGAATTATTGCAAAATACATTGTAATTAAAGTCATTGTTACTCAATAATACACCGAAGATGATTTTAAAAACTCTTAGCTGTAGGTAATGGATTCATAAATGGCTCTATTTGATGCAGAATTGCAATGAATATTTTCTTTTTAAAGATAAACATTTACAATAATTAGTTAGTTTTATTATTTTGTTACTATCATGCTCATAACTATACAACGATTTAAAAAATAAAAACTAAAAATCAATATTGTAAGGATATGAATTCGAGCCGTGAAACTTTTTGGTAAATATTGTACTTTAACCTTAGATTGAGAATTAAAATTGCAACGTCTGGAGCGATAATCAAAATATAGAACAAATTTAATTCAAGTGGATCAGTGAATTGCTCAAACACTAGACTATTATTTATGACCTGTCATTTATTTTCAATTTCCTATTAATCACTAAAACTTAAAATTTGAACTTAAAATTTGAACAAACTAGTAACATGCACACTTTAGTTTTAGTTTAGTAGAGTTAATTAAATTTTTGACAAAAAATTTAAAAACAATTATGAGAAAGAATAATAACCACAAAACTTCTTAGGTTTAATTTCGAACTTAAAAGCCCTGCGATATAAAGCTAGAACTATTATTTGCGTGGGAATCCGGTTTGGAGATTATCTCATGTGGACTTATTAATCTGAACTCATTGATGCCCAAAAAGCTATATTTTTTTACTTTTTTGGCAAATAAAATCTTTGTGAGTTTCCAAACTAAGGGGTAAGTTTTTAAATATTTAGTTTTTCTTGTCCTTGTATCAAGTAATATGTGTCAATTTTGTTTAGATTCATTATCGATAAAACCTTGGTAAAAATATGAAGAAGCTTCCAACTAAGGATGCTTCTTTTTCACTGACTTGATGACAGCTACATCTACAACTTGATTTACTAAGTTTAAATTATCTAGTAATTTGCTTTAATATTTATTTTGAGATACTTTGTGTTTCGTTTCAGTTTTCTTATGTTTTACAAACTTTAAAATTCTGTTTGTGTATACTATCAGTCTCCTTTAGTAAAATTTTGACTTTCTGTCCTTACATTCATATACCCGGACTAGATGTATTTATGATACAAAAATCTTGGGCTATGATTTTTTATCCTACACCTATTTATAATTTTTTTCCTCTAGTTATTTAAAGTTTTATAACCTGAAGTAAAAAAATTAGACTTTAGACAATATTGTTAAATAAAAGTATTTGACAGCTCATACAAAAATTGACTACAATCAATGGTTATTGGAAGTGAATAATCTGACTGAAGTTTAATAACTTGTCAAAAGCTCTTTAGTTAGAATAAACAAAGAGATGTGAATATACCAATCTCTTCTTAAATTTTTGATCCTTAAACCCACCCTCTTTATATTTTAATTTACAAGAACCATATGGCAAAACATCGTTGCTAGTAGACACTAGAAATATGGGTAACTTGATCTACTATAGTGCTATCTTGTTGCAATTATTTAAAACTGTTCGTGCAATTTATTACGAAGATTTACTTCAACAAATTTCAGACGGTACATTTAAAAAAAATTAGAATCATAAGATACTTTTTGACTTAAATCTATTCATTTGATAATTTTACTAGATTAGTCGAAGCTCATCAGTTGTATCAGCATGCTGTTTTCGGGCAGAAATTGGGTGATGCTGTTATTTTGGCAGAGTTTATTGGACATAATAGAGTGATCAACAATAGTACTTATCTGATAAACTAGTAATGAATATATTCAATAAAACTAAAGCATTAGTAACAAGAATAAGTATAGACAAACCAATTATTTGGGAACTAACAGAACCTATTAGCTACCCTCTGTAAGTTGGATCATCATCATTATTTCTTGACCTTGATTTTGATTCCCCTTTAGCAGCTCTACTAACATCTTTACCATTGACAATTTTAAAAATCTTTCTCGAATTACGATGACTTAATTCAGCTATATTTTCTTTTGAATCAATATTAATTTTTAAAAATAATTCTTTTAATTCCATTGCACCTTTTGGATTATCCAGACCGGTTACTTTGTTTAAAAACAAACAATTTAAGTTAGTACAATTAGAAAGATATAAGCAAGTTAAATCTTCAAGTTTATTATCTGATAAATCTAAAATTTTTAAACTATTTGGAAATGATTGGTTTGATAACATTGAATAGCTAATTTCATTAGATCTCAAATCTAAGTTTTCTAGATGTGAAAATTTATTAAAAACACCCACAATTGAGAAAAATTTGAGATTTATAAATTTTATAAATTTTAACGAATTTGGTAAATAGTCAAGATTCAAAATTTTATATTCCATGTTGGACATTGTTATCGAAACTAAATTTTTACAACCATTGAAATTTACCGGTGGAGGAATATCTTCAATATAAAAATTATTTCTTCTTCCCCAAGTTCCAATGTATTTATCCAAACTTAAAAACTGTAAGTTTGGCATATTAATTGAAACAGCTTGGTCACTTGACGACAATTCAACATTTTTTGCAACTTTCTTCTTTGGTGTACCAGATAAATCAACAAAAGTATTTCCACTAGTAAAAAATTTGATAGGATCCACGCCATAAAAACTAGCATAAGTATTCAGCTCAATTACTAAATCTTTTAAACAACCCATTTGAACTAAGTTTGAATTGAAAACCGTATTAATCGTATTTCCTGAAAATTTTAATTCTTTTACACAAGGAAATTGGCAGTCATAAAAATCAAAAATTTGACAATTTCTGATACTAATTGAAGTTAACTCTTTTTGTAATAATTGAAAAAGTTCTTTTAAATTGAAAATTTTTATACCATTTAAATTTAGTGTATCAAGTTCTTTTAATTTTGATTTTGATTCTAATTGTAAAGTACCCAAATGATCTTGGATACTCATGTTATATAACTTTGGAGGAAAAATGAAATCAGCACCCATAATTAATGATCTACCATTGCTTGAAAAATCTGAAATTTCATATTGATCATTTTCGAGTTTTTTAACTTCATTATATAGTTGATTCACTTTTTCTTTTGTGATAGAATTGACGTAAGTAAAATTTCTTAATGATCCAGGTAAAATGCACTTGATAAAACCAGTGAAATTAGAACAATTTTCGATAACAAGTGTTTCCAATTTTATTAAACTTTCTAAATTATTTACATTTTGCATTCCACAAGAATGCAATTCTAGATGTTTGATTGACTTGGGAATTTGAAGACCATCTAATGAATCCATTCCCCCTAAGTCATGACAAATGAATTTTTGAAGATATAATGTACTTAAATTCAAGCAAAAATTTTGATACAGCTGATTATAAATTGTTAACTCTTTTAGGGATTCAGGTGGTTGAATTTGAAGTGAATCCAGATAAGTTGTACTCAATGATGTTAAATTACTTGTTTTTATCAATTCCAAAAATGATTCTCTTTGATTATTATCAGGTCTAGTTTGAAAAGTAATACGTGGATTACTCATATGTATTCCAGTTACATTAAGCTTTTTGACAACTGAGCTCAACCCAGAACAAACAGGTCCATTAGGTAATACAACTTCAAATTCTGCTTGACCAAAATCGAAAGTATTTACGAATTGATTGACATTTTTAACGCTTGATCTTGTTTTCCTGTTTGATGCTGATCTAGGTTTTGAAGCTTCAATAAGTTGTGTGATTAGGTACAACTCTCCTGTTATTTTTGAAGGTTTGAAATTGTATTGGAAACAAATTTCACACAACTTTTCGATTGATCCATCATTGGTTCCACTCAAAGTTTCTATTTTATAAGTTGAATATCTTTCACGTAATGCATATTGTTGTACCGCTGGAATGGAAATCAATTCTTCAAGCTTTGATTTATTATTGACATATTTAATGATTAATGCTAATACTTCTTCTGGTAAATTAAGAAATATATTCATCATAAATGAGTCAATAAAATTGTGAATATAAAAATGAATATGTAATTGAGTTATTTGTTGTAGAATGTTTGAATATAAGTTGATGAATATATTACGTGTAATGATTTTTTAAAAAGTGGTTGCCAATTATTTTTATTGAGGAAAATTAAATCCTTTTTAAAGTTTTTTAAATTTTCCAATAATGCGACTATCAAATGTTTCAGAATTGTATTGAAAATGATTTTCATGAAATGTGCCACGTCTTATAATATATTCCCCCAAAATGTACTTTTAACTAATTTGGAGTCATAATGAAATTGAAGAGCTTCAATTCATTAATCAAAACCCTATTATTTAACGTTTTGTGAGGGACCTATCGATTAAAGACAATAAAAAAATAGACTTTGTAAACTAAGCAGTTAGACTCTCAATCGTTCTCCAAAATAAAGAGCTCGTTGTGTTGCTTTACTTCGAAATATAATGATTATTCAATTTCTTAACCAAATTTTTCTGTTTAACGATTGAGGACCTAATAATCTATAATAGAATTTATTTGAATTCAGTAACAAATCTCTTCGAATTTTGATCTGGAAGTACTTGATTCAAATTTCTACACATCGATTTGCTCCAGATAATCACGAAGTATTTGTAAGAAAATCAAAACCACACTATTACCTTATCCCCTTGTTCACTATCTTTCCAATACTTTATACTTCCTTCAATCACCCGCAGTTGATGAGCCTTGTCCAGTATGTGTACTTCTTCCTCAAAAATCAATAATGCTTGATAACGTGTTTTCAGATTCATGAAAATTTAGTTGGTAAATTGAAACACTGCATTTTAAAAATTGAGAGATCATGAATTCTCGACAGAAATGATTTTATATTTGAACCTTAATTGGGCAGATGTTGAGTAAAATGATTAAATTTGAGTTGAGTTTGTGATTGACATAACTATGTAAATGCAAAGACAATTTTTGATATATATTGAATTCAAATGAGACATTGTCATTAGTGAAAGTCTATTGCTGTATTTAAGCTATTGATTACGTTTTTATTATTTACGAACCTATCTAATTTCGTAACACGTGCAATGGAGATTATTTACCGACAAAATAGAAATAAATACGAGCCAAAGCTACCACTTTACTCGTAAATTTACTATTGCTTAAAAATTTGTTTCAGAATTAAACTTTTTTCTAAAAATAAATCAAATCAAATTAAATTAAATAATAAAATAAGTTATATTGCAATTATTAATTAATTTAATTATCTAGTTGAATATATTTATATTGCATATGAATTTTTCAAGTTGAAATTGTTGGGATAACTTTAAATTTTGTGGGGTTTAAAATCTTAATGATTACAATTTAATTGGAGTATATAAATATTATGAATTTTCACAATTGTACAAAATTGAATAAAATTTTTAGAAATCAATTTTCAAACCTTGGTCAGAAGTTGTTATAATAAGTTTCGTGAGTTTGCTCAACCTATTTTTATATTAGAGTAAATTTGTTTTCATATTTCTTTTTAAAAATATTTGATGACTTATGATCATTTGAATACGGATTCTTTTTTAATTGATCAAATTAATATTTGATAGATTTGACTAGTTTTCGGACTACTTTATAAATTATATTTTATATTGAGTTCTTTGGTTGTTAAGTATAGTTATTTTATTAACCGTATAGACAAATTTTTCCAAATTTTTATGATCAATTTGGATGTCTGCTATTTCACCATGAGGGTTTCTATTTTTTACTTGATAATAAACATAATTTTATATTAAGTTCTATGATTCTTGAAGATGAGTTTTTCTTGAATCAATGTAAGAATTAATGATTAGTGTTATTATCCATTATTTTTGCATGACAATCCACTATTCCTTTGTGTTTTTCTAATATCAATTTGATTTTAATTCAACAGACATATTCTTTTAGAATTTATTAAAAAACTTGCTTCTTTTTGAAACGATTATATTAATAGATTTGATTGGTCTATGTTAAATTAATAAGTTCATGCCTCATAAATCTCATAAATTATTGAAAGATAATAGTGATGATTGATCTTTAGGAAATTTGAAATTGATTAAAGGTAGTTAGTAAATTTGATTAAAGGTAGTTGATAAATTTGATTCAAGGTAGTTGATAAATTTGATTCAAGGTAGTTGATAAATTTGGAGTGGGTGTTAAGATAGATTTATGTTCAAATGTAAATTTGTATTTTGTATCTTTTATTTAAAACACATTAACAAAATTGTAGATCTTCTCTTTTTTTACTATTTCTGAAAAATGTTGCGTTAATTGAGACAAATGTAAGTTCAATCTCAGCGTTAATCTAGAGTCTGGTAGTAAAAAAGTGCAATTAAAAGATGAAAGGAGCGGTATTCAAATTGCAAAATAATTAACTGCATTAATTAATTCAAAAGTTTTCTTTCCCTATTAATCTCAAAGATTTTACAATTGAATGAACCTAAACTCACTTGCAATGAAATTTGAGAAATATAACTTACACTTTACACTTAAATAGGGTATAAATTAGCTGTTTAATTAAAAAGTGCGTATGACAAATCTCTTTAAAGATTTTGAGCTCAGATTAAAGTAATTACTTGATAATATATTTTATTGGGTTGAAATTTCAAATTTTGTTTACAATTAAATGTAAGTCTACTTTTGAAAAATTTTATTAAATTTCAGATTTTATATTCACTATACAGTATAAAATTTGTTTTATAATAGAAGTCGGTATGAGAAGTTGTTTCATGATGATTCAAATCTATATCGATCTCTTTTATTGAGTTTCCTTTGATATTATCTAAAAGAAAATCATTTTGAATTAATTTAATATTAGTTTATTGATTCAGTTAATTAGTTTCTTTTCAGTGTTTTTTTCAAAATAAGGTATAATTAAATTTTTTAAACAACAGTCTTAGTTCCTTTACATGTTGGTATTTACAAGACCATAATTTTTTTTGATCTTATGTTGACACGTGTTGAGTATATTGGTTCTTACAATGATTATTCAGAAAATTTAAAAATAATTGTTGACTGCCTTTTAAACCACAAGTTGATGGTAATTTATTAATTGAATGATCAAAAAGCAACTCAACTTTATTCGAATTAACAAGATACAAGTAAATTATTAGTAAATGATTTTTTTGAAGAGGTTCTGTAGATTTAGAGTGTAGTCTAATTTAAAATGATACATTAAGCTGAACCTTGAATTTTAAGACTATAGATTTCTGAAACATACCGCTCAAAAGTCACAAAAATTGTTTGAATGACACGACTTAAATGGTCTGCAACTGAGATATTATTTTGAAATATCAAAATACATTTATGATTAATTTAATTTGATAAAAGTCACAGTATCCCAACCTTAAGATGTTTTGAATACCTACTATAAGTTTTAATGTCAAACATATACTATAACTCCTCAATATACTGCTCATCATCTGTACCTTTCAACATATCAGAAATAGATAAAAATTTCATTTTCCCACAAATTGATTTATACTACTGTCCAGAATGCCAGTCACCAAGAGCGTTGTATCAAACATTTTTTAAAGTAAACTACAAGTTTTGCTCAAACTGTTTAACTGATTTTACAAAAAGTCAAGATCAATATACTTGTTCAAAAAATTGCTTTGTATGTCCTGAATGTTCATCCAACTTAAGTATATCATTTGAAAATCATGATAATAATGGTAAATCGTTTAAATTTAAATGTGTTTATTGTGAATATAAGTTCAAGACTTCTGTAATTTACAAGCCCCAACTGTTGACTAATATAATAAATGAGTCAAAAAAGGATTCATTCAATAAATTATGTCAAGACATTAGGAATGGTGTGTTAAAACTGGAAAAAGCCGAAAAATTAAGTGATAGAACAATTAAAAATTTACAATTGATGAACAAAAATTTGACAAAAGAGATGGAAGAACCATTTACAATTGAGAAATATCCACTTCCCAGCAAGTTAACTACGAAGAAAATTGTTTACTGTTTGGATTGTAAAAGTACCTTATTTGCCCCATTAGTTGAAAACATACCACCAACGACTAATAAAGTTCTTACGAGCTTTGTTGCAATTGATTATTTACCACATATATCTACCACAAAATTAACTGAAAATATTTATCTATTACACTTCATAAATCCACTAGAGGTAAAAGTACATTTTCAAATTTTAATTTCGAATTCAGATAGTTGCACAGTTGATATAACAACTACTGATTTCGTGTTAGGACCAAAAATATCTAACTTGATTAAAACTATACCTATTGCATATTTGACCCATTCTACAACTCAATCAAAATCTGAATTAATCTTGAGAAAAGGTGGGAAAATGTATCAAGAAGCTACGGAAGATAATATGGATGATTATTTCGAGAAGGGTGCTAACTGGATATCAATTCCTTTTGCCATTAATACAGAGTCTAGAAATATTGACCTACCTATGCATGTCAAACTACGTTGTGATAACTCACCACAGGTTCAACTAAACAAAATTAGTACAAATTATTGGTGTGTATTAGCAATAAATTGAATAAACTATTTACTTTTTAGTTTTTTTTCATCTGGTCCTTCAGGTTTCGATATATTGATATTTATTCCTCCTCTACTTTGTCTTCTTTTTCTATCGCTTAATTTATCTAATGAAGTTGAGCTTGGACCAGCGCTTAATGAGGCTTCACTTTCTTCCTCATCGTCAAATAAGTGAGCATTATTCACTGGTAATTTTGTTTCTGAAAGTAAAGATTCATATTCTGTTGATTTCATCTTACCTTCTCTTACTAATTTTTTCATTAATTCGTTCAGTGTTGGTTTTGTGGTGTTGGTGTTGGTTTTGGTTGCTTCTTTAGTTGCTTCTTTTGATGTTGGTTCACTTTTTGGAAATTCAAAGTTAGGTAGTTGCTCCAATCTTGAATCAGTTGTAGTAGGTGTGGTAGTTGGCATAAATATTATTTCATTGATGTTTAAGGTTTTTGCTGGATCCAAACCCTTCTCATTCAAAATTTTCAAACTAGCTTCACCAACCGAATCCTGTGGTATTTCTGGAGTAATCTCCCCACATTTTAAAGCAGCTGCATCTTGTGAAGTGTATTCTTTTGAATGAGCTATTCTACTATGATTTAAAAATCCTTGAGCTGATGAAAAATTTGATCTTTGACAATCTGGACATATCAAACGAACCACCACTCCATCTGTTCTTCTATAAAGACAACCTAAATTTACATGTTTTGGAGTAGCCGTTGTTGCTATAGTTGGTCGTAATGAAGAAGTAGTCGATCTTGTTCTGTATGAATGATTTGATTGTGGTGGTGCAACCGCAACATTTGGAGTAGAATTATCAAATGATGACGCATCATCTGGTATACTTTTGAATTTATCATAAGTTGCCGTTAATTGTTGATTTAATAGATTATAATATTTTGAAGTCAATTCATTTGGCTGATCTGGTAAATCTAAATCATTTTGAATGTTGAGGAAGTTTCGTAGTACTAGTAGCTGTGATTCAATTTTGCTTATTTCATTATCACTCATATTTAATTCTTTATGTTTCAATCTTATTTCTAAATCCAATTGATTAGTTATTATTTCTTTCAATTGTTCAGGGGAGATTTCATCTAGCTTCTTTAGTAGTGATTCTTTGGTTGATAATTTCGAGGACTCTGTTTCAGGTGGTAAATCTTCTTTTGATTGATTTGGATTAGATGATGAAGGTGATAAACTCATTCCTTGATAATATAAATAGTGGTGATAATATGTATAAAATTAAAATTAAGAGCGTATTTTTTGTATAAATGCAAGCCGCATAAACTCACTGTGCTACCAAATCATTTGTGATTTTTGAATTTTAATTTTTTTTGCAACTCTTAAAACTCATCTCTATACAAAGCATCATTAAAGACAAAATCAACATAAAGAGGCATATACAATTATGCCTGCGCCAATACTATGTTCGAAATTTGAGTCATCAAATAGATATCTAGCATCAGTAATTCAGTCGTTGGATACGCACCAAATACAAGTTCATTCCATCAATACATCACAACAATCATTAAATACGCTATTCAATTTAGATAAATCTAATAAAGTAACGAATATAAATTGGTACAATACAACTGATTCAATACATTCTATAGCAGTTTGTTTAACTAGAGGAACAATACTTATATATTCACCACATTCAAATGGAATAATTGCAGAGTTAAATACAACTTCAAATGTGTCAGTATTTGATTTTCATTTTTCAAAATTCACTTCAACTGGTTGGTCTTGTGACGTAGAAGGTAACGTGTATGAATGGGATATGGTGTCATATAAATTATTACAACAATTCAAAATTGGAAATTTTATTGAAAGTGTAGAATCAATCTATCAAATATCAAGTTGTATTTATGAACAAGAACCACATTTATTATTAGGTGCAAATTCAATATACCTTTTCAATATTAAGACCAAACAAATAGAGAAAACGTTTCCTGGACATATTCAACCAATAAGTAGTATCATAACCTTAGGTGATTTATTTTTAACAAGTGCAAAGGGAGATAGATTTATAAATTTGTACCAATTAAACAAAATCACTGCAAAAGCCATATTTGTTGCTCAAGCATCTGTTATAAGTATAAGTATAGGGATCAAAGAAGAAAACCAATCAGTGCTAACAGCAATTAATGAGAACGGAAATATAGAGGTATTCAACGATCCATTAGCCTCACAACAACCATCAACTCCAACCCCCAAAAAGAAAAGAAGACAAGTCGGAACTAGTTCACGTTCATCAAATTCAATTGTAAATATATCCAGATCAAAAAACGAGATCAAAAATCCACAAGATTCAAATTTGTTTGTCAATGCAGCAACAATACAAGATGAAAATATATTATTCACCTGGCTAGAGAATGCGACTATTCCGTTTTTTGATACCATAAGATGGATTGACGCGGGACATTATTTAATAGACTCAAACAAAACCATTTACAAAAACAAAGCAGACCTAAAAGCAAACAAAGAATCAACTACATATGGACATGATATAGCTTCATCAAAATTATATAATGCAAGTCATGCAATAGTACAAGATGGAACAAACATAAAAGACTTGGAGACTGAAGATTCAGATCAAGAAGAAGAAACAATAGCTGAGAAATTAGAAAAATTAGCAATGGGTAAGAATAGTCAAAGTAAAAGAAAATTACAAGATAATAGAAATGGTATATCACTATCAGTTATACTTGCACAATCGTTACAAAATAATGATCATACATTATTAGAAACTGTTTTACAAAACAGGGATCCTCAAACAATACAAAATACTATAAGTAGATTAAATCCATATTTATCAGTGTTATTATTAGATAGATTAAGTGAAAAAATTCAGAGACAAGCATCAAGATTTAATCAATTAAATTATTGGTTGAAATGGATATTGGTAATCCATGGCTCAGTTATTGCTAGTTTACCAAATTTAAACTCAAAATTATTTGCATTACATTCAGTATTGAGTAAAAAAGCTGACACATTACCGAAACTTTTGGAATTACAAGGTAGAATCAATTTACTATATGATCAAACGAATTTAAAAGATGATATTTTGTCCAAAGAAGTAGAAGAAGAAGTTGAAGAAGATAGTGATGTGGAATATATAGAAGATTTTGATGATGCTCAATTTAATGGTGATATGGAGATAGATATAGATGAAGACGAAATACCTAATGAGGACAAAGAAGAAGACGAAGAATCTGATATTCAGTCTGACGATGATGAAGATATTCCTGATATAGATGATTTACAACAGAATAGTGATGTAGAAGTAGATTAAATAAACGGAAAAAATAAGTTCTTTATTTCGATAACTAGTCAAAATTATAATTTAACAACAGCTCTGATACAATCACCAGCATGCATATCTTCGAAAGCTTGATTTATATCTTTCAAATCATGTCTATGAGTAACAAATTCTTCAACTTTTAATTTTCCATCTAAATAATCATCAACAATTCCTGGTAATTGTGATCTACCTTTAACTCCACCAAATGCAGCACCTCTCCATACTCTACCAGTAACTAATTGGAATGGTCTTGTAGCAATCTCTTTTCCAGCTGGTGCAACACCAATAATAATGGATTCACCCCAACCTTTATGACAAGCTTCTAATGCATCTCTCATAACTTGAACATTACCAGTACAATCAAAAGTATAATCACATCCACCGTCAGTCATTTCTAATAATTTTTGAACTATGGTGGTACCTTCTGGTAAATTCTTTGGATTTACAAAATCAGTTGCTCCAAATTTAAATGCCCATTCTTTCTTTTTATCACTAATATCAACTACAATAATTTTAGCACATTGTCTTTCTTTACAACCTTGTACAACTGATAAACCAACACAACCAGCACCAAAAACAGCTACATTATCTCCCTTTTGAACATTTGCAGTAATAGTAGCAGCACCATATCCAGTGGTAATACCACAACCTAATAAACAAGCTTTATCAAATGGTGCTTTATCATTAATTTTAACAACTGAAATATCAGCAACAACAGTATATTGTGAAAAAGTTGAACAACCCATAAAATGTAATAAAGTTTTACCATTACAAGTAAATCTAGAAGAGCCATCTGGCATAACTCCTTTACCTTGAGTTTCTCTAATTTTACCACATAAATTAGTTTTACCACTTTTACAAAATTTACATTCTCCACATTCTGGTGTATATAATGCAACAACATGATCACCTGGTTTAACATTTGTAACTCCTTCTCCAACACTTTCAACAATACCTGCTCCTTCATGTCCAAGAATTACTGGAAAATCTCCTTCAGGGTCTACTCCTGAAAGTGTATAAGCGTCGGTATGACATACACCAGTGTCAATAATTTGAATACGGACTTCATGAGCTCTTGGTGGTGCAACTTCAATAGTTTCAATACTTAATGGCTTCTTTGGTTCCCAAGCAACAGCTGCTTTACATGTAATTGGCTAAAAAAATTGAAAAAGTTAGTAACTATTAAGGTTCTAATAACTACTAAAGTTGAGTTGAAATATTGCTATATATAAATTAAACATACTTTTTCTGCGGTATCTGACATTTCTATATATTTAATTGTATTATATAATCAATTGGTAAAAGAATATAAGGATCAATTGATTCAGAAAAGTTCAAAAAAGTTCATAAAAATTGTTCACCAATTATTAAAAGCAAAAACAATAATTTAAAAACTTATTTATATAAATTTTTCAAATTCCAACGTTTATCTTTGCTAAAAATGGTATAAATTTACGTCGGATATTTTATGTGATAAGACGCGGGAGGGAGGAATGAGGAAATTAATAATTCGAATATTATTTAGTTCAACAGAATCGAACAGGATCAAATTTAAACTGGGCATAAAGAAGGGGATAAACCTAAATCAATGGTTAGTAGTATTTATATGAAAAGATCTTAGCATGGGCATAATTTATTCAAATTCCTTCTCTAGTTTTTATCACAACGGTTTTTATGTAATGATCTCTAATCTTCTATAAAAAGAAAGCAATGATTCAAAATTTTAAGCTACCAAATCTTTTGATGGCTTTTTCTTAAAAGTCCGAAGTTTCAAATCTAAATGATTTTGAATTTGTATGTTTGAACAAGTTCAATATGTATCAATAAGATTTAAATCATCAAGTTTAAAAAAACATTTACAAAAAGTTCATAATGATCCTTTTAATAATAAAAAGAGAGGTGAATTTTATAGATCAAGAGCTGCTTTTAAATTAATTGAAATTAATGGAAAATGTAAGTTGTTTGATTCAAAGACTAAAAATATAGTCGATTTAGGTTTTTCTCCAGGAGCTTGGAGTCAAGTGGCTGTTAAGAAAGTTCAGGACCAAAAAATACCATACAAAATTTTGGGGGTTGATATAAACCAAGCTATACCTGTTAAAGGATGTCATTATATTCAAGGTGATGTGACGAAAAAATCAACTCATGATAAAATTGAGGAATTTTTTGAAGGTGAGAAACTTGATCTAATAATTAGTGATATGATGGTCAATTGCACTGGTCATGATCATCATGATCATATCGGAAGTATGGAATTATGCAATGCAGCACTTATATTAGCATTCAATCAACTAAAAATTGGAGGAAAAATTGTAATGAAAGTATGGAACGGATCAGAAATCAAAATACTAGAATCAAGAATGAAAGTATTATTTGAAAAATTAATTAGAATGAAACCTGATGCAAGTAGATCTGAATCAAGTGAAATATTCTTTGTTGGGTTGAGAAGAAAAGATTCAAACATTACATTACAAGATTTATTCAATTAATACATCTTATTCTATCTAATTCTATAAGACAGCTCCAAATCCAAATGTAATTTTTATAGATCTAATATACATATCTTCAAAATTATCTTTAACTCTTTCTTCTTCTCCAATAGGTATACCTGAAAATTTAACCACTAATTTAGTTTCTCCAGAACTTTGTACTAATTTCATATCTAATTCAGCATAATGACCTTCTTTCCAATCTTGTAATCTCCATAATTCTACAATTTGTTCATTTCGTACGAGTTTTAAAAATTTCCCTTGAACTGCTCCTCCAAAAAATTTAAAAGTTGAACCTTCTTTTGGTGGAAATTTTTCTATTATTGGGTATGATCTTGTCCATGCTGCAATTCTTGATTCATCTAATAATGTTATATAAATTTGTTCTGCAGATGTGTTGAAAGATGGCTCAAGATGTAATGTAGTTGTGTTATATTTTGGAATTTTAGATGTACCGCTAGTCTTTGATTCTTCCTTTTTTGGGACAGTGGTGGTTGGTTTTGCTACTGGTTTTGGGGCTTCTTTCTTTTGCTGTGGTTGTTGTGCAGGTGCTGGTGCTTGTGATAAGTTTCCTTTAGTATAAGTTGATGTAACTTTATCTTTTTCAATTTGAATATCTCTAACATTAGTTTCAATTAAATCAGGTCCAAATTTTAATAGTTTTGATTTCAATTGCGGTACCAATTTTTGTTTGATTAAAGTTGTTATACCTGTATTCTCACTACTTTCATTATAAACTGAAATTTCAAATACTAAATCACTCTCTTCACTATCATAAGCTAATTCAGGAATTGTAATTGATCCAGATATATCATCGTCTTTTTCATTATATCCATGGAATGATAATACGATTTTTAAATCAAATAACGATATGACTTTCCCTTTTCTTTGAGATACATCAACGTCACCTTCAACTGATGAAACATCAACTATGTGTACATTACTAGTTTCATCTTGTGCATCTAATCCTAGTAAATTTTCTTCAAAATATTCTTTTGACCATGTTAAACAGTTTTTATCTACCCAATGCCAATTATTTGGGTTATTTACAACCATTTTGATATACTTTTATTGAATTAAATGGGGTTGAGTTGTAAAAGAAGTTAATAGAAAATGAATAGAATTTGAATAAGAAATTATAATTTTTCAAAAAATCCTAATTTTGAAAACAACTCTATACTGATTTTGAAAGGTGTTAAAAAAATAAAATTATTATGCATTTCAAGAAATGTTAGACATTTTTATATTTTTTCAAATCAATCAAACTATTTACAACCTTCATTACATCATTAAATCTCAATTAATAATATGTCAGGACGTCAAGGTGGTAAAGCTAAACCATTAAAAGCACCAAAGAAAAAGCAACAAGAAGATGATGAAGATGCTGCTGCTTTTAAAGCTAAAAAGGCAGCTGATGAAAAAGCACGTAAAGAAATGGCAGAAAAAGCTAAAAAAGGAGGTCCTTTGGTTGGTGGGGGTATTAAAAAAAGTGGTAAGAAATAAGTATGATTATCATTAGAGAATCTGGTATTGATCAATTAGTGTAATGAATTTCAATTTGTAATATAGTTGTGCCTACGGAGTTTTTTATAATAGATATTTGATTTGCATTAGCAAAAAGCCCTTAACAAAATTTTCTAATTCAAGACATAAGCATGTACTCATTGACTTTACCGAATGAAAATGAATACACGGATTAGTTCATTCGCCTTTAAAAAAACTCTCTCTGTGCTTCTTGAGAATGTGTTGTTTTTACTCTCCTTAACTTGAACACGAGTTAATTATAGCTTGTCATCACTTCAATGTGAAATTTAGTCAAATCGTTGGTTATGCTTTTGCTGGTCTTCTTATTTGTAAGACTGAAGATCATATTAAAGACTTTGCTCACTAGGATTGGGTCATGGTATTTTTTTCTTACCAATTTGCCGCAAAATTGTTGCAAAATTTTTTTTCCAAATTCAACATCTATACAGTTATTTGCTCTCTATTGTCTACACCATTTCTGACTACCAACAAAAAAAAATGTATTCCAGATACTGGCAATGTTATGTTTGCGAGCTTAAAGAGCCTTTTCTCAAAAAAAAAAAAACAAATTCAACGATTATTGTAACGACCAGAGGGAGGATTGAACTCCCGATCTTGTGATTAACAGTCACACGCCTTAACCAGCTTGGCCATCCAGTCATTTTCTGGGTTTTGTTGTGTAAACTTAGTTCTTTTTGATGAGGGAGTGGAATTCTCTTCTAAAGTCCTCCGTGACCTTAGTCGAGGTCTAAATTGAGTTTGTAGTCTACGTATGAACCATCATATTGAGCTTGATTTAAACTAAACTAAAAACTAACTAAAAGAAAAAGTATCATGAACATATTCAAGATCTTTTTTCCAACATAAATCTATAAAATTATTCGTGACAAGCTTGTATCACAAAACAAGCTATGTAAGACAAATTAGTTGCTTTATACAACATATTTGATCTTTTGTAGGTCTTATGAGTAGTAAATTTAGTGGAGCGATTATAAAGAAAGTTTTCGAGGTAGTTTGTTGGAAGTTATGATAAAAAATAAAATTGTAAAACTTTGAATTATTTTCAAATCACAAAAAACGAAAACAAAAATATAATATTTATAAAATTATAAACAAACCAAATAAAAACAAATCAGCGAATTAATTATTTAATCAATATTCATAAATGTATTTAGATGTCATATGATTCAATATATAAATCGCATTTTTTGAGAAGATCTCCGCCACTAGCTGGTGTTTCCACTTCCACAAAGCGACAATTCGAAGATGATCAAACATTTGCTCCACCACCATCATTAAGTTATTATAGTATAGAAGTATTAAATTCCAAAAAATCAACATCGAATAGATCCTCAATCACTGGGAAGTATAATGAAGATTTTGCAGATAGACAAAGTGAGTTGAAAAAGAAATTATCAGCAACATATGGACATACAACAACCGCATCAACTCAAAATTCATTTAACACTCATAATTCTGCTGATGATATAATGGATGAAAAATCTGGATCAACTTCAAAATCAACAACATCGACAGATAACAAATTAAAGAGAAAAAGAAAATATGGGAAACTACTAGGTGAACCAAAACGTGCATCAGAAATTAATATATTAGAAGATGATCCAATCCCTATTGATGAAGAACTAATTAAAAAAAATGTTGAGCAAAGAAAAGAACAACAACGACGAATTGAAATTGAAAATCAAATTAAACAAGAAAATATAGAAATCGAATTTAAAACTCCATTAAAATCACCATTCGAAGAGAAAAGAATTCCATTAAGCAATATATCACCAAATGTATTTAGAAAACCACATATTCCTGTTAAAATACCCATTGTCGAACAACAACCAATACCTAAATACGAACCACCTTCAGTACCTAAATACGAACCCCCAGTACCAAAATTTCAACCACAACCAAATGATGAAGAGTCACGAAAGAAATTTGTGGTAAATGGGAAAGAATATGAGAAAATGGAATTATTAGGTAGAGGTGGATCTTCAAAAGTATATCGTATAAAAGCGTCAAATGGTCATCAGTATGCACTCAAAAAAGTAATGCTCAATCAGTTTGAAGATATAGAAGGTTTCAAAGGAGAAATTGCTTTATTGAAAAAACTACGAAATTACAAGAGAGTTGTCAAATTATATGATAGTGAAGTAACAAAATCATCCTTATACTTAATAATGGAAAAAGGTGATATAGATTTAGCAATGTTATTTCAAAATAGATTAAATATGAACTTACCATTAGATTTACAATTTGTTAGATATCATATTTCAGAAATGTTTAAATGCGTAAAAGATGTTCATGATGCTGGCATTGTGCACAGTGATTTGAAACCTGCAAATTTTTTAATGGTTAGAGGTATATTAAAGATAATTGATTTTGGAATAGCAAATGCTGTACCCGATCATACATCAAATATTTATAGAGAATCACAAATTGGAACTCCAAATTATATGGCACCAGAAGCTTTAGAGGAAGCAAATTTAGTTGAATCGAAAAATACCACATGGAAAGTTGGGAGACCTTCAGATATTTGGTCTTGTGGTTGTATACTATATCAATTTATTTATGGAAGACCACCATATGCTTCATTGGCAGGCACCAAGAGAATATTGGCTATAATGAATCCACAATTTAAAATACAGTATCCACCTCATGGAATCGGAAATGTTTTGGTTCCTCAAAGTGTCATCAAATTAATCAAAAACTGTTTAAATAGAGATCCTGATGATAGATGGACAGTTGAACAATGTTTGGCAAGTGATTTTTTCAATCCCAAAGTAGTAGATGAAAATATAATTAGTAAAGTTGTTCATGAAAGTATTAATTTGGGTTACAATAAGAGAAAAGCAGGAGAGGGAATAACAACGGAAGCTTATGATTCAATGGTAAACAATATTATAGAGCAAATTCGTATATATAATTGCTAATACAATGTAATTTTACAATTTTTTTTTTCAAGTATTTATCTAGGTCCTAACTTCTCTAAAACTCTTGGCCCTTGTTCTTCCCATTCTTGTTTTGATATCCACATATGATCTTTATCTGCCATTATATTAGCCAATACTGCACCACCAATAAATACCATATGTTTTCTTCTTGGAGGATCTTCAATTCTTACTTTAAATTTTTCCAATCTTGTTGGATCTCCATGTAATACTTTTGTTAACCATAATTGTTTTAATTCTTTTTCTAATCTTGAAGGTAATCCTGGATACATTGATGAACCACCTGATAATACAATTGCTTTGAAAAGTGATGATCTAACATCAACATCAGCTGCTTGTATTGTATTAAATAAAGTTTCTCCAACACCTGGTTGTTCAACATCTACTAAATGAGGTTGAAATAAACATTCAGGAGCTTCGAATCTTTCACTACCAACTTTTATAACTCTACCATCTGGTAATTCATAAGATTCAACTAATGTAGTAGTTTCATTAGCTAATTTTGCATCAAATCCTAAATCATAACTTACATAACATAATTTTTCTTTAATTTGACGTACAGTTTCAAAATCTGCAGTTCTATTGAATGCATATCCTCTACGAAACAATAAGTTGATTAGGTGTCTTGTAACATCTCTTCCTGCAACATCTAATCTTTTTGTTAAATGATTTAATACTACTGATTCATAAACTGGAACAATATGTGTAACACCATCACCTGAATCAACAACCACCCCTGAACTTAAACCTTGTGCATATAAAGCTAACACGGCCTGTATTGCCACATATACTCCTCCAAATCCATATTTTTCAAACATAACTTGACACATGATTTCTCTATTTTTCAAAGGATTCATTGGTGGTTCAGTTAATAATATTTTTTGACCTTGAGGATTTAATTTCATTTTATCATAAAATGCATAATCCCATAAATGTTCCATATCTTCCCAATTTTTTATAATACCATTTTCCATGGGGTAATTGATTTGTAATAATGATCTTACTTGACTTGCTTCTGACCCACACATTATATCTTTTATCTCTATGTCATCTGGTACCAAAAGATTTCTTTCTTCTGCTCTTAATATAGGTCTACCAACCATTGAAGGAAATGTATAATCAGGGAAATTGGTTCCTGCTCGACCAATCTTGACAAAACCAGTACCTTGATCAAGAACTAAAGATCGGAAAAAGTTAGTATTTTAAACTTTAAATTTATCGATTGGTTTTGTAATAGCTCAACATACCTATCGGTGAACTCATTTTTGTTGTGTTAATGATGTAATGGTTTTTTGCGAGTTATTCTTCAAACCTTGATGTATAATTTCGGTACTTAATTATAGATTTCAATTGTTCAACAGGCGATAATCAATAGTGACAAACGCTACCATTTTTTTGATTTTTGGACTATAGCAAGTGAGCCGGAGTTTACTTAAATATTAATTAGAGTTAAATACTACGATTTATTGGAATAAATCATGTCTATTGAATTTTATACTTATTCCTCATTAACTATTGTATATGCAAACGTCAAGTACGAAGTATGACTCTTTATTTCATTTTCTGATTTCGTCACTTCTAACCATTCATAACCTTCCTCACCTTCCTTAACTTTTGCACTCTTTCTTGAAGATTTAAAACCATTTTCATTAGTCTTGGATAATTTCTTAGGTGGTTCACCATTTTTCATACTCTCTACTCCAATTTTTTTCCTTTGTTGTATATCTTTAATTCTATTTATTGCATCTGATACATCTCTTTTCATTTCTTTTCTTGCTTCCCATCTCTTTGCTGCAACTTCTACCATTTCTATATTAGTCCATCCGTTTTCTTCTAATGCTTTAACTGTTTTGTCTACTTGTTCTATGCACGGTGAAAAACAACAGATTCCAACTCTTTTGTTTTTTGTGATTACTGAATTTAAATGGGGTATCGCTGTCCAAGGTGAAGGCAAATCTAAAAAGACAACATCTCCATTAACATCTTGATCTATATTAAATCCATCATTACATACATCTCTATGAGTTATTATTGTGTTGGTAAGTCCATGTTGTTCCAATTCCTTTTTAGCTTCTAAATATCTTGGCTCATGAAATTCATATGTAAATACTTTCCCTTTCTTACTTACAGTTCTTGCAAACGAATGAGTGAAAGAAGCTGAACCAGTCCCGGCTTCAATTATTCTGGATCCACAAGTAACATTTAGTCTTTGTATAATATATGATGAATCTGGAGTATAAACAATTTGAGTTCGATGAGGTAATGACAAAGTCCACATTTCAGGGGTTGGAAATAATAAATGAATGAAACCAAATCCTTTTGCTCCTGGCATTTGTGAACCATATTTCATACCAATCATTGTATTATGATGAAAATGACCATATCTTGTATTTAGTATTTCTCCCTTTGTTATATAAATCGGTTTAATTGAAGTTCTATTTATAAAAGCCAACACCAAATCACCTTCTTCTATATAGTCTTTGTATTCGAAAAATGACATAATGATGTTGAATTATTGTAGATGAAATATGACTACAAATTAGTAGATCAAATAAAGTGAGTATTAGTATTGTACGCATTTTTTTTTTCTCGTATTTCGCATCTCAAATTTGAAACTTCAGAGAGCACAAAATTATGAAACAGTTGCAAAATTAGGATTGTCAAAGTTTATTATAGAACCACCTTAACTAGACAAATTGATTCAAACCAGTCCAAAACCTTTAACCCACTGATTTTACAGTTGAGATAAATTTAAAGCTACTTTTCAAGTAAAATATTTAAGGACCACAAACCTTTATATAAAACATCTTCTTTTACTTAGACAATACATATTCAAAACAAAAATAAAGCCCATCTAGTAGCTCTTTTGCAGATAAATTTTAGAGAGCTCTTATATAAACGCAGTAGTGTTTAACAGTATTTGAGATAGTAAATTGGTTAATGCTGAGATTTCAATAAAATACCACTTAAGATCCAAAGTCGTGCGACATTAAACATTTTTGGTAAAAAGAGATTTCAACGAATTTATCATGAAAAAGTACTTCAGCTAATGCACATAGAACAAACCATCATAATACTAATAAAGATAAATTAATGTCCAGTATAACAACACAACCACAAAGTGAAGAAGTGGTACCGAACCAACAATCTCAACAACAACCTCAAAAATCAAACGATCCTTTAGCAACAAGAGTGGAAGATTTATATTTAGAAAGTTATGCATTTACAACAGCGGCAGCAATAGTTGGATCAGTAGATAGAAAAATATTTGTTTTATTAAGAGATGGAAGAAGTCTATTTGGTATATTAAGAACATTTGATCAATTTGCAAATTTAGTACTACAGGATACATTTGAAAGAATATATTTGAAATCAGACACCACGGAAGAAAATGAAAAATTTGGAGAAATATATAGAGGAGTATTTATGGTAAGAGGAGAAAATGTTGTTATGATGGGAGAATTAGATATTGATAAAGAAGATGATCATTTAAAAACAATTGAACAAATACCATTTGAACAAGTAGAAAAAGAATTAAAATTAAAGCATGAAAATTTGATAAAAAATGAAAGACGAAGGACTAAAAATTATTTACAAAAGGGATTAATAAATGACTTTTATAAATCTGATTTATATTAATTTAGGTTATAATTTATTTAATTTTTTTTGATTAACTTCCATTTTGTCAAAATATGTATCAATTTCTCCAAATTTTTTAGCTTCATTTCTTGCTAATTGAGCTAAATGAGCTTCATCTGGACCATCAGCAATTCTTAAAGTTCTATTTAATGCATACATTCTAGCTAACTCAGTATCTTGAGAAACACCTTCAGCTCCAAATACTTGGATACCCCAATCAAGAATATCACTAATTGTTCTTGGTGTTTCAATTTTGGCTATTGCTATTTCTCTTTGAGCTTGTTTTGCATTTGAGATATCTATTTTGTGAGCAGCATTTAAAACTAATAAGAAACACCTTTCAATATCAATTTTACTTTGTGCATATTTATATAAGAAACTTTCTCTTTGATTCATTGGTTTACCAAATATTAATCTATGATTAGCTCTATGAGCAATTCTCATTAATGCAAATTCTCCAGTTCCTATTGCTCTCATACAATGATGAATTCTACCTGGTCCTAATCTTGATTGAATTAATTCGAATCCTCTACCTTCACCCGCCAATACTACATTTGGCATTTCATCAGATGGTATTTCATAATCGTTAAATTCAATTTCACAATGACCATGTGGAGCATCATCGTAACCTATAACTGAGAGTGGTCTGATTAATTTGGCTTTCCCAGAAGCTAAAGCCTTTTTAGCATCAATTGCAAGCACTGTATGATTTCTGTAAGGCTTCTCCTTGTCGTCACTGGTTTTGCACATCACCAACCACAAGTTACAACGGACGTCGCCCGCACCGCTTGCAAACCATTTGACTCCATTCAAAATATAATTACCTTTATTATTTTTTATAGCACTCACTGAAATGTTAAGTGCATTAGATGATGAAGTTCCCTTTTCCGTCATTAAAAATGCGGACCTGATCTCTCCATTCAATAATGGTTTTAAGTACTTGTTTTTTTGATAATCTGTACCATATTTTGCAAGTAGTTCCATATTACCAGTATCTGGAGCATTTGTATTTGTAGCTTCTGGTCCAACATGACATCTACCCAAGTATCTAGCCATTAAACCATATTCTAAATTAGTATATTGAGGACCTTCTTTGTAATGTTTTGATAAAAACATATTCCATAATCCTATTTCTTTAGCTTTTGTCTTTAATTGTTCAATTATTGGTGGGATTTCCTTCCATCTTTTTGTTGGATCCGTGGAAATTTGTTCATAATAAATTTTATCAGCTGGTATACAATAATCATTTACGAAATCTTTGGTTTTTTGAATAGCTTCAAGACCTCTTGGTGAGATTTTTTCTAAAAACACAGCTGGTATTTCATCTTTAACTGACATCTTGTTGGTTGATCAATTAGGTTAAAAATCTTTATTAACTCAAATAAAGTTGATTTTTATATTCGTAACAACTTCCCCACAAAAATAATGGAAAATTATTATTTGATTCGGAGTTTGAAAATTTTCCGCTTTTAAGGTCTGTCTTAAAATATTTTGAATTTTATGTCATTGTTATTTTTTTACGACACTCAACTTAGAATTTACGAAACATTTTTCAACTTCAAGATTATTTTGCCTTTCATTAAACCAAAGTATTTATACAACAAAAATGGAGATTGAATCCGATATACCTAAAATTCCAAATCATAAATTATCAGAACAACAATTCTTAATAACACATACCAATTTATCAAATGAAGAACGAAATAAAATCATAAATGAAATAATTGATACTATAAAATCAGAAAATCTTGCACCATATTACAAATATTTACATAATGAGATTAAAGACTTTCCTTATGATGATTCATTATATCAACAATTAGCCTCTAAAAACGAAGAAGAAATCAATGAATTAAAAACCAAAATAAAAGAAGCAGAAGGAGAAGAAGAAACTGAATTAGATGTAACTACCACAACCACCAAATTAGCAGAATACTACACCAAAATAATTGATAGAGAAAATGCAATTGAAACATTCAAAAAAGTTTTAGAATTAACATCAGATACAGGTAAAAAAATAGATCACCTTTTAACATTAGCAAGAATTAATTTTTTTTTCAATGATTTACCACAAGTTGGTAAAGATTTAGATCAAATATCAAACTTAATTGAAAAAGGTGGTGATTGGGAACGTAGAAATAGATTTAAAGCTTATAATGGGATTTATTTATTAGCAAATAGAAATTTTGAAGAAGCTGCAAAACTATTAATCGATTCATTAGCTACTTTTACTTCAACTGAATTATGTTCATATGAACAAATTGCTCATTATGCAATTGTTGCAGGCGTTATATCTTTAGGTAGAGTTGATTTGAAATCCAAAATTATTGATTCACCAGAAATTTTATCCATATATTCATCAGCACCAAAATTAGAACCATTATTAAATTTAACAAATTCATTATACACATGTCAATATAATTGTTTTTTCAGTTACCTTTTACAAACATATGATCAATTGTTAATTCCAAATAAATATTTACAACCACATGCTAATTACTTTTTGAGAGAAATGAGATGTAAAGCTTATGGTCAATTATTAGAGAGTTATAAATCATTATCATTAAAATCAATGGCTACTCAATTTAATATAAGTGAAGATTTCTTGGATCAAGATTTATGTAAATTTATTCCAAACAAAAAATTAAACTGCGTAATTGATAAGGTTAATGGTATAATTGAAACTAATAGACCGGACAACAAGAATAATCAATATCATTTATTAATTAAACAAGGTGATGGATTATTAACTAAATTACAAAAATACGGAGCTGCTGTAAAATTAAGTGGAGCTGAAAGAGTTGTATAGAAATTAGTAATATATATATTATCTTAGTTATCATTATATCTAGGTAAACCATATTGAACTCTAAACAGTTGAATTTTATGTTTAGCTTCTTCCTTTAGGTTTCTAAAACTACTTTCAGGAAGTGATAACATTGAGGCCATTTGATTTGCTTCTTCTGGATTTAATCTCATTAATTTTTGTTGAGTTTCTTCTGGGAAATGTGGCCATCTACTACCAGATACGGTTTGTTGATTTCTCATGTAAGGTGAGTTGTTTCCATACATATTATTATTGTAATTATTGTATTGTTGATATTGTTGTTGTTGTGGTTGTTGATACATACTTGGTTGTTGATGACTTGGTTGAGGAGTATTTGATGAAGATACAGATTCCATACTACTTTTGATAACATCATCATCAACAAACCCCATTAATGACAAAACTTGTACAGCACATAATGCAAAATTTGGATTTGCTTGAAAAAATTCTTGAGCTTTTGTTGAATCAGTTCTTAAAGCATTTTTCATATTTGCAATTAATTCAATTAATTGTATTGGTTGTACTGTACTTAATGTTTCATTTATCTTATCTGGTATTGTGAAGGGTAATGTTGATACAAATGGATAATTTTTAGAAGCTTGAGTAAATTTTATTGGCATTGGTGGTTCTTGTGACATTGTTGGTATATTTGTATTTAGGTTTGGATTAAAATTTTGTTGTTGGGGTGGTGTCATTATTCTTTGTTGTTGAGGTGGGGTCATATGTCTTTGCTGTGGTGGTAAAGGTGAATTATTTCTACTATTACTTAACATTTCTGGTGGTAATCTAACATTTGTTGGTATATTCATATTGGTAATATTTAGTAATCTTTTACTTTCTGATGGTAATTTATTTGATTTAAATCCTTCTTTTGAACCTTCGACTTTTAACCTTTTGGGGTTTCCATTTTGTTGAAATATTAAAATTTGATTTAATAAAGGTGCAGCTCTTTGAGCATCTCTAACAGTTTGATATTCAACAAAACAAAATCCTTTATTTTTACCTTCATAATCAAATCCTAATCTAACATCAACTATATTACCAGAATTTGCTACGACACTTTTTATTATGTTTTCATCCCAATCATAAGGTAACAGTCCAACATAGAGGACACTAGAGTTTATAGGTTTAAGGGCCATCGTGTGTGTTGATTAGATGAAGTTGTTATAGATGATGAATAATTTTATCGTTTGTAATTCTATAATAAATATATTTTGTAGTGGTAGTGTGAATATGATCAATACGCCGCATAACTAAAATTCAATTATTATAGATTAATTTATTTATTATAATTGATATGAAACTTATCTTGAATGAGTATAACTTTGTACTTTATCATCAATCATGGATTCTCCTATGGTAATAGATTTTGAAATATCAGATGGTAATACTGAAAATGTACCATTTTGGTTACGTGATGTTTTTGATAGAGCTTTAAATACAGCTGGATTAAGAAGAAATAGACTGGCTTCTGATGAAGCTATTGCAAGTTTAATTAAAGTTGATGTTAATCAATTAGTTGATAAAGAATGTTCTATTTGTTATGAAGCTTTTCTTACTAAACCTAATGAATTTGAAACCACTAATAATGAAAATGTACAAACTGCACTAAATGAACAAAACTTAAATTTAGATTCAACTTTTAAAAATAAATTATCCAAAGATTACCACTACAACCTACATACTTTAAAACATACTTCCAAATTCAATGATCCTTATTTTTTTTTCCCAACTGATGTTGGAGGTACATCATATAGTCGGTTTCCACAAAGAAATTTATCAAATATGAAAAAAGTTACAATTGAAGATCAATTTCCAGGTTATAAAGGTGATGAAAAAACAATAAAAGATAACAAGATAGAACAATACAAGAAAGATGGTCATATTGCGGTAAAAATGCCAGAATGTGAACATATTTTTGGCTTATCATGTATTGTTGAATGGTTAAAAGCTAATGTTTCATGTCCATTATGTAGAAAAGAAGTTGAAGCTAACAAGAATGATCCAAAAAGATTGAAAAAAGAAACTGTTGAATACAATACTGTATCGAATTTTAATCATGAAGGTACTATGGTTGATCATATACTAAATTATTCAACTGATGTTTTTAATCCATTTAGACGTCCTTTTAATCCCTCAATTACTCCTGTTACAGATTCATTTATGCATCAAGATTGGGTAACTCCACCATATCAATCACTACCAAATAGTTCACGAGATCCATCATTAGTTTTACCAAAAAGATTTCCCTTAATGGATTCATTTGGAACTAGTCCAAGATTATCATCCATACGTAGACCAACAAGAGATAGTCGTAGAGTTAGGAGAGCTAGACCACCAAACCCTAATATGGGAAATAATATTCCTACTACCACCACAATTAGTGTAAACACCACCACCACCACCAACAACAACAACAACGATGATAATGATACAAATAATAATAATGATGATACCAACTTTAATGATGAATTAGAAGGGAACGAAGAAAGAAGAAGAAGAAGAAGTGCTTCAAATGATTCTTCAAGAAGTGCAAGAAGAGTTAATTTTTCTCCACATACTACTAATATTGATGATTTAAATGATTCTACAGATAGCGAAACTTTATAAATTTAAGTAATTCAGACTTTGCTTGGTCATTTACTTTCGTTACCAATGTAAGTATGTAACTTAGTTCATTGTAGATGAACTCTTTTATATTGCAAAGTGCTTGTTAGAATGACAGCATACTTGTTGGTAGTGGTTTCAAAAATCAAGAGTCAAAATCTTGAATAAGAAAAAAAATACACGTAGAATTGACATTTATGACGTATACCATCGTTTATAACGATTTTATTACTATATTACAATACATATATAATAAGTTCCATGACTGAGGATAAGAGTGTAGACTGGTACTAGGGAAGTTCGAGAGTCACTTCAAATTGTAAGTAGCGAATGAATATTTATCTGGTGATATCATCTCAAATCATAATCTATCTTCTTTCTAAGTCAGACTTCGTAACAAATATGTAAAAATAATTACGAAGATTTTTTAAAACTCCTTACATTAGAATATATAGAATAACTTCATTTTTCCATGAAATATATTAGGATTGCTATTGCGTGAACATATAATTTAAATTGCAAAAAATCTAAGTTTTTGTGTAATTATCATATGATCTTATAAATAGCAATGATTTTCTACCCCAAATAGTATTATTAAATTTTCGATCAATTACATCAATAAAGAATTTACAATTAGTTTAAAATGTTACGTCAAACAATAATCAGATCAATTAAACCATCAATTGCTTTTAATTCAAACAGAATTGTCACTAGAAATTATGGAATTGTCGATGCTGCAACTCAAGCTGTTTTCGGTAAAAAAGGTTTAAATGAGAAAAAGGAAAAAGAGGGAAGATTGGAAAGAGATTTGGAAGAAGCTAACCTTGATGTAGGCAGAAAATTGGCCTCAGACATAGGGGAAGGACAAAAAATTGCCGGAGATATCAAAACAGACGCCAAGGACGCCAAAAGAGATGTTAAAGATGGATTACATGATGCCAACATGTCAGCTGGTAGGGGATTTGCAGATGTATTAGGTGATGGAGAAGACGTTGCAGCAGATACAGAGAAACTTGGAGATAAAATCAAGTCAGGATTGGAAGAAGCTAACTTGAAAACTGGAAAAGTATTAGCAGATGCTATAAATACTGCACAGGAAACCGGGGATAAAATTGCAAAAGATACTCATGACATTATAGATGGTACTGGATCAACTACTGAAAATTTAAAAAATAAAGCTTATCAAGCCGCTGATAGAGTCAACAAAAAGACTGGTGAAGTATTAGCAGAAGGTGTTGATAAAACCCAACAAGCAGCAGATCAAGTTAATAGAAAGACAGGTGCTGCTATCGCTGATGCTACGGAAACTGGTGAAAAAGTTTACAACAACTTAAAAGATGAAGAACATACTGAAAGTGAACTTGAAGAAGCTAGAGAAAAAGTAGAAAAGAATGCTGCTGGTTACAAAGACCTTCAAGATAAAGGTAAAGATGTTCCAAATATACAAAACAGAACTTCTGATTTAATGTAAAGGATTTAGAAAAATAGATTAGGATTAGATAAAAATAAATATTAAAACTCGCCGTTGAATAATTCTTGGCGTAGGAGACTTTTTATTAGTTTGGTGTTCTATAATTTATTGAGCAATAACTAATGGTGACTAGAATACTTCTCAACCACCAATCATAAGCGCTTTGAGTAGTTTTTGCAACATTTAAGTTTTGTCCGCATTATTCAAAAAAGCCCCCTAAGGAACCGTTTCATCTTTTTTTAGATATTACCCTTAATGTTTAACTGATTTTCTTTACTTGTCACAAGCTATGTAATGTACCAAGTCAAGTTTGTTAACCATATTCAACATAAGCAATTGGAACCAGGGCATATTTTTTTGAAATTAGAGCTTGCTATACAAATTTAAAAATTGCAATTAATATGTATGTAAATGCATTAAGGGTGGAAAATAAATAGTTAGAAAATACAAAAATGACTGCAAAATCCTCATAATTCAAAAAATAGATATTTACAAAGCAAATATCACTCTTCTTATTAGATCTCAAATAGCTTAAAATCTTACAATGACAGCAGCAAAATCAGGGATTGCAAATTTTGCAAGGTATTATTCAATAAAATCACAAGCAAACAAAACAGTTCAATGGGCAAGTAGTAAAAAACCAATCATTCAAGATATTAAATCACAAACTTTAAAAGCAGCAAATGCAATTAATTTGAAAGCTGGACTGGTTCTTGCAAAAACAATAGACAAAGCACAATCTAGCACTACACAGAAAAGCTCAAGACCAAAGTTGAGTGAAGAAGACGAAAGAATTGCCGATTTGAGAAGGAAAATTGAATTGAATGCTAAAGGTTATGGTAGTTTACAAAACAAGGGAAGAATCATGGATACTGAAGGAAGAGTTGATGATGGTTTTTGAAGGAGAATGACCCTGCAAATTTTCTGAGTATTAATTGTTAATATGATTAATTGAAACAGACTATTCTGAATTATTGATGAAAGGAGGTTATCAGTAAAATATTGCTAAATATTTTGTTATTGTACTACACTCTGTAAATAGTCGTTAATATTGTGAATCGACAAACTGACTTTGTAAAGAAGGATTAATTTGTCTTAGGTCCATTTGTTTCAATGATAGCCTAGTTTCATGAATAAGTGACTTACGAGGTATGTCTTGAGCTTTAGGTAATCTCTTACAAGAACTCTTGAAAAATTTCAAATAAATTGAGTCAAACGTCACTACATGAATAGAGTTTCAATCTAAACCGTTTTATTAAAAAACTTTTTCATTATCTCATTAAATTAATCTAGTTCTAGTTTTAACCATACCACCACCAAAAGATCTAGCAGCTTTATGTTTAAAATCTGTTTTTTGTAATCTTCTCCAAGCTTCTTCGATATGATAAGGTAATAAGGGACTTGCTAACTCATCTGGTTTATCAAATAAGTATTTTCTCTTTTTTAATTGTTTTTGTTGTTGTAGCTCATTAAGATTTTTCAAATTTTTTTCCTTTTGAATTTGATTTAATTTATCTTCTGAATTTTTAATGTTCATTGCTTCTTCTGTTAATGAACATACTATTTCGAATGTTAAAAATCCCAAAATATCAATAACGTCATCATTTGGTCTTGAGTCACATAATTGAGTCATAGATGCCCATTCTCTAAATCTTTTAGCTTTTCTGAATGTGAATGATGCTTGTCTACATTCTGACCAATGGACATATTCTTCTCTAGTCATATTTCTTGTTCTATCATCTGCCATTTTCAACCTTTTGAGCGATGCTATAGTTGCAGCTTTTTCTTCTTCATCAACTTGTTCACTTTCTTCATTTGTTTCCAAATGTTGTTCACTAAACATGAATTGTAATTCCCAAGGTAATCTTATTTTAGATTTCTTATATCGTGATAACATTTTTGATGAATCATTTGTATTTAGATTTTTACCATCTGCATTAGTTGAACCATCTGCATTACCTTCTAATAAAGATTCTGTACCTCCACCTTCTTGATCTTTTGCATTTTTACGAACATCTTTCCAAGACAAATAAGTTCTTAATCTGTTCACTTTTGCTTTGTCATGTCGTATTAAAAATATCACATCTTCTGGTGCTATACTTTTAGATCCTCTACTATTTGCAGTTTTGGTTGTTTGAATTAATATTTCAATAACTTGTCCCCTAACTATATCTTCTATTAGACTCGTTGTTTCAATTGGTGGATCATTTGTTTCACCTGATACAAACATCATTTGTTGGATCTCTATTCGATATTTGTATTTATTATCATTAGACATGATGGGTAATGTTTGATTGAGTTGGTGACAACAACCTAATTGATAATAACATATTTCGAGATAAAGTCGATCAATGTCAAGTTATCTATAATGTCGTGTTTAAAATTTGGCGACCCAACTTTTACAATCCAAACTCTTTTGCGATGTTTTATAAAGAAAATGAACAATAAAATTTTTTTACAACTTTTCAACCACTTTTCTTTTACAACTTCAGTTACAATAATACAACTACTACTTCAATAATGTCTAAGACCAATCACATATTTGTCAAAACTAGCACAGTGTTATCAATTGTTCGAACAATTGGTTAAATCTATGTATATACCACTTGATATATCCACATATTTAGAAACAATTTTCCTTTGAAATTTTATTATTATTTAATTATTAATGATGATCGTGAGTGCATTTGGCTCGAGACGTAATGTCGGTGTGGAAAAACTCAAGCTACCTTATTTTTTTATATCTGATTATAACTAAATTAATAATAATTTTGAAGGATTTGTTTCATTGTGATTTTTTTTGACAAATTTCGAATGAAATTGGACTGAGTTTTAATTAAAGTTATAAGAGGTCATTTCAACTACTGGAATATAGTAATTTTGTTAGACAATAAGCGTTAGTGATCTTACAATACTCTAAACTTAATATATTTGAATGCATTATTTTATTATCTATATATTTATCCAAAGAGTCGTATACCATTACTTTCAATATTCTCTTCTTCAACTTCTTCATTTTCATCTGCATCATCATCTTCATTCATATTAACTTTTTGACCTAATAACGAAGCAAAAAATTCATCGATTTGATCATCATTCCATTTCCAACCACCAGTGGAAGTTTCAAAATTTGCAATTTGATCTTGAATATGATACCTTAATTTTCTTCCCTTTGAAGCTTTTGTGTCTATGTTGTTTTTCAATTTATTTGATCTTTGAACTGATTTTATCATATTTATATTTGAAGTGGTTGATGATTCTGATGATTGGATTTTTTTGTCGACTAAATCGTTCAATAAAATTCTGTAAAAATCTTCATCATCGAATATAAATTGATTTTCTTGTCCATGAGACTTTTTACGTATATTGTTTTCTTGTGGTATATCATCATTGTTTTGTTCTTCTTCATTTGTTGGTGCTTCATCTGAATACCCCAATGGAGTGACTTGTCTTCTATTCAATTTAGTTCTTTTCACTAATCTATCTATATCTGATAAATTATTTTTAACTTGTTGTTCGAAAGATTGGTTAATGGATTTAAATTTATTATTATTTATAGCTGAATTACCAGAAGAATTTTGTATTTTTGATGACCACTTGTTAAGTACTAAAGCTCTTTGAGCATTTAAATTCGAATCTGCAGATTCAGTGGTTTTTGAGTATGCTTCGTATGTTCTCTTTTTAGGTTGTTTAATGGTAGTTTTTTCTAATTTTGATCTTAAAATTAATATATTTTTCAATAATTCTAGAGTTTGAAATTTTGCATCTTCTAATAATTCATCACTATCTTTAGATTTATTTTCGTAGTATGTCTTAGAATTTATTGGTAACTGATTTATACTAGTTATTGACTTTTGAAATTTTATTCTTAATTCCACTAATTTTTCATAAGTTTTATATTGTTGTTGTACTGAATAACCTTTTAATACGTCATTCACAGTTGATTGTGATAATCTGTTTATTATATGAGTTTTCTCTTTGGCTAATAATTGTTTTACTATATTATTTTTATGTGATGACAAAGATTTTGTGGGTTCATCGAAATCTTCTTCTGATTCTTCATCTTGTGATTCTTGAGATAATTTTGAGTCTAAATCTTCCTCTTCATCATCAGCACTTTCGTCTTCTATTTCTGGTTCTTCTTCTTGTTCTTCATCATCATCGTCTTCATGTTCTTCTTCCAATTCTTCTTCTTCGCTTTCTTCTTCATCACCAGACTCATCATATAATTGATCTCTACTTATTACATCACCAGTATATTTTTCCCCTAAATTTAAATTTTGTTGATCTCTCAACTTTGATTTCAGTGATTCAACATAATGTTGATTTTTTAATTCTTCATCTGATACTTCATTTTCTGAATTCAATTCCTCATCATCTTCTTCATCATTATGTTGAAATAAATCCTTTTGAGATCTACCTGAATCAAAATCTTCTATATCATAATCATTTTTAGGTTTATAAAAATTGGCAATTTCATCAGCTAACGTCTTTTTTGCCATGTCTGAAATTGTAAGTTGTACTTGCTTGAAATATGGTTGTAAAATTTAAAACAAATCCCATCTTAAACTTAATTTTTTTAAGTTATCATATTTTGTGTAAGAAAAAAATATTGGTCTAGTTTAAGGCGACATCTCGACCTAGAAGTTAGTACGGCAATGATGATTGAGTAAAAATCCAAATTTCATGCAGTTCCCGAAATCAAACAGTCACAATTCAAATTTTCACCAAGTTCTGCTTTACTTTTGATTCATAAACTCCCTTCATACGACCTTTTAAAGGAACATATATCAATTTCATTCACTGAATACTTGATTTGTGGCAGTGCTACCACACAAGTTTCACAAATACGCGCGATTTTCAATCCTATCATTTAATTATGAACTATTAATGAATCTATAGATTTTGTACAAAACACTTTACCAAATAAGTGATTTCTGTTGAGATTTTGAGTATTCAACCAAAGCTACCAGAGAAGAATGTATATATTTTAGTATCGATATAAGCAAAAGGTATTACAGTTATGATACTAGTTTTATAGAGAAGATCATGTGACCATTTAATACTTAGATTTTTTTCTTTTGCTTTTTTCTTTCTCGAAACAAAAAAATAAAAGAGTTAAAAAATAAACATATAGAATAAACTTAAAAAAATTATAATAAATTATTTTCTTTTCAGATTTTGATATTATTATTTTAACATATTATCTTAACTAAAGATTATTATTTCAATTTTTTTGAACCTTGATAGAACATTTAACTAGCTGCTGATCATTTTGATTGTTCATTTATAGAAGAGAAAAATCATTATAGAATTTACATTTATTATCTCGACAACATAACTTTATTTTTTTATTTTTATAATTATTAATTTCATAAAGGTTAATACATTAATCCAAAATTCTATACTACAATATGCATTTTAATCAAATACTATTATTCATTACATTTTTCATTTCTTCAATTTATGGTTTAGCAGATCAAGGTGATGGTCAAGGTGCTAAAACAAGTGAACAAACAATAGTTTGGATAACAACAACAATAAGTGGTCAATTAACAACTGCTTCAACTTTATATAGTCAATCATTTATGAGTACTTATTCAGAAGCAAATAATGATGGAGTAAGTAGTGGTGCTGTTGGTTTAGGTTCAATAAGTGGATCAATCGGAAGTCATAGATCTTATGATCAAACTACAATTTCATCAAAGGGAGAAGCAATTAATGAATTTATGAATCTATCATACAATATTTATGGTGGAATTTTGGGAGGTTTATTATTATTATTGGGTTTAATTTAGAGAATTTGTAAATTATAGAGTAGAAATTTGTACACTTTTTTTTTTTTGATTGTTTTTAGAATAATTACATTTGTTTTATTTAGTTTTTAAGATTTGATTGTAAAGCTAAGTTTCATAATCGTAGAATTAGTTCAGGCCATGAGCTGATAGTGAGCTATACATTAGAATCAACTTTCAAACTTTTCATCGGATTTGTAAATTAGACAGAACGGATTTAAGATTTATTATTTTAAATTTTTCAAATTATTTTTTAGACAGGGTTTTGACTAACATCAAAAGTCAAATAATAAGTAAAATGTCAGGAATCACTGAAGCTCCAGTCACTGTAACGTTAGAAGAGTTAAAACATGGTATTGATGATATAACGCTACAAAAGGCATTTGGTCCGAATTCTTTAGGTATAATAGTTGTGAAAAATTTACCCCAATATTTTCAAGAATTAAGAGAAAAAGTACTAAAATCTGCGTCAGTATTAGCTAATTTACCTCAGAAGCAGTTAAAAGAGTTGGAATCTGAAGAAGCAATGTGGCTTGTTGGATGGTCATGTGGTAAAGAAAAATTAGCATCAACTGGTAAACCAGATTATAACAAAGGTTCATTTTATGTGAATTGTTCTTTTCATAAGGATGAAACGCTAGAAGGACCAACTAAGGACTTGGTTGATAGTTTTCCAAATCATAAAGCATATACAGAGTCTAATAAATGGCCGATCGAATTTGAGGATTTAATAGAGTTTAAATTAAATTTGAAAAAATTGTGTAATCTAATTATTGATGTTGCCGAATTAGTAGCTTTGAATTGTGACAAATATATCAAGAACATATACAGTGATTATGAAGACGGTTATTTGAGGAGAATAGTTAAGGAGTCAACGTGTACCAAGGCGAGATTATTACATTATTTTCCTTCCCAAGGTTCAAGTGATAATGATGATGACTGGTGTGGAGAACATTTAGATCATTCATGTCTAACAGGTTTAACATCAGCATTATTCATAGATGAATCGAAAGGTTTGACAAACTCACTTGAAAATTCACCAGACCCATCAGCTGGATTGTACATCAAAAATAGAGATAATAAAACCATAAAAGTCAATATACCGAAAGATTGTTTAGCTTTCCAATCAGGTTCAGCGTTACAAGAAGTTTCAAAAGGTAAATTCAAAGCAGTTCCACACTTTGTTAAAGGTACAAACCATAAAAATATTGCAAGAAATACTTTGGCAGTATTTTGTCAACCGAATTTAAATGAGAAGATTAATGAATATGAAAATTTTGCTGAATATTCTGATAGAATCTTAAAAGAGAATCATTGACTACAACCATAATATATAAAATGTTCATAGAATTTTAAATAAAAAATTTGTAGTTGATGTTTGGTTGTAAAACTCAAAACTTACAAAAATATCGCACTAAAGATTACACAACTCTAAATTTGTACAACACCAAATGGAATTTCATGAAATACCCACAATTAATGACAAGCCTATATCAAATGAAGATGAAGATATAAGAGAACAATTGAAAAGATTGGGTCAACCAGTCTTCATTAATGGGGAAACAGATGAAGCTAGAGAAGAACGATTAAATAACTTACTTAACAATAATGATTATATGGAGGAGGATGATGATGATGAAGAGGATGAAGAAGAAGATGATGACGAAGAAGAGTTTTATACACCAGCATCGGAAGAATTATACGATATAAGGCGTAGAATACTATCGGATTCACTACAAAGATCATCAAATCGACTAAAAACTCAAAGACAAATATTACAAAATAATCCAGAATTTATAACATTTTTAAAACAAAGACGTGATTTAAATTCCAAAATTGCCAAAATTGAATTATATGGATCACAATTTTTAACAGGTAATACTAGAGCTATATCAAGTGTAAAATTCAATTATAATGGTGAATTAATTGCTTGTGGTTCATGGGATGGTTCAATTCATATACTAAATCAAGTAGACTTATCAACACATGTAAAATTATCAAATAATCAACATCAAGAAAAAATTGGAGCATTAGATTGGAGAAAAGATCAGAACTACCTAATATCTGGAGGTGGTGAAGGTAATTTAAATTTATGGGATATTACCAACACTGATGAATCAATATTAAAACCGAAATTTTCAATCAAAAACGCACATTCAAATAGAATTACTAAAACTATATTTCATCCAATAAACGAATACGCAATATCAACATCATTTGACCAAACTTGGAAATTATGGGATCTAAACACACAAATAGAATTATATCAACAAGAGGGCCATTCGAAAGAGATATATTGTGGATCAATTCACTCAGATGGGTCCTTATTTTTATCCGGTGGATTAGATGGTATTATATATGCATGGGATTTAAGATCAGGTAGATGCTTAATGCCATTACAAAAACATATTAACGGGGTTCATGGAGTCGATTGGTCACCTAATGGTTATAATTTTGCAAGTGGATCCGGAGATTCAACCATAAAGATATGGGATATGAGGAAATTAAATCATTCAGGTGATGAAATATATACGATACCTGCTCATAATAAATTAATTAGTGATTTGAAATATTTAAAAAATGATAACCAAGAAGAAAATGGGAATATTTTAATAAGTAGTTCTTATGATGGTACAATTAATTTATGGTCAACTAATAATTGGATTAAAGTAAATAGTTTAAAAGGTCATAATGATAAAGTAATGAGTTGTGATATAACTACAAAAGATGATAATATAACAGTAGTAAGTAGTGGTTGGGATCGTACTGTTAAATTATGGAAATAAATGATATACATTAAGTTTATTAGGTTATGATAACTTGTTCATTCTATAGATAGATCTATATTCTCTTTTGGTTACATTCTCTTTTCTTTAGTTCTATTAATAATAAAAATTTAAGATTTGTGGTAAATTAAGTTTTTTTCTGTCTCGAATAAATTTACGAAACGAAAAAGTAAAACAAAAACAAAACTATAGAGTTAGATTGAAAAATTAATTAAAAATTGAATTACTTTGATAGCTTAGCTACCTTTTAAGTCAAGATGAATTTACTAAAGATTCTTGATACTACACCGGAACCACCAATAATAGAGCTAGAACTAAATGAATTAAACCATAGTGGAGATTATAACTTAGGCTGTCCAATGTATGAATATCAAAAAGAATTAACTGATCAAATTATATCATTACATTATCCAGATATTTTGAAATTTTGTGAAATTAATGATTTTAAAGACATTATAATAAAATCAGTAGAAACATGTATTGAAAATTGTATGCTTGTTAGTACTCATCCTTACCTTTTAATAAGTCATTATATGCCCAAAAATCTAGCTCAAAAGGACATGCCTGCAAAAATCGCTGAAACAAGTGGGAAATTTAATGTCTTGAAAGATTTATTGAATGTTATTATAACTAGTAAAACCCCAGCGAAAGAAAAAAATATTGGGTTAGTAATGAGTAACAATTTAAAATTATTTGATTTAATAGAAGCATTAATTTTACTTTGTGTGGGTAATAAAAGTGTGAGAAGATACGTGGGTAATAATATTCAAAGAGAATCTAAAAAGCAAAGTAAATTAAATAGTAATGGTGGGAATGGGACCAACGGGAATGGAAATAATGGAGTAGATCATAATTCACCACCAACTTATATACATTTAATACCGTCAGATGGTAATATTCAAAGAGATCAAGATTTATTTGATGAAGCAAACTTTGATGTACTAATAACAATGGATGGAGGAGTGGATACTCTGTCAGAATTTTATCAATCACTAAAAAGCAAGAATCATGAACCAGATCAAAAACCAGCGGTCAATATACGATTAATACCACTAAAAACAGTTGAACATGTCAAATTACATTATGAAAATCATAAATCATTACAAGACTACCTATATAAATTAATTTCATCAGTTGTTTGTCTACGAGATTATATTGGAAATTTATCGCCAGACGTATTCCCAATCTACAATCAAAAACTCAACTACTTGAAAGAAAATTTCTTTAATAAATTATTTGAAAATAAAAATGTATATCCTTCGTGGCCATTACCTTCATTGCCCATAATTCAGCAATATACTCCAATTGATGTTGAAAGATCATTATTGACTGAGGCTCATTTCCACTATACTCCATATGGTATTACTGGTCAAGTAGGTGAAGAGAAAAAAGCATTACCTACATATTATGAAATAAAAAGGTTACAGCTGGATTATATTACAAATCCTTTGAAAAACTCATATAATGAACTTATTGGAATACTGGGAAATGATGAAAATGATATAAACAACGGTATATTAACTCACAAAATGTTACTACAAATGAATGCAGCATTTCTTGAATTAAATCAAATAGAAGAAGAACTAGAATCTTATGAAAATCATGAAAGTGAAGAAATACAAAATAGAGTAGGAAGAAGAGAAAAAGAAATGAGATTATCAGTTTCCAAAATATTTGATGATATAGATCACGCTCAACAAAGAATTGAAAGTGGTAATAAATGGATCACTAAAAAAATTGATAAAATAGAATCCATCAAGAATGAAATAAAAGAAAAACAAGAGAAATTATCAAACTTCGAATCAACACTCACCGACGAAAAACAAAAAACATACGTCAAAAACCAATTAGAAATATGGAATTTACAAAATCAAATAAAATCATCATTAAACAAAATCATATCTAAAAATGATGAGAAAAACTATACAAGCAAAGAATATCAAAATGCTAAAAATTCAAAACTAGAATCAGAGAAAGAATATGGAGAAATAGACGCTAAAATAGAATCATCAAAAAGAAAACTAGATGAAATAGAAATCGCAAAAGAGCAACAAACAGCAGAATTCAAATCAAAAAGAGACTCGCTAATCAAAGAAATAAACGAAATTAAATCATCAAACTCAGAGCTAGAATCCAACTTAATGAACGCATTTAAATCATTGAAAGATGCAAACTTAAAAAAGAGAAAAGTAAGAACAGCAACTCCAAGTAAATAGATATTACATAGAATATATAGGCATAACTACTTCAACTGCATCCAACACCAAAACATTATTTATAGGTGAATGATTTTTACTTAAATATTGTATAACATCTTGAGCTAATGTTCCCCCCAATATTGCTGCTGTTGGTGAGAATTCTGTAAATGCTTGTTTACTAAACATTTCAATGTATTCTGTAGAAATTAATGATGGATCTAATGATAAGTCTTCGTATGTTGATTTAAGTTTTTCTTTTAATTCTGTTGGATGTATTATATCTTCTGGATTTTCTGGTCTCAGTATATCAAACAAAGTGAATATTATTGGTAAAGCATTGACTTTTTTCAATTCTCGCTTTTTCAATATTTCCGGTAATGTTTTTGAGGTGAATATGGTTTTTAAAGGTGAATATTTATCCTTTATCGTCACCGAATCAACTTTAGTTTCTTTATTTGATTCAACTTTTATAATTTTTTTATTTCTTGAATATTCGATATTGATTCTTCTTGGAATCGAACTTTCATTCATTTCATTAATTGATAAGTGTTGGATCAAATCAACAAATATGTAACCAAACATTCCATGCATTCCACTTACATATAATGGAATATTTAATTCTCTTGTTGATTTATTTAATTCTATGATTTGTTGTTTTGTTAATTCTGTGCCTATAACTAAATCAAATTTCTTTAAATAGTTTAAATCTCCAATGTGTTCATTAATTGATCCCGTATTGATTGATAAGTTTACTGCGGGATTCAACTCTTTAATCTTATCATAAACTAAAGGTAATTTCAACTCCCCAATTATTGATTGATCATTAGGTAAAAAAAATTGAGCAGTAAAATCTTCAGCCTTGACAAATGAAGGATCTAGAATTTCAATTGAATTTATACCTCCCAATACCAAATTTTTAACAGTTTCTGTACCTACTGCACCTAAATTTATTATTAAAATTTTTGTTGATCTCATTCTTAATTGAGTTGCCATACCCCATAATCTTATTTGTCTATCATATAACGCGATTTCATCTATGAAAATGTTAGTATTGAGTTGAAAATGTTTCCAATTGTCTAGCTCTCACATACCGGCTGTTAATTCCTCATTCTGGCCTGACATTTTTGACTAATTGTATTGTAGTTGGTTATTTACAAAAGTTTAATAATGAATGTAAATTTTCAATTACGCGTGGCTACCAAATTTTTCATTATGTTTCATAAAACCAATAGTCTATACATTCCTTAAATTTTGGTTGCAAAACCTCAGTCAGGAAAGATGTTTGATATTAACTACAGTTTCGATTTTCAAACATATAAATTACATTTAATACCAAATTTAAGTACAAAGATCTACTCTATACAAAAGTTCATAAATAAATAAATAATTTATCATAAAACATTATCATCAAACACCTGAACATGACCTCAAGTAAAACTCCACCTTTATATAATGCAATATTTTATTCATTCTAATCAAAACAAATGATCAATATTTTCTTCCAAAATGGAGCCTTTATATACCTTTCTCTATCTTCCAAATTTTCCAATTCTAATAATTCAGGATCATAAATCACACGATCTTTATCAACATCAATATCTTGAACAGGTTTCCATAATTTCCAATTTCTAGTCCATAATTTATGAACAATATAACAAACCAAAAACACAGGAGCTCCTAAATAATTTTGGAAAAAATTATTAGCATCAGGTTTATCAGCTGGGAATAATGATGTCCAAAATTGTGCAATCAAAATTAATGAATTTATAATTATTGAAACATAAGCTCCTAATACCCCAGTTGGTGATTTATAAGCCAATGTATCCAAGGAAATATTATTATACTTCAATGCTGCTCTGAATCTAATATAAGAAACACAAATAAATAACCAACACAACACAAAAGAAATACCTGAAATTGATAATAACCAAGTAAATACAGTTTCTTGCTTATCGTATGCAGCAATAAATGCAAAAAAACCTGAAATAACAACGAGGAAAAATGCTCTTAAAGGTCTACCTTCTCTATCTATATAATTCAACCATTTTGGTCCCAAACCTTGTTGAGACATTGATTGCATTAATCTTGGTGAACTATACATTGCAGCAGTAGCAACTGAAGTAACTGAAATTAAAATAACAGCATTAACTATATGTGGTAAAACTTTAACACCATGTAATTCAGCAGCTAATACATAAGGTGATGCATGAGAAGCAGCATCTCCTGAACCCATTAATCTATCACTATTATAAGGAACTAAAAGACCAACAAATGTTAAACTACCTAAAAACAATATAATAACTTTAACCCAAACTAATTTTGAAGCAGCTCTTATAGAACTTCTTGGATGTTTGGTTTCACTTGCAGATATACTTATAAATTCAGACCCACCTAATGAAAAAGCACCTGTTACAAATACAGAAGCTAATCCTTTAAAAGTTGTAAAAGCTCCAGGATTATGATAATATCTACCACCAATAAAACCTTGAGGACCACCACCAACATCAATAATCAAACCAAACAATACAAATCCACAAAGCATCAATACTTTACAAGAATTGAAAACACCTTCAGCATATGCATATAATCTAGCACCACCTAAATTTATCAAAATGACAACAACCAAAAAAACTGTCACCCAAACATCAGGATTTACTGAAGTATTCCAAAATTTGATAGTCATTGCCGCAGTAACCAACTCCAAACTTAAAACACAACACCATTGAAATGCATAATTCCAACCTAACGCAAATCCTAAACTTTCATCAATAAATTTTGCATAATATGATTGAAATCCACCAGGTAAACCCGTATAACATATACTCAATTCTGAAACACAATTGACTGTGGGTACCAACATCAATACACCGGTTATAAAATATGCTATTAATACACCTGCTGGTCCAGCAGTATGTAATTTACTCCCACTTGCAACTAATAACCCAGTTCCTAACCCAGTAGATAATGACATTAATCTTAATTCATTTTTGGATATTGTTTGTTTCATTTCACCACCTACAACATTAGATTCAGGAGCTCTTTTGAACCCATCAATGAATTTGCCATATTTAGTTGTTGGTTGATTATTTGATTTTGAAGAAGATGAATATAAATCTTCATCTAGATTACCTAATTCTATATCTTCTTTAGTTGGTGATTGTTTTAATGACATCTTTAAATTTTTTAATTTTATTACGATTTATTTAGCTGTTGTTATTTTTAAATTGAGATTTTAAATTTTATAAATGAATATGTAAGTGTAAAGAATAATTAAGGATAGTTTTAATATGGCATAACAATTAAATTGAAATCAGATTTAAAATCTTAGTAAAAAAGTTGAATTATGAATAAGATCTTAATAAAAATAAATAAGATAAAAATCTGAGTATATATAAATAATAATTTCGTAATTAAAACACTTATCAACAAATGAGTGAATAATATTTGGGGTAGATATAACTATACGTAATTATTAATAGATTTATGAAAATTTTAATCTGTACCTTCTTCTTCTTGTTAGTAAACCATTTTTCTTCATAATTTCTTTTACTTTGTTTTTCTCTTTTTTTATTCTTTTAAATTTTGCAGCAATTTAAAAAATCTTGCATGAAACAAAACACAAAACAAAAATGAAGTATTTTTTTTTTAGTAAAACACAAGATTTCGGAAACTAAATTTTGGCTGATTTAAGATTAGACTTAGATATAGATCGTATTCTCAGTTTAGCTCGAGCTATATCAACAAGTGAATGGAGAACAGAGCTGATTTCTGGTTTTAGAAAATATTTACTAAGGGAAGAATGCAAATTTGAAGTCTTTAAAGCAATAATTTGACAGGTAAATGACTTGGTCTATTATATAAGTTAATTTACATAATCTTAAATTACATTAAGACGTATAAATGAAGATAAAGATTATGTATATATATCGTTGTTTTCTTTTAAGATAAGACTTTACATATAATCAAAGCAATATAATACTAATTTTGCTCAATCAAGCGTCGTATTATAGCTCCATATTGATACTTTATATCAGTGATCCAAACAAAGAAACTTATTGGTTTATAGCCTGGTTGTTTATTTTGTGAAACGTCTCTTCAATTTGCCGTTTTAGTCTAAATATTTAAAGATTTTTAAAATGCATAAAAACTCATCTCACCGAAAAAATTTAATCTTTTTAGTATAGGAATTTAAAAACCGATACAAATACCATCGAATTTAAATCTTCGTTTTTGTAACAAAAGTCCCGACAAGAAAAAAAAAATAAGGCACTAAAATCAAAAATGTAGAAAAGTCCGATAATCTAAGGCAATTTTGGTCAATTTCTCATGTACTTTAGGCATTTTGTTAATACGAAAAAATCAATCAAGGTCTGATCTCAGTCTAAAACAAGATCTTGTATGGAGGGTTTCAGATCAGAAATTGATATAATTGTGGGGATACTAGTTTGAATTAAAAAATGTCTAAACTACTGTTGAATTACTTAGTCGTGGTCACTTTATTTCAAAACTTTATTAATTTCTTTTCTACGATCTAATTAGAAAATTGAAAAGTTGAGTTAGATAATTACTGAAAAATCTTTCTTTCGTTTTATACGTTTTATTGTAATTCGCTTAAATCTGTCAAAAAAAAAAATTTTCTTTTTTTTTTTCTTGATTATTTTACTTTTCAAGTAAACTTCTGCGAGGTCTGACTTTATTTAATATGTCAAGTACATTTGAAGCATGAACCCTTGTGCGTTGTAAAGTGATTAAAATTGAATCAATTACATCATAGAATCTTAAGGGATATTATTATTTGTGGGGTAACTGTTTTAGATCTTGCGTTGATTTTTTGTTTATACAATTTCTTAAGTAGTACGATTAGTCCAATATTAACAAAATGTAACATCATATATTGGCTGATTTTGAAACAAATACTTTAAAAACCGTATATTTGAAAATATTGGTTAAGCTAAAATTACTAACCTTCTAATACAAGGTGAATAGAGTCAAAAGTTAAATATACGGAATTCGTAAAATCAAATTTGTCTTTATCGTTACTTTCGCTAACGTCCTTGGTAAGAGCTGTATATACCTAAAATTGAGTATTATCAATTGATTGTAGAACTTTTAAATGGTTCGAATCGGTTTCTACCCAATCATTAATAGGAGTGTATATTAGGGTGTGTAGTAAAATTATCTTGGTGTTGTTGTCAAAAATTTTGTCATAAATTTGGTTGCAAAATTTTGTGCATTTATATATTGAAATCAAAAATTTTTCGATTCAGCAGTTTCAATCATCAAAGAACGTTTTGGTTCTCAATCAAAGCTAAAAATTCGCAAAGTTTAGTCGTTAACTGTCTTAGAGTTCGAGGATATTAATCAGATAAGTATTTTGGAAGTCGTCTTTAAATTGATTTATCAACAACCCAATCTTAAATGGTAGTGAAATTACATTACTAATGATCTGCTCAAAATCACAATTACTAATCAATTGATAATTGAACGATATTAATGAAGATGATAATAACTAAATTCAGAGATTTTAAATATTTAATTGATCACCTTACATTTTTTATAATACAATAGTAATTTAAGGAAATAGTAATATGTATCGGCCGAGAAAATAGTACTTGTTTTATATTATAAAGTAGATTTTATTAACAGAGATAATATATTGATTGATAAACAAATTTTGAACAGGTTTTGAAATCAAATCAGTTGTAGACGACTAATGATTTAAAGAGATGAATTGTATTAGATTTTCAACAAGATAATTTAATGAATCTTTAATGTTCTAAATTGCTTTTCTTTACTATTAACAACTTTAAAAACTAGACTAATTTCTGAATTATTCTTTTGAATGAAAAAAAAACTTTCTCCGCTTTAAATTTTTGTAAAGAGAGATTTTTTTATATTTTGAATTTAAGATTATTAATTCTATATGACAATCATATTATTATAATAATCTTTATCCCTTTTAAATTATCAACCTTGAAACTCCATCATCTCATTCATTAAACATTAGAAGATTAAAAGATTAAGATTAATTTCAACTTCAACTCACAAAAGTTACAAGAACAAATATAAAGTTAATATCTCATCCTATTAAAAACATCTTATTACTCACAAGATAATCACAAAACATACAATTACTCTTTCATCAACAAGTCAAATTTTTTAAATTATGGTATTATATTTTGAAAATAAAAATGAATTCAATTTCGATTTTGAAACAACAAGTTTAGCTCATTTAAATAGATATCCTAATCCATATGCAAAACATGTATTATCTGTAGATACTTTGGATTCACATATCGATACAAGAGGTCAGTTAAATATAACAAGAGTAATTGTCAAAACTGGCAGATTACCAAATTTTATTAAACCCTTCTTAGGTTCAACAAATTTAAATTCTTGGATAATTGAAAAATTAATCATAAACCCTAATACAAAAACAATGAAATCATATACTTCAAATATAGATCATAGAAGATTTATTCGAGTTGAAGAATTTTTAAATTTTAAACAAGATAATCAACTACCTAATTTAGTTGAATTAAATGCAAAAGTTAAATTTTCATCAAATTTAATTGGTTTAAAGTCGAAAATTGAAGAATGGAGTCACAAGAGATTCAGCAAAAATATTAATAATTCAAGAGATGGTTTAACTTATGTTATGAATAAGATGAAGGAAAAAGGTAAAAATTATTTTATTAACAAATCAATCCAGGTTTGAATTAATTAAATATGTATAGTATGTAAATATCTCAAATATTTGTATATAAAAAATTTTAATGAATGCAATGATCCTATTTATAAAAAGTGTTCGTAAATTTGTAATCTTTAAAGCATAAGACAGGTTCTTTTTTTGTATATTTTATTAAAGCAATTCATCGTAAGTACTTCTCTTCGTTCTAATGGATAATCTTATAAACCATGGCTGTCAAAAATATGGTAGCATTATCAATGTTTTAGATTTTTTACTGATAACCAATCTTTAATAATAACTTTTATATTTAAATTTATTTAGCAAAATATACTTTACAACCACTATAACTAAAATTAATTCTTATTCAACAATACAAAATATTCAAGGGACTTTTATTAATAATGACTAATTCAAAACATCATCATAGATCACATAATTATAAACCTGGATCAATAATACCATCACAATCATCATCAAATAATAATTTCCCTAATAAATCCGATCCAAAAACTACATCACCAAGACCAGAACCAACGATTATAAAAAGAAGAAATAGTTCTTTTGCTAATTCGTCATCACCATGGTTTAGAAGAAACTCTTTCCTTTCTCCATCAATGATTCAAAATGAAAATTTTAGCGTTTATGAATCAAATAATAACTACTACAGTATAAATAATAATCCTAATGGATTTAATAGTAATTATTCCATAATATCATTAAGAGAATGTCAAGGTTTTTTATTTAATCAAGACTTATTTGCATCACCCTATCAACAAGTTAAAGCAAAATCAAATGAAAGAAGATTATCTTCCGCGACAAATTCAGCCACCACAACTGCAAAAACAAAAATAAGAAGACATACAAGTTATCATTCACCCAGACCTAATTTCACAAACACTAATAATGACCAACTAAAAACCAACGACCATGCAATAGATGATGAGTATGATGAAGATGAAGATATGCTTAATGATGAAGAATTAGAAGAATTAGAAGAAGAAGAAGATATGGAAGATATGGAAGGAGAAGAAGAAGAAGAGGATTATAGTGAAATGCATGGGTATGGTGGTGATTATAATAATAGGAGATATAAAGTCAAAGTAACGGATATATTAATTGATGAAAGTGAAATAGATATTTATCCAACGTCGTAAACTATGCATACACACTATTTGATACTAATAAATAATACCCTAATTGATCTTAACAAATTAACAATCCTATCTCTGGTGTCTCTAAGTGTAGAAGGAACAAGGATCAAGATAAATCCCCACTAAATCGATGTAGATAATTTTGGTTGTAAAATAATATTTAATTATAATTTTCTTAGATCAATATAGAGAAAAAATATATTTACAACCAAAATATTAATGAGCTTTAGACCCAGAAGCTCAAACAAACCAACTTTAATCATACATTTCCAATTAAAGAATTACCTAATACAATGACAGAAGTAAACAAGAATCTAGAAACATTATCATTAAAATTCTCAGAACATCAACAAAATATAAATGATTTAATATCATCAAGATCAAGATTAGAAACTCAATATCAAGAAAATAAAATTGTAAATGAAGAATTTTCTTCACTATCTGAAGATTCCAAAATATATAAATTAATAGGTCCTATTTTATTACCTCAAGATTTTTTAGATGCTTCATCTAATGTTAGTAAAAGAATTGAATTTATTGAAAATGAAATTAAAAGAGTTGAGAATAAAATCGAAACAGAAGAAAAATCAATGGAAGATATAAGGAATGAAATTATAAAATTAAGATCATCTCAACAAAGTTAAATCATATATATAATTTTACTTATCCCCTAATTAATTGAGATTTTATCAAATTTACTAAACTAATAGCATTGAATTCAACCCATTGTTCAATATTAATTATTCCATTACCCAACATTTCAAATTCTTCACATTTTTCAACAACAAATTGTTTTGTCATCGTAAAATCCAAACTAGTATCATTGAGCATAAATAATTCACTTTTCAAATATATGGCACCAACACTAAATCTTTTCAGGTACCAATTAAAATCATTTGATTTATCACCTGCGTAAAAAGTTAAATCATCAGATAATTTCATAATTTCTTCTAATGATTGAGGAATATTATATGGTAAAATCAATAAACTCATAGCTTCTTGTAATTTATTTATTACTGGTTTATTATACATTAATCTTTCTATTATTAAATTTTGTAAATTTTGAATTTCATTTGATGAAGTGGTTGTTGTAGATTGAGCGAAATTTTCTAATTCTAATCTTTTAAGATTCAACCAATACAAGGTTAATTGGAAAGGTAATGAATTTCCCGAAGGATTTGAAGAAAATAATGAAATAATGGAATCTGAATAACTCAAATCTCTAATGGCTTTTGTTATTGGTTCTGTTGAATTAAATCCATATTTTGGAATATATTCAACTGCTTTATTTAATATTTTTGATTCTATTAAATTTTCATTTATTATTTTATTTGTACCTATGTGACTAGTTGAATGATACGTCCTGATAGTTTTTAACGGTATTGACCTAGGTTTTAGTACTTTGAACATTGTTTGATTGATGTATATTCAAGTTGCAACAGAGTAGGGTATAATTTTCTCACTAACAAAAAAATAAAATTCAAAACGTATGATTTACTAAACTTCTAAACTTAACCAATAACGAAGGCAAACACAACAGTCAATAATGTTAATTAAACCAATTACGGAAGTAAGAAACCCACGTCATATAATAGACGATGAAGAAGATGAAACAATCGAACAACCGAATCCAATACCTCAAATAACTATCAGCTTAGATTCAAAACTAAAAGAATACACTAATATATTAATTGTACCTAATACATTAAGTTTATTACAAGATCAATTACCTAATCAAAAACAAATTGGAATTATCAATATAGACTACAAAGATTTGAAGTTGATAAATACTGAGAATATTGAGGAATATGATGAAGATGAACAATTATACGTATCAATTCAAAATGAATCAATTCTTAAGAAATATCCCAATTTAAAAATACCAATTTATGAAATTGAAGATACTATAACTTTCAATATTCCACATTTCACAAATGTAATCACATATAACTTATTATCAAAAGAAATTATATCTCAATTTAAAGTTAAAGTTGAAAACTGGGTCTTACTATCACACTCAACATTAAACAACAATCAGTCAATAAATCAATTATCTTCAACCAACAACTTAGTAAAAGATATCCCAATTTTAAAACCTCCACATTCAATAACCGGTATAAACGCATCAATAATAACTCATTTGCCACCTTCAACAAAATACAATTTGTTAGTTTTGAATTCTGAAGGTCAATTTGGGTTTGAGAAATCAGATAATGAATCAGTTATTAATTCTAGTTATGTTTTGGTAAATTTGCTACATATCAAGAATCAAAAGGAATATTTGAAAAATGTAAGTTTGAAAATTAGGAAATTTAATGGGTATTCAAATCTAGGAATGTATATTTAAAGATATATTTTATCAAAGCTTTGAAATTTTGTAGTCATATATTCTCTATTATTAAATTTCATGTTGTTGAATTCTTCATAGATAAGAAACAATTCCATAACACACTTATTGAAGAACTGAAAGGAACTTGAAACGATCTAGGAACAACCAAAAAATTAAAAAATTGTATAGGAAACCAAACTGAATAATTTATAATTAATGTTTTCAAATATACTTTCGATAATTTAGACTTAGCATCATCCCATGAACCATTTTCCAAAACCATTGTACCATAAGTGAAAAAACAAAATAAAGATATAGGAGAATAACATAATTGATCAGTTAAAACTTTACGTAAAACTTCTATAAATTTTGGATCTTTTGAATAAATTTGTAAAAATTTGTACCAAAAACATTGTACAAATCCCATAATTATACCCCAACACATAAACCCAGCTAATCTATTAAATTGAAAATAAGTTAATGGAGTATATACCACTAATTCATCAGGTTGTGGTTGGAATTCATCATGATCTCTTCTTAAGTAGTCTATAAATCTATCTAATCCTTCTTCACTTATTAGTGAATCATTATCGTTATCTTGTGTGGGTGTTATGTTTCGTTCTTCATCATTTGATGTTAAAATTATTGAATCTATTGGATCATTTAATTTGAATGATATCATTGGTTGATCTGATCTATAACTTAATATCAGTTGTGCTAAACTTTCAGATATACCATAAAGTACTAAATTTGTAATTATTATTGTTATTAATGAACTTTTCATATATAAATTTGTATATTTTGTTGTTAATTTGTATAAGAATATTCCTAAAATTAAAATGATTATGAAATTTATTAGTGGGATGTTGAAGATTCGTACACTGTTTAGTAGTTTCACTAGTATCGGTTTCTTTTTGGGTCTATTTTCATTGTCATCAGGTAGTTGGATTGGCATTATTAGTTGAAGGAAAAACTAGTTGGTTGCCCTTGATTGAAGTTGGCTATAATCGGTTAGATCTTGAAGTGTTTTTTGTGTTTGTCATATATGCATGGCGATAAGAAAGATTTTATATTTATTAATCAGCCCTTAAAAACAGGATATTAAGCCTTACATATCAGGAAAAGTTTGTTAATTCAGGACACCAAATTGCTACCAAATTAGTAATCACTTATATACAGTCCTTACTACTTTTACCAATCAAAAAATGAGAGAAAAAATTATTAAGCAAATACGAATGATAAAGCTTTGGACTAGACATTAATCAATTTAATCAAAACCCACTCTCTCCAACAACTCAATTCATTCACATAATATATAGTCCAAAATGTCATATACGGATTCTAATAAACCAGTAAGAGCTCCACCAATTAAAAGTGATTATGAATTAATAGATGGTGATCCATACTTTGGCAGAGTTGTATCATATTTTAGACCATCAGATTATTTAAGTTGGGGTATATCAACTGCAATTATACCATTAAGTATACAATTGTGGGAAAGATTAGAACCATCGTTGGGTAAAGGTACGAAACCATTACCAATAAGTGGTACTACATATAGAGCAGCAACAGCTATAGGATTTTTTGGTGGATTTTATTTAAGTTATATAAATTCAAGTCAAAGATTTTTAGGTTGGAAAGAAAATAAAAGAGAAGTTGCAAAAGATAGATATGAGATAAAAAAATTATTAAGTCAAGGAAAATTACCATATCATGAAAATGAAAGTGTTTTAGATGATAGAAATAAAGATATTGCAAATAGAAATTCTCAATATAGTTCAACTTTTTTGTTTATAATGCCTTGGTTTAATTTAGCTTATCATCCTTATCATCAAGTTAATTTAAATAAATATTATGAAAATAGACCAGGAGAAGAAGAATGGGGATTTAAATTAAAACCGTTAAATGAAATTTATTCTAAATATGAAAAAAAAATTATATAAAAAGTACAATTAATGAATAAACGTCATATTAATAATGTGTTAGTGTACTAGTGAATTCTTGAACTTGTAAAAAATAGAGATCAAATTAAAAGATTTCTGTACTGTTTTTTTTTTTTGTTATACTCTGAAAAAAATTATTGTCTGTATAATAATTACACAAAATCTAATATTAACGTGTAAATCAAAACAAAACATAAACATTAAATTTAATTATATCTAATTACAGCATTACAAAATTTATATTACTTCAACTTATTCTTTACTCAATTATCATCTTTAAGTCATGTCAGAAGAAATAGATTATTCAACACTACCCTTAGAAGAAAGATTAGAACATAAAGTTTGGAAAGTTAGATTAGGAGCTTATGAAGAATTAAGTAAACAATTTGAAAATTCACGTAATCAACAAGATCAAATTTTTAATATATTATCATCACCAGACTTAATCAAAAAAATATTAGTTGATTCAAATGTTGTAGCTCAAGAAGCTGGATATAAATGTTTTATCAATTACTTAAAATTTGGAGGTTCACAACAATTGATTAATCGACTTGTTAAAAATGGAATTATACAACCAATTTGTGAAAAAGGTTTATCATCTTCAAGAAAAGGAACTAAAGATAATGCAATTGAAAGTATTTTAGTGATGATTGAATATATAAATGAACCTTCTGCAATGATTGAAGATATTACCCCAAACTTGAATAATAAATTACCAAAATTAGTCACAAGTTGTGTTTCATGTTTAGTTTCAATTTATGAAAATTTTGGTTGTAAGATAATATCACCAAATTTAATTATACCTTCATTACCAAAATTATTTGCCCATGCTGATAAAAATGTTAGAGCTGAAACTACAAAATTAACAGTTGAATTATATAAATGGATGAAAGGCTCATTATCTGATATATTATTTCCCGACTTGAAGCCAATTCAACAAAAAGATTTAACTACAGCTTTTGAAAAGATTGCAAATGAACCACACCCACAACAAAAGAGATTAACCAATTTACAAAAAGAAGAACTAGCAGCAAAAGAATCACAATCAGTTTCAGAAGATGTTGAAATGAGTGATGTTACAGTTGAGGAAGAAATATATGATCCATTGCAATTTGTTGATCCAATTGAAGTTTTATCTAAATTACCACCAGATTTTGAGACAAGAATATCATCTTCAAAATGGAAAGATAGAGTTGAAGTCTTGGAAGAAGTACTTTTGATATTACAAAAAACTCCAAAATTAATTACAACTGATGATTATGCACCAATTTTTAGAACTTTTGCCAAAAATATGAAAGATGCTAATATACAAGTTGTTCAGTTAGCTGCAAACTGTTCAAATCTTATAGCTAAAGCTTTAGGTCCATCTTTTACAAAATATCAAAATTTAATTTTAACTCCAGTAATTGAAAGAACCAAAGAAAAAAAACCGAGTGTTGCAAATGCATTGAGTGAATTTTTAGATACTATGTTTAACATATCTGGTTTAAGTGGTTCAATATTAGAAGAAGCAATTGCAGGTATGAAATTGAAAGTACCTCAAAATAAAATTTCATCAGCTAATTTTCTACAAAGATGTTTAGCAAATACCACCAAAGCTCCAAAATCTAATGAAATTGATTCAATAATGGAAATAGGTGTCAAATTATTATCAGATTCTCAAGAACCAATAAGACAAGCATCTACTGAATTAATCGGAACATTAATGAAAATTACTGGAGAAAGAGAGTTAAATAAATTTTTAGAAAACACGGATGATAATAGAAAAGCCAAGATTATGAAATTCTATGAAACTGTTGAAGTTAAATGTTCAAAATCCAGTGCTCCACCAACAAGAGATTCTTACTTAAAGAAACCGATTTCACAAATGTCAAGAACAACTTCATCAATACAAAGTAGTAGAACTTCTTCATCAACATCAACAATCCCTTCAAAAAGAAGTGCAACCTCTCCAGCTAAAAGAAAAGATGATATAAAAGCAAGTAATATAGGAAAGGGATTAACAACATCTCGATCATTAGCTAAACCAACAACCCCAAATTTAAGAGCACCAAAATCTACTTCTGCCACTTCCACATTAGCAAAACCAATTGAACAACTACAGCCACAGATACAAATCATAAAAGGATTTGATGAAGCAAAACAAAAAGAATTAGACCAATTAAAATTAGAAATACAAAATTACAAAAATCAACACTTATCAAATCAATCTATCCTTAACAAATATGAAGAGGAAAATAAATTTTTACAATCAGAAATTAAAAATTTGAAATCGAATTTTGAAAACGAAATTAGATCAAATATGATAACTATAAATCATAAAGACACTCAATTAAATAACTATAAGATTGAAATTGATAAATTAAATCATAAAATTAAAGATTTGGAACAAGAAAAAGAAATTAAAACATTACAACAATCTAATCAACTGTATTTTGCAAGTGGTAGATCATCTTTCCAACAACAACCCACTCAACAACAACAACCATACACTAATGAAATAAGTTCTGGAGTTAAAAGATTATCAATTGGACATCTAAATGGTAATGAACTTCAAAGCAAAGAATCCTCAAATATATCTGAAACTACAAATAATCTATATAACAGATCATCCAATTCTTTTAAGCCAATTACAAAAAGGGAAAATATGGATATTGATTCTGGTGATGATTGGAAAAGAGCTGCTGAGGTTACTTCTCAATTAAAAGCAAGAATTGAGAGAATGAAAGCAAGAGCTAGAACTCCTCTAAATGTTGAATAAGTGGTAATACAAATCTTCTTTATCTCTAAAAAATTTCACTGGACTCTCAATTGACTAAAATAGTACTCTGCACAGGGTTGTTTCATATATTTTTGTTTTTCCTTTACTATTGCATAAAGAAGTCCGTATTCGCTTAAAAATTTGTTAAGAGAGAAATATAGAATTTTTCAATCAGATCCAATACAAATCCAATTGAAAACCAAACAAAACTATCCACAAGAATCACATAATGTCATCTAAATTAAAAATATTAGTCCCGGTGAAAAGAGTAATAGACTACGCAATAAAACCAAGAATAAATAAAACAAACACAGGTATAGAGACAAAAGGAGTGAAATTTTCAATAAATCCATTTTGTGATATAGCATTAGAAGAAAGTATTCGTATCAAGGAAAGAAATCCCGATTCAGTTGAATCCATACATGCTGTATCAATAGGTCCTACTAAAGCACAAGATATTTTGAGAACTGCATTAGCTAAAGGTGCAGACAATTCAACATTAATTGATATTGGAGAAGATAACATAGAACCATTACAAGTAGCCAAAATATTAAAACAAGTAGTTGAAAAAAACCAATCTAATTTGGTAGTATTGGGGAAACAAGCAATTGATGATGATTCAAATCAAACTGGACAAATGTTAGCAGGATTATTAAATTGGCCTCAAGCTACAAATGCATCAAAAGTAGAACTTAATGAAGACGAGGTTTACGTAACTAGAGAAATTGACGGTGGTGAAGATACTATAAAAGCAAAATTACCAATGATTATAACTGTCGATTTAAGATTGAATGAACCTCGTTATGCAAGTTTACCAAATATAATGAAAGCTAAAAAGAAACCTTTGGAAAAATTAAAATTAAAAGATTTTGGAATAGATCTGATTGATAATAGATTGGAGGTAGTTAAAGTTGAAGAACCACCTGCTAGAGAAGCCGGTGTTAAAGTTTCTGATGTTGATGAGTTGATTTTAAAATTAAAAGAATTAAAAGCTATCTAATTTGAAGATGGGATATCAATGTAAATTTAGTAATCCGTATATAGGAAATTAATTGACATTCTTGATAGATCATTAGTATCATGTTCACACTCTTAACAAAATACCTCTTTGACTAAAGTTACTTCAAGTTACTCCATTATTCATTTGGGTACAGCTCTCGCTCGGAGGATGTTGTGCGATTGGCGCGAAGAATGTAGCGAGAGATACCTGGTGGACATTGAAAGGAAAAGATTGTATATTTCTCAGTGTACAGTATGACGAGAGATTTGATAGCGGAGGTAGATTTGTCAAATACCAACAATTTTCTTTAGTTCTTCTGTTGATTTTGGCAATATAACCGCATAATGTATATATTATATGCTATTGTTTAGTGGGCTAATCGATCTTAGTCCTCCAAATAATAGGATTTTGTGACATCAAGACTTTCCAAAATAATTTGTGGGGTTATCAAAACTACCCATCCTCAACTAAGAACCCTATATTCATAGAAAAAAATGAGTACATGTCTTCAGAAATCATATGATTTTATAGCAAATATCATAAATAATTATAATTTTGAGTATGCAACAAAACCAATAATTATAGGAATAAATGGACCACAAGGTTCGGGAAAGACTTATTTAACATCAAAATTAACTACTCAATTACAGGAATTTTATGATGATTTAAAGATTATAAGCTTTCTGATTGATGATTTTTATTTACCTTATAATGATCAATTAAAGCTAACTAAGCAAGCAAAATTGGACGATAATAAATTATTACAAGGTAGAGGATTACCAGGTACTCATGATTTAAAACTACTAAATGAAGTTTTTAAAAAATTAATTGATAATTACAAATCTAATTGGGAACCAATGACGATACCTTTTTATGATAAATCGCTAAATAACGGATTAGGAGATAGACTGGATAACGAAAGTATCATACTAAAAGAACCAGTTGATGTTATTCTTTTTGAAGGTTGGTTTAATGGTTATAGACCACTAGATAATGATTCATTGAGACTAAAGTATTTAACAAATTCTCCTGATTCGATAATACAAGAAAATAAAATGTATCATATAGAAGACATAAACAATAGACTTAGAGATTATGTTCAAATATGGAAATACTGTGAATTCAACATATTTATAAATACAGATTCAATATCAAATGTATATAAATGGAGGATGGAACAAGAACATGCACTTATAAAATTGAAAGGAACAGGGATGACAGATGATCAAATTATTAAATTTGTTGATAGATATATGCCCATGTATATCTTGTATTACGATAAGTTGATTTCACAAGGCCTTAGCTCACCTAAGAATAATTTAATTTTAGACATTGATGTAAATAGAAATTTAGTGTCCAGTAATTATAGATAAAATAATGATGATTTAATGAAAATAGCAAAATGAATATAAATGTAAGATAAAGTGAATATTATTATGCCAAGTGCCAAGTATTGAATCTCTTGAAATATTAAATCAAATGGTTTTAAAATATACTTTCTAAAACCATACTTTCTAAAACCATAACTAGCTTAAGAATCAAGGTTTACTAAAAAGGTTTTGTTGAAACCCCATTGAAAAAAATCTAAAGTGAATACAGATCTAAATCCGACACCCAAAAATTTCAGATTCTGCTTTTTGATCCAAAAGATCGTATCTATACCTTAATTTGAGGTTCCTTCAAAATAGTTTAATTAAGATATTTAAGTAACTAAGCATTATTTTTAGTACTCTTTTATCAGTAGATCTTCTCTATCTAAAAAAATTCAGAAATCTAATTTACGAATTAAGTAATAAGCGAAAGGCTTAAACATTTTTATGATAAGAAATATTAATTATTTACAATAATCTAACAAGTTTTAGCTTTATCTAAAAATAAAAGTTAAGAGGTTTTAGTTCACTGTCATGACTTCATGCATTTAGTTTTTGAATTTAAATAGCCATGCATTTTTTCAGATCTAAAATGAAATAGATAAAGAGGTGATCGATTTCCGTTTGTTTCAAAGTCAAAAGATAAGGCGTAAAGTATTGTCCTGATTTAATTTTTGTAATTAGGTTCCTTAATCATAAAAACAATAAGATTAAGAATAATTAACAAGAAATGAAATAACCAGATAAGCAACGGTTTTAAGTTATTATGTGCTTCGTAAATTAGTTGCATATTATTTAAATATTTAAAGATCTCTTGATATTTAATTTTGCAATTTTTCACAAATATAACAATTACAATCACCAACTAATAAATCAACAAAGATGTCAACATTTGATCCTTTACCAGAAGGTGCAGGATATGCAGTTGTTGTAGGATTAGGTTCAGTTTTCGCAATTGGAATGATTTTTACAACTTTTTTTTTAAAAAGATATGCTAAAGAAATTATGACTTCTGAAGAATTCACAACTTGTGGTAGAACAGTCAAAACTGGGTTAGTTAGTTGTGCTATTGTTTCTTCGTGGACTTGGTCGGCCACACTTTTGTATGTATATAAACAGAATAGGTAATTGACCAGGTCGGTTGATATTTGACTGATCTTGAACTGATTGATTAGATAAGGGCTACCATTTACCTGTCAAAAACTTTATACTAACCAATTCTAGAACATCAACGACTCAAGTCTATTCAAATGGTATTTCAGGTGGATTATATTACGCATCAGGAGCAACAGTTCAAATAGCGTTATTTGCATGTTTAGCAATAAAAGTTAAACTTAGATGTCCCAATGCAAGAACATACTTGGAATTAATTTATGTAAGGTATGGTAAGATAACACATATGATATTTATAACATGGGGTTTATTGACTAATACAATGGTGACAGCAATGTTATTGACTGGTGGGGCTAGTGTTGTTACAAGTTTAACTAATATGAATGCAGCAGCTGCTTGTATCTTGACTGTTATTCCATGTTGTGCATATGCAAGTTTTGGTGGATTAAAATCAGTCATATTAGGAGATTATGTACATACTGTTATAATGTTGGGTATAATGTTATCTTTTGGTTTTATTACCTGGGTGACTTCACATAAATTAGGAAGTATTGATTTAATTTATGATTTAGTAATGGAATATGCCATGGAAAATCCTAAGGAAGGTAATGCCGGTGGATCTTATTTAACTATAAAATCACAATCTGGTGGGATTTTTTTCATAATTAATATTATTAGTGCTTTTGGTACTGTATTTTTAGATCAAGGGTACTTAAATAAAGCTATTTCTGCTGATCCAAAATCAACTTATAAAGGTTATATCTTAGGTGGTTTAGCTTGGTGGCCAATTCCATGTTTTATTAGTGTTACTGCTGGTTTAGGTGCATTAGCTTTAGAGAGAACTGAATATTGGCCATTATCTCGTGCTTTAAGTCCTGATGAAGTTGCAAGTGGATTAGTATTACCTACTTTTGCAGTTGCACTAATGGGAAAATCTGGTGGTGTATTAACTTTGTTGATGTTATTTATGGCTATTACATCAGCTTTTTCAGCTCAATTGATTAGTGTTTCTTCAATTATTACTTATGATGTTTACAAAACTTATATTAATCCAAAAGCAAGTGGTAAAAATTTGATCAGAGCATCACATATTGCTATTGTTAGTTTTGCTATATTATTGTCTGGATTTTCAATAATGTTATATTATGTTAAAGTATCAATGGGATATTTATTTACATTGTTAGGAATTGTGTTGAGTTCTGGAGTTATACCAATGGTTTGTACAATTTTATGGAACAAGCAAAGTTGGATGGCTGCTACTTTTACGCCACCGATTGGTACTTTATTAGCTATTACTTTTTGGTTAGTTGTTACAAAATTAAAATATGGTTCTGTTACCTATGATAACACATTTCAGGATTTTTCAGTATTGACTGGTAATTGTGTTGCTTTGTTATGTCCAATAATTACAGTCCCATTATTGACATATTTGAAACCACAAAATTTTGATTGGGATAGATTTTTAATTATAAAAAGAGTAATAGAAGAGGGAGAAGTTAAAGAGTTGGAAAAAGACTTAGAAGAAGATACAACTACTGATAATTCATTACAAAAGGGAGTACCAATTCATACAAATGTTTCAATAAAAACAAACGATTTAATTGAATTAAATAGAGAACAATTTATGGAAGAAAGGAAAATTTTAGCAAAAGCATTTAAAAGATGTGTTGTTACATGTATAACATTAACCATATCATTATTAGTCTTATGGCCAATGCCAATGTATGGAACCTCATATATTTTTAGTAAACCATTTTTTAGGGGTTGGATTATTGTTTTATTTATATGGTTATTTTTCACAATTTTTATGGTTGTCATATATCCAATTTGGGAAAGTAGACGTACATTAAATATAATTGTTAAAGGTATATATTGGGATTTATCTGGACAATCTCATAAAGTTAAAGAATGGCAAATTAGACATCCTGAAGAATTACACGTTATAAATTCTCAAATTAATGATCAATTAGCTAATGAATTTACTAGTATAACGAGTCAAATTAGATATAATAATGATATAGAAAAAAAGTAAAACCATATTGAAAGCTAATGTTTTGGCTTATTATTTGGTTTGATTTATGAGATATAGTAGTGATATATATGATTGTATTGATTAAATATATGAAACTGATAATTATGAAACAGTAAAGTTAGGGGGTAAGATTCCAAAGTGGTAAATTTATTAAACTACGAAAACATATGCTGAATTCTAATTTCCAAATGTTCAAGTCGAGATTGAACTCTTCAAGCAGTTTAAGCTCTAGGGCTTTTCTATTGACTTTGATTAATAGTGTTTACCTTGGTTTCAGGAGTATTCATCTCATAACAAAATAATGCGGATATAAAATTTTCTAATAATAAATCTAAACGATGGCATTTCTCAACTTTAATTGCATTAAATTGATCAAACGTTTGGTACAAGAAATTTAAGCCTAATTTAGACTTAATTTAATAACTTTAAAGCTAATATAGTTTAAGTAATAATTTAGTATATGTAAAATGAGTTATCTTTTTGTTTTCATATATCCTTAATTTTTTTTTTCAAAATTTAACTCCTTAAATTTGGTTTGGTATACTTATTGAAAAACTCGAAGAGAATTAGCCACTAACTTGGAGAGTTCAGATCTACAACTTAAGTCAAATGTATTTGCAACTTTATCATTTCTTCTTGACTGTTTTAGTAAATCATCTACTTTTTTTAATTAGTTTTAAATTTGACGTTGTTACTTGTAACTAAGATTTTTTTGAGCTTTGCAATTTGACACAAAAATAAAAATTGGAATATTATCAACACATTTTTTTTTATGATTACTTATATCTATCAAAATTTAATAATACCAATTTATTCACTAAGGAATCAATACTTTACAGATTAGTATACATTTACGAAAGGAGATTTAATGAGCCTCACATTGATAATGATTTGAAAAAATTTTCAAGGGGTTTGAACAAAAATTTAAGTCTATTAATAGTATTCAATAATAGATCAATAAGTAATTTATCTAATAAAGTTTTTGAGTAAATTATGCAAATTGAATTATCAAAAATTTATCAATTAAATGCTGGTTTAGCCTAAAAGGTTAAAATTTGAGATGAAAAAGGTTAATTTTATAATAATCAATTTCAATTTGTATGGTAAATTTGGTTGTCATGTCAACTTATTTATTAATAAAAAAATTTTAATATGGTGAAAAATTTGTTAATTGATTGATTAATTTGGAAGTTTTTTTAAATTCAAATAATATAAATTATCATTTTAATGTATAGTGACAATAGATAAAAAGATTTACAATGGTCCACAAATTAAATTAATTTAATATCATATACATTTATCATTATCATTTTAATCCAGTAAAATATCGTTAAGTTTCAAAAAGTAATTTAAATATCCAAATATTTATCTTCATTTCAAATTTAGTAATTTTAATAATGTTTTGAAAATTCAGTTGTTAAGTAATCACCTTTACAAAATACTTATACATATTCAAGTTTAAATTAATTTACATTATGACAACAAATAATAATATAGAAAATGTTATAAATGAACTAAGAATTATTTCTCAGACTTCATCAAATAAATTTATGATTATTACTCAAGAATCATTACCAAATTCAACTTTAAATTTTTATAATTCAGTTCATTTTAAAGAAGACCAAATTGAAGAAATTAAATTGATTCTAGGTAGAGCTACATTAACTACTATTAAACCAACTTTAAAACAAATGTATGCATTAAAATTAAATAAAAGACATCCAAATTCTACAATTTTAATTAATCAATACAAAGATTTATTTAACTCATTATCACAAGTTGTATGTAAAGAAGTTGCAAAACAATGGATTAAAATTGTTGAACCAAGTAAACAAGCTTTATATCCTTATAGAGATTTTAATAATTCAAAACCAAGTTGGTGGCCAAGAAATGTTGATCATATTGAACCAGATCATTTGGATAAATTTGGTAGAGTTGATGTATTAATTAATATTTTAAGATATCCATCATTTGATTTAAGAAAAATCTCGTTGAAAAATGCAATATTTGAATCCAGACCAGCAATACAATTAATTTTACAAGAAATATTATATTTAGCAATTTATGAAAGATGTTTTTTTAACGAGTATAGAAATCAAGATGAATTATTTGAATTGATTCCTCAACATGAAAAATCTTATTTTGATAATGAAACTGTTATGATTATGACAAGTAATTTGAGATTTTGTAATGATGAATTATTAATGGTTAGAAATATGGATCAAACAAATTTAAATGATTATATTTTTGGATTAAATGAAGTGAAAAACAATGCAAATAAAATTAAGCCATCAAAAAAGTTTAATCAAAAATCTACTACCTCAAAAAAACCAAGTAAATCAAATAGACTTAGTGGTACATCAAAAGTTGCCAAACCAAGTAAAAAAAAAAGTTCAAAAAAAGTTTTAAGTGATGCAGTAGAAGTTAAAATAAGAGAAGATCAACCAGAAGAGATTAAAAAAGAAATTAAATCATTAGCTACTTCAAGAGCGGGTCAACTCTTAGAAGATCATGAATTAATTAAATCATTAAAAAGTAGACAAAAAATTGAAATCAATGAATTAATCAATAAAGAAGAAGATGACGATAAGGAAAATGAACAAGCACAACAACAACAACAACAACAACAACACCACCAACAACACCAACAAGTCAATAAAATTAGATCGTCACCTTATTTTTCAAGTGATGATGCATTAAGTGTTTTTAAAATTAAAATACAACAAGCTAATAATAATAAAGAAGTTGCATATGATGAAAATGATGAAATTGATCTTGAACCAATTCATTTGTCATTAGATCCTGATGAATTAGAAGAAGACGAAGAAGACAAAATGGAAATAGAACAAGGAGAAGAAGGAACAAAAGCAAATAATACTGAACCAAATAAAGGAGATGTTGAAGTGACTGAGGATGACAATAATTCAGCAAGTAATGATAAAGAATATATTTCAAACATCAAATTTGAAAGACCTATATCAAGTTATTTAAGACCTTTACGTTCAAGAACTAGAGAATTAACTCCATATAATGAACCAGTTGACGAACATTCCATGTATGAAGTAAAAGAAGAAGAAGAAGAAGATACTCAAGTTGATAGTTTTAATCACGCAGATAATGATAATTGTGCAAGATTAACTGCTTATGGAAGTTATATGTTTGTTGAAGAAGATGCTAATAGAAAATTCACAACCAAATCAGATGGTGGTTCAACTAGCAGTGATGATTATGATGATGAGTTTTCAAGTGATAAATTAGAATATGCAGAAAATTATTATTCCATTTATGAAAAAAATCAAAAAATAAAATTAGAAAATACAGATCAGCAATTAAAAGATTTAAAATTAGATAAAATGAATATGTCAACTCCTAATTCTTCAGTTGTTGAAGAAGAATCATCTCAAATTATACAAGATCAATTCCAAACTGCAGAATCTCATTTTTCATCAGCTGAATTATATTATGATCAAATTATAAATCAATCTGGTTGTCAAGATTATGTTTCAAATTCTCAAATATATACAAACCAAGGTGAAGATGCTGAATTAATTGTCAACGATTTCAATATCACCAATACTACTACAATCAACAATTCTTATATTATGTCTAATGATGGGTTATATTCAAATGATACTACTGGGTTAGATAATGAAAATGTGTTTGATAAAAATTTTTACGAAAATAAAAATTTAGATAATCTAGAACAAATTATTTAAATTATGATGATGATGATGATGTTCATGTTAATGTTTTATGACAATGATAATGATTATACATTTCGGTTGTTCATACTTTGAACTTACATAGTGTTTTAGCATATTTAGATTAGTTGCTGGTCGACTACAATACTTTCTTTATAATTTTTTTTTATACCAATAATATACAATAAATAATTATTTTTCAAGTATTCCACTATATTTTGTTCATTGTTCAAAATACAACAACATATAAATTAAATAAAATTTAGTTTCATATTTTGTACCACTTTGTTTTATTTTTCGCAGCCAAAATTTCGTATTGCATTACAAACAAAATTAAGCATTTAATAACCCGAACTCAGATCTGATAAAGATATCACAATCTTAAAATATTAAATTCAAGTATTGCCTTTCAAGTAAATTTAATATCTTATTAAATTAATGTTTAAAATTTTTTTTCTTTCATATACTTTTTTTTTAATGACTACAGTTCCTGAACTTCTTTCATTTTTATTATTAGCTTCATTTTTATCAGTGCTAGATATATTAAGTAGTTTATTATCAATTATGTCAACTACTAAACAAAAACTACCAAAATTAAATAATGCTGTTCCAAATACAAATTTACCGATTGAAGGTTCTTCAAAACCTAAAAGTCCTAAACAACAAGAAATTAAAGAAAATGTAACAAAGGGGTTACCTGATTTATTAACTCCTAAACATCTTAAAACTTATCCTTTAGTTAATTCTTCAGAGAATATTTATAAAATGTTACCATTTTCTGGATATTTGTTATCAATATCAAAGTATAGTTTTACCACTATTAGAAATTATCAACCAATGAAGTACATCTTGGAAACTGGTGATTTATATTCAGATATGTTATTAACTAAACTAGATTCATTTATCCCCTCGTTACAAACTGTTGAAATTACTGATTTAACTAGTCCTATTACTTCACCTATTAATCACGCTGTTGAGACTGTAAATACTAAGATTAATTTGGTAAATGATACTGTAAACAAAAATGTTATTAATCCTACAAAATCCAAGATCGATGATGTTAAGAATGATATTCATCAAAGAACTCATGATGAAAATGGTAAGAATATCATAGCTAAATCTACAATAGATCCAATAATCACTCCATTTAATGAAACTTTAGAACAGTTTGTATCAAATCATTTCCCTGATAAGAAGGTAGTACCAAGAGATGATGATGACTGTGGACGTTGTGAATTTTCCAGTGAACTCAAGAGAACATTCAATATAGTAGGTAATATAATTTCCAAAGAAAGTAAAGAAACAGTAGAAGTTAACTTGGTAGATTTAAAAGGTGATAATATCGCTGATAATAAGAAAAATACTAAAATAGAAAAAGCTAAACCAGTTAAAGAAAAAGAAGTTATTGCTAATAAATGATGGTTAGTTGAATTATTAGATAATTTTTATATGTTTTTGCTAGCTCAAATTTTAAAGAATTCGGAATTTTAGTCTTAAAGTTTAAAAAGTTCTTTACAATTAAGTTCTTTACAATTGATAATCTCTTTTACACTTTTTTTATCATTTATTTGTTTCGTATTGTACACAAGTAAGCTCTATATCACTTTTTTAATCCACCAACCTCATTAAACTTAATCTTTTGATTTTTTTTTTTTCTTTTTTGGACTTTCTTCTCCATCATCTGATTTTCTTTTTTTGTCCTTTTTATCTTTCTTATCTTTTTTATCTTTTTTGTCCTTTTTATCTTTCTTTTCCTTTTTATCCTTTTTGTCTTTCTTTGACCTTTTCTCTTCTTGTGGTTCTTCAACTTCTACTTCTTCTTCATCTATTTCCATATCATCACCCTTTGATCCATTTAAAGCTAATGCTTGTTTTATAGCATCTGAATTTTTCATTGGTGCTGATCCGGTATCATAAAATTTTAATCTTTCTTCAACTTGTTTTTTCAAGACTTCTCCAAAAGCAGTAGTTGGTTCATCACTATAATTATCAATTCTTGAAGCTATTGAACATTTATTTGCCAAGTATCTTGAAATTCTACCTTTATTTTTTGAACCTGCTTTACCAATAAAAGATGAATGATAAATTAATCCATATTTTGGTGTGTTTCCTTTAGTTTTCAAAGCTCTAAATAAAGCCTTTTCAGCTCCTAAAATTTGTACAGTTGATGCTGCTTGTTTTGATAAATTAGTTAATGAACCAGCATGTGAAATTAATCTTGCACCAACAACTTCACCAATCAATGTAGATAAATTTGGAGCAACTGTATGCATCTTATCTGTTAAATATTTATATAATTGTTGTCTATATTCAGTTAAATTTACTGTTCTTTGTGCAAATGTTAAAATATTATTCATATCTTGTTCACTTATATCTTGACCCATTGAAATTTTTGCATTGTCAATAACTCTTTGTGCAACACCTGCATCATCGTTTAATATAGCTGTTAAATCATGTAAATCATCTTCATTTAAATTTGATTTATCTTTTATATATAAAACCAATCTTGCAAATTGATAATTATCAGGTACAATTTTAGCTAATTCTGGGAAATGCCATCCATACCATTCTTTAACTCTCATCGAAAAAGTATTTATATCTTTATCTAATTGATCTAACAAGGCAATAGCTTGTATGATATGGTTATCATTTTTTTGAACTGAAAACTTAACTTTTGCTCTTGAAAAAGCATGTCCTAAACCTAATTGAGCTCTTTCAATATCACCATCTTGTAAATCTTTAAATAATTTAGAACCAAAGACTCTTATTCCTCTTAAAAAATCTTGTACAATTTCATTTGATAATACATCAACATTTGGAAAAATTTCTTTTATTGAAGGTCCTAAATTTTTATCACTTACACCAAGGGAAATTTTTTTAGAAGTTTTCGGTAAATTATGTTCTAATACCTCCTTCAAATAATCTGAAACTAAACCTTCTGATATATCATTAGCATTTTCTAATGCTTGTGCTGCACCTTTAAAAGGAGCGAATGAAATTAATTCAATCATTTTGGAAAATTTTGATAAATCATTTGATGCTTCTTGAACTTCTTTTGATCTTGATGCTATATCATCTTGTTGAATGAGTACTTTGAAAATACCATATCCGGTAGCCTCTTCAAATAAAAGATAATCTAATCCAGCCATGATAAATTTGGTTTGGTAAGATGATGAACTTTTGGCTGCTTAATTGATGAAATTTTTTGAGTTCCTTTTTTTATTGTTAATTTTTCAATGTTAACAAAAAGAGATGAGAGAAAAATAATTTAGAGAATGTCGAAAATTACGTTTTGAAGACACATCAAAAAAGACATTAAAATTAGATGGTAGCGTTTTTTGAAACATATAAATAATTACTGTATTATTACTTCATATTATATATTAGTAATTCTATGCAAAATTGATATCCCAACCTAATTGATTTAGCATTTCATGCCAATCAACAACTTTATTACCATCCAAGTTGTTCTTCCAAATTTTTTGTATAATATCTTTGACTCTATTAACATTGAACATTCCATATAACTTTATAAATGAATCAACTCTCAATATCATTTGTTCTTGATCATGTTTTGAAACACAATGAATTCCCGAGATAAAAATGGGGAATACCAAAGATGATTGAACTGATGTACCTATTAGTATATCTAGACATTTTATTAGATCGTTGTTTAATATTTGTGATTCTAAATGGGATGGATTACATTTTAATACTGATTCTCTCAAGAATAATTTTGCACTTATTTGAAAAGCTTCAAATAGTGTTAATTGTAATTCTAAATCTTGATCTGATAAATTGTACAAGTCCCTTCTATCTGGTTTAGATTCATCGATTTCTTTTTCTAGCTTTTTAGCTTGTTCAATAACCATTAATAATAATTTACTGGCTTTACTATGATCACTTATTATCGATTCTTCATCATTATCCAATTCGAGATTACCATCAACTACTACACTCTCCTCCTCATCATCTATCCTGTTCAAAAATTCATTACTCTTCTCAAAATGATTGTTAATACCTCTGTTATAGTACTCTTTTAATATTTTTTTACTTTCATATAATAAAGTGGAAATATTACCAATTATTGAGTACAACTTTTGGGAAACACCAAGTAAAGGATGGATTTGACCTTGTAAAAAATTGTCATGATCTTCAAAAATTTTGTCATATTCACCAGAACTAAAATAAGTACCTCTTTCACTTGTTGAACTCGCTAATAGGTCATGATAAGCAAAATTAGTTATTAACCAATTTTCTTCTCTTGAGTTATTAAATCTTAATATACCACCATTTGCCTTTAATAACTTAGCTCCCCAATCCAAATATACAGTCCAATTTTTAACATCACCATTACAAATTTCAGCACCTACTAAAATTAATAAAGTTGCTAATTTATTGATTATAGTGTTTCTATTATTTTCTTTAGAATTATTAAAATGATGCATTGCAATCTTGACAAATTTAATAGCTTCAGAAGCCCAATCTCCACCTAATTGATAACTAGCCCACGCTAATATACTATAAAATACACCTTTATCTTTATGAGCTAAGGGTAAGAAAATTTTTTGAAATGAATTTGAACCAATTTGTGTTACTGGTGATATTGAAACTTTACTTGATATAACATCAACATAATAATTATATAAAAAATAATATTGAGGATCGGCTAATTCTGGTATATATAATGATGGTTGAGGCATTGGAGTTAAGTGAGCATTCAAATTGGAGACTAAATCATTATACGAATTTGATGTTTGAATATTATTGTTGATCTCAAATGAGTCTAAAAAAGTTGTAAAGTCTGGTGAATTCATTAATTGTTTGATGTTGTTATTACTTTTTTCATCATCATCGTTAGTTCCATTTAAGTCATTAATTTTTTCAATTTTAACTGGTTTATTATTATTAAACTTGAATGCAGAATTATTTTGTGATTCATTTAAATCACGTAATAAAGTTAGAAATGTTGATGGTGAAGGAGAATTATTTGTAAAAGAATGTGGATTTTTAATTGAAAATTCTTGTAATGGATCACTCATACTTAGTGGACTTATATTGGAGGGTATTGATGGTAAATGAGAGTTTAATTGTGATGTATGATTATCTATCAAGACTTCTGATAATGTTGGGGAAGTTTGAATCGCATTTATTTGTTGATGCTGTTGATTTAATTGTATATCATTCAGATTTTGTAGTAGTACTTTATTTGCAACTTGAATTTCATCAATTGGATTCATTAGACTTTGAATTGAAGGCGAATTTAAAGCAGTTGGTGATGCAGTAGATGGACTTGGAGATTTTAGGCTGATGTTATCTTTATTACTAGTATTACTCTTCGGAGGGGTTGAGATTGATTTGGTAGTATTCATTAGTTGTGAGTTGGTCAAATTTGGTAATGGATTTGGTATTGCAGAAGTATTCGTTGATCTTACATCTGAATTATATCCATAAATTTTGGATTTATCATTGTCGTTATTCTTTTGCTTGTGATTGTTATTATTGTTGTTCTTGAGACTACCGCCTTTTATATCTTTGTTAATCTCATTCTTAATATTGTCATTACTTGTGGTTGTAGTTGTCCCTGGTTTGGTTTTTACTTTCCTTTTCCTTAACTTATTATAACTTTCTTCGAATTCAACTTTTTTTTTCAATTCTTTAATTTCTTCTTGATTCATTTTATTATAATCGACGTAATAACACTTTTTATTCAATCTATTACAATCCCCACATTTTGGTTTTAATTCATCACATTTTTTCTTTCTAATTTTACAAGTTAAACAACCTAATTTTGATCTTGAATTTTCTTTAAGTAAATGAAAATCTGTTGAATTATTTATTGGATTTATTTTCGGAATTGTTGATGTGGCTGTTGATGAGGGCGGATTATGGTTGTTATGTTTATTATGAATTGGTTTTGTTACTTTCGAATTTGTTGAAGTTGTAGATTTATTGGGTTTCAATGAAGATGATGTCATATTATTGATAATTGATTCTTGTTCAAACCTTTTTGAGGTAGTTTTTGTTTCATTTATATCGGTATTATTATTATCATTAGTAGTATTTGTATTGTCTGGTGTGTTATTAGTATTATTATCCTTTGATCTTGAATTGAATGTAACTAACATATATTTTATTTTATTTTATTTATAATAATTTTATTAATATAGGAATTGGAATGCCGTCAAATTAAATGATTTAAATAAATCGAGAATCTGTATTTCACCTGAATTGGTTCATTTAATGATAAAATCGTATAACAAAATTTGTTGAAAATTTGTTTGACTGTTGGTATTTGAATTGGTGAAGATTCAAATTTAAATTATAAATAATTTATTTAATTTCTTGTTGTGTAGAATTTCTTAAAATATATTTCCATCTTAACATGAAGTACAAAATATACATTTTTAAAAATCCAAAAATTTATTTTGTTAAATATTTTGAAACAATTTGACTCTGGGGTAAAGATCATAATAATTAGTATAAAAATACACTTAAACAGAAAATATTATGAATTTTCAAAAGATGAAATTATAATAAATTTTCAATCAAGAAAATCGCCAAATTTTGTGACTTTTTGCAACTTTTTGTAACTATTTTTGTAGATCTTTTTGGTCAAATTATAGTAATAGATCTCTTATACAAGATCTCGGACTTGTGACATAAGAAATATTATAATCAAATTGAGAAGGTACTTATTTATACTTTTTATCCTCTCTTACTAAGTAAAAATAAATATTTCATGTTTTGTCCTACGAAAACAGTTAAATAATATTTAATTTTAATTGATTAAATTATGATACGATATTTTGTTTTACTATTTTTAGTATAAATATTTAAATTATAGTATACCGACGAGTTTCATTTTTATTTATCATAGTATATGATGAGTCCCCTAATATTTGATTCATCTTTGTATTTTATTTATTGAGTTACTTTTCTTATTTAGTGTAGAATTTTCAACCTTCAGTGTTTTATTGATATTGTATGGGGAAATTATATTTGTATTATGAAGAGTTTCTTCTTCAGTGTTCAATAAGGAATGAAAGTGTACAGATTCTAAAATCTGTGCGAATTCACAATTTTGCTCACTAATATCGGGAGTAGTTCCAATAGTTTCAATTGATTGTTGTTGAATTTATCTGCGAGGTTAATCAATAATCAATTTTCGCTTATATAATAATTTGAGGGGGTAGGTTTATACCCCTCCCTTAATTCAATAGGAATAAATTCTTCAAAAATATACAGATTTTCGAGTAACTTGATAGATTATAGTCTAAATTAGTAAGTATGTAAATCTAGAGCATATAAAAATTGTAATCAAATATGTATTTTTGATTTTTAAGCAAACTAAAGAAAAGATTGCGAATTTTTTATTGTATATTATTATTCGACTGTCACCTACATTCAGTATTTGTTTGAAGATTAATTGCCCTTGTAACTTTAAGTTTCAAGTTGAATAGTTAGCAATAGTTTGTGTAGTTGAAAAATAAAATTAAATGTGCTTCCCAACTCTCAATTTTTATCTATTTTTTTTAATTTACCCCTTAAGTAAAACAAGGTGTGATTTTTAGTTAATTTGTTTATGTTTCACAATAGTAAGTAGTCAAGAAATAGAGTGTTTACATCCTTACAATAATTTTAATAAAGCATTGTAGACGAGTATATTTATACAACAATCAAACACTTACGAAAGGACAACACAATGTTGGACTATAAAGTTACTCTGGTTGATTTTTCACCGAGGTTTTCCATTAAACCATCAATTGTATTTTCAGAAGATTCATCATCACAATTATTTTCTTTATCTTTATTTTTCTTGATTGAGGCCAATTTAACGAGATTATTCTTACCAAAAACCCAAACTGGATGAAATGGTATGAAAATTAAACCACAAATTGAAATCATTGTAGCATCTAATGTTAACAAATAAACTTCATGTGTCATTAAATAACCACTATAGCCTTGAACCATTTCAACAACTCTATAAACACATCTTATATAAACAACAATCACTGCTAATGTCATAGCTAATGGCATGAATGGAAACAATTTATGATCACGAACTGAAGCAAATTTTGGATTATAAAATTGTTCTAAGTAATGTCGTCTGTAAGTTCTTACTGACTTAACATTGAATAATAATTTGAAGAAATTAACAAATGATCTTTTTCTTAATGGGTTTTTTTCTATTTCAGATGTAGATTCCTGAAACATTCTTTTAAAAAACAATCTATTTAAAAATTCAAACCAAAAAATTAAAAAAATCGTCATTGCAAAAACTTGAACACAAATACCTGTTAAAGTGATTGCATTACCTGTTGATTGACTAGTATGATCACTAGCAGCTATACTTGAGATAGCACCACCTGCAGCCTGTATAATCAATGAAATAACATCAATAGTAATAAAAAAATAAGAATAAAAACCACCATTTGACCAAACAAGAAGTAGATTCCTGCCATGATAAACGCCGGTGCACAAGTTAAACACACAGTATTCATCAAAAAATTTTGCAAAGAAGCATTATCATGAATAGCTAATATTCTTCCCACGAATCCAATGAATTCTAATGCATATCCACAAAAAAATGTAATATTAAATCCCCAATATCTTGACCAAACAATCATAATTGTAATGTAAGCCATGATAATAATATTGATAATTAAAAAAATTATATTGCCTGGTTTATTTAGTTCGTATCCAAAAATGTTGTTATCCAAATCAACAGCTTTCAAATTCAATGTGGCTTTGAGTATAGCATCAGTAGCAGCGCTTTTGACGGATGAAGCAGTTGCGGTAGCTAATATTTGTTCTGCTGAAATAATTGTAAGTGAAGCTTGTACAGCTCTGTAAGCTTCTTGTATATTAAGCAAATTACCATGATTAGTTTCTGTCTTAGCCTTACCTATTAAAGAAGATAAAGTTTGAGTTAGTTGTGGTGCATAAGTTGTAGCAATACTTGATAACGTTGTTGAAGTTGGTATGGTAGAAGGAGACCAAATGCTTGTTGTATCCATTTTTCAAATTTATCTTAACAATGTTGCTTGGTTTGAATGTATGATTATATTACTTGTCAAAAGTTAAATTGAATAAAACCAGAATTTCAGTGAGAAACCAATGGCTTCAAATTTCTGAGATTTTATTAAAAAAGTGTCTACAATTAAATGGAGTGGAATTACTCTACATTTATAAAGAAAGGAATTGAGTAAATTACCTTGTCATTTCGTATGTGAAATTGAAATTGTTAAGCGGTATTTTTCTTTCGATACAAATTAGATTTCAGGTATAAGCTCAGCCTTTCATATCTTACACCAGCTAAACATGTACAGTTTAAGAAAAGTTGCATATTGCTTTGCAACACTATGACAGGAGTAACGAATTGTTTTGAGCTTATCATTCTTGCTATTGAAACTGACAATATTAACTAATTGTTTCGAGCTTCATCCTTATCTTTAAGTCACACATATCATCCCAAAAACAATTCGAATATGTAGAAATATTTCATCAGACTAAAATCATTTTTGTACCTTTAAAGCTTCTTCCTGACATTCTCAAATGCCAGCAAAATCCACCAAAACATCTTTAAATCACAATTATAGTTTAAACTTACGAGAGTTGCTAAATTTCAGATTCAATTATTGAACGGCTGTAAAGAAGTTGAGACATAAAGGCTTTAAAGTTAATGTGATTCGTAAACCCCGCCAAATGCTTTGAGTACAATTGCAATAAAAACAAAATATGCTAGATATCTTAAACTTGATGTGAAACTACGACTTCCAATTAGAGCGGATTTATTTCAAAAATTTAAAAATAGAAATAGTGTAAAACCGCTGTATTTAAAACCGCTGTGTTTAAGACCGCTTTACTTTAATACTTTAAAAACATATAGCAAATCTAAATTGAAAATCAATTAGATCTGACATTGTCTTTATTAAGCTTAAAGTCCCAATATCACCCTTTATAAACATACGTAAGTAAGTTGTACTTGGCAATGATTCACAAATTTATAATGTTTTGATGTTTGACACGTTTATTTCACCTCAAAACTTTACATGTTTCATAACGACTATTAAGACCGCGCTCATAGAGACTATTAGATCCGCGCTTAATCATGTCTAGAACAAGCAAGTTTGAAATTTCATTATATTTTACTAGTTTGTATAATCATTTCTAGCAAGCTAGGTGGACAATTAACAAATGTCTAATGTTGAAAAAAAGAAAAAAAAGAAGTATTCAATGAAAGTAAGAATTCCTGCTGTTGATTTCTGTATTTTCTAAATTAACAACTAATTTAACTTAATGTATGAATCTGGTTCCCAAAAATTTATAATCTAAAACAAGCTATTTTAATTAATTCAAAATATATATTTAGAAATAGCTGCTATATATTTACTCTTACAATACTACAGCCCCTTAATTAAAAAACCTTATGATGAAATAAATAATAACAGGCTTGAGACGAATAAAGTGTAAAAAATTTATTAACCAAAATTCTAATCCAACAAACTTCAAATTCAAATTCTTCATTCACAGAATACAATTTGGAAGCAAGCAACGTGGGTAAATGCCCTCAAGTATCAACAATTTTAGTGGATTCAGTTCTATTTGATACCTTTATTAGCTTCATTTACTACATAAGAAAATGTGTTCAATATTTGCACTCAAATGTAATTCAATTTATTTTTTCAGAAAACAATTATATGGTTGAGTGAAAATAAAGAAATTCAGGAAGAATAATTACGGTCAGAACTACAGATTAGAGGAAATGATAAATGTAAGGCAACATCAAACATTTCTCGATAAGGTAAACTCAAAACAACAATATCAAGCAAAGACAGAGCTTCCTGGGAATATCTTTTAGACGAAAAACTAATTTTTGAAGCAGTGAACTGGAATTACTTTGAAGACATATTATGGGAATATATATAAAAAAGTGCCCGCTCATTTTTCTCGAGAAATTACATGTTTTCCAAAAACTGTAGTAATCGCATACGCTATATTTTATGTTATCTTGTTGCTTATACCTACTCGCGTATGTTACGGTTTTTATTCTTATATTTTTTTGCTATTCAGCGTTTAAATCTTTTTTATATTTTGTGCTTTCAGCAATATAAATGTTTGACAACTTGTGAATAATTTTGATCTTGTGTAAGTGATTCAAAATCATTTTGTGTAATTTGTTGTTATAGTTGCAATTTTTGAATACTTCTTGTTAAATACATTCATTTAAGAGCTAACTCAATCAGTATATCAATTGTTCACCAAATTATATTAGTTATCTAACTTAAGTCGACTGTTTCTAAAATCTCGCTGATTTTAAAGTAGTCCATGAAAGCTATTTAACAACAGAATCTATTTTGAACTACTAATTTAACCGTATATTTTGGTGAGTTAAGTTGTGAATAAAAACATACGTTTATATATTACATTTACAATCTCCTGGAGCTCAGGATGTTAAGAGATCTGGTAATGATCGAATGATATCAAAAAAAAATTAGTGGAATAAAAGAATGGTTATCATAATCAAATTCTTTGATAATTAAAGATTCAGCAAAACGCTACCAATACCAACTTAGATTTTTCTAGTATTAATGATTTTATTTTTCCGTTGGTATAAAATACACTACCTTAAATCGAAGCTACCAAACGTGAGGTAATTACAAATTCAAATATGTTTCATAATAAATTATTAAGTAAGTAAGTAAAGTAAATTAGTAAGAGAGAGAGAGAAAAAAAATTCAACGTAAATTTTAATCATTTTTTACAACAACTTTCATTATTATTTATATATATTTATTTACAGTTAAATATCTTATCTTATTAGATAATATATATATCAGTTATCATTTACTAATATAATATATCAATATAAATAACCAAATAGAATGTCATTAAAACGTATTAATAAAGAATTATCAGATTTAGGAAGGTATGTTTTTATATTAATAAATGGGAAATTTCTTTCAGATCATTCATTGATTTCATCAAAGCTTTTTTTTTTTGGATGACGAGATTAAAACAGCAACTACAAATAATAATAAGAGATTGAATAAAGTATAGTATGGAACTATCACTTAATCAATCAATCAAGTCAAATCAAATCAAGGTATAGATGTTGTAGAGCAATTTAGTTCAACAAAATTTCGATACAAGAAATTCAGTCAGTGGCGAAATTGCTTTCAAATCTGCTTCACATCTGATTGTCATGATACAACCATAATTATGAAAAACAAAAAATTCATTTATGCCTTCAACACACAGTAGAGATCATTTATACAACAAATGATAGGGAAAATTAAAAGTCAGATGTATTTAAATTCCTAAATTTTGATGAAATTTAGTATAGTAGTGTGACCTTTAAATTTTCCATAAAAAAATATTTAATTATTCAATACATATACTAACTTTTAATTATTTTAGAGACCCACCATCATCATGTTCAGCAGGACCAGTCGGTGATGATTTATATCATTGGCAAGCATCTATAATGGGACCACCAGACTCTCCTTATGCTGGTGGAGTATTTTTTTTAAGTATTCATTTCCCAACAGATTATCCATTTAAACCACCAAAAATTGCATTTACAACTAAAATATATCATCCAAATATTAATTCAAATGGTAATATTTGTTTAGATATTTTAAAAGATCAATGGTCACCAGCTTTAACTATTTCAAAAGTTTTATTATCAATTTGTTCATTATTAACTGATGCAAACCCTGATGATCCATTAGTTCCTGAAATTGCTCATATTTACAAACAAGATAGAAAGAAGTATGAAGCAACTGCTAAAGAATGGACAAAAAAATATGCTGTTTAAATTTTTTAAAGGTTGAAGAAATATAATAATGTTTATTAATGAAAGCTAGATAAATAAATGAATATTGAATGTATAACTTTTTTTGTTCAATTATATAAAAGAGATAATTTTGTAGTTAGTTAGTTTCTCAAATTCTTGAGCTACATCGAGGACTCAAATGGTCCCCACTTTGCATCGATTAAGTTAAAATGAGTCAAAGTTAGTGCAAATTCTACTTGTATTAACGCTTATTCTGCAAAGTTCTGATAAACTTTTCCCTTTATTGAACTATTAGACCTCTATCAACACTCAAGCTAAAACAGATAGTTTTTTTTAAGCTAAATCTTGTCAAACTTTTGTGTTTCAACTGAGTCTGAATCTCGTAATATAGTGAAGTTAGTGAGAAGTAAACAAAAAAAAAAGCGACATGTCTAAATATAATTTTACAACCAAAAGATTCAAGTATCGAAATATCAGTACTCAAATAGCCAGTCTATTACCATCTCACCTGTTAAAATAATTGTCACTTACTACATACCTCACCAATTTTGCATTCGACTCTTTATTACTTTTCCAATCACGCTTTCAATTAATTTTTCACTACTTTTCATCATTTTAAAAACAGTTTCGAAAACTTACATACCTATCAGCATTATCATTTGATGATTAGTTAACCCAAGAATGGACAAACTAAATACGTTCAAATTGAATGATTCAAGAACTTTATTTAATTTATCAAAAAAGTTAAATAATCAACGAAATTTCTTTCAAGTATTCTTAAATGAAAACCAATACAAAATTATAAATTTCATACTATCGTTAGATAATTTCGAAATATGGCAAAATTTTCTAGATGGAAACGTTGATTTACGATACAAGAAAGTGGAAAATTCAAAAGAAGAAGAACTAATTGAAAAACCAGTGTTGGATAAATTAGATGAAAGTGAAACAGAAGAACCTAAATCAAAAGAATCAACTACATTAGATAATAACGGTACGGAAAAAGAGTCTCAATCGGAACTAAAAGAATCAGAACTTTTATTATCAACTCAAAATGAAATTGAAAGCAATCCAGATATAATCTTCGAAGAAGGAAATAAAATGATAAAAAAATTAGCACTACATATTAGATATTTATTATGGGAGAAAGCAATTGATTTTTATTACGAAGTTCAAAGATTAGATAATGAAATGAATCAAATTGATGAAATAAATGATGACTATGAATTAATAGATTCCTTGGAAGTTGAAAATGAAAAAGAAAAAGAAGTAGAAGTTGTAAAACCTAAAGTACGTGAAGTTGAAGATGATTATGATTTTGATGATGATGAAGAAGAAGAGGAAGAACCAAAAGAAACACCAACCAAAGATGAGAATATACTACTGTTCAACGATGATAATCAATTAATACTAGAAATACCTATATCAATTTTCAAAACAAAAGAATCGCAACCACAAGAAGAAGATAAAGAAGAATCGAGACCAGAAACTATAGAAACCAACAAAGATGATCAAGATAAATTGATACAAGAATTCAACAAAGTCTACCATAATTTCGAATATGATAGAGAAACATTAATTAAAAGAAGGAAATTAGAACAATCAGATTTACAAATGGAGAATGTCAAAAATAATTCAACAAATGAAAAATCAGCTCAAAAACATCAAAGTAATATGGATATAGCATTAGGTATGTCATCAACATCATTAAGACAATTATTGTCCAAAGTTCATTCTACTCGAGATAAAATTGGATTAAATGATAATGAATTAAGAACTTTATTCATGGATGTACGGAAAAACAGAGGCAAATGGGCCAATGATGAAAGAGTTGGTCAAGAAGAATTATATGAAGCTTGTGAAAAAGTTGTCACTGAATTGAGAAATTTTACTGAACATTCAACTTTTTTCTTAAATAAAGTATCTAAAAGAGAAGCTCCAAATTATGGTTTAATTATAAAAAAGCCAATGGATTTAAATACTGTTTTAAAAAAATTGAAAAATTTATCATACAATTCCAAAAAGGAATTTGTTGATGATTTAATGCTTATTTGGAGTAATTGTTTAACATATAATGCTGATCCAAAACATTTTATACGAGCTCATGCTGTTGCAATGCAAAAGAAATCATTAAAATTAGTTCCATTAATTCCAGAAATTGTAATCAAAAATAGATCGGATATAGAAAAAGAAGAAGAAGAAAATGAAATTAAAAAGGAAGATGAAGATGAAGGTAGCGGTGCTGGTAAGAAACTGGCTAAAAAGGGAAGAAAACGAACAAGACAAGACGAGCTTAAATCCGAAGCCGCTGTTGATGTTGGTGGTAAATCTAGTCCATCAGGTGTTGCTACTCCTATTCCAATTGAAGAAACAAATGGTCATCCAATACCTAATGAAGAAGAAGAGGAAGAAGAAGAAGAAAATGAGAATATTAATAATGGGTCCACATCAAACGAAGAAGAAGAATTTGATCCTGAACTACAAGCCTGGAGAACATTAACTGCAAAATCAAGAGCTAATTATTGTGAACAAAGATCAAACTTATTTGAATCAACAAATCTACATTTAAAACCGGATGCTCCTGCAATAATAAGAAGAGGAAACGAAATGCTTAAATTTGAACATTACCTAACAAACAAATCAGTTGAGTCCAAAACATCAAATTTATTAGATCAAGATGATCCATATTTAATAGAATATGACGTTGATAATGGTATCCCTGGTTTCAAATATGCTGGTACTAATGAAACCCAAGAAGAGGAAGCTGAAAATAAATTAGTTGACTTAGAGCTACAAAAATCAGTTGGTGATTCATCAAATTATTTTTGTCTTTCCAATGAAAAAGGTTTAAACAAAGTTTATTTCAATAATATATCAATGATGCAAGAGATCCGTAGAATTTGTTTCAAAATCGGATTAGTTCGTCAATTACAAAGTTCATCATATTTGCATCATACAGAAATGTATCAAAATGAAACAGAAGCAATAAAAGAAATTGATATTGATGCTATATCAAAATTACCAAATCATGATATAAATAATGAAGATGTTCAATATGCTGTGTTACGAAGAAATGTAGCTAAGATTGCAATGCAAACAGGATTTGAAAAAACTGAAACTAAAACTATTAATTATTTAACTGATGTTGCTATTAAATATATTACTAGTCTTGTGAAACTGATGAAATTAGAAACTGAAAAAAACAATTTATCAAGTACTGATGTGTTATTACTGGCATTAGTAACCAATGGTGTTTCGAATCCTGATCAAATTCATAGTTTTATACAAGAAAGACTTTTGAAACAGAGTTCAAAATTAAAAGATTTAAAAGAATCACTTCAAAATTTTTTAAGAGATCTATTGTCAACAAGTTTGGGAGATCTTAACGAAAAGAATTTCGATGATAATTCTGAACAATATATTACTGGTGATTTTTCAGGTACTATAGGAGAAGATTATTTTGGATTTAAAGAATTAGGACTAGATCGAGAATTAAATAATTTCAATTCATTATCTATACCAATCCATTTATTACATCAGCGATTACAACAACAAGCACAAAACGGTACTAGATCAAGTAAAGACAAATACCAAGATCTAACAGCTTACGAACCAGAAAGATTAAAGGCATCATCAATTCAAAAACAAATTAAATTATTATTACCTTTTTTCAATAACGTATTAGAAAAATCAAGACAACAATATATTAAAAATCAGAAAAAAAAGGGAGGATCTATTGATTTACCTGATGATGAAGAATTTTATTTGGTTGAAGATGATGATTTACCTCAAAAACAAAGAAATATAAGACCTAAATTACCTCCAAGTGGTAAAATTACTACTATTAAAAAGAAAATTATTGCAAATAGTTTTTTCTTAGACTAATTCATGTTTTATATTGATTTATTGTTGTGTAATAATTTTTATTCGTCTTTACCAAAAAGTTTGATTTTTGTAATTCTATTGCAATCAATTCGTTATCAATGTAATTTTTGACTACTTAAATTCTACTATTAGGGAGAACTTCTGCAAACTCTGAATTGTTAACTCAAAAAATGGAATTGATGAAAATATGAGTGAAAGAATAGAGTCCTTATATGACTGACGTCAATGTACCTCAATTTGAACACCCCAATTATTTTTTTAACCGGGGACTAATATTTTGAGACCATTTGGCAAAATATCATTCACTTCATTCACGAGAGTCTAGATATACTACAGTCTAGAACCTTGTGTCGAAAATAAACGCTTGCGTTTTCCACCCTCATTTTGGAGTTAGACTTAGTCCATTATAACGTTAATTCATTTTTACATATGTTTCAAAATTGAAACAGAAAAACTAAATTTAGGTGCAAAAATTCATAAGATTACGTAATCTTTTACATTTTGCAAGAAATTTAAAACAAATTCAATATTAATATTAGCAACCAAACTAATCTCCAATTTTCCTACAACTTCAACTTTCAATTACTTTTCCAAATTAATTTGAGCCTACCGAAATTAGATTATCAGATAGCACAACTTAGTCCAACTCACCATCGATCATTTCAATTGAAGTATTACAACTTTAAACTTATGCACAAATCAAAGGATATTAAAGGTTTAAACAAATAAGAATGGCTAATAATATCAATAATGAATGTAATAGCTCAAATTTACAAAGTAATTTAAAAGACAGTCAATTTACACAACAGGAACAGTTGGGAGGCGACAATGAAATATATAAACAAACAAACCAAGATCAATTGCACCAACAAACAAATGATAATGTATTTAATACAAACCCTGCATTTCCAAAATCTCATTCTCTATCCCAATCGCAATTTCAATCACAATCAAATTCGAGCCAGCAACAATCAAATACCGAGTCAGATGATATGATACAAGATAATAATGATGTTTATGATGCTAATGACTTTAATGAAAATAATAGAGATAGCACATCTTCAGAAAAAACTTTAGAAGTTCCTAATGAAGCTATAGATACTGCTGATATGTAAATAATAATTACACTGATGAGAATTCATGAATACACAATGTAGTTGGATGAACTCTTAGACAGTTAAACGTGTTTTGTCGTGTCACAAACGCCAAAGTTCTGTCATACAAAATACATGTCAAATTTAAGAAAAATAAATAAACCAAAATAGAATATTTTGTTCTCTAATAATCTAAAGTAAATTTTTTTACCACCAAAAGGTTTCATTTACATCTCAATTTAATTCACTTCGTTAGTACCACTTAATAATCACAACCCCAGCCAAATGTTCTAGAATTCATCTCAAAAATATTATAAATCCATAACTATATAACAAGCACAACACATTGATATAATTTTACTATCTATTTTTTATCTTCCTTTCGTATGCAAAATAATAAAAATGATGTTTTAAAATTCAAAAAATTAACAAAAGAAGAAATATCCAAAAGGGATATTTTTGGTAGAACTATTTTACATATAAGTATATTATTAAATGATTATGAGTACCTAAAAATTTTACTAAAAAACACAAATATAAAAAATATTTTAACAAGTTGTGATTACGAAAATGGTTGGAATTGTTTACATTATATTATTTATTATAAAAGAATCATATGTTTTAATTTATTGATTGATTATTTGACTAGTGTTAATGTGACTAATAATTTATTTTCCTCGAATGGACTACTCGTGGAATTGCTAAAATGTAAAGACAGATGTGGATTGACTCCTATGCAATTATTAAATAATGATTTTAAAAACTTTAGATGGATTCCAGAATTTATCAACATTAGTGATGAATATAATTTGATGTACAGATTTATTGAAAAAAATGTAGAGGAAGATACTAAAAAAATTGTTTCAATAAAGTCACCACAAATTAATTGGGACGAAAGTAGAGGTGGATCTGATATTTATGTTATTGGTTGTAACAGTAATAATCAACTAGGTTTAGGAGATTCAAAAGATAGATCAGTACCTATAAGTGTTTCAAGTGAGAGTTTTATTATAGACCAAAATAATTTGAATGACATTAATGAAAGGCTACAAAAACCTAGGTTTAAATCCATGACCATCTCAAAGTATCATTCTGTTGTAATAACTCACGATGGACATGTATTTTCTTGTGGTGTTGGGTCTAGAGGTAGATTAGGACATGGAGATGACTTAGGTAGCTCATTCAAGTTCAAAAGAGTTGAATTTTTTGATGATGTGGAGGAAGAACCAAAGCACATCAAGGACGTTGCTATCTCCAACAATCATTCTGTTGTTTTGACTTCTGACAATGAAGTTTATGCATGGGGTTTAAATAGTTTCAATCAATTGGGCATCAATAGTCCTTCATCAAATAAACTGAACAATTATTTAGATGACTTCATATCAACACCCACATTAGTAATGGGAGAATTAAGAAAACATCGTGATGAAAAATTGTTGGGCATAGCTGTTTCAAAAATTCATTCAGTGACTTGGTCTAAATATAATCTATTCTTTTGGGGTTTAAACGCAGGTCAAATGGGTATTCAATGTATAAATGGTGACATAGAAGTCAAATTACATGATCAAATGGTTATTGGAGAAATTCAAGCATCACCTAAGTTGATAAGTTTAAGAGACGAAATTAAATTTGTTAGTACATCAGAATTATGCACTTGTGTTATAACCGTTATAAATGATATTCATGTTTATTATAATTTTCAACATTTCAAATTACCCAAGATACCAATAAAGGGACTAGGTGATAAGCATTTTGATTTATTCAAACCAACAAGATTGACAGAAGCTGCAATTATTAAAAAAATTATAACAAGAGGTGCAGATACTTCTATGGTGTTACTATCAAATGGGTCTGTTATGAGTTTCAGTATTAATATTAATGACGTGAAAAACACTAAATATAATACAATCTGGAAGGCTCACAATGATGATATGGTTGCAATGGATTTTGATTGTGGTACAGATGGATCAGTTGTTTTATGTACTAAAAATGGATCAGTGTTTCTTAAAATTCCGCAATCTAATCAACGTAAAAATTCAATGAGTGCAGCAACATTACCTATACCAGTGAACAATAAAAACAAGTTCAAGAAATTGGAACATATAAATAAAATTGTCAGAGTTGTTTGTGATCCTAAATTTTTATCATTCGGGTTTATAAGAGATGACATTGATTTGTTACCTATCGAATTAAATAAAAATGATTTTCTAGTTGATATAGAACAACTATCACCATTAAGTGATTGTGGATTGCATAGGAAACAAGAGCAGTTAATGAATAGATCAAATGGATCTAAACATTCATACTTAAGCTCGTTTTATGATGACTCAAAAGCTGATGATGATGACGAAGAAGACTGGGGTTTAAATTCCAGTAAGATCAACTCTGGTGTTGAAGACAGATTAAATACACTTTACCGTCATTCAAATTCACTTGCTTGTAAAATTTCAGACAGGTATGAATTTTTGTCAAAAGAAGAAAGTAAGACAATTGAAGAGGTTTTAAAATCAGATGAGACTTATTTATTACATACTTTTTGTTCATATAATAAGTCAAACGATTTAGTGAAGAATTATGATGGTATAATTACTTTTGAGAATTACCCTGACTCAACACTTGGTTTCCACATTGATATTTTAGCCCATTCATCATCTAAATTCAAGTTGTTGTTACACTCAGATAACAATGTGATTGTTGGCAAAAAGTTCAAAGCCGAATGGGATTCAAAATCCTCAAAATTAATTGTCAAATCCAAAACTAAAGTACTTTCACTATTATTATTTGTTCAAAGTATATACACAAACAAAAAAATTGACTTTTACCTGACCTTTGAATCAAGATATAATGTTCCAAAAGAATTGAAAGTAGTGCAATCTGAATATGAAGAGATTGTGGAGACTTTCAATTTGAAGTTATCTCAAGTTAATCTAATTACTTCTTTCTCAGACTTATTAATGAATTCAAAAGGTGATGTTGTTTTCAGCCTTAAAGATGGACAAATGGTTGCACATTCATACATTTTAAAAGTAAGGTCAGCTTTTTTTGAAACGATATTATCTGAAAGGTGGGATATGGGAGAAACAACTTTAGATTTTAGTGGAGTTAGTAACAGTCAAATGATGTTAATTTTAAATCACATTTATGGAGTGGACAATAAAAATATTTTAAATTCTCTAGATTTCAAATATGAAGAAAGAGATTCTTTTATAAATGAGATTTTGGAGATGATCGAGATTGTTGATGAGTTATTATTATTTGATCTAAAATCAGTTTTGGAAGTTTCCATTAGTGGTATGATTAATTTGGATAATGTCTTGGTATTATTAACACATGCTGATTATTTGACTGCTTCAAAATTATTCATGAATTGCTGTTGGTATATCTATAACAATTTAGAAGTATTAATCTACGATCCGTCATTTATATCAATTCCTGAAGATGTTTTATCAAAATTAGAAGCTCAAATTTTGATACTAGATAAATGTAAATTTGTCGATAGTCCAACTGGTCAATGGATCGATCATAACGTCAAAGTTGAAGAATTTATTGATGACATTGATAAATTCAACGAATATTTTATGAGTGATAGAAAAGGATTTGCATCATTTGAACCGTTAGTAGATAGCAGATTAGAAGTTAAAAAAGTTAAAGAACCACCACCTAAAAAGAAAAAATCAAGAAAAAGCTCTACACTTAATTCAGATATTATTGACTTTAGAGCAAATTGGGCAAATTCAAATGGTAATTCCCCTAGCAATCAGAGATTAAGAGAATCTTCAGTTGCAGTCGAAGATCCAATAGACTCTCATTTTATTGTTGTTGAAAAGAAAAGAAAGCCGAAATTTATTGATATACCTAAAGCCGATCCACCACCTGAAACTATAAAATCCAACACAGAATCAAAATCAAAAGCTATAAATATTCCAATAAATCCAGTAACTATAAGATCAACACTGCTTACTGGACTAAGTCCACATTCAACTTGGGCATCATCATCAAACCCATTCAATCAATTCTCAGATAGATCAAATTCACCAACACCAGAACCACCAAATTTAATTGAAACTAAATATGCAGATGTTAAACAATTTAAACCTAAAATAGGTCCACATGTAAAATTATCACAAAAGGAAAGGAAAAAACTTGCATCTGCTGCTGCATTAAGTGAAGCAAATAAACAAGCACCACCACCAGAACCTAAAAATGAAATTTCGGATATTGCACCTTGGTCATCAATCCAATCTCAAAGTCCACCAAATACCTCCAACAAATTTCCAGCATTAAGTTTGAAAAAAAATAAATCATCAAACACAACAAATACCACTAAAATTCAAAGAAAACCATCACCACCTTCATCTTCCACAGTTGAAACAAAATTCTCAACAACCCAAATGAATTCATCAAGCTCATCGCTTTCTTCTATTGTATCCACCCCATCTTTAGCAGAAATTATGTTGAATGAAACATTACAGAAAGAACAATTAAAAGAAGATAACCTACAAAGAAAATCATTATCTGAAATTCAAAAAGAACAAGAATTTGAAAAATGGTGGCAAGAGGAAAGTAAGAGAGTGCAAAAAGAAATGGGAAAATTAAATGTAAAAGATATCAAAAAGAAAAATGGTAACGGAGGATTTAGAAAAAGTTCATCACCAAAATCTCAAAAGAATAAAGATGTAAATAACAGTAAAAATACAAAAGCCAAATCAAGTTTATAGTTATTCAGAAATAAACGCTTTTTTTTTAAATTAAATTTTACGATATATCCACATCATCAGGAAACCAACCAAATTCATCTAGATCAACAATATGATTATCAGAAACAGCAACATTTTCGTTTCTTAATCTATCAGCTTGTTCGTATTGACTATTTGAGTTTTCTCTAATTGAAATTTTACCAGAACTTGATAAAACTCTCCACCATGGTAAATTCTCAATTCGTAGGTATTCTTCTTCAACTGGATCGTAACCTTGATTCAAATCTTGAATAATTATTGCACAATGCTTTAATGATGAACCTACCTGTCTGGAATTTTGAGGTTTATCTAACAAATATGCAATATGACCTTTTTCTAGTTAGTCATTGAATTGATTTGCTAGGATTGAAAAATCTAGGACATACCATAAGTTGTAACTTTTCCTGGTGGTATTTTATATACTATTGAATAAACTCCATAATGAAAAGCTCTACTTTCATCAGTTAATTTGACCATTCCTTCATTTCAATTTGAATCAAAAGTTGTAATTTAATTCATATTCCATAATTTTATTGCTACCAAATCTAACACTATAATTTTTCACTGTTTTAACTTTTATTAACAGTTTTGTAACTAACACTAAATTTATTAAAAAAAATTTCAAACTAGGTGATTCAAATCAAAGCAACTACATTTATACCTTATACCACCCCAAACATCTCCCTATTTTCTATATTATGTCAACTACACGATGTATACGAAATGTTTCCACCAAATCAATACGATATAATATCCCAACTAAAAGAAATTTTTCATTATTTTGGAAAATGTTAAATATGAATGATCCAAATAGTACCAATAAAGAAAGAAAATTATATAATTGGGATGAATCACCTTATGAAGATATACGTACACACGCAGCAGTAATAAGAGCAAAAGCCACTTGTCCTGTAACTAAGGGACCAGTGGAGTTTGTATGTCCATATTCAGGTATACCAACTCATTCATCAAAAGAAGCATGGGAAAATGACACGGAATATCATAATTTAAAAAAATATGAAAATTTGAAAAAAGTAAATTTATATGAACATGATTTAAGAAGTGGTAGAAAATTTGAAGAATTTGCATTTCCAGGAGAACAAGAAAGAGATTTTATGATAAATATAAGTGATTGGGATTCATTTTTTTATACAAGAGATTTCCCACCAATGAATGATGAATTTAATTTAGCCGCTGCTACAAAAGTATTGACATATCCAATGACAATAGCGTCAATATTACATAAATTTTCACCTTATCAAATAGAACCAAAAGGACCATTAACAATTGAAGGAGCAAAATCGTTGGGTGCATTAAGATATTCATTATATCCACCTTATCAAAAAATGGTAGAGGGAGTAACTCATTTCAAAGATAGACCAATGAGAATATTTATAGTTGGTGCAAGAATGGAATCAATGTTGCCAGGATATGTGTGGAAACAATTTGGTTATCTTTTCCCAAGAACAAGATTTGAAATACATCTAATTGGACCAGAATCGTATTTTGATAAAGAAAGTAGATCATTTGCTCCAACTAATGTACCAAATGGTCGTCCATTAATTGAAAGATTTGATGATCAAATAACAATACATCATCATACACAATTTTTTAATGAATTATATGATATGGGAGATTTATTCCCATTTGATCCATATTTAGATTGTTTTTTCTTATTCCATCCAGGTTTTAAAACAGCTGATCAAATACATTGGGATAAATCGTTGAAAGGATTTTTGGAATCTAAATGTCCAATTTTCATAACTGGGTTCCATGACGAAGATATAGATAAAGAAATAAATTGGTTAAATAATCACAGTCTAAATGATGAAATGGATATTTTAATGAATAAAACAGATAATAAATTTGCATGTACAAAATTAGATATAATTGATACAAATCCAACTGAAACTTTTAATTTAAATAGTAAAGTATTCGGTATAAGAGGTAAAAGATATGAAGCTATAAAGAAATAAACGAAGGGATTGTATATAGATCATCATTCTTAACCCAAAAAGAATGTATAAAAAAGAATCTGTAAATAATTGTATAATATAAAATATAAAATCTGACTGAAGGACCATATAATATTACTATTTTAAGTAAAGCCGCGCTCGCTAATAAATTTACCAAAAAAGGTTTGTATATTGATTTTCAAAAATATGAGTTTTAACTAAACAACTTTACGAATGAACGACGAATGAATTAACCAAGCATATCATGAATGAAATACCTGTACCGACCAAGAGGTTTTATATCAAAATAGAGTCAGACAAACCAAATCTACAAGATGAAATGTCATTATTTGAAGTTAACACTAGAACAACTTTAAAACAATTTAAACAATTAATAATCATACGGTTAGATCAAGGACAAGTAACAAGAACATTTTTTGATCAAATTAAATTTATATATGATGGAGAAGAGATACCGAATGATTTTTTGACAAATTCGCATACTGTTATATCTGTTTTAGGAGTTGATGATGCTAGTATTACACCAACAACGAGTGTATTCAACTTGAAATTAGAAGTATCTAATGATGTAAATGGTTCAAATGGTATATTGAGTCGTGACTTTTTGAGAGATTTAATAGCTGATAATAGATTTGAATTTTCACCAAAAACAAACTACGATAGTGAATTAGGCGAAGAAATAAATAATGAAAATCCAATAGAAAATTTGAAAATTATAGATAATCATAAAGAAGAATGGCAATTAACTGGAGAATCATATGAGAAAATAATCAACCCATTAACTAGGGAAACCAAGCTAATCAAACAATCAGAATTATCAGATATAACTTACGAAATATATGATGAAGGTAAAAAAATTACTTTGAACACTTCCCAATGTTTAATAATTGATAATCCAAAACATCAACCCTACATGTTATTAAATCCTTCTGGTATAGCAAAATTAAGTTCATTGTTTAATCTGCAAAAAGTCCAAATATTAATGTTTGAAGATACCCCATCAGAAACTACAAACTCACAACAACAACAACAACAACAACAACAAGAAGAAGAACCACTTAATGATGATATACTAGATAGACTTGTCATTACTGGAAGAAGTCTATTTTTTTTTGTTTTTAAAATAGCTGTTGCATTATACTTTCTCGGAATCAAACCTAACAAGCATTTAAAAGATAATTGGATAAAATATTTAATACTATTCATTGTTTTGTTCAATATGTATGTGATGTTTTGTACTGGTAATAATAGAATTCAAAATTTACTAAATCCAGAAGTTGCTTTAAATCGATATCAGCCAACTACAAGAAGTATAGTGAACACATTTCGTCGAATATACGGATTAACATCAAATGCAGGATCACTAAATCTAGTTTTACAAAATGAAATAGCTTCAATTCTAACTAGAAGGACTTATGATTTTGAGTACATTTTAAGCTCAGAGCCAAATTGGTGGATAGTAATAAATTCAAATTTTGAGAATATTTGGAAAGATTCAATGATATATGTACTCACTATACTACCATCATTTCAGTTCAGAATATATGATGAATTACATAAACATAAAATTAGAGAACTAGAACTTTTGGAAACCAAAATATCACAATTTTATGATTTAATGGTTGTTGTGAGTGAAGAATATAATAAAGATCATGATCCGCTGTTCAATATACCCGATCAATTACATTTTGAGGAGTTTAAAACCAAGATTGAAAATATGAATGAAACTGAATTTCCAGATTTATCAACTTCTGAAAGAAATGAAATTAAATATGAGTATTGGGTTTCCTATTTCAAATGCTTGAAGAACTCATTCAATGTATTGAACAAAGTATTTGTGAACAAGAATTTTTTAAATGATGAACAAGTCGAATACATTGATGAAAATTTTAATAGATTTATTAATAGTCGAATGCAATAGATTTATATTGAAATACTAAATACTTTTTCAATTTTTTGTTTCTGGTCGATTAAATTTCTCATAATTCCATTTGGCATTGGGGTTTTGTAAATAATCAATATTCACATCTATATTATCTTGATCTTTACCCGTTGTTAAATCAACTTTTTGTATACTTATTTGTCTTTTCTCAAGTGATCCATCTCTTTCTATTCTGTAAACACCCAAATAATTGCCAAATATATCATAAATTTCATTCCACATTATAAAACTATCTTTCCAGTTTAAAGTAGTTGCAATATTTTCACTAACCATGATTGGGGATGGGAGCTTTCTTTCCAATGCTGAAACAAATAGTTCACCAAATTTGTTTAAAATATCTTCTTTTTTTTCGTATTTTGAATTTACAATAATTAATCTATTGCCATAGGGATGATCTGATGTATACTTTATTTTTGGACTTCCAATATTGAAACCATCACCTAACACATTTAAATAATAGTTATTTAGATCTACTTTCTTCTCAATACCAGTGATTTGTTTATTGAATTTAAAAAATTTTTCATAAGTAACATTGTTATCCACAAAAGTATTAGTATCATCAATGTTTTTACAATTAACATCAACAACACTATCATGTATAACATTTTTTCTGAATTCTTCGATTTGACATAATTTGGGAACATTGACAATCATTTGATATTGACATGTTTTAATTTCTTGCATTTCCAAAATACCTGCATTTTTATAAGTTTCATCACATTTATAAACTATATCAATTGATCTTGGTTGTAAAGTTAAATCACACATTTCACCATCTAACAAAGTATGCTTCAAGAACTTTTGAGTATTTGTTGAAGTATCAACATCATTATCCCCAAAATAACTATATTCACCTTCAAATATAATAAAGTCATTAGGGTTCAAAACAACTTTCTGTCCTCTCATTTGATTTTTGATTCTTGTTTTTTTGTATGAAACAACATTAGGGAATTTACCTAAAATATATACATGATTTGGTAATTGAGCTTTATGGTTCCCACTCAAGAAATCTTTTGCATCTTCATGAAATTGCATTACTTTATCTCCAAAACAATAACCTAATGTCCAATAATTTAATAATGCAAATGAACAATTCCCGTCATCAAAAGTTTCTTGTATGGCCAGCATAGCTTTTTGTTTTAATTCTGGAATTGGGATGGTTGAAATTGGTCTTGTGATGTTGATAGTCCTTTCTGTGGGTATATGACATAAAAATGATTGTTGATTATTTTGCATTATTTCAAATTGACCTTTTTCAGTTATATGGTTGTTTAATTGGACTAATTTATTAGCCACGTCAATTGGAATTGAGACATCTTCAAATATGATTCTGTTTCTTGCTTTTTGACTAGTGAAAGCTATTACATGACTGGAGATAAATAGTAATATTAGTAGTAGCCATTTCATTGAATTATGTGGTTGAATTTTAGGTGTTTGAATCTATAAATTTTTATGAAGAATTACAAATTTATTGTTTTACAAAACATTTGATAATTGGTTTGATAATTTACAACCAAATTTTTACAACAAATATAAGAACAACCTGCAATTGATTGATCGGCTAATATCAATTCTTATAATTCAGGTAGAGATCAAGTCACTCAAATGTCTACAACACCACCAGCTCAAACTGAATCAGTTGTTCCAGGTCTTTCAACGCCACATTTAAATAATTCAGAATCAAATCCTGAACAAGATATAGCCAACACATCAACAACTGAGAAAAAGCCAACGATTTTCGATATAACTCATGATATAGAACAACAGCTAAATAAATCTTTGGAGTCGCTAGAAAAGAATCAGAAAGAAATGAATGATAAAATTGATTCAATTATGCAAAAAGTTACAAATTTACAACAAAAATCTAATTGATAAATCTACTTATTAGCTAGTACTACTGTTCTACGTACTTATGAATTTACGAATAATTATACCTCTTGTGTTTTGTAGTCAACTCTGCTGCTTCAAATACTCTTAAAAAAAGTGTTGCAAAAAAAAATCAACTAGTCCATAATAATTCCAACCAATTCAATATGGCTCAGAAACGTACCAAAAATCAACTCCGACGTGAGAAGAATAAGAAAAAGAAACTAGAAGATAACGAAAAGACTGATGAGCAGGTAGAAACAAATCAAAATGGAGTTCAAGAGCAATTACAAGAAACAACTGAATCAACCACCAATATACTAAATATAGATGAAAATAAAGATCTACTACGAGAGTTTGAGTCAGTATTTAATAAATTTAACAAACCATCACCACCACCAGAGGAACAATCATTAGTACCATCAAATGAGAGGGACGAGGATTTTATTTCAGGCTCACCAACAGATTCATTAGAGGTAATAATACAACCAGAATCAGATCAAGAACTGGCATCAGAATCATCAGAAGAGCAAAATCAAGAATCAAATAAGCTTTCCAAAAGACAATTACGCCTACGAAATAAAGTTCCATTATCATCATTGAAACTATCAACTCATAAACCAGAATTAGTAGAACCTTATGATGTTGATGCACAAGATCCATTTTTATTGGTTTATTTAAAATCTCAACCAAATACAATCCCAGTTCCAGCTCATTGGTCCTCAAAAAGAGATTACTTATCATCAAAAAGGGGAATTGAAAGACCACCTTTCAAATTACCTAAATTTATCAGAGATACAGGTATTGAAGAAATGAGACAAGTTATTAACCCGGATGATAAAACAATGAAACAACAACAAAGAGAAAAATTTCAAGTTAAATTAGGTAAATTAGATATCGATTATAATAAACTATATAGAGCATTTTTCCAAAATCAAACAAAACCTCGAGTTTCAAAATTTGGTGAATTATATGAGGAAGGTAAAGAATTGATTGATGAAATGACGCTAGAGATCAAAAATTTCAAACCTGGAGTAATTTCATCGGAATTAAGACATGCTTTGGGGATGTCAGACGATGTAAATGTAAAACCTGCTTGGATTACTATTATGGAAGATATTGGTAAACCTCCTTCGTATAAGGAATTAATAATACCTGGATTAGATGAGGTTTATAATAACAATGGATATAAAGATAAATATGCTGAACAAGATGTTAATTATGAACATTTTGGAAGAATACGAACATTTGTTGAGTCTGAAAGTGAAGAAGATGAAGATAGCGAAGATGAAGAAGATGAAGAAGAAGAACAACTGGAAGAACAACTGGAAGAGGAACAACAACAAGAAGAATTACCAAAACAAATTTCAACTTTGGAATTATTGTCAGGATTGAATTAAATTAAATTAAATAACTTTTCTTTAATACATAATCTATGGATTTAATTTCTGTATTTGTAAACCAAATGATGCAACACATTTAGCCATTGTAGGTGATGATCTTGAAATACTATCTGTAAAATAAAAGTTTTTAATTGGATTTGTCAAAATATCACCACTTATAGTAGCTGATTTATTTGAATCTATAAGATTTTGGAAACCTATTTGTGCAATTTCTTGTGATACTGGTTCTATAACATCATGTCTTGTTAAATGTGGTGCAATTTCTCCCAATCTCATTCTTACTGATATTATATCATCATATGGTAATGGAGCGCCTAAATATTCTGATAATGCTCTTAAAATTTTCCAATCTTCACGAGCAACCCCTGGTGGATTTGTTGCAGCTCTTGTAACTTGAGTTCTACCTTCTGTATTTACATAAGTACCTGATTTTTCAGTATAAGCAGAACCTGGTAATATAACATCAGCAAATGATGCACCAACATCACCATGATGACCTTGATATACAACAAATGCATCTTTTGGAATATCTGTGTTTGATACTTCATCAGCACCTAATAAATAAATGAATTTTGGTTTTGTTTGTGTTTCTGATAAGTTATTAAACCCAATATCTAATGCAGCAACTCTTGAAGCTTCACGATGTAATAAATTAACACCATTCCATTCTGGAGTATTAAAATTTTTATGTTTTGTGGCAAATTCACCAACTAATTTATATATAGCTTTAGCATCTTTTGAATCAGCAACACCTGAACCAACAATTATCAATGGTTTGTTAGCTTTTGATAATTTTTTACCAACTTCTCCACTTAAAGCCTTTTCAAGAGCTTTTGTGTTGTCACCAACTGTATTTATATCAAAAGTTGAGTCGAATTTTTCACCAACTGAAGAAATTTCTAAATTTGATCTTAACCATATCTTCCTTATTCTTGTATTTAATGTAGCTGCTTCAAATCTTGGATTTGTACCAACTAATAATATTTCATCAGCTTCTTCTATACCATCAATTGTTGAATTGAAAATATAATTTGACCTTATATCTAATCCATGAGCATCAACTGCTTGTGGAACATCAGTGGTAACATTTTCTGATCCTAATTTATTTACTAAATCTTTTAATACAACCATTGATTCTGCATCAACTAATGCACCTGCAACAGCTTTTAATTCTCCATTTTGTGGTTTAATTTTGTTATATGCAGCAGCTATAGTAGATAAAGCTTCATCCCATGTAGAAGTTTCAAATTTATCACCATTTCTAATTAATGGAGTAGTCAAACGTTGATTTTTTAAACCATCACAAGCAAATCTTGTTTTATCAGAAATCCATTCTTCATTAACATCATCATTTAATCTTGGTAAAACTCTCATAACTTCAATACCTCTACAATCAACTCTAATATTAGATCCAACAGCATCTAATACATCAATAGTTTCGGTTCTTTTCAATTCCCATGGTCTTGCTCTAAAAGCATAAGGTTTTGAAGTTAATGCTCCTACAGGACATAAATCAATTATATTACCAGACATTTCTGAATTAATATTTCTTTCAATATAAGTACCAATTTGCATATCATTACCTCTTCCAGAAGTACCAAATTCTGGTGCTCCTGCAACATCATTCATAAATCTTACACATCTTGTACAATGAATACATCTATTCATTGAGGTTTTAACTAATGGTCCAATAGCTTTATTTTCAACTGCTCTTTTACCAACTAATTCTTTAAATCTACCACGATCAGAACCATATCTTTGAGATTGTTCTTGTAAATCACATTCACCACCTTGATCACAAATTGGACAATCTAATGGATGATTTTCTAATAACATTTCTGTAACTCCTTCTCTCGCTTTTTTAATTCTTTCTGAATCTGTATGAACAACCATACCATTTTGTACAGGCATTGCACAAGATGCAATTAATTTTGGCATTCTTTCAACATCAACTAAACACATACGACAATTACCTGCAACTGCTAATTTTTCATGATAACAATATCTTGGAATTTGAACTCCTGCTAATTCTGCTGCTTGTATAATTGATGATCCAGCTTCTATATTGACTTTTCTTCCATCAACTGTAACTTCAACTTCTGCTAGTCTTTTGGAGGTGGAAGATATATAACGTCTTGATGCTCTAAGTATATTTGATCTTATAGCATGCATTGTATATTAGTTGTGAATGGAATAAAATGAGGAAAAAAGTGATTAAAAAAAAAAAGGAAAATATATGAAATATGAATAGGTTGGTTAATTAAATGAATGTGAATAAATACGCGATGGAGGGTGTAAGTGGTTGTTATTAAGTTTAATGATATTTGATTAATTTGGTTGTAAATATTTTTCAATCCTCTCTATTAATGTATTATAAAAAAAAAATAAAGAGAGAGTAATAATATTTTTCTATTCTATGATTCGTTTAAAATTATACGTTGATTGGTAGCGATGTTGATATTTAATAGATCTATTTAATTAAGTTATTGATTACCACCACCTCCAACTAATAATAGAATTAAGACTGGTACAATATACATCCAATTCTTTTGAATAAATGATCTATCATCTACAACTTGTTCTATTTCTTCATCTACCTCCTTAATAATTTCATTACCATTTGAATCTTTCTCAATTATTTTCTTTTTTGTAATGATTTTTTCAATTTTTTGAGCATTTCCGCCATTTTGTTGTTCAGATTGTTGTTCTCTTTGTTTTTTCATTGAATCAGGGTTTAAATTTGGTTGTGGTGATATAATATGTTTATGTTTTTTAACAGTTGGTTTTTGTATTTTATCATCAAATGATAAACTGATTCTAAAAATATCATTATCTTCATCTAGATATAAATTAAACACAGTATTATTAAATGATTGAATATTCTTTTGATAACTGAAACATTCATTATTATATATATCTTTTGTACCAATACATATTGATTGTTGAGGTTCAATTTCCATTAAATGTATTGAATCATTATCTATAAATCCAATTGGATCGGATGTGTCATCATTAATTGGTTTAATAAATAAATTTATTCTTTTAGATGATACTAAAGATATTAGTGATAATACAAATATGATTGATTGTAGTGAAATCATTTTTTGGTTGATGATTGATGTAATTGATATTTTGAAATATTTATGCTACCAAAAACTTTGTATATCTTTTTACAACCAATTCATGAGTAAAAGATCAATTACATTAATACAAGATGGTAGATTATATTTACAATATTGTTTGGAGAATAATATTAATACAGAGTCGACTGTTTTCAAAGGTACATTATATGAATTGTATGTTAAACAATACTTAGAATCAAAGTTTCATGCAAAAGACCTAATAAAATGTGGTGGATCATATGATAATGGAGTTGATATTATTGGAAAATGGGATTTAAACCCTTTTTATAACAAGTCATTGAATTTTGCAGAAACAACTAAAAAATTGCATTCAAAATCTTTGGTTAATTCATTACCAAATATTGATATACAATTACTAATACAATGTAAAAATTTCAAAAAAAAATTGGGTGCATCAACAATTAGAGAATTATCTGGAGTTTTAGATTATTATAAATTTAATAAAAAATCTACTTTCATGTTTATTGTAAGTCCTCAACCTATAACAAATCAAGCTATATCTCAATTAGATAAATCTTCATTTGGTATTATAAATTTACTGATATCTACACTAAAAAATAACATTGATCATTATAATTATGATTTATGGAAAGGTGGTGAATTAAAATCAATTTACTTAAACAAAATGGCAAGAAATCTACTAGATGGTTTTCATATCGAAAAACAATTCCAATTATCGTGAAAAGTAACGTATAATATTTATAAAAAAATATATATTGGTATAATACTAAAATTAAAATGTTTAAGTTGCAGTTGTTGGAGGTCTACCATAAATAGTATTAAGATGAGTTCGTGTAGTTATAATTTCATAAAATGTTGCAATGGTAGTAAAAGTTGTAGGTGCAAAAACGTAAGAAGTGAAAATATTTTGACTTGTTGTTGTTGGTTGTTGAGTAGTTAATGGTGAATTTGAAATTAATGAAGTTGATAATGTTGTTAATGATGATCTATAAACGGTTTCCAGGGTATCAGAAGGACTTTGGGGAGTTGCTTGAGATTCAACTATGGATGATGTTTCTTTTTGCTCTTCGGTAGTTGATTGTGCTATTGATGCTATTGATGATGTTTCGGAGGTGGTTGTTGGAATTATAGATGATGAAGTACTGGTGAACGTGGTTGAAGTTGTTGGAGTGGTGGATGTAGTTGTACTGGTACTACTACTAGTGGTTGAAGTTGAAGTAGTTGACGTTGATGTAGTTGAAGTTGAGGTAGTGGAAGTTGAAGTTGAGGTAGTGGAAGTTGAAGTTGTGGAGGTGCTTGTTGAGCTTGTACTGGTCGAGCTTGTACTGGTTGAACTAGTGGTTGGATCAGTAGTTGATGTTGTTGAAGTACTACTTGTACTAGAAGTGGTTGGAGTTGTTGATGAAGTGGTGGTTGTTGAAGTAATAGTAACAGTGGTGGTGGTTGTGGTATCAATATCTGAAGTTGATGAAGTTGATGAAGTTGAAACAGTAGCAGCAGTAAAAATATCATCATTTACAATAGCTTTAATATTTTGAACAAAATTTCCTGAAGGATCAACATTATCCCAAGCAGCTGAAACATCCCACATTGAAATACCACCAAAGAATGGAGAACTTGTTATATCACTAGTTAAATATTCTGAAACTAAATCTGGAGAATTATAACCTGAACCTGCAGCTCTAATAGCACCTGGTACACCAACATATAATTTAACATCTTTATTTGGACTAACATTAGTTGCATAATCTAACCAAGTATTCCAATTAAACCATGATGAACCTAAATTACAATAATTATTATAAAATTGAATAAAGACAAAATCAATATGACTATTTTCTAATAAAGGACCAACAGAAGCATCTGGGTATGGGCATTGAGGTGCTGCACCAAGATAATAATTTTTAGATGTATCTTGTGCAAAGATTTGTTTTAATTCAACAGCCATTGCATTATAACCAGTATTGACATTATTTTCAATATCAAAATCAAACCCATCTAATATGGCATCACCAAATGGTCTATCAGCTGTTGGTAAATTTTGAGAATTACCAAATAAATCCCAAACAGTATGAGCAAATTCTTTACCTTCAGCATCAGAAGTAAAACCATAAGAACCAGCTGCACCACCTAATGACAACAAAACAATTTTACCTTTGGATTGACAATATTGAATGTCAGCAGCTATAGTGTCACATTTTAATATACCATTTGGAGTAAAAGTACCTTCACAAGCATTAGCAAAATTTAATTGAATAGGATTTGGAAACATATGCATAAATGATAATATATAAATATCAGCAGCATCAGAATCACAATAATAAGATAATCTTTGTTGATTACCTCCTGAATTTTGACCCCAATATACTGCAACATTTGAATTACTATTTGGATCAAATGCAAAAACAGGAATTAAAAAAATTAATAAAAAATTTATAAACTGAAACATTTTTAAGTTGGTATTATATGAATTTGAATGAAATGAATGAATCTACCTCCTAATAATGGGGTGAGTGGGTATAAATATATTTTGATCTTTTGATTGAGAAATTTATTTAAGATGTTTATAAAAAATCAATGTTACAATGTTATAAAATTATACTTTTCAAGTACATGAAATATTACATTATTCTCATTACTTTATATAAATTTGATAATTACATTTCAATTCATAATTAAACAAAAAATATTAATATTTTAACATGAATTCTTATTCTTGCGAAACAATTTTGTATCATATTTCAAAAAGTCCGAATTAAGCTTTTTTTTTGAAAGATTTGGATTTTATTTACCCTTTCTAATCTTGCAGATCTTACATCAAAAATTAAAAGATCATGCCAATGAAAAAGTTTAACCAACCATACTTTTAAAGTTGATATAATCGCTAAATAATCTCGTTAACTTAGTTTTAAGACTGTTAAATTGTGCTGGTTCATTGATCTGTTTGGTAAATTATATAGGTGGTTGCAATTATTATATTTTTTTTTTTTTTCGTATTGTACCCAGCCATGCAAATTTATGCGCGTTCCAAGAAATTTAAGTTTCAAATAATTAGGAGGTTACAGTTGTAACCAAAAAGTTTGAAGGACGATGAGGTAATTGCAGTAGAAATGTTAAGGTTCTATGGTGATTCAAAATGTAGGGTTTTCCTTATCTTAATTAGAGTTGCCCTTTATTCATTTTCCATTATGTTGCTTTGAATAGTGAAGTTTAAGAAATAATAAATTACAATTGAAACATTACCTTTTGACTATATTGAAACAGCCATTTGATGATAGTGTGTCATATTTGGCAATAATCATTTTGTGAACTAATCGTAAAAATCAATTAGATCTAATTATATAAAATGTGGGTTAAAATAAATTGTTTAAAAATTTTGCAACCAATTATTATTTTATTTTTTTCTCGTTTCAAAAATTAATTAAGCAAAATCCATTTTTGTTTCAACAACCAGCATCCTGCTTATTCATTTTTCCATCAATTTAACATGCATAGAAGAAGAATTTAGAAAAACTTTTAAGAATTTAAGTTGGACGTTGACGTCAATGTCTCTAGTACTGATTAAGTTTTAAAGAATTTAGCGAATTTTTCGTAAATTTGACAATGAATTGTAAATCTTATTTTATGTCTGTGAACGTTTTTAACTTATCAATCCTTTGTTTTAATATGTATGTAATTACAGTAAAAATTAAGTAATTGCATCAATGAAAAAGTAGATCTTTCAAATAAAGAGTGAATCGATGATAAATGTCAGAATCGAGAAATTAACAATATACATAATACAATATATTACAATCTAAAGAGAAACAAGAATGGTTTCAAGCAATTGATAATGAGTTGGAATCTTTGACTGACCTTATTAAAACGCTAAATTTATTGGACAAATTTACCTGATGATCCAACTATTGTAATCCATGGCTTGATTTGAAAGACTTTACCAAATTAAAAAATCTTCAATCAAAAAACTTTTACTTATTCCAAAATCTCATTGGGGATTGCTGTAAAAAAAACTTTAAAGGGGACTATCAATCATAAAAGACGAACAATATCATAATGACCATTTTCATTAAAACTCTGTGTAATGAAAATTGTTTTGATATGTTAAATCAACATTTGCTAAATATCTCTCCAACAAAATAGTTCAAACCATTATCAGTTGAAATATTTTATATGAATTAGATACAAGTGTCAATTGTCAGTAGTAAAAAAAATTAACTTAAAGAAGCAAATAACGGAACTGTCCAAGGATCCCCGATATCAAATTGTTGACCTAAACACCACAAACCTTTTGTTCAACTATCTCAACGATCCAATATTCTATTGATTTTTAAAATATTCTGGAAAACTATTTTGAAATATTTCTTGAAACCTTAATGAAACCATAAAAATCCATCAACTTTATTAAGTTGATAAATTCTTGAAGAATCAATCAATTAAGATACTAATTATAACCAAAATGTAAAGTCTGTCTCAAGATCTGTAACAACTTAACTTCTCCCTGATATGTTATCTTAAATGGGTTCGTTGAAATATATCAATTCCCAAATCACCATGACACGATTTTAAGACTATTTCAATACATTTTAAACTATATCACCCATATCTTAAACAATACACCTAAACTGAAACTTAAAGACAAAACTCCATATGAAAAATTTTATAATATCACAAATTACAACACAAAATACATTCAATTCGGAGCAGACGTATTAATCAAAAATTGGAAAAAATCCATGCAAACGGAAACGAAAAATTTTGTTTTTGAAATACGTAAGTGTTAAGATATTTTAGGAATATTAATTAAATTTCAATTAAATTTTGACAAAGTTACACTACCTAAGACATGAGGTAGTAAGTAAGTGAATGGTTCTAACGTAATGAAAGCAGTATTCATTAAACAATCGCATCTCAAGACAAGAAGTTTTTTTAATATGAAGAATAGAGTAACGAATTCTACAATTGGAAATAGGCCTATAACTTAAATACTAACTGTAAATATGTCTAATGTATAAACAATAATTACCATTTTGCAATCAATACACCAATTGGACCTATGAAATACACATCATTACCACAAGGCTTTAAAAACTCGGTAGCGTATTTCCAAATATTCTTACAACTGATGATATTCATATTGCTGGTAATACTTCAGATGATCCAATAAAAGTGAAACAATTGTTCAATGATAATCAAAAGATGAAGGATAAATCAATCAGCTTCTTATCAATTAATACATTTGTCTCAATCCTCCTATTGTTTGAACCTCTGTTTATTCAAGTATTGCTTTGATGTACTAAATTGACATTCGCTTCTTAAATTTCAAACAAAAAAAATCAATCAATCGAAAATTGGAAGATTCTTAATGAATGAACAGCAATTAATTAACATCAGTATTTTATCATAAATATCCAAAGGTATCAGACAAGGAAATACCATATCCCCACTTCTTTTTGCCATAACCTTTGAAACTTTATTTGAATATTAAAACCTTTATTAATCAATGAAAATCCATCAATTTATTGACTTGATGAATTTCTAAAGAATCATTCAAATAAGATACTAATTATCTCCAAAATGTAATTCATATCTTTGAAAATGTAACAAATTAGCATTTTTCCAATTATTGATCTTAAATGGGTTGTTTGAAATAATTATCTATTTTTAAGAACAACGAAATTGAATCTCTCGTTCATTTGTTCTCATGAATTAAAGTTCATTCATCAAGAGTATTTGCCAAAGATATAATGACCTTATTCCACTCTGCAAAATAAATTTGTGGACGTCACAAGTTTAAGAACCTAATAAAATTATTTTTAAGGATCAAATTTTTAATTTGAAAAACAGGATTCAAACAAATTTATAACATTATTGCACTACCTACGCAACGTTTTATCTCAAACTTAAATTCATATTTAATTATTTCTTTCTTACTTGAATTAAGAATGGTTATATTGAAATCTGAAATTTTTAAAATAGCATTCAATCTAGCTGTAGTGAATTTTCAATTTGGAAAGAACATTATTGAGAATACTTAAGAATTTTTATGCTGCAAACGAATAATTAGTGTTTCAAATTTTTTATCACAGTTGCAAAATAGCTTAACTTGGTTCGCAATTTCTTTTGACTTGTAGTTCGTAGTTTTTGTAGATCAGGAACCTCAAAGTTTACTCCCATGTAGGTTAACATATGCTCTAAGATAATCATAGAATGACAGTAATGTTTAATCAAATGCAACAATAAAGAGGTGGAGCCTTAAAATAAAGAACAGAGCATTTGAATCTACATATCACAGTGGATTGAAACTTATTTAACACAATACAATATAAAAATATTAATTATTTCTGTACAACAACAGTTTAGACGTAAATTAAAAGGACCAAAAGAGAGGAACTTCAAACACAAAGTACTAACTACTTCTGAAATTCCAATACACTCTAAATTCATACTATTTATCAAAATTACAACAAGACATTGTGGAAGAATACATATTGTCTCGGTTACTGATATTTGATAGGTATAAAAATGAGCATAAACAGAAGGTAAACTATCCCTGATAAACTGAATTAACATTTGCTATACATGTCTCAAACAAAATAAATCAATCAACTAATTATTGAAACATTCTTAATGAATGAGTAGCAAATGGTCTTCATCATCAATGCGGTTAGAGCCCAAATTTTAACCGGCAAAAAGGAACAAGACAAGGTAACGCCATTAGTCCTATACTCTTCAATTTAACTAGGAAACATATGTTGAATATTTTTTTAAACCTTCACAAAACTATGAAAATCCATCAATTTAATGAGGCATTTGATGAATTTTTAAAGAATCATTCAAATAAGATACCATTTATCTTGAAAATGTTAATCATATTTTAAACTTTGTATTACTTTAACATTTCTCCAATTTCTTGATCTTATAAGGGTTTGTAGGAATATTTATCTAAATCAAAAATTAACAATGATAACTTTGAAGCCATGTGGAATACAAACCAAATGGTAAGTTTGAATTTTCCAGACAGGGAGGATATCCATAAGTGGTTACATGAATCTAATTATTGATTTGTAAGGTATGTATTTTTTTTTAAGAATCAAATTTTCTAAAATAAGAAATAATTTACCAACTTATTCTTATCAAGGTTGCACTACCTTTAAATTCATATGGAGATTTGAATTTTCATATAGTGTTCTACTGCTGTCACTTTATAAAGTACTTCAACTTAATTTTGTGGATCATTTTATCTAAAAAGCTAGTTCGTGCTTTAAAAACTCATTTATTGCTGCAAAATAATTGAATAATTGGTGTTTCAAATTATTCAGCACAGTTGCGAAATAGCTTAACTTGGTCCTCAATTTCTTAATTTTTGACTTGCAATTCAAAGATTTTGTAGACTATGAACCTCCAAGCCTAGATTTTATTTCATGTAGGCTAATTTTTGATCTAAAATAAGCTTAGAATGACAGTTTTTTTTTTAACCAATTACAACAATAAAGAGTCAGAACTTAAAATAAAGAACAGAGCATTTAAATCTACATATTACAGTGGATAAAAAGTTATTAACACAATACAGTATAAAAATATTTATTGTTGATTCTGGAGAAAACCGGCAGAAACCAAAATTCAAATATTCATATGATCTCCATCAAAAACCTCTATATATTTAAAAAATTTTATAAGTAAGTGGTTAATTGTATACCTTGATGACGTACTAATTTTTGATAGAATTATAAATGAACAAATAAATCATATCACTAACAGGTGTTAATTTAGTTTTGATCAACTGAATTAACATTTGCTATACATGTCTCAAACAAAATAAATCAATCAATTGATCATTGAAACATTCTTAATGAATGAGAAACAAATGATTTTCATCATTAATTCGGTTAAGGACCAAATTTTAATTGGCAAAAAGGAACTCGTCAAGGAAACGCCATTAGCCCTCTGCTCTTCAACTTAGTTAAGAAACATATGTTAAATATTTCTTAAAACCTTCACAAAACCATGAAAATCCATCAATTAAATGAACATTTGATGAATTCTTAAAGAATCATTCAAATAAGATACTAATCATCCTGAAAATGTAAATCATATTTTAAACTTTGTATTGATTTAACATTTCTCCAATATTTTGATCTTATAAGGGTTTGTAAGTATATTTATCTAAACCAAAAATATGAAGTGCTAACTAACACCATTATCTGAAATTATTATCTTAAGCCATGAGGAAGCCAAACTAAAAAAACAATCCATATCTATAGCAGAGGGTGAAAAATTAACTAAAGATTTGGTAGGTATAATTTTTTGAAATTTTTTAAAATCATAAATAATTTATCAACTTATGTCACACGGTAATTTATTTGTCTTAAGTTAGTGACAAGTTCGACGTAGATTTTAGACTTTTCCTCAATCTTAAGTCGCATTACATTTATTACGAAATACATAAATTTAAAATTATGTCGAAACGAGAACTTTCTAGTACAATTCGTTCACTCGTCTTAAATACATTCTGAATTGTAATGTTGAATGGTCTTGAATGCAAGAATTTAGTAGAGATCTCTTAAATATAGTAGATTCTCGATAAAATGAAAATATTTATTCTTAATCTCTAAAATTATAAAAACAATAAAAAATGTAGATTTTAAGAAGTATTTATATACTTCAAAAATTAATAAAAATTATATATAAAGATAATAAAGTAAAAAAATTACGACATTTACAACAATGTATTACAATTTGATATATGTCCAATTATCTTGACAAAATTGCACAACCTTCATATTTACATGAAGAGTCAAAATTTTATTCAAAGTTCTACTGCTGTCACTTTATAGAGTATTTTAAAGCAAAAACTTAATTTTTTGGATCATTATATATAAAAAGCTAGTTTTTTTTTTTTAATCTCATTTTTTTGCTGCAAAATAAATGAATAGATGCTGTTTCAAATTATTCATCATAGTTGCAAAATAGCTTAACTTGGTTCTCAATTCCTTAATTTTGACTTGTAATTCAAAGGATTTGTGGCCTAAGAACCTCCAAGCCTAGATTTTATTTCATGTAGACTAATTTTTGCTCTTAGATAAGCATAGAATGGCAATAATGTCCACTCAAATGCAATAATAAAGAGGTAGAATTTTAAAATAAAATACAGAGAATTAAATCTACATATCACAATGGATAGAAAGTTATTTAACACAATACAATATAAATAATATTAATTGACTCTGCAAATGAACAGATAAAACCAAAAATTAAAAATTTTCATGATTTCAGTCCAAAATTTCTATATATTTAGGAAACTTATTGGCAAATGGTTAGTAGTATACCTAGATGACGTTCTCATTTTCGACAGAAACATAAATGAACATATGCATCATATCAATAATAGGTGTTAAGTTAGCCTTGATAAACTGAATGAACATTTGCTATATATGACTCAAACAAAATAAATCAGTCAATTGAATATTGAAACATTCTTGATGAATGAGAAACAAATGGTATTCATCATCAATGCGAACAGAACCAAAGCTTTAATTGGCAGAAGGGCACACGACAGGGGAACGCCATAAGTCCCTTAATATTTAACTTAGTTAATAAACATATGTTGAATATTTCTTTGAACCTTCACAAAACCATGAAAATCCATCAATTTAACGCAAAACTTGATGAATTCTTATAGAATCATTCAAATAAGATACTAATTATCTCCAAAATGTAAATCATATTTTAAACCTTGTATTAATTTAACATTTCTCCAATTTTTTAATCTTATATGGGTTTGTAAGAATATTTATGTAAATCAAAAATATGCAATATTAACTAATATCATGATCTGAAATTATTATCTAAACACAAAATTGGTCCTGAACTCGAGAAAAATAAATTCAATAATATATTGCAAACAGTAATAGCTGCTTCATAAAAAGAAAAATCTAATGATAAATTTGTTCGGCATAATAAATATTAAATTATTCTTGACAAAATTGCACTACCTTTAGATTCATATGGAGATTCAAAATTTTTTTCAAAATTCTACTGTAACCATATCATAGAGATCATCAAACCTTAAACTTATTATCTTAAATAAAAAATTTTAAAGGATTATTTCGAACTTCTGAATAGGCTGATTTTCGAGAGAAATTTATGATTTTTGTTAAATTTTAACAATTTTTGCTGCAAAAGGAAAAAAAAACTGGTGTCAAAATACGAACTTTTACAAAAACTACAAATTCTAATGAATAGGTTGAATATGAACTATCTAACGATTATGAAAGTGGATTGTATAGTTTTTACCTCTATATGTATTTTGAAACCAGATTAGTGGTAACTAGTGGTTCAACAATACATTACGCAAACCAAGAATTGTAAAATAACTAGATGATTAACAGATCAATCTTGAAAGATCGAAGCTCACAAATAGACTAAATGGCTTGTGGACTAGCTTGAGTCTTGAAAAATTCAATAGAGATCAAAATTCCATTCTGACCACGAAATTGTAAAAAGTCTACTCCAACCAATATGATCATCGAGTTAAATGTTGTTTAATCTCAAAAGCAACAGCGATACGGTTTTTTCCTATGAAGAGAATACAAAAGAGAAAATCTCACAAGAATTATCTCAATATTCTTTTTATATTAAACTAGACTAGCACCACAAATTAATTGTTCTAATTTACTTTTTAATTTTTCTTCTTTTTGAATCAAATTCAAAAATTTCAACAATGTTATTTGTCATGCCATTTTTTATTATTAATTGATCCTTGATTTTCATTACAAGCCATTGTGAGTTGTTCATTAAGTTTTTCATATTAATCTCAAAGTGGTTTATTATTATCAATATGTTGATTATTGATTTCTTCATATTTATTTTCAAATTTTTCAAATTTTTGCATTAAGGATTCAATATTTTGATCATGATTAACTGCTAATTCTGATAATGTATTGATTCCCGTCATTATATTAGTTTGTGGATCTGCAATCATTGATTTAGGCTTTTTAGCTTTAGTTGGTTTCAAAATATTCGAAATGGCTGTAACTTCTTGTTCAACAATATGTAAAAATGATCCTACTGCATTGGGTGTTTCCAAATTTGGATGAAATTGATACCGAGATTAATGTTAGACTTAGATGGTTCGACTAAAGAATTTGTTTGAACTGCTGGTTTTTGTTTGATAGCTTGGGTATTAGTGTTAGCAGGTTTCGAATGATCAGCAACATTAGTTTTAGGTTGAATAGTCAACTCATCAACTTTTTTTGCCATTGGTACAGCTTCACCTTTTGTTGTAAGTCCATTACGAATTGGTGATCTTTCAAATTCATCCTTAAAAAATTTAATTGTATCACTTAAACTAAATTTAGACCAAACAGATTCACTAATTCCTTGAAATGGTGAAACAAAATTTTAATAATTATCTTTATTTCTTTCATAATGATAAATTGATGTTATATCTTTTTTTAATTCTTTAAATCTTAATTCAAATAATGACCTTTGATTAAACCAAGATAAATTTGTAAAATTTTATTAATACAAAATTTTGTCAAAACATCATTTAATAAAGTTTTATCATTATAAACACTCATGATACTTTCTTCTGAAAAAAAAGGTGGAGCTAAATTATCATTGATACTGTAAAAATAACTAAGGATTATTGAAGTAGGTGAAGGCCAACACCTGTTAATATTTTTAAAATTTCAATTGCTTCACCAACTATTTTTGCATAATTTTGTAATTGTTTTGGATTATTAAATAATCCAATCATTGCATTAAATACTTTATTTATAGCTTCAATTAAACCTTCATTTAAATCTTCTATATTGTAATGAGCTACTGGTCTAAAATCTTCAAAATTTAATTGTCATAAAACAAGGTTATAAACTTCGTAGTCATATATGCTTTACCCTTGTTAAATACATCTTTAATATCTGCTATCGAAATAAGAAAAATGATTTTCATCATCAAGCAATTCATACATTCTAAATCAACCTCATCTAGAAATATTTAACATAAATTGTGAGGTCAAAGCAAAGTAAGTTATGTTTTTAGAACAGGGGAAAAATTAACAGACTGAAGTTCGAAGTTTCATCACAATCTTCATATATTAAAGTGTTGATTAAACCTATATCCTAATCAGATTCCCAATTTTCTTCTTTTTGAATCGGATCCTAAACTTTCAGCAACCATATCTTCTAATCCACCTAATATATCTAAAATTTTTTGATTTTGAACTCTAACAATAGCTTCTAATTGATCTACCTTAACAAACAATTTTTGATTTTCAGCAACACAATCCTCAATTTTATCTTCAAGACTTTCAAGTTTTTGCTGCACAGAAAAAACTCTCTGCGCGGTGGTGACAGACAATTCTGTCAAAGCATTTACTCCAGACAATACTTTTATTTGTGTTTTCATATCTGATTTTGTGGATGGCTGGGATGTAGTAGACTTGGAAATACCTATTGTACTGTTATTGGTTGTAAGTGCTTGTTCTATCCAACTTGAATTTGATTCAGGAGCAGAATTATTTTGCGTTGTTGCTCTAGCTGCCATTGCTTCTGCGTTCATCCTCATTTTAAATCCTGTTGGTATTGACTGATCTTCAAATTCTTTTTGATAGCTCTTGACTGATTCACTTGGACTAAATTTAAACCAGTCCTCTTCGCTGAATGGTGAAGCAAATGAAAAAATACTTTGATGTAATTTGTAGTGGTATATAGATGTGACCCCTCTTTCGATTGTACTAAAATTTAAATTTAAATCATTATCTTTTATCAAGCCAAAGTACACAGGAAGCATTTCCTTGATGTAAAAGTTGGTGTCAATTTTCTTTAAAAGATTTTCGTTAGAAAAAAGGTACATGATACTTTCTTCAGTAATGAATGGTGGGGATAGGTTCTCATTTATACCTTGTAGACAGTTTAATACTAATGATGCTGTAGCTGTGCCCACTCCAGCAAGTTCTTTCAATATTTCAATAGCACCACCTACCAATTCACCATAAAGTTTTATGTCTTCTATAACATATTCTTTTATTTGTTTTGATTCCATAAAAAAAGCTAGTAGTGCATTGAATGCCCTATTTGTAATTTTGATAACATCTTCAGGCATATTCTTTTTTATGTGATGTGCTATTGGTTTAAACAGACCTAGATTTAATTTCCATAAAACTAAAAAATATAATTCATCTTGCGTTATATATGCATTTCCCAATTCGTATCTTTCTTTCACTTGAATGGGTAATTCGTTGAATCTCCAATTTGTTAATTTTGAGAAGGTTAATTTCTCATCTGAATATCTTTTTTTGGAACTTGAAGACTTTGCATCTATAATTAAATCATATAATTTTTCATTGGCTGTTTTAATATTGTTGAAACACATTATGAATAGAATGATGGTTGTAAAAAATTGAATGGTAAAATTTAATCTGCTCCAAATGAGTGAATTGATTGTGAAAATATGAATAGTAATTTTTAATTTGCTCCAAATGAATAGATTGGTTGTAAAAATTATTGATCTGCTCTAAATGTTTATGTTTATAGTTTTGACTTTATTAGTACTTAATAATAAAATTTAAGCGACTTGCATCGAGATTTGTACTTCACTTGACAAAATTTCACCAACTTAATTTGATATTTGATATACATCCCATTTAGTATCCATGTATCTTGGTCATATCTAGACTCTAAACTAACAATCATTCATTATATAATGATTTACAATAAAGGTATAAATTAATAAGCTATCTGAAACACGTCTGAAGTATACCAATAGATGGTAGCGGTGATGATATATAATATTGTAAATCATATTCGAAACATACACATTTTTTCTCTCCATAAACAATAATTAAACTTCAACAACACCTTTATCAAATAACCAACTAATATATTAAGGCAGAATAATGAAACATAATGACGTCGACTTCATCAACAAACAAACGAAAACTTAATCACCAAACACCTGAGTTTAATTCAATGTCAAATGATGAATTTCAAATCCCAGAACCCTTCGATAATCAAACACCAATTGAAATAGCACCAAATTCAAATATTAATTTCCAACCTTCAAACCACTCTGATTTAATTTCAAATAACCTAATTAATGACAATATTAATTTACAGAAAAACTCCAGACGGTTTCGAGAAAAACAATCCATGAAAGATTACCCATTTCCACATTACAAGTTCGTTCATCCAGACATATTCATACATGAATCAATTGAAATCTATTCAAAAAATATCAATCAAATTCATCAACGAAATATCGACCACCATTTGAAAAATATATCATTATTAACTGAGTTACATGAATTAACATTAAAAAATAGCATCAGCACAGATACTCATGATATCATTGATATGAATTGCATAGGAAAAAATTTAAATGTTGTTAATAATGAAGCTGACACTATTGAATCTGATACAAGAATTATTAAAATTGAACCAACTGATGAACCTTACAAATTTGGTGATTTAGCAAATGTAAATATTAATACAATAGATCCACAATTGATGAAAATAAAAACAACTGATGGTATACAACTGGCTAATGAAGTGATAGAAATCAATGCTCCAGGTAATGATGCTATTCTTTCGTCTGATAATGAAAATGATGACGTTGTTATTTTAGATGTCAATAATTTAAATAATGTTGATGATAAAGATGTAATTGCAGCAGCTGTAGATAACAATGATAAAGGTACTCATTCATTAGCAGCTATTATATTGGACTTGAAAATATTAAATAACGTTAAAATTTTAAAAAAAATGGGATTAGCCAGTGAATTATCAACAGTAGAAGCTCAACGTCGAGTTGCTGACGTTACTCTCCAAATTGGATCAATTGAATTAACTATTATTGTTTGGTATTTACCGACTCATAATTATCCACAACAGTTAAACATAATTGAACAAGTGTTGAATTTGATGACACCAGATAAATTATATTTTTTAGCTGGTGATTTTAATAATGGTTACGATTTGAAAGGTACTGTAAAACAACAAGAAGAACGAATCCATCAATTACTTAATTCAAAATTAAACGATTTGGGGATGATTGATTTTGCACTGACATTTATCGATACCAAATATTTCACAAATTGGAACGCATCTAATAATAGATGTATTGATTTCATTAAAGTAAGTAAATCATTACTACAATATTTGGGAATGTGGGAATTGTATTTTGACTTTGATGGAACACATGCAGGGATTACAACCCAATTTTGTATGACTCCACTTGATACATTTGAAAAATTAGTTGATATAAATGCTAAACAAAATAAAATACTTGAAAATTTTTATTCTAAAGCCCAAATTTCAAATGATCAAAGGTATACATATGATGATGTAAAAGAAATGCATGCAGGTATGATTGAGTTAATTGATGAAAATTCAAAAAATGTTAAAATTAAATTGGAGCAAGACCAAGAAGTAAATTTAGATCCTGAAATTCAACAAATTTTAAAAAAATATGGTTTAGGACAAAATGAATTCAATATTGGTTCTGACGAGGATGAAAGTGAACATGAAAGTTTTATAAATGATGAAAATTTACTACCAATGGTTAGCAACTCAAAAACTAATTTAAATTATAGTGATGTTGAGTCTAACTTTTTAAAACCTTCGCTGTTGAAATTAATTGATGAAAATTCAAAAATTGATAAAGTTAAATTGATTCAAGACCAAGCAGTAAATTTAGATCCTGAAATTCAACAAAATTTAAAAAAACCTGGTTTACAACAAAATGAATTCAATACTGGTTCTAATGAGGATAAAAGTGAACATGAAACTATTACAAATGATGAAAATATTCAACCAATGGTTAGCAATTCAAAAACTAATTTAAATAATAGTCATGTTGAATCTAAAATATTTGAAGTTCGGCAATTGAAGTTAAATTTGCTGGTGTTTCAAATGTCTCAGTTGGCTTACTTGGGATACAACATAGATGATGAGGACACCAAGGTGGAAATAACGTTAATAAGACCCAGTAATAGCAACTCACATATCTGGAAATACATGGGCATAATAGAACAAATGGATTTTTCAGTATTATGTACATGTTGTTTTAAAATTTTTGAATGGAAATATGATGATGAAAGTTACTGGTCTTTGATGAATCATTTAAATTTCCACAATGAACTTGATATCCCACATTTTGACTCAATTTCAAATCCAACAATGAAATCAGAAAATTATTTACATTATATTTATGTTGAATGTAAAGCATTTAGAATTTGGGAGTTGAAATACCATTTGCTGATACCTAACTTAAATCAGTTAGCAGAATTGGGAAATGACACACAAAATGATAATACCCCAGTGTTATTGACTTTAAAAAGACCAAATATTAGCAGCCCATATATCTGGAGATTTGTGGGTATAATCCAAGAATTAGATGGTTTAGTTTTGTGCACTTGTTGTTCTAAATTTTTCAAATGGAATAATGATGATGATGAAAGTTATGGGGCTTTAGTGAATCATTTGAAGTTTCATGGTGAACTTAATACTTCACGATTTGAACCATTTTCAAACTCGACCACAAATTTAAATTATAGTTATATTGAGTCTAAAATATTTGAAGTTCAGCAATTGAATTTAAATTTGCTGGTACGTCACATGATTCAGTTGGCACAATTGGGATACAACATATACAATGAAAACACAAAGGTGGAATTAAGTTTGAAAAGACCCAATACAAGAAGAACATCCATTTGGAGATATGTGGGTATAATCCAAGAATTAGGTTGTTTAGCTTTATGCACATGCTGTTTCAAATTTTTCGAATGGAATAATGATGATGAAAGTTACTGGTCTTTGATAAATCATTTAAATTTTCATGATGGACTTAATACTTCACAATTTGAACCATTTTCATATTCAACAATGAGATCAAGGATCTGTTTAGATGATAATTATGTTGAATCTAGCACATTTAAAATTTGGGGGTTGAGAAACTATTTGCTGATAACTAACATGTTGAAATTGGCAGAATTGGGATACGACACACAAAATGATGAAAGTAAAGTTGTGTTGACATTAAAAAGACCCAATACTAGCAGCAAATATATTTGGAGATACGTGGGTGTCATTAAAGAACTAGATGGTTTAGCTTTATGTACAAGTTGTCTGAAATTTTTCAAATGGAACAATGATGATGAAAGTTATGGGGCTATAATTAATCATTTAAATTTTCACAAGAAACTTAATACCTCACAATTTGAACCATTTTCAAACCCAACCATGGAATCAAAGAATTTGAATTATCATTATGTTGAGGCTAGAATATTTGAGGTTCGTCAGTTGAAGTTGTATTTGCTGCATCTCGATTTCATGCAATTGATAAGATTGGGATATGACACAGATGATGATCAAACTAAAGTTGAATTGACGTTGAAAAGACCAAATACTAGCAGCAAGTATATTTGGAGATACATCGGGGTAATTGAGCAATTCAATTCTTTAATTTTATGTACATGCTGTAATAAGATAATCCGTTGGAATGTTGATAGTGGAAGTGAAGATACCTTGGAAAATCATTTGAAATTGCATAAAGATCTTGATACCTCAATGTTTAAAAACCCAAATAAATTATCAATTACCAGCAGATCAAATCAAACTCTGGGTTCATAGTCATTTGGGAAGTTTCTGACAAGTTCGTAACTATTGATCCAAGTTCCAAATTAAATCTTACTTAGAAAGTGCATGTCAAGTCACTACCATCACTCATTTAGTTTAAATTAATTTTTTCAAGCATTGCTGTAATGATGCTGTAAATATCTTTGATTTAAATAATGTTTCTGAAAAAATATAGTTGTTTTGAATTAATGAATCTGTAAATTGAATACTTTATCTATCATGAACTAGTATTTTACATTGGCTTGTTATTTGTCATTTGTGGTTGTTTACTCTAAATTTTGTATTCATTAAGAATTGTTAAAAAATGTTAAAAAATATAAACAATGTAGAATAATTAGATTGTAGAATTAGATACGCATGTTAAAAATTATCTCAATTAGTAGAAATTTGTTTTTTTCTATTGTTTCCGATATTCCAAGAATTTGCTCCCAGTTTTTTTTTTAGCTTTTTTTTTTCAATTACCATTAATTATTTACTAGATCGGTAGTCTCAACTTGTTCAAATAAGCTGCCGAACTATTGCTTAAATGAAGTGTTACTTTATCTTTCGTTGAGGTTTTCCCAATCGGCTTCATTTTCAGGTAGTATCTATTTTGTGTAACAAAAAAGAAGAAGAAAAAACAAAATTTCAGCATTAAGTAGTGGAAAGTAACAATGTTTTTTTTTAACTCAATTTAGTAATATGTTGAAACGCAATACGAAATTAGATAATATTCAACAGAATTGTTTATCCCGGGTTGTGTGTCACTTTCATTTTCATTTTTTCATTTTTCTTATGAAATTGACAGGCGATTTCATAGGCGACAGCCAATAAATTAAAAAAAAAAATCTATAAATTCCCAAAAAAATAACAAATTTTCAACAACTTTTAATTCACTTTTTCTTCTTTCTTCTTTCTTCTTTCTTTCTTTCTTACTTTACAATTTATATTTCATATTACCCTTTATATCTCAAAAAATATTCATTTAACTTCTCACAATGTCATCATCAATTGATTTTATTTCCAATAAATCTACTAAAAAAGATAATCATTTATTTACAAAATTTTCTTATGAAAATTCATTAGTTGAAAAAAATTCAGATGGTTCATTAAAAGTTACTCCAACTCAACAAGATTATGAATTTAAATTAGATTTAAAAGTTCCAAAAGTTGGTTTATTATTAGTTGGTTTAGGTGGTAATAATGGTACTACATTAGTTGGTTCAATTTTAGCCAACAAGAATAATATTAGTTTTGAAAATAAAGAAGGTGTTGTTAAACCAAATTATTATGGTTCAGTTACTCAAAGTTCAACTATTAAAATTGGTATTGATGGTGAAGGTAATGATGTTTATGCTCCTTTCAATTCTATTGTACCAATGGTTTCTCCAAATGACCTTGTTGTTGATGGTTGGGATATTTCTGGTTTAACTTTAGATCAAGCAATGAAAAGAGCTAAAGTTCTTGATGTTACTTTACAAAAACAATTATATCCATTAATTGAAAATATAAAACCAAAAGAATCAATTTATTATCCAGATTTTATTGCTGCAAATCAAGGTGAAAGAGCTGATAATGTTTATAATAAAATTAATGGAGAAATTAAAACTGATCAAAAATGGAAAGATGTTGAAAAAATTAGAAAAGATATACAAGATTTTAAAAGCACCAATAAATTAGATAAAGTTATTGTTTTATGGACTGCAAATACTGAAAGATATGCTGATGTATTACCAAAAGTTAATGATACTGCTGATAATTTAATTGCTTCAATAAAATCAAATCATGAAGAAATTGCTCCATCTACAATTTTTGCAGTTGCTTCAATTTTAGAAGGTGTTCCATATATTAATGGTTCACCACAAAATACTTTTGTACCAGGTGTTATAGAATTAGCTGAAAAACATAAATCTTTTATTGGTGGTGATGATTTTAAATCAGGTCAAACAAAAATTAAGTCGGTGTTAGCTCAATTTTTAGTTGATGCAGGTATTAAACCAATTTCAATTGCTTCATATAATCATTTAGGTAATAATGATGGTTATAATTTATCAGCACCAAAACAATTTAGATCAAAAGAAATTTCAAAAGCTTCAGTTGTTGATGATATGATTGAAAGTAATGAAATTTTATATAACAAAGAAAGTGGTGATAAAGTTGATCATTGTATTGTTATAAAATATTTACCAGCAGTTGGTGATTCAAAAGTTGCAATGGATGAATATTATTCAGAATTAATGTTGGGTGGTCATAATAAAATTTCAATTCATAATGTATGTGAAGATTCTTTATTAGCAACTCCATTAATTATTGATTTGGTTGTGGTTTCTGAATTTTTATCAAGAGTTACATACAAAAAGGAAAATGAATCAGAATATCAAGATTTTTATGCTGTTTTAACTTTATTAAGTTATTGGTTGAAAGCTCCTTTATCAAGACCAGGATTTAAAGCTATAAATGGTTTAAATAAACAAAGACAAGCTTTAGAAAATTTATTAAGATTATTAGTTGGTTTACCAATTAATAATGAATTAAGATTTGAAGAAAGATTAGTTTAGATGATTTAGTTTAAATGATTTAGTTCTTAATAATTTTGATAATTAAATAATAATAAATAATAATAATATAAGAGTTTTAAATAAGTTTTAATTAATCTTTTTCATGTGATATTCTTCTAGGGTACAATAATTTAATGTTTTGTGCATGTTTCAGAATTTTCCCCAATTTTTAAAACATAATTGATATTAATATTAAATTTCGTAATATTAAATATGATTTAATTTTATACATTGATCATGTTGTAAAGAGGAAAAACTTATTCTAGACTTAGTGTTAGCCTTGAACTACAATCTTCATTTATTGAATGACTGAAATGTAACATTTACAAAAATTCGACACTCGTAATCTTAATAATATGTACATTGATATTTTAATTTTATATCCATAAATTATTATCAACTTCAGCTTGGTAAAATATTCGTCTTTACGTGGCTCTTATAAAGTGTGATGGTGTTTTCTTTGCTTCAAAATACTTAAGACTACAAGAAGTAATGTTCTCTCCAATCACCTATTTACCTACATTTTTCTATCAATCAAGCATCAAGTATCTGACGAGTCTAACTTTCAAGTAGATAATAAAAAAAATTAAAATCTACTAGTTCTAGACTATTATATAATGATTTTCAAATTCATTAAGGTTCACTAGACTAATTTAAAAATAAACAAGATTTGGATCTACAATATTAATTTTAGTCTTTTTAAGTATCTATACATATAAGAAATACTAAGAAACCTGTATATAAATAAACTAAAAATTTACCCAACAAAAATATTTATTAATTATTATATTGTTTCGAAAACTTTGAAATTATTATTATAATAGAAATAATAGTAATAAAATTTCCCCTTATGTAAATATTTCTAATATGATACGGTCTCTTGAGATCTCACACGAGCTTCGACCTAAATTTGATACAAGAAGTTATTGATTTGTTGTTCTTTTTTCTTTCAAATTGACTTATTCTACCACGGTTTATATTAGCTAAAAATTGAGAATTATGCAATATACGGAGAAAAGAGTAAGAAATAAGTAAAGTTACAGATTTGAATTTGATTTTGATTTTGACATCTGTATAATATTTGCTTGTAATTTATTATAAATTTTTGGTGAAAAAAATATATAAACTATTAGACGATATTGTTGTATGTAAAAGTATTTATAGTTGTTAATTAAAGTATTAATCGTAGTTAAAGTTAATTGTAAATTAAAAATAGTTAGCTCTCCACTTTCATAATTTTTCTTATTGTTTACTTAAAAAAGTTAAAAAGTATAATTAAATTAGATTACGAATAATTAACTTTTTTAAGCTTATATTAAATGCAAATGAGATTTATAAATTTATAATTGACTACCAAAATTATAGGGTTCTCTTGGTAAAGGTATCTTGATGAATTTTGGGCGAAGGAGGGGGAGGGGGGTGTATATAAAATAATATTTTTTTTTTCTTTCAAATTAACAATATGTTTCATAATTATTAAAGAGCAAACGTATATATATCTAAATATTTTACTTGTCAATAAATAAAATTGTTTCAAAATTTAATTAAAGATGACCAAAATTATAAAATTAAATAATGCCAATTCAAAACTTATTACAAATTTAATGCCAATAAATTATAAAAATAATAAAAAGAAAGACAAGATTTTTAAAGAGTTGATTATATACTATAGTAATAAAGGAAAGAAAAAATAGAATAAAGATTTAAATGATTTTTTAGGTGTAAAATTCAAATTGATCTTGTGGAATTTAAAATTTAAATAAATTTTTGGAGTTTATACGTCAAATGGCAGACTTGATGAATTAAATAATAAAGTAATAACAATATTATTATCTAATCGAAAAGTAAGTCATATTATGTTCTGATTTAGATACTAGAGATTGCCTAATAATTAATGTATTCACTATTAGTTTATGATGATATATGTATATGTCAATCACCTTGATAAATAATACAGAGCCTTAATCATTTTTTCTTATCATATTCTTCTTCTATTAATAGTTTAGATTCTTTTTTTGCTCAACAAAATGAAACACATAAAATATAATGAAAAGAATTAACAACATATTAACATCATTTTATATTAAATAAAATAATACCATTACAAATTACTATTGTAGATATTATAGTAGATAATCAAAATTTATTTGATGATAATTATTAAGATTAAAAGCTTATAGTTTTAAGATTTATAATTTATAATGTAAATATACATAAAACTTGGTTATATTCATATTAATTATATAAGTTTTGAAACTTTTAAGTAGAATTAAATATGTAAATAAAATAAATATAAAAATAAAACGTATTATTAGATAATACATAAATTACAATTTTAATAAAGATTTAATTATTTACATGATAAATTATTCTATTTATATAATTAGTTTTAAATTTCCCTTTTTTAAATAATATATTTTAATAGATACTTATTTATATATTTACTTCCAGTTAACATCAATTTCAATCTTTTAAATCATATCAAAATTATATTTATATTTATATACTTCATTAAGAGATTAAAAGATTAGATTTAAAAATATAATAATTTTTTTATCAATAAATTTAAAATATTACAATACAATATAATAAAATAATAAATTAAAAAAGCAAAAAAATATTTCTCCAATTTTAAATTCAAATTATTTTATTTTTATAATCAACTTTTTTTATTTATTTTTAACAACAACTACAACTATTAATCTTATCAATTGAATCACTTACGAAGATGTCTCCTTTAACTGTTGCTGTTGGAGAAGCTAAACCTGGTGAAACTGCTCCAAGAAGAAAAGCTTCTCAAAGAGATGCTGCTTTAACTCGTCCTGCTGATTCAAAAGCAAATAATATCCCAGAATTTATAAAAGAATGTTTTAAAAGAAATGGTAATAAAAATGCAATGGGTTGGAGAGACTTAAAAGAAATTCATGTTGAAACTAAAGAAATTACCAAAAAAATTGATGGCGAAGATAAAAAAATTAAAAAAGATTGGACTTATTATGAAATGGGTCCTTATAACTATATCAAGTATCCTGATTTATTAAAGTTAATTGAAAATTATTCAAAAGGTTTAATTGAAATTGGTTTAAAACCAAATCAAGAATCAAAATTAATGATTTATGCTTCAACTTCTCATTATTGGATGCAAACTTTTTTAAGTTGTACTTTTCAAAATATCCCAATTGTTACTGCTTATGATACTTTAGGAGAATCTGGTTTAACACATTCTTTAGTTCAAACTGAATCTGATGCAATTTTTACTGATAATTCTTTATTACATACTTTAATCAATCCATTGAAAAAGGCAAAAAATGTTAAATATATTATTCATGCAGAACCAATTGATCCAACTGATTCAAGACAAGGTGGAAAATTATATCAAAATGCTAAAGCTGCAAAAGAAGAATTATTAACTATTAATCCAGATTTAAAATTTATTAGTTATCAAGAAATTATTGAATTAGGGGCAAAAAGTAATGAAAATTTTCATTTTCCAAAAAGTGATGATTTGGCTTGTATTATGTATACTTCAGGTTCTACTGGTGATCCAAAGGGAGTTTGTATTACAAATGCAAATATTTTAGGTGCAGTTGCAGGTATTTCAGAAAATGCAGGTAGAGATTTAGTTGGTCCAAACGATTCAGTTATTGCATTTTTACCTTTAGCTCATATTTTTGAATTGGCATTTGAAATTGTTACTTTCTGGTGGGGTGTTCCATTAGGTTATGCAAATGTTAAAACATTAACTGAAGCATCTTGTAAAAATTGTCAACCAGATTTAATTGAATATAAACCAACAGTTATGGTTGGTGTTGCAGCAGTTTGGGAATCAGTTAGAAAAGGGGTTTTAGCTAAAGTTAAACAAGCTTCATTTATTCAACAAAAATTATTTTGGGGTGCTTTTAATGCAAAAGCAACAATGAATAAATTTCATATTCCTGGTGGATCATTATTTGATATTATTTTTAAAAAAGTTAAAGCTGCCACTGGTGGTAGATTACGTTATGTATTAAATGGTGGATCTCCAATTTCAATTGATGCCCAAGTATTTGTATCTACTTTAATTGCTCCAATGTTGTTGGGTTATGGATTAACTGAAACTTGTGCAATGGGTACTATTGTTGAACATACCAAATTTGAACCAGGTACTTTAGGAGCATTAACTGGTTCAATAACTGCAAAATTAATTGATGTACCAGATGCAGGATATTTTGCAAAAGATAACCAAGGGGAAATTTTATTAAAAGGAGCATCAGTTGTAAAAGAATATTACAAGAATGAAAAAGAAACCAAAGAAGCATTCACTGCTGATGGTTGGTTTAGAACAGGGGATATAGGAGAGTGGGAGAGTAATGGAGGACTCAAAATTATAGATAGGAAAAAGAATCTAGTAAAAACTTTGAACGGGGAATATATTGCCCTTGAAAAATTAGAAAGTATTTACAGAAGTAATCCATTGGTTGGGAACATCTGTGTTTATGCAGATCAATCCCAAGTTAAGCCAATTGGAATTATTGTTCCAGTCCCAAATTTTTTACAACAATTGGGTTTTCAGGAAGATACTGACTACAATAACAACAAGTTAACACAAAAAGTAGTCGATTCCTTAAATCAAACAGGCCGATCACAAGGCTTAAAAGGAATCGAGCTCTTACAAAATGTTGTCCTCGTCCATGACGAGTGGACACCAGAGAATAACTTTGTCTCTTCAGCTCAAAAATTACAGAGAAAGAAGATTGTTAAAGAGTATGAAAAACAGATTGAAAAAGCTTACCAATAATTACTTTATCAAATTATTAATTAATATTAAATAGTTTTCAATAATTATTAAATTTTCTTAAAATTTTCTATAAATTACTTTTCAATATATTATAAATTTACTTTTCAATAATTAATAAATTTACTTGTAAGATCATTATAATTTACTTTAATTTAATATTGGTATAGATGTATATTCATTTTGATTTCAATGGATGTGATTTACCTCATTCATCCAAATTTTCAACACCTCAATTAAAACAACTTAAAAATCTCTTTAATGAGCTATTCAATTCTTTTGATTCTTCATGATTCATCAGATACCAAGAATAATGAGTTGAACCACATATCAGCATTTTCATAGGTAATAATAATCAAACCATGACCACTTTTGTCAACAAATTTTATAAATTCAAGACTTTTTACCAACTGATTCACTAAGTTATATTGTTGACTAATTGATCCAACAATTCAAGTACAAATTTTCCCATACAATCTAAAATTTTTGTATAATTTCCTGCAATTGAAACATCAACCAATTCTCTAACTTTTGCGACTTCATATTTGGCTATAGATTCATGTTTAAAAGCAACTAACATCATGTAATTTCCACTATTTTTCGATCAAAGTAATAGTCCCCAACATCGTATCCAAAATAAGCCCTCTAAAATTTAACTTGGACATCAAATGTTATAGATACTCCTCTTACATTTGAATTGAAATGTTGTTATTTGTGAGTTTGTGAAAATGGTGATATAAAAAGATCACTGTTGGAGAATTTTGAACGTTATAATTTAACAGTGTTTCGTTAAAGTATGCTGACCATTAGTAGCCTAACTTGGGCATTTTAATTTGTCTTATGTGTCTTATAAAAAAATTAACATTTCTGTTTGAAATAAAAGAATCATCACCACCTTTTAATGTTATTGGAGTTGTAGAATTTGATGAAACTAATGTATTAAATTTTAAAATTTTTGATTATGCACCTGCTAAAGTATCTTGGACACTACCTGTTAAGAAAATCTTGAAATAAATGACATACTTGGTGATATATATATTTTCAACAATATTTGCAGTTTGTGCCCATAATAAATTTTATGGTAATGATATAACAATGAATGATAATGAAACTTTAACTAGTGTTGTAAAAGCTTGTTTGTAATCATGATAATGAACAAATAAAATAATGGAAGGCATAATATTGTTTGTGTTGACATGATAAATAAAATATGGAATGAATCAAATTATTTAAGTCGAAGGTATCTTCTTGTCTTGATAGCTGAACTTAATTTCATAATTGACAATATTGAAATATTAACACTAACTGAAAATAATATAGTTGGTAAATCCATTAAAAAATCATCAACTTCATTTGGTGAACCAGAAGTACCAGCAGTGAAAGCTATATGAAATTTAGTGTTATCGTAGATTTGAGTTCCTATAGATACAAGTGCTAATAAAACAGCTAAAACAGATGCCAAAACACCCCAATTTTAAAAGTTGGATTTTAAACATTATAAAAATTTGATATGAAACAATGTAACTAATACAACTTTCACCATCATAAATACCAGTGAAATAATGCTTATTGTTTAAAATACAACCTGATCTGGTAACAATCAACAATAAAATACCAATATTTAAATTGAATAATAATGAAGTTCTCAAAGTTTTGTAATTTTTGTATCATATACAAATTAACACTATTATTAACATGAATGTAGTTCCAATGGTTGCACTTAATACAACAGCATTGAGCATTTGTTGTTTATGAACCTAGTACAATATCGCATTGTTCATTTGTTGTTTATGATAAGCATCAGGATATGAAAAAGGAACTGTTTTAACATCTGGAACATTTGGTAATGGAAATGTAATATTAATAATAGCTATAATTTGAACTTATTTTAGTTGATTCTTGACTCATTTTAGTTGTGAAAGAAGCTTTTTTGATTGTGAACTAAATTAAATCAAAATCAAAATTTCGTAATTTAAAAGATTTTAAGAAAGAAAATAAATGGTGATCAAATAAATGCGCTAAACAAATAAAATTTCACGACTTTGATGTGCATATCGTCTAAATCAGCTTGTCGGTGGGTCATTTTCAAAGCTACCATATCGACCTAATCTAATACTGTACATATGAATTAACCACTTGAGTATATATCCAATTAAGCTTGAAACAAAGCAACAAGAAGTAATATACTCTGATTTGGTGATCAAACATTGCAGCTAGAAGTGGTTGAATGTGAAATACTTGATTTTTGATATTCTTTTTTAAAATTGTGTAAGATTTGCAGCATATGAGGTACAAAATTAAAAATGATTAACTAGTGAACTCTAAATCTTATAGTGCTTTAAAATTTAAAGTATTAACTTCAAACTTTGATTTTCTTGTTTAAGAAAATCAACAGACAGTCCATGGTACAGTTTTGAAGGTCAAGAGAGCACAAATGAATGTAATTTTCATGTTTTGAACAATTTTTGCAACCAATAATTATGTATTGATGTACAGTTGTGGCTAGTACACGATTATCTTATTAGCGAGACCGCATAATTTCTTAATACGGATGATAATGCGCGGATGTCAAATGTAATGATGTTTACAGATCCATTGGTTGGGAACATCTGTGTTTATGCAGATCAATCCCAAGTTAAGCCAATTGGAATTATTGTTCCAGTCCCAAATTTTTTACAACANTACGGATGATAATGCGCGGATGTCAAATGTAATGATGTTTACAGATCCATTGGTTGGGAACATCTGTGTTTATGCAGATCAATCCCAAGTTAAGCCAATTGGAATTATTGTTCCAGTCCCAAATTTTTTACAACAATTGGGTTTTCAGGAAGATACTGACTACAATAACAACAAGTTAACACAAAAAGTAGTCGATTCCTTAAATCAAACAGGCCGATCACAAGGCTTAAAAGGAATCGAGCTCTTACAAAATGTTGTCCTCGTCCATGACGAGTGGACACCAGAGAATAACTTTGTCTCTTCAGCTCAAAAATTACAGAGAAAGAAGATTGTTAAAGAGTATGAAAAACAGATTGAAAAAGCTTACCAATAATTACTTTATCAAATTATTAATTAATATTAAATAGTTTTCAATAATTATTAAATTTTCTTAAAATTTTCTATAAATTACTTTTCAATATATTATAAATTTACTTTTCAATAATTAATAAATTTACTTGTAAGATCATTATAATTTACTTTAATTTAATATTTTATAGATATATATTCATATTGATATCAATAGATGTGATCTAGACTTCTTATCATCAATCATCCAAATTTTCAACAGCTCTACCAGATATGTTATTGAAATCAGAATTTAAAAACAACATAAGAATCACTTCATTTATAAATTTGTTTTCTGAGCTATTCAACTCTCTTAATCCTCTATAATTCATCAGGTACCAAGAATAATGAGGTTGGTCACATATCAGCATTTCCATAGGCAATAATAATTAAACCATGATCACTTTTTTCAATCGATTTTATGAAATCAAGACTTTTTACCAACTGATTTGATTGATTCACTAAGTTATATTGTTGACTAATTGATCCAACAATTCAAGTACAAATTTTCCCATACAATCTAAAATTTTTGTATAATTTCCTGCAATTGAAACATCAACCAATTCTCTAACTTTTGCGACTTCATATTTGGCTATAGATTCATGTTTAAAAGCAACTAACATCATGTAATTTTCACCTGATTTTCTGATCAAAGTTAAATGTCCCCAACATTATATTCAATAAATAAGCCTTCTAAGATCTAACTTGGACATCAAATGTTGTAGTTTTAACTCTTAAATTTGAATTGAATTGTCGTTATTGATGGGTTTGTGAAAATGATAATATAAAATGATCATTGATTGAACATTTTGAATGTTATAAGTTCTTAATGTTACGTTTGAGGTGTTTCACATGTTGACCACTGATAGCCTGACTTGGAGATTTTAATTTGACTTATGTGTTTTATACTGTTTTTTTGAAGTATTGTTCATTTTGGTGTAATTTTTGAAAAATCGTTAGAAACTTAATATTCATCTTATTATTTAATCCATTATTGAATCAATTTACAACTTGCTTGATATGGACTGGAAAAGGTAAACATTTAAAATTATAAAAACGATGATCTTTCATGTATCAAATTATTTATAAAATGTCAAAATCTTGCTGATTGGTTGAATAATGTTCAAACTTCACAAATCAAGTTCCAATGAAATATCAATTTGTTCATGAAGACGGAAAAAGTGGTGTGTACGATGAGAAAGGTAATCCTACCTATGACTATGGTGGCTCAAATGATTTACATTCTACTGAATATTTATTAAATTTGATGTTGTACTTAAATCATCCAGCAAGAACAAAATTAATATTAAAAGCATTGTTTAGATGTTTTGAAATGTGCTTAAATATTGTAGATATTTAGTTATTATATATTAAAAAATATTTTTGTTTTTCTATTAGTCTATAAATGGAATGTATATCTATATAATGTTAAGTCAATGTAAATTAATAAATAGATTATTGTATTATTTGCTTCTATAAACCTATATTTTTATCTACATAAAAATGCAGATTTATAGAAGCTATATACTCTATATAAAACCTATATACATTCGATGAAGGATGGTTTCACACAGGAGACTTCTTATCGACAGAAAGAAAAACTTAGTCAAAACTGGGTTCGCCATGAAAAGCTAATATCAGTAAATGAGTAATAGATTTAACGTCTTAATGCGCTTCATCAAGTGAGTTTTGGCAATTGGCATGCTCTGTAAGCTACAACAGAAGCATATAGTACCATGCTGTAAACACTCGAATCCCGAACAAAAAGACGGGTGCTTTGTCTTGTTGTAAACCGTGCAAACACGTATAGGACCTTCAGCAAAACGAGCCCAATCCAGACCCACTGTAGATCTATTAAAGTAATGCAATCGGCTGCTAACAACAGCAGGCAAACAGCTCCATTGATTAAGAATTAAATATGCAAAGTAATTGTTGCACATTCAATTAAAAACCTAGAAGCTGCCACTTTACAACAAAAGTGTGCCTCTGTTGAAACTAGATTATCTATGTTAGTTATGTGTTCAAACATATGTATTGTATACGTACTAAACTTATTAATTTATGAAATAAGGTGACACTCTTGATTAGTAATTGAAAAAAGAAAAAGTAGTATAAGTAAAAAAAATCAAAATTTTGAATGTTCAAGGGAAAATCGATTCATATTTATAATTTTTAAAGATAAAAATAAAATGTGTATAACTCCTTAACTTTATTAATAATTAAATTTATTCTTACAAACGTTTGATAAGAATTTTAATTTTTATAAATATTATATTTATTTTGTTTTAGCCTAATCAATTAAACAGGGACCAAATTTTTGAGATTTTAATTTCCTCTTAATTACAGATTTCAAACACTTAATGTTATAACAACTTTTATAATTTACTCTATTCATAGACTTATACAAATATCTCCAAATTGTTATACATTAATAATATTTGAGATTTTTTGTTGAGTTTTAAAAACAAAATAAAAAATGTCTAATTTATAAAATAAAAAAAATGTGTAACTAGTTACTGTCATTTATTTATAAAAATTTCAAATAGCACGTTATACTTTTAAATTTCAAGGGGCTAATTAATTAATCATAACCATAAGATTTACAATAATCAGATGAAAATCTTTAAACTTTAGGTTGTTTCAGTAATTATCCACATTGAACATTAACTTAAATCTTTGAAATTTAATTCAAAATGATTGAATCAAAATTGTGATACTAATTAGACATTACTTGAATAATCATATGAATAAATCATTAATAATAAATTCACTCCGCAGACATTTTAATTGTATGCACAATGGGTAATCTTTTGTTTACGTTTTGATTTTGCCAGTATACATTTTTATTTATTTGGTCTACATTTTCTCCATTTTTCATCCAAAAATAGTTGTTTATAGTATGCAGACATTTTTTCAATCAATCTCAAATTTATTGATTATAATTTTATTTGCAGTACGGATGCTTTACAGATCAGATATATGAACTATAATGATAAGTAATTTTACAATAATAAATCAAAATGTATTTATACTTTGGCTGGATTCATAAGAGTTTGAAAATAGTGAATGTGTTTCAATTTCAATCATAAAAATTACATCAATTTTATTAACCTTGTATGATGGAAAAAAATAAAGTTTGTAGAATTGAAATTAGTTGAAGTAAGCAGCAAAAAAACTCACAAAATTATTAAAGAGTTGCAAAATTAAAAGATGCTTTTGTAGATATAAAATTTTTATGTGTTCTGAATTCATTGAACATGATGTATCTATGAAAGATACTTATTAAAACTAATGAAATGTTGTAGTAATAACAATCAAAGTAAATAGTTTTAGTAAAAAAACTATCAACACAATACATTCAATAATCAAACATAAAAATCGCAAATATCTTTACATTGTGAGTTAATATTTGAGTTTGAATCATTTCCATGGAACAAAGTTCTCAAAAGAGCTATAATTATAAATAGTTTTTTCAGTTCTTCGATAATATTACTGTTTTAGATGTAAGGCATTATATTTGAAAAAACAGTTTATTTGATTTAAATAGATAACTAATTTTTATGTATGCAGGATCAAATTGAAGATTGGTAAAAATTTTTGTTATCAAAATGATAAGCTACGATAAAGTTATAATACAACATTACCTATTTAGTTTTTATATTATTTAAATTTTACATTATAGTTATTTAATCTTGGTAAAATGATTAAATACAGATTCTGGATTATCCATTCTTACTAATGGAACTTTACTCATATTCAAATAAAAAAAAAATTACTTCGTTGATTAGAAGATATAAAATCGTAAATGCATAGATCCTTGAAATTTATTGTTAATAATTTATAATCTTAATTTACGTGAATGATAATAAATATGTAGTCCAAGCTAAAATATTGGACAGTTGAAACAATCCATTTAAAGTTTTACCTTTTGCTTAATTCAACGATCGATAAATATTTTTTAATTTCTATTGTGAGCCGCTTAATTTATTATTTTAATAATATTACCGTTTATGTTATTCTGAAACATTTGAAAAACTTGATTGACGAGCTGAATAAATTTTTTTTAAATCACCCCAAAAAAATAGAACTTTGATTAAATTGAGCTTCATTAAAAAAGACATTCCATATTTTTTGAAAGGAAAAAATTACATAGGACTTAAATACATTGAACTATCAGGTATTTAAGTATACAAGTAAATTTCATGAAATGTTTAATTTTGTTTATGAACCTTCTTCGAAAAGTTTCGTAATAAATTCATAGTTTTGCTTTATCGTAAACCAAAATTATAATTTGTTTCAGGTGTAAAATTTTAAAATAATACTTTATGAAACACAGGCAAAAATTTAAAAATTTATTTAAATACTTATTCAAATCTGATATTTTTCTTTCTTTCTTCCTTCTTCAACTTACTTTCATTATGTCCACTGAATCAGAATTCACAATTAATTTACAAAGACCAATTTCAATCAATCAAAGAATCACCGAGGGAAAAACAGCTTTTGAAACATTATTTGGAATCAATGAATCCATTAAATTAAGAGAAGGTTTAATTGGTATTCAATTTAGATTAAACAATGATGATATAATTTCCATTTATGAAAATCCAAAACAAGTTTTAGCATTTATGATTTTAATTCCAAGATTGGTTACAATTATAGCAAGTGGTAGATTGATTAGTTTAAGAGGACTTTATTATTTAGATGATGGAATTTGGTCAACTTCTGAATCATGTACTAAATATTTACAATTATTATTATCAAATTTAAAATATGATATGGAAAAAGTTAATGTTGTTCCTGAACATCGTGGAGAATTTTGGACAAATATATTTGATGTAAGAACTTTAGATTCTTTTGCAATTAATAATAATTCTCATAACTTATTAATTCAATATTTAGGTAATAATGAAGTAAAATTAAAAGTCATCATTTGTGAAAAATCACAAATATTAAGAGACATCAACCAATTAATTCAATTAGAAGAGGAACAATTTGACAATTATATTTTAATTTCAACAAAAGGGTTCCCAAGTTTAAAAACATTGAATTTTATAAACAGTATTTGTGGTAAATATAATGCAGAATGTTTTGGATGTAGCGACTTAGATTTTTCTGGTTTGCACATTTATTTACAATATTTTCGTCATGTTGATAGGATTAAATATATACAAATTAGAGGTACTGATATTCCATTTACTGATACTAACACTTTAACTCCAAGGGAAATTAATATGGGATTGAATTTGAAAAGAAATGAAAATATTCCTACATATATAAGAGAACAAGCAAGTTATATTTTAGATTTGAATAGAACAATTGGAATTGATAAACATGTGAATTTACATATATTGATTTATGAAAAATTGGTTGAATATGATTATCAACGAGGATCTGATATTGTTGAAATCAATTATTAAATAGTGGAACTTCTGTTGTGTTTAGCTAAAATATATGTTACTTGAATTGAATTTTGACACTCTGAATTTGACACTCTGAATTTGACACTCTGAATTTGACAATCTGAATTTTTATGCGTCCATTTTTTGTATTGATGATCAATTGTTTATTAGCTCATTAATTCCATGACAACCATAACACTATTTTCAAAATAAAAACAGTAATTTCCACATATTGTTTCCCATAATAATGTGTTCATAAATATTAATAAGCTCAGTATCCACAATTTTTATGTTCAATTGTTACACCTTTAAAAAATGGGCTTTATTTTAATTAAACATTGTTCCATAAATTGTCCATCAACATGGTGAATTATGATTACCTGTTTCTCTAAATCTTAATTCTTCTTGAACTTCAGCATGAACATAATCTTCTTTATCATGTGCTTGTTGGATTTTTTCTCTAGCTTCTTCAACTTCAGCATTAACGAAGTCACCTTTAACATGTACTTCATCTGTTTTATCATGTATTGCTCCAAGTTCTCTTTTAACAGTTTTGCTTTCATCTCTCAAGAACTTTGTTAAAGCTTCAATATTTTTCTCCATCCTTTGATCAAGTTGAGTTTGAAATGTTGTAAACCCTTGATTAGTGACAAAATAATTCTGAGTTGGTCGACCTTGCGGTTCGGTGAGTTTTTGTGTTGGTGAGTTAGCTTTTGACATGATTGGTTCAGTTTCTTGACAAACATTCGAATATCTGATTTAGTAGCAGATGAATATTTTTCTGGGTTTGATTTGTTTTTTAAAAAATTAATGATTATGAAATTAAAAATAATTGAAGATTTTTAATATTGCTCATATTAATTATTTCACCAAGTAGTTGACTTAACCCTAAAAATTAAAACCTTGTATGAATACTTCTTTTGATAGCAATAAACCATTAAGCAGTGTATATTAAAATGTGGGTTGATTTGTCTTTTTAAAAAACTAAAGATAATGAAACTATAGATAACTGAGATTTCTTGATATTGCTCATATTAATTATATCACCAAGTACTTAATTCAAACCTGAAAATTAAAACCTTTTATGAATACTTCTTTTGATAGAAATTGAACCATTGAGCATTTGAATAATATTATTGATTATAATGTGGGTTGATCTGTCTTTTGTAAAAATTAATGATTGGAAAATTAAAAATAATTGAATTTCTCATAATAATTATTTCACCAAGTAATTGATTCAACCCTTAAATTAAAACCTTATATATATACTTGTTTTGATAGCAATTGAACCATTGAGCAGTTGAACAAAAATATCGATTAAAATGTGGGTCTTTTTTAAAAATTAATGATTATGATATTAAAAATAATTGAATTGCTCGTAATAATTATTTCACCAAGTAATTGATTCAACCCTTAAATCAAAACCTTATATGAATACTTGTTTTGATAGCAATTATCTTACTATAAAACCAATAAATTTCAAATTATATCATTTTCAAAAGGTGTTTGTAGTTTTGTCTTATATTCAGCTATGTAGTAAAGTAAATGGGAAAAGATTATTTACTTTTTTTGAACTTGACTAAACTTAATGATATAGCGTGAATAATGTAGTACCATTTATTATTTGATAGCTGAATGATTTGTGATATCTGATCTCTATAAGTACCTCATCTAAATTATTATACTCAAATTGCTTAAATTGTTAAAATCTCATTTCTTTAGAGTGATATAAATGTCAGAACTAAAAAACGACATGTTCCAAAACGGGTATTCGCGGCTCAAATCTCAAGATTTTACTTCAAATAAAAAAATTACAATTTGTACGAACTCGCGTGAGAGTAGGGCAAATAAACTTCGAAATCTCGGTTAATAGTAAATCGATCATCGCACTACCCGATATAAGTATCACCAAATAAGATCCATGTAGATGATGAGTAACAATCAATTCAATCTGAATACCTACACAATCAAATTAATGCATTGCAACCATGTAATGACATATCAGTCTTGAAACTTTTGCTTCATCCATAATGCCATTTAGAAGATTATGTTAGTATATGTCATATCACCTCATTATAAATTACTTAAAATAAAGCTCTTGCAATGAAAGAGAGCTTATATCAATCGTAATGTTCATTTGTTCTTTTTTATAGGGGATTATGATCACAATTAATTACAGTTTGGTGGTCCTTATTATTTTCTTCTGTGGTAGTTATTAATGAAATTATTTATTATCATTCAAGCTTATTTTGGAGTTATGCATGCAGACAAAAAATATGATTATCAGTAATATATATATATATATTGTATTTTTAACCCACTTTTTTTCATTATTATTAGTTTCAATTCATATATCACCTAACTATTAAGTTACTATCTTATAACTTTATTTCATTTTCATCATCCTATCATACATACTATTCATTAGTTACTTTAATTATTAGTTTGAATAAATATTCTTTTTCAATTGAAAATTTATTAAGATACATATTACATCACATTTTAATCTCAATTAATTTTTACAACTTGTCAAAAATGGATTCAGAATCAGATGAAGATTTAAAAACCAAAATACATGAACTTTCATTAGAACTTGAAAAGAGAAGTTTAAAAAATTATCAAAATTATCAAGATAGAATAAGTTCCACGTTAAATTCAGCTGGTGAAACAGAAGTGGATCATGAAGAAGATCATGAAGAGGATTTTGATGAAGTAGAAACTTTAGGATCAGAGGATGATGACGTTGTTGCAAGATTGGTAAATTCTAAAAACATTATGTTATCATACCAACTTATTAAAAAAGACATATCCAATTACTACAAATATGTCCCAATTCCTCGAGATACTGATATTGAAACTTGGAAAAATTATATAAATATCTTGTTTAATCATTATCCCAATTTAATGGATGCTGATAAAAAAATTCATTATTTATATTCAGCTAAATCAAACCAATATAAAGAAATCAAAGAAGCAATAAAAGCTGCATTTATAGATCATTTAGAAAAGTTAGAAACTGACAAAAACCTTTATAAAATGTTCAAAGTTTCTGGTTTGGAAAATACATCATTAGATGGATTCATTGAGTATTTAAATGGTAGGTCAGTTCTATCATATGCTCAAGATATCAAAAGATATTTTGATTTAAAAATCGAGTTTTTTTCCAAACCACATAGTTACAACCAAATCATCAACTTCCACAACAACTTTCAAAAAAATACTAAACTCAACAAATTCATGAATAAACTTGATGAAGTACATTTCCATTTATACAAGTCATTACAAAATGATTTAACTAACAAAAGAAAATATTTACAACTTTTGTCCGACTTGTTACATAAATCAATATGTAATCAAGATTCGGGCAAATCTTTTTCAATCCCTGGTATTAAATATTTCACCTGCATCAATTCAGATATTTTACCATCAAATGATAGTTGTTTAACATTTTCAAATAATTCATCAAATTCATCAAATTCATCAGTTGATTTTAATTTTCTTTTACAAAATGTCAACAACAATAATAATAAAAGCAATCATTCTTCATATTCCAATAGAGCAAGAACCAACCATTCACAATCAACATCAGCTCCAAGAGGTCGACCAAGCATACCACTTCAAATCACCGACTCATATTTGAAAAAGAGGCAAAATGAATCTTCAGTCTTTTCATCGACTACAAATAATGCATATTCAAAAAGAGTAAGAAGATGAAATTTGAAAGAAAAGTTGTGGTTAATTTTTATATTTAGTGAATGGTTTTATATTTTTATATAGTTTTTATATTTGAATTATGATGATTTTTTTGATATTACAATTGCAAGACATCTTAAATAAATTTGTTATTTTCAGTTTCCTTGTGTTCTATACATGCTTGCTCTAACAGTTATATACTAGTCTCTTTTGATAATGATTGCTTGATCTTTTTCTTTTCTTATTTACTTGATGACTTTTTCAATTTTTCTAATTGGTTCTCAATCATTTTGCTAAAATCATTTTCATATTATTTGGTGTTTCATCATTTCCCTCAATATTGTGATTACCCATAAGTCAATATTAATCTATCTTCACTTGATATTACAAACTTTTCATAATTTCCATGATTTAAAGAAACACCAGAGTATTTTCAAATTTTTGCAGTTTTGGATGAAGCAGCTTATTTTATTTTACCAGCATTAAAAGATAAAGCAGCATATCCTCCTCGAGTTAGGCATTATCTTCATAAATTACCTCAACCAGCATTCAACGTTGTTTTATCACCTAAAGGATATAATAATCAATTTGTTGCAGCAATTTCACCTCTAGAAAGTAAACCATCTTATTTTGTTCCAGTAAAATTGAATAGAATATGGGAGTTCAGATATCATGGTTCCCACCATTGTAACTAAAGCTTTCAATACAATGTGGAAACTATCCATGTAATTATTACCATATATTAAAGCAAACCACTGCTTCACAATTGATCTTCCGGGGTGATATAAATTTTTAGTATTAATTTTTAATCTTACTGATGCTCCTCAGATATCTGGTAAATACATTTCAATATTATTTTATGATTTTAAACTTGTTCAAGTTTATCTTTATGATAATCTTTTATTTTCTGATTCAATTAGTGATCATTATAAACATGTCAAAATGGTATTACATAATTCATTAGATAATTGTCATCTTATTAATTGGTGAGAAAGTAGTTTTTATTGTGAGTCTATTGATTGCATTGGCCATGAATTTTCATCTCAAGGTGTTAGTGTTTTAGATTTAACTTTAGGTTAAGTCAACAAATTCCTCAACGTACAAACGAAGATGAATTTAAACAGTTTTTAAAGCTCATTGCTTATATACAGGTTTACATTCAATTCTTCAATTTTTTAAATTTTCTAGCTAAATAAATATTCTTGTTTGTACGATTAATGAAGTCCATATTAAATTTTGGATTCTAGGTAATATTTTTTAATATAAGTTCGTAGATAGGATATAGTATCAATTGTTTGATATTGTTTAAAATAATGATATTATGATGAATGAAAAATTAATCTTTTCATGACACTATTATTCAATTTACATTACAGAAGGGTAATACGCATAATTTTGGTCGATCAAGGATTCGAATACTTCAATCAAAAGTTCAAGAGATATAGAAATTAAAAGAATGATGACCTACTAGTAATTTTGGAGATTACATAAAATATTTTAGATATAGTATATTAGTATATAATTCAGAACAAAATCAATAAACTATCTTAAGGTATAATAATTGGTTCATTGATGGAATTGTTCTCATTTTGTATTTGATTGTCTTCTTCTTCTTCTTCTTCTTCTTCTTCTTCTTCTACTTCTTCTTCTTCTTCTTCATCATCACTTCTAGAAATATCCCTTTGTCTTTGGTATTCTTCCATTTCCTTTTTGAGTAACTTGAAATCAAAATTTTTTCTATCTGAAACCTTAGCACTAGTTTTTGATCTAACTCCAGTTTTGAAAATTAATGTAGGCTGATGGATATAAACTGGTAAATCAAATGGTTTTACTTTAATGTTAATGTATTTAACGTCTAACATATCTGTCAGACCCATAGCTTTTAATAACTCATACGAAAGTTGATTTTTAGATTTCTTAGCATCCGCATCAATAGGAGTAAATTCGTCAAATTTTGGAGGTTTTGAATTCTGATTAAAATTTATCTCCTCAATGACTTTAATATGTTGTGTAGCTTTATCGATATCTGGCTTTTTGCTACCTCTGCCTTTAATAAACAGTCTTTCAAACTTTGTTGCTTTCATTTAAAGAATGATATTTGAAGTTGAATTTTTATAGTTGAAGTTAAATCGATGATAATGATCTAAAAATGAGAAATGAAAAAATGAAATTTATACGCAAATTAAATAAACTAATAAATGTAAATATTGTGAGCTTATTTTTTTTATAATAACAAATTTTATACGTGTTAAACATTGATAGCTAGGTTAGAGTTTCAATTTTTATCTGAGATGCATCTGAAAAGTAAAAAAAAAAGTAATATAATACGGATATATTTTCTTCTTTCTTTAAGAGGTAATACATAAAAATAACAATAGAGTTGATAAACATGAAACACTACACAAAACTAAAAATTCAAAATTTTTATCATATCAGCCACGTTTATTATATAAACAATTAAACTATTTAATAATCTTTATTTCGTATTGCCTATAAACATTATTACTTTTAAGTACAATTTAAAGGAAGGTACAAATTGATCATTTCACTGGTATTATAAATAAATAAAGTTTGTATTTCGATTCTTGAAAAACTAATTTTCTTGAAACAATTTTCTTAGATATGATAAATAAAATAATTTGAATTGTTATTAATTTTCGCATTCTGAAACATCAAATTATAATATTAAATTAGAGCTGAGATTTTTAAATTATGAAATAATTTTCTTGAACAAAATTCAAATTTTGAATTGTAAATAATTTTCGTATTCTGAAACAATAAATTACAATATTAATTTAAATTAAGGCTGAGACTTTGAATAATGTTGAAAAAATTACTTACATAGTTGGTGACACATATTAGATATCTATATATTAACAAAAGTATATCCTAATCTTTATTCATTAGTTTTTTAATTTCACCTTCATATTTACAAGATCATTTTCCTAATACTCACAATTTAACTTTATTATTTATTTTTAATACAATATGTCGCATCAAAATTTCGATGTTGTGCATCGTGCAATCAAGTACAATTTTGAAGAAATGCCTGAAATTTTTATTATTCAACACTTAAACTACCACGAATATAAATCATCTGTTACTAATTTTGCTGGTAATTTTTGGATCAACTTATATATAAATGATGACAAAATTATAGAAGAGGACCACAATTGTATCATTAATGATTTTTATGATTTAATTAAGACTAGCTTTATAAATTTAAAATACTTTGTTACAAAAGAAAAATCAACTGATTATACATTAAAAATTCAACTCAAAGATTTAATTAACACCAAAAATTATTTCAATTATGAATCAACAATCGATGTTATTAAAATTAATTTGTTTATTTATACTCCCAGATTAAATATTGAATTTAGTGCCTTTGTCTTGCCATTAGACACTTTATTAAAATTTTTGGTAATAGATTTAGATTTTTTCATTCCCATTGCAATGTCAAGATACAGTAGAATTCAATTGAATCAAATGATTTCTGTGTTTGATTCATTATCATTAGTTAAAGATTTAAGAACTGAAAAAAATCTTTGTGGTCGTCACGACTTCAATAATGTGTCAACTTTTGAAGATTCAAGAATTTTTATGGAAGTTGTTGATGATCAGGGTAATATAGGACAACTACCAATTCCAAGATCCAATAATGAATTATTCGAGCCACAAGAAGATGAAGATTCCTCAGAAATTTCCTTCGACCCTAATACAGATTTGAGTTGTTATCCAGTTTATTTACCAGAAGAACTTCCTTATGTGAATACTGGGTTTTTTGAAACAAAGGATTATGTGGAAGAAGAAGATCAGGAAGATGAAAGAGACGAAAGTATGGAGTTTTTTGGTTTACCAGTTCCCAACCTGAATTTAACATCCAACTTTAACACTGATTATAATACTAATACATTTAAACAAATTGATTCTCGTCAGATAATAAAAGATTTAAACAAAGAAGATAATGAGGATGATGATATTAATTTGAATCAAGATCTAAATCAAAAGGTAATAAAAGAAATACGTGAAACAGTCAAAAATTTTAGATGCTATTTTTCATTCGGTCAGGTTAATCATGAAACAGAATATATGATTTCAAAATCTGGAAGAGTACATGTTAGTCATTTGTTAGAATCATATTACAAATACGTTGGACTTGGTGAAAAACTTAAAAACATGGTTAATGAACAATTGAAAAATGATCAATATCTTGATGGGGTTAAGATGTTGATGAAAAAAAGATATGAGTTTTCATTACATTCAATAATTCGTTATAAAAATGACAAGATCAATTACAAGAAAAAAGATGTGTATATTCTGATACTTGGTGATAAATTTGACAAAAGCATACATGGAAAAAAGAAATCGAAAGGTAAAAAGCAAGGATTTGTCATTTAAAGAGTTAAAACTGAGAAAGAAACTCCAAATTCTTTTATCTATATAGCTGATGTATATAGTAATAAGATGATTAAAAATATGAGTGATTAATGTTTTTGAAATCTTCATTCTTATCTACTCTTAATAAAGGAACATAGAATGCAAATACTTACATAATCTAATGAGAAGCTCAAGTGTCTTTAGTAATTGGTCAGTGCAGAAATAGTTGCAGTATGAAATGAGAAAGATAAAATTTCGAAATCAAATATATATTAAAACTACTTAAAACAATGATGATTGAAATGTTCAATTCTTCAAGTATATGATTTGTTGAATGTTTCACATCATCCTGGCTTGATCCGAAATTTAAATAAAGATTATTATTTAACCGATTATTGTTGTCTTGATGAATATTCTTTGTAAGTATTATCATTTGAATCATGGTTAAATTTGATAAATTTAATTGGTTTTGCTAAACCTTCACTTTCATTTGGTAAGTAATAGTAGCCCAATGAATTGAGTGTTTCAACTTCGTGAGGTGTATCCTTTTCCCGATTTCTTGGTTCAACTACCCAAAAGTCTATTCCTGATGATTTTTGACGTTTAATAATCTTTAATTGAACCTTACAATTTTTTTGTTTACATTGAAAAATAATCACATCTTTTGAATCGTTAGGAACCCTATAATACGATTTATGAAATTCAAACATGTATTTCAAGACCTCTTGTTTTGATTCAAATCGTTGCTTTTTGATCTCTTGCAAATCATTAGTTCTGCAATAAGTGTTCATTGGAAAATAATTTTTTGTGGATGCCATAGTGATTTGATATGATTATTGATAAATATTGAATCTAAATCTTGAATTTTGAATGAACTTTGAAAGATGGAACCTTACGATGAAAACATTTTGAAAACAAGCAATCAAATGTGAACCGATATACAACAATTTATAAGAATAATTTTTGAATTGAACTAGTTTGTTCACTTTTCATTTGTGTAATAGTCAATCATAATAATTTGAGTTGAGCTTATTATGCTAATCAAATCTGAAACAATTTTGTTTTGATCTCCTATAATTTCCAAATACTGAAAATTTAAATGAGTTTAAAATTTTTCGTAAATAATTGTTATTTCCAATTTAAGAGATAAATGAGGTTTTACATGAAACAAATTCTAGACTTTTTATACGTTTACGATTGAATAATTATTAAATTGTTACAATCGAAATTTTCATGTAACTGCCTTTATCTAGTTCGTTTTCTGGCATTAATAAACAATAAACAAAGTTAATTTCAAGCACTTAATGACTATATTTTTCGAAACATTAATTTTACATACGGGATAAAATGCAAATAGATTGTTTTAATCGCACAATTTATATGGACATTTGTCGTTTTTCACATAGTCTAGTAATGTTCCTTATAGAGCAACAAAAGGACTGTCATAAAACTCCTTCTTCACTGTAATTCTTTGATACGATTGAGAGTTTTAATCCTGTAACTTCTTTAGTAAATTGATTGATTTTTAACACATAAAATTAGGCCCAAAAGATATAGATGTAAATAAAGTAAAATAGAATTAAACAATTAGACATACAAGAATCACAAGATTTAAAATATCATTTCTAATTTCAAATTTTTTTTTTACATATCCATTCTATACAACTATCTCTTCTTGTATATCACACACATCCCTAATAGAAGTTTTTAAAACTGCAGTTGTACCAGGTTTAAAAGTATAATTTCTTGTTTTTTCAATTCTAACATTTGGAGTAATATAATTTCTCATAAGATTTGCATCTTTACCAATTTCCATTACACAAACATCTACATTTGAACCACTACCTAAATCATTCCATATACCTGCTAATATAGCTTTTGAACATAATTCTATAGCTTCTTCTTTATTCATATCTTCTTTAAAATTTGTTTCTAATATTGACATTGCTGCTAATGAGCCTGAACCTAAACTTTGATATTTTCCAACATCAGTTGATCCATGTGCTTGTACTGACATTAAATGAGCTCCAGTTGGATCAACACCAGCTACAATTAAATAAGCTCCTAAATGACCTTGATATTTGAAAAGATGTTGTTTTAACATAGTTACAGCTGTTATAACTCTTGGTTTTCTATTAGTTGATAATGAATGTAATTCTAAATTTGATCCAATTAATTGAGTAACCATTTCAGTATCTGCTGCAGTACCAGCTCCAGCACACCATATTTGTGGTGCTAATCTATGTAATTTCTCACAATTTTTATCTGCTACTATAGGACCAGAAGTTGCTCTTGTATCTGCTGCTATAACTACTCCTCCTTTAAATTGACACCCTACAATTGTTGTACCTGTTGATGTAGCTTTTGGTTGGGCAAATCCCTTTGTGGTTAAGAATTGGTTTCTTTGGTAGTTGTCAAAATTTAACCCAGTCATTTCTTGGTGGTTATGTATTTTGCCTTTGAAAGAGAAAAGATATGTAAATTGATTATCACCAATTCACGTAAAAAAAAATTAATTTAGTGATTTTGAAAAATCTATTTTTTTTACAACCACCACCACTAAATGACACAATTTTATGCCAAATAGATATAATTTTATAATTCCTGCAAAAACTAGGATTTTACTAGTTCCCATAAACAATTGTACTTTAACAAATTTTAATAGATATGTGGAATTAATTAAAACAAATATTACTGATCTACGACTATTAGATTTAAAACCACAACCAAATTTACAATTTTTCAATCCTAGTTCATTTCCTGAAGGTAAAATATATCCAGAATTTATAATTTCTTCAATTGATAATGATTCATTATATTTACATGAATTTGAACCATTTAGAAAAACATTTATTGTTTTAGGAATTGGACCATATGCAGATCAAAACCAATCATTAGATCAACTTAAAAAAATACATAATTCAGCTATTAATCACAATATTATATTATTCGATACACCAGAATCTGAACTCCAACAACCACAATCACCGATTTTTTATCATAATGGAACAACATCTCACCTCACTGCATTGGAAACAATATTTGTAGAAATTTTTAATTCATTTTTAATAGCATTAGACGAATATGCATCAGCATATAGTAATATCACTTTAAGATCACCAGTTTCAATTACCGATAGCCACATTCTTACAAAAACCATAAATCAAGCACAAAAGAGACTAAGTTCTGGTTCAACTTCATACAAGGCTACTTTTAGTAACGATTCACAAGAAAAACTATCAGAAAAGTCAACAAAATATTCTGGTCGTCATTTGAAATTATTGGGGAATTTATATTTATTAGCTGGTAAATACAATGAAGCAATTAATAACTTTACTGAAAGTTTAACTACATTAAAAAAATATGATGATTTTTTATGGTTAGCTTCTGCATTGGAAGGATTATCAGTTTCAATTTATTTATCATCACAAGTTGGGTACCATCAACAATTAAATCAGAATATTTCATCATTATTACATGTAACTAAATCTTCATTATCTGTGGATTCATACCCGAAAAAATCATCATTAGAATCAAATGGTTCAAAATTATCAATAACATCACCTAGAAATTCAATGACTAGTACTACAAATGGATTTACATTACCATTATCTTCATCAATTGATATAAATTCATTATCTACTCCAGAATTACTTAAAATATTTCTCACAAAAGCCATATATTTTTATAGTCAAAGTACAAATGACCCAGAAGATATGGTACCTGATGTTGTTTATATTGAATGTGTTTTAAGAAAATTAGATTTAATGATGGAGCATCATCACCAAGCATTTCTGACTCAGGATATAACATGTGATATAGATAAGATTTTTTTATTACAACTAATAGATTTAAATATTTTAGATCAATGTCATATATATACTTATATTGCATCTATATATGAAAAAATGGGATTTTTCAGGAAACAAGCATTTATATTAAGGATTCATTTAGTTGCATTAATTACAGCATTTGAAAAATTAAAAGATTTAAAGAGTGTAAAAACATTATTAGAAAAATTATTTTCATTATATGGAATAGATTCAGAACCTGCAAATGCATCAGTAGGTAAAACTCAATTAAGTTGGACTTCATTACAAATCCAAGTTTTAAAATTAGCGTTAAATTCAGCTGAAAGAATAGGTGACCAACAACTACTACTTCAATTATGTATAGTATTACTTTCTAGATACACTCAATGTTTATCTCATGATGATCAAATTAAATTAAAAACAATGACTGAAAAAATTTTATATACCACCAAATCAAAAATACCTTATTGGGATCCTTTTTTGGTTAGAAAAGTTAAATTTGTATCTACACGACAAAAGGAGACATTGATTCCATTAGTTGAAGAAGTTAAAACTAAACAAATTGAACCATTTTTTGATCCATATAACCCAAAAATTACAGAAGATTTAAAATTAGATAGACTTTTAGTGCAAGATGAAGTTAACCAATTAAAAATTACTTTACAAAATCCTTTTTTATTTCCTATTGATATTAATGATTTGAAGGTTGTTAGTGAAGGTATTGAGGTAGAAACTTTAAAATCAATAACTCAAGTAAATCAAAATTCACCAGCATTTAATAAATTACGAAACAACATCAAGAGAAATGTCACTGCAACAAATTTATCAACTCAGACCACCCCCATTAATCCTGCATTATTTACCATACAACCAGCATCAACTGAGCAAATTATTGTACCATTTAAACCTTTAAGTAGTGGAGATTTTGAAATCATTGGATTTGAAATAACAATAGGTTCTTGTGAAAAGCAATTTTTCCATATAGTAGATCAAGAAAAACAAAATTTTACAATAAACACTAAAAAATTAAAAAATATAGATCCAATAATTGATAAACTTATAACAAATTTAAAGCAAGGAGGTACGGAAAAATATGTAACTTATAGATCATTACCACTTACGGTCATCCCACCACAACCAACTTTAAAACTTATAGAACTTTCAATTCCTAATGGATGGATTATGTTATTAGAAGGGGAAAAATTTCAATTTGAAGTTAAATTAGCTAATGATTCCAATAAAATAATAAATTATTTATCTTTTTCATTTATGGATTCAGCTATTGATTATATAAATAGAAGTTTACAACAACATAATTTAAATGCTGCTGAAATTTATGAATTAGAATGGAATTTATTGAATTTTAAATCTTTTAAAATTTTGAATAAAGATATTATTGGTGAAAATATTCAACCTGGTGAAGAAATTATCATCAAGTATGAATTAACTAGTAGGAAATATATGAGAGAACTGAAGATTATTTTAGATTATGGTAATAATAGTAAAGAAAAATCATTTTTAAAACAATTGGAAATACCTATTTTGGTATCTGTTATGCCAAGTTTAGAAATTGTTGGTTGTGATATTATATCCACTTATCCAATTGAAAATTTTGAAATTAAGGATAAATCAAAATATTGTATATTGGTATTAGATTTAAGAAATTCATGGACTGAAAAATTACAATGTGATTTGAAATATGAAATTTATCAAAAAACTGATTCAATTGAATCAAATAAAACTAAGAGATATTTTATACCAATGAAAAAAATTCACTTAATTAAAGAAAATAATGAAATTCCATCATTACGAAAGAAACAATTCATTAGAGATTATAATATGTCAGATGAAGAACAAATTCAAATGAAAAAAATCTTTTGGTTGAAACAAGAAGTTTTGAAAAAATTAAGTGGGAATTGGAGCACCAATACAAGATCAGGGATAATAGATTTAAGATGTTTTAGATTAACTCAAAAAATGGCTAACCTTCTCATGCTAAATCCAATAGAATTAACTACCAAAATAGTAGAAACAAACTCCGAATTAATTATTGATGAATTTTATACTATTGAAACAACAATTACAAACCACTCCAAAAAAGAAATTAAAGGATTTATTCGTCAATTACCTATACAATTCACATCAAGTAATAGTTTAAATACCAACAACATCAATATAAATAAACAAATATCAATTGATAGAAAAATTTTATTTAATGGAGTATTACAACAAAAATTTAAAGTATTACCAAATTCCACATATATTCAAAAATTAAATTTTGTTATTATTGATAAAGGTGAATATGAATGGGGTACAATTCTTGATTCTGAACATTGTATAAGTAGTACATTAAATATAATTGCAAAATAAATATTTACTTCTTAACTCCTTCAATTTTAAAAGGTAATGCTTGAGCACCTTCACTTTCTAATTTTTGTATATATCTCGATCTAACTAAATCATTATACCTTTTTTCTTGAAAATATTTAACCCAACTACTAACACAATCTTGTTCAAATTCTTTTTTAATTTCTCCACATTTTTGATTTACTTTTGGTAATTCTTTTGGATCTAATGAGTTATCTATATAGTTTTCATCAAGACATTGGAAAAACCGATCTCTTTTAAACCAACATAATACTCTTTGTTTTTTATCTGGTGCAATTTCTACTGGAGTAGATCCTGAATATTCAACCATTTGTAGTTAGTTTGACTAAAAAAAAAAATATTGAAATTTTTCAATGCGAGAAAAATTGTTATATAAAGTGAAACCAATTCAAATTTCTATATTTTATTCTATTAAAATTCTATAAAAATCTATTAAACTCCTTTAAATATTTTTTTAATCTTTTTTAAATCATAATTATTATTTAAACATAATTGTAATAATATTCTTGCCTTTTGAGGATTTAAATAACCACCAGCTATTGCATTTTCAAATATTCTACCATTTATTTTAGGTAATGCTCCAATAGGTACCATACCATCCATTGATCTTTTACTATAAATGATGGGGAAATTTGGTTCAACTATTGAAGATAAAAATTTATTAGTGTCTGATGATAATGAACCTGCTCCCATTGTTGCAATTACTAAACCTTTAGCATTTACCCCAGTTAATGCAAATTCAATCATTTTATTATTTAATCCTTGATGTGCATAAACTATTGGAACTTCAGGTAGATTAAAAGTTTCACCTAATTCAAAGAATGTTAAACCCAAAGGTTTTGCAGGTGGATAATAAAATCTAACTTCATTATTTACAAAATTACCAATATATCCTTGACCAATAGATTTAAAAGTATCTAAAGAATTTGCATTTGATTTAGTTATATAAAACCCAGCACCAATACGATCATTTAATGCTATAAGAACTCCTCTATCATGACTTTCTGGACTTGATGCAATTACTATAGCTTGATATAAATTCATTGGACCATCTGAAGATATTGCTGTGCTTGGTCTCATACTTCCACATATTACAATTGGTTTTGAAGTATTTATTGTTGATTGTATAAAAAATGCTGTTTCTTCCATTGTATCTGTACCATGAGTTATTACTATCCCATCAAACTTTTGTAAATCTTCCACTATTTGATTTCTTAAAGTGGCTGCTTCTTTTAAATTCATTTCTGTGGAATCTATATTTGAAACTTGTTCATATTCAACAAAACATGTAGTTGATAAATCAGGTATATTACTAACTAATTCTTCTATTGTTACATCAACTTCATATCCAGCTGTAGCTTTTGATGATTCTGCTTTGGATGCAATAGTTCCACCAGTTCCTAAAATTTTTATAGTAGGTAATGGTCTTTCATCTTCAGTTGTAGTTGCAGATATTATTGAATTTGATCTATATCTTAATTTAAAAGCTGCATGATCTTTTGAACTAAAATTTGTAATTTCTACTTGATTTGGTTTCGAACTTTCATTGGGTTTTATTATTGGTACAAAATTTGTAATTGAATCTGACATTTCCTAAGTATAAGTTTTAAATTTAAAATCAGGATTGATCTGATATAATAAATTATTTTTTTCGTATAATAGCGCAAATTTGAAAAAAAATGATGAACTAACAATTTATAACTTTAACTTTGGACTTCATCACAGTTTTTGAAGTATTTGTTTATCTTCATCATGTCAAGATGTCAACCAAACAAGTTGAAACATTCATCATATAAGTCATATCATAGGTAATACATCAATTTGAGTCATCTCGGTCCGTGAGGCTTTGCGTTGATAAATAATTAAATCATACATTTTGAGGTTAGAAATTTTCAAATTCAAGACTTGTTCTAAAGGAGTAATCAACAAAGTCAACAGATCTTTATAATAATGTCAATTGTAATTACTCAGGTTGATTTTGAGAGTTCATCATAATGATGCCTTCTTAATTTGATTTCAGCACTTCAATTTGATCATTATTAAAAAGGAATTTCATTTCATTCAAAAATGCATCATTTAACAAAAATCATCCATCTGATCAATAATACAATTTCAAATTGAGTTTGATCCACAAGAAATTGGAGTTTTATGAAGCTATCTGGTTACTACCACCAATGTCAAATCAATCCCGCGCTACCAATTACTTTCAGATTTTGATATCAGTTAAGTATTAGTTCATACAATCAATTACTAGATGGTCAAAGTCGATTAATTAGGAGTAAATATTTAATATATTGGTTCAGAATATTTATAGACACTTGATGATCTGAAAGCGCCGTTAAAATAATTTGTTGGTGTTGATTTATACAAACTATTCAATTTTTTGCATATCAATTTTATAAATTTGGTTGTCAAATTTATATTTACATTTTTTGCAACACTTCTTTATTTCAAAATATAAACAACAGACGTTAAAAATGCCAGAAGTTAATAATGTTGATAATATTTTTGGTCCCAATAATGGGAAAGTTCCTCCATTAAGACGTCAATATCATAAAATTACTCCTGAACAAGCTGCAAAAATGGAAAGTAGAGCAAATGTTAGAAATCACAAAACTTTACAAAATGATAATTTAATTGATTTACAACTGCAACCACCACAACCAATTCAATCTCATGATATTTCAACCTCAACTGTTGAACCAGGAAATGGAAGTTATTATGGGGAAAATACTTTATTACTTCATGAAGTTTGTGATATTTTACATGTTGAAGATCCAAATGAAATAATTAGTAAATTTCAAGAATTATATGTTAATCAAGATGAAGTGAAATTTTTAAAGCAAGAAACTTTTAGTTTAAAAACAACTTTACAAAATTTAGAAGACCAAATGAGAATCAGAAATCAAACTATTGCTTCATTGAATTCAGATATTAATGATTTGAAACAAATCAGAAATGAATTACAACAAAAAAATCAAAAATTGGAAGAGGAAATTAAATCTAGCTCTAAAGAAGCAAAACAAGTCACTATAGATTTATTAAGTAGTAAAAAAGAATTAGAAAATTATGAAAAAGAATCAAATGCAAAAGTTTTATTAAAAGATCAACAAATTGCAAGCTTGGAAAAGGATGTATTTGCTTTAAAAGAAAAAGAAATTGCCTTATTGAAAGATAATGAATCAATAAAAGCATCCAAAATTTCAATTGAAAAAGAAAATAAAACTTTTAACATGAAACTTGAAAATTTGAAAATTGCCCATCAAGATGAAAAACTTTCAATGGAAAGAAAAATCAAATCCATGAAAAAAACAATTGCAGAAAAAGAAAGTAAATGTGAATCACTTTCTGATCAAGTTTCAACTTCCAAATCTCATTGTAATAAAAAAATTGCAGGTATTGAAAAACAACATTCAAAAATCTTACATCAATTAATGGCTGAAATTAAAATCTTGAGAGATATAATTGATAAACATTTTGGTGGTAGTAATGATGAAATTGCAAATTTTGCTCCATCTTCATCACCAGTTGAAAATATTAAAAATCAATTAAGTTCTGAATTATTTCAATCAAATTCAGATTCAAATTTATTATATATTCGTCAATTATATGAAGATAGATATCTTAATTCATTAAAAGAAAATAAAGATTTAATTAATTCGAATTCAATTTTATTAACTGCTTTTAAAAATTTAATTGATGATAATGTTCATTTTTTTAAGAAATTAATTCCTCAACATGAAAGATTTGCTTTCTTTGTTTTGGTATGTAAAGAAATTAAAAATAGAAAAATTTTCAGATCAACTGATATTAATATCTTGAAAAAATTTGCTGATAATAATGATTTTTTATTCAAAGAAATTATTAACAAAATCAAAGATGATGAAGAATCTAAATAATTAAATAGCTTTTTGAATGTATAACTATTTTTCTCTAAAGCTGATATTTCTTTTGTTGTTCGTACAATTTAATATTAATTTTATCGCAAATATCTTTTTGAAAAGTTCAAAGAAATTTAACACAAAATATTATAACACAACTTTTCTAAAATTAGATCATACCAATCACAACCCAAACTCAATTGATCTTCAATAATGGGTATTTTAACTACCCAGGATAAAGAAAAAATTAAAAGAACAGTGCCCAAAACAAGTAATAAAATTATTGATGCAACTGTTGCTAGATTATATATTGCATACCCCGATCCAACAAAATGGGTATATACTGGATTAGTTGGAGCAATTGCATTAGTTGATGATTTAGTAGGACATACATTCTTTTTGAAATTAATTGACATAACTGGACATAGAGGAGTTTTATGGGATCAAGAATTATATGTAAATTTTGAATATAATCAAGATAGGAAATTTTTCCATACTTTTGAAATTGAAGATTGTTTAATTGGTTTGTTGTTTGAAGATACAAATGATGCAACTCATTTCTACAAGAGAGTCACAACTAGACAAAAACATGGATCAAGTGCAACTGTTAAAAACAAAAATGCAATAGCTTTAAAAGAAAGAGTAGAACCAAAACATAATACCCCAGGTCCTAGAGGTGAATTTATGGATGTAAATACTGCTCAACGTCAAAGAAGATCAAAGGGAGTATTGTATTATGATGATGTACCACCACCTGAATGGAGATCACTTTATGCAGAATTGGAATCTGCAGGTATAACTGAAGATATGATTGTTGATAATAGACAATTTATAAAAGATTATATTGCACAACAAGGTGGCCCATTAGTTGGATTGGAACCACCAGTACCTAGAAAATATCAAAAAGCACATGAACTATATGAAGACTCACCTTCTTTGGAGTCAAGACCTTCAACAAAAAATAAAAAAGCACCTCCTCCTCCACCACCTCCTGGAGGAAATTCATCACAACCTCCAGCAGTACCTCCATCATACTCACCTTCTATTGGGTCAGAAGATTCAACACCACAACCAGAAGGGACAAGTCAAACTCCAGAACCAACAAAATTCAAACCTGTTTTTAGAGTACCTCCACCAATAGCAAATATTCCTCAAACTCCTTCTCAACAAAACACTCATTCACAACCACAACCACCTACAAGAACATCTTCCTTAGCTTCAAGTGAGAGACCATTGCCTTCAACGCCTCCACAACCACAGCATCAAACATTTAGCCCAAGTACAGATTCTCAACAAAAATTCAATGTACCACCTCCATTTTCGTCTTCTCATCAAGTACCACCGCCACCACCTTTAAGAGGCAATGCACCACCACCTCCTCCAAGAGCAGCAAATGGACATTCATCATTACCACCTCCAAGAAACCAACCAATGCCTCCAACAAGAACTGGCAATGCTCCACCGCCAGCACCACCACCAAGAGCAGCCAGAGGAGCAGCTCCTCCACCACCTCCTTCAAGATCAACAGCACATCCAGCTGTACCACCAAGAAATTCTCAACCAATCAACCCTCCACCAACAATACAACAACAACAATTTCAACAACAACCACAACAACCACCAGCTCCTCCTCCACTTCAACCAAGGCCTGCAGCATCAATACCACAGGCTCCTCCAGCTCCTCCTTCATTACCTCAATCAATGCTGTCTCCTCCACCTCCACCTCCAATGCCACAAATGAATACAAATGGTGTACCACCGCCTCCGCCACCATTACCAGCTTCATCTCAAGATTCATCGAATGGAAATTTCACAGAAGCAACAGGTGATGCAGGAAGAGATGCTTTATTAGCTTCAATTCGTGGAGCAGGTTTGGGTTCATTGAAAAAATCAGATAAATCACAATTAGATAAACCAAGTGTCTTGTTACAAGAAGCTAGAGGAGAACCAACTCAAGCGAACAGTAATTCTTCCCCTCCACCAGCTGGCGGCCCTCCTGGAAGTTTAGCTGATGCATTATCTGCTGCATTGAATAAACGTAAAGCAAAAGTAAGTCAAAGTGATGATGAAGACGATGATTGGTAAAGACATTAGCTGTTTTGTATTGTAATACGAGAAAAACTGAATAAATGTAATAAAATTTCACGAAGCGTTATTGCTTGCTCTAATTTACTCTCTGATTTGTACTTTTCTTAGATTATATTAAATTACCTCTTAATTTTAAATTTTTCAATTTACGAAGATCTCATTTTGAAACTAGAAAAAAATATTGCAAATTGATCCTCTATAAGCAATAAGCACAATATGACAAAGCCAGATTTAAAGTCGCTAATTCAACTGTTCCAAGATGCTACTCAATATTGGGTGAACAATTTAAATAATGAAGATATCACTAAGCTTAAAGCGTCAAAAGTTTCAAAACCATTAGATGAACTACTAAAACTTGTCAAACTAGTTAAAGCTCATACAACTAAAGTGGGTATAATATTTAAACCTGACACTTTGGAGAAACAAGAACAACCTGCTTACAATACATTGGAGAAATTATCAGAATCATTGGTATTTACAACCTCAGTTGTGTCACAATTACATTCCGAACAACAAATTTCAAAAATATTCTATCAAGAGATATTAAGTCAAGTAAGACTTTTGATCGAGTCAAATGTTGAATTGGCTAACGAGCTAATGACTATCTATCAAGAAAAGACCGATGAGGGAAGATTGGTGTCAGTTGGTAAAATATGGTCAAATTGCGACTCATTAGTTACTTTGCTAGAAAATGGGCCGTTAGCATTACTCACAAATAAAATAAAACTAAGTGTGACTTTGATTGAAGACGGATTCGACGAATTTAGTGAATGGGCAAAGAATCCAGAAGATATGGACGATGCATTTGGGTTCAGTGATGAAGACGATGAAGAAGATGCAGAAAATGAAGAAGAATTGGATGAACAACAACTAAACAAACTTATAGAATTTGCAAAGAAATGGGTTAAAAAAATTGAATTGGTTAAATTACTCATATCATCATTTAAGAAATCATTGCCCAAAACAACCACCAGCTCACAAGTTGACGAGATATATGACTTACAGAAGAACCTTACAAATCTAATTGACAAGTTCATAGTGGAACTAATGTTGAATCGAGAAGAAACTAGAGAAATTGAACTAATCAAAAATGACATAACGAAGAATTCTATTAAATTAGCTAAATTAGCAGAGTCCATACATAAAGATGACAAGAAATCATCATGGTATTCAACATGGATAACTAAATATGATTAATTCTCGGTTCAACCGATTTAATTCATAATTTTAATCCTAAATATTTTGCATGATGTTTAGCATGATCTTCAACAAATGAACTTATAAAAAAATAAGAATGATCATAACCATCAACTAATCTTAAATCAACTCCTCCTTTATAATTCTTAGCAGCATCTACAAAATTTTGAGGTTTTAATTCTTTTTCATAGAAATTATCATTCAAACCTTGATGAATCAATATAGATGATGAATCATCACCTTTATAATCTTTAATTAATTCAGTTGGATCATATTTGGCCCATGTAGATTTATCTTCTCCTAAATAACCTCCAAAACATTTCTCTCCCCATGGTACAACACTTGGATTTGCAATTGGTGCAAATGCACTAACGGTTTTATAATTTCTTGGTTGTCTTATATATCCAACTAATGCTCCCATTCCACCCATTGAATGACCAGTTATTGAAATATTTGAAAAATCTAATTCTGGATAAGCTTCAGTTAATTTGTCAATTAATTCTCCGTGAACGTATTTGTACATGTTATAGTTAACTGACCAAGGCTCTTGAGTTGCGTCAACATAAAATCCAGCTCCGGTACCAAAATCATAACTTTCATTTTCTCCTGCAATATCAGCTCCTCTTGGTGAAGTATCTGGAAAAACCATTGCGAAACCATATTTACTTGCCCAATATTGGAAAAATGATTTCTCACTTGCATTATCTGGAGTACAAGTCAAACCTGAAAGATACATAACAACTGGAATTTTTGAAGTTGTAGCTGGTGGAATGTATAAATTTACATTCATCGGAGTTTTAGTAACTGATGAATCATGAGTTAACTTTAATAATTTACCACCAAATTCTGCAATCGTTGCATTAGTTTTGAAACTCATTTTGTTTAATTTATGAATATGTCTAAAGTATGAAAGAATCGTTGTTGATGTTGATTAATTGAATGGAAATTATAAAATAAATTGAATATGAATAATATTGCAGCAAACAAATCTTAAACGTTTAAGATTTCCAAAATAAGCCAAAATATACGAGATATGGAGCTACCAACAAAAATGCATAATTCAGATCGTGTTTCACATTCAAAATAAGATCAACATTAAATTATTCTACTTTAAATATACCTACAAACTTTTTTTACCTCTTGGCTCATATGGGAAAAATATTACTAGTACACCTGCTGCTAAAAACAAAGCACCTGCAACGAAAATTGGAGCTGAAGTTGTCAAATCTGCAAACATATTAATAATGGGTGCAAAAATCGACATAACTCTATTCGCGGACGAAGCTAAGCCAAACACTAAAGCACGAATTTGAACATGAAGAATCTCGGGTGTATAAGCATACAAAACACCATATTGAATGTTTGAAAACAATGAAAAGAAACAATTCCACGCTAAATAGGAGTTGCTAGTTTTTGCTGTTGTTGAACCAAACAAGACTACCCCAGTTAGCAACAATGATAATGATAAAGCACCTTTCCTACCAGTCCTTAACTCGACTAATAATCCTGCAATGATTGCCCCTGGAATTCCTATTACTGCTATTATGAGCGAATTACGATATGTTCGACTAACAGATATTTCCTTGAAAGCATCACCTCTAGTCTCCAAATAGTAAGGAAGAAATGCGTTGATCATAGGGTAGGAAATACCCACCAATGCCCAAGTGAAGATGATTAGTAAATTGGAGGTGGTCAACTTTGGTGAGGAGAACATTAATTTCAAATTTTGACTTTCAAACTTGGAAAAGTTACTTTTAACCAACAAATTATCATTGTTGCCCTCTATATTACCGTATCTGTTGTCAATCTCTTGAAAATCCTCAATAGCTATAGGGCAAGGCTTACCATTGATTTCTGCAATTTTTTGTACCACTTCTAAAGCTTTTTCATCTTGACCTTTCGCTAAATAATATTTTGGTGATTCACAAACTCTAAAAGCAAACCTAATCAAAAACAAGATAAAAGTAAAGCCTCCCATAGTGTACATAAAATATCTCCAACCTTTGTTATCTTTTTTGTAACAATTAGTTGTACTTTCACAAGAATAACTACTTATTAAACCCCATGAAATTAAATTTGTTATAACACCAGCCAATGCCCACCATGAACTCATAACAGTTAAGATCCATTGATAAGAAGCAGGAATAGACTCTAAAAATAATGAAGCGTCAACTACTATATTTCCTCCAACTCCAACTGAATAAAACGCTACAAAACAACCTAAAGCTGCAAAATTTGGTGATGCACCAGCAATAATAGCAAAGATCGAAGTAACTAGTAAAGTTATTTGGAATGGAATCTTTCGCCCGACAATATCAGATAATAATGAGAAAATAATACAACCCGCTAATAAACCAAAATTTTGTGCTAGTACAATGTAAGGTAATCTCCCCTCTGGCGGATGAACACCATCAATTTCATTCAATCTAGGTAAAATCAAGGAAGTACATATGGGAAACGCGTTATCATTGAACCATCCAAATCCAGCTACGATAAATAACCCAATTTGATATTTTCCAAACCCAATTTCTTGTATTGCATCAGCTAATAATTGTGATTTTGCTAAATATGGTTTATTTGCGTCTTTTTCGTTGAATAGTTCAAATGATGAAGAAGATGAATCTGTCTCTATTTGACGTTCTTCTGGTGCTGAAATTGACTTTTCAATCTCATCAGCTTTTGACGTCATTATTGTGGTGAATCTTTATTGCTTCCTAATTATAAATCTGAATTGATACTGATTTGAGATAAATCAAATAAAATATAGATGAATGTTTTATCTTTGATTATGTATGACTATCTGGATCTTGAGTTAACAATTGCTTTTCAAACAATTAGAAGGATATTTTGAAATTCATTTGAAAATTGATATGCATGAGCTGCTAAATAATTCTCAAATTGGAAATCTACGGAAAGTATATAGTTCGAATGATACAAGAGCTCGATAATTTACTTTTTGCTCATGGCAATAGAAAGCAAAATTTCATTATTCAAGCTGTATCTGATTAACTAAGCTGGTCATAAATTCATAGCTGTGATAACTGGATACAAAAATAAATTCAAGGTTATGTTCTTTCTCTAGCCACATTTTCACGGGATTAAGAATTATCAACGGATTTTAACCCCAGCCGCATTATTGACCGAGTCTGTCAAAAATGTTACCAAATTTAGTTCTTAATGAATGAAAGAAGAAGAAGAAGAAAATACTATAATTAACTTATTAATCTAGAGGAAAAAATGCTTTCACTACAATTAAAACGATCTAATGTATTTATAACTTTTATTTAATTTTTGTTAAAAACTATTGTAAAGTAAATAACCCAACCACAGACAACAATCCAATCCATAAACTCCAATTGATAGTAAAATTACTAACACCCAAATTTTTCTTTTTACCTAAAGTTTCTTCTTGACCATTTGTAGTACCAGTACTTGTGAAATTTTGATTAGTTTCTTCAGAATTCAAACTACCATCCCAACAATATCTTTCAAAACATTTTTTACATTGATCACTTTGTTCTTCACCATTTCTTTCTTGAGATCTTCTTATAATGGCACATCCTACACATGCTGCCCATTCTGAATCTAAAGTACCGTTGTTTCTTGAAGCTACTTCGAATCCATTTTGTATAATTGAATTTCTTTCATCGTTGTCGTATTTCATTTTGAATGTTGATGTGTTTGACCAATATGAAAATGGTCTGTTTGCTGTATATACTATCAATGGAGAATCATATATTGCACTTTGACCTGAACTATTTGTATAACTTGAGTTATTGTTGCCTAATAATGAAGTTAAATTTTTAGCATCACAACCGAAAAAAGTTGGTCTTGCGGTAAGATTTTCATTAATGAAAGTGTTTGCATCTGGTACATATGGGAAAATAGTACCATTACCAAAATCACCAAATTGTCTTCTATAAGATTGAATCATTGAAGTACCATTTGGCCAACTATATTCAGTATCTGCTGAATTATCATATGCAAAAATAACATCAACACTTCTTGCTGGTTGTAATAATGGATATAATGGAATATTTTGACCATCTTCTCCACCATCAACTATACTTAAAGTATCATTTTTTGGAATATGTTCTGAAGTACCTACTTCAGTTTCATAAAATGGATTTGGTTTATAAATAGCAACATCATCTTGATCCTTAGAGACATCTTCTAAAATTGATGAAATAATAGTTTTTATAGTTGATGATAAATCAGTAGTATTAATTCTTAAAATAAATTGATTAAATAAAGTTGATGAAGTACCCAAAACAAAACCTGCATTATCAAATCCATTATAACAAGTACCATTACTTTTACCATCATCTAAACGAGAACCTAAATATTTCAAATCCATAAATTGATAAATACTTTTGTCGTATGAACCCATTTCAAATGGATTAAATTCAATATTTGTTGAGTTCAAAGATATAATCTTAGTATCTGGGGCTCTACCATTAGCAACAATTAACGGCATTGGACATTCATGATTTTTGAAATAATCAGTATCTTGTAAAGAACTAAAAGTCATTGAAGCCCCAGCATCATCTAATGTAGTAAAAAATTGATGTGATAATCCTCTACCCCAAGTATCAGTTAATGATAATTCAAATCCTGCTCCCTTTTTATCATCTAAATCATCTGAAATTCCTTTATAATATTTATAAGTTTTAACAACATTAATTCCACCATAATTTAATATAGAATGTTCTAAATCCCAAATTTGATTCTTATCAACAATATCTTGAACTGATGTAAAATTATTCATTATTATAGAACCAACTAACCATGAACCACCTGATAATCCCGCAATATAAGTAGAAGCTTGTAATAATCCACCTAAACCTTTGCCCTTTTCAACTCTTGTTCTTTCATCCAAGGCACTTAATTGACCAGCACCATTCAACATAGCTCTATATCCACCACCTGAAAATGCTAATCCAATATGTATATTTTTATCTTTAAAATCGTCAGGATTTATATCTGACATATTTGCATTTTTTAAAAATTCTACAATTTTATCATTTGTTATATCATCTCTACCTTGAACCCATTGATTTTCTCTATCTGATATTTCATTTGCAACTCTTAAAAAATCTGATGAATTACTTGGACAATCAACTTTTTGAGGTGCATAAGATCCAAAACATATTGATATAAATAATGTTATTATTATCCAAAACAGGGTCTGGTAGCGTTTCATTATGAATTATATGGTGATGAAAAATTGGATAAATATGATCTTGTGATGATGATGATCTATATGTACAAATATTAAACAAATAGATTATAAAATTATAAAAAAAAAGGTGATTTATAATAACTTATAATATGATTTATTGAATTACTTAAATGATGGAAATATAAATCTTCTCATAACTAAAGATTTAAAAAATTGAAGTATATTGTTTCTATAAATAATTTAGTCATTTTATAAATAGAAATTTTCAATTCTACTTTTAAAGTTTAAAAATTGAAATTTTTTATATATCACAAACAACTATAACAACTATAATAACAATTACAGTAAATGTTTTAAATGCAATGTAAATCATCTTAAATTTTGTGCAATTTTCCAAATATAAAATTTACCGAATCAACCATTTTTAGTTGTTCAATCAAAGTTCTAAATTTAAATATTTTAGATAATATATTTTAAATAGTTTTGGTTATAAATAGATTTATTGATTTGCGGAGTTCAGATTCTGATATTTGACTATATATAATATCCAAGTTCACTAAAGAATATTGAAAAGATGATCCGAGATAAAATCTTGATGACTATCACCCACATAGTTTAATTTCTCTTTCGATAAAGTCCCTTGGGAGATATAGAAACCATATGATAGAAATCTGAAAAATAATAACGGATATTTTATAATCTTGATTTATTCATTTTATAAAATTATTTGCAAATAAAAAATTTTTTAACCGATACTTTTCTTCAAATAATTAAAAGCGTTTTCAACCGAATTTATATTTAGGTCATTAAACATGTTCACTTCTACGATTGATTTTAATAAATATTGCGCCTCGTAAATAAATTCTTAATTTTCAATTGTAAAGTTTTAACGTCATAATACATTTAATTAAGTATGATATCTGTATAGTTTTTTGAAATGTCTATCAAAATTTCTATTTTTAAATGTTTTAGCTCTAGATAAGTCGCCAATAAGTACTCAATGAAGTAAGTGTATTCTAGAATTTAAAGCTCCAAGAGGCTTTGGTAAACTTTTTCACTTATGTTAAGTGAGGTGTTTTGATATTCTGTGTAACTTTATTGTGTTACGTACATTTTATGCGAAACAAATACAATAATTTAAACTATTCAAATGCTATAAGAAGTTACATCTGTTTCGTTGATTAATGCTATCAGTCTAGTCAAATGTGTTTGAAAAGTAATTCATAGAATCTTACTTGTCTTAACGGTAAATTAAACTTTTGTGTGAATTTTTTAATTGTTTCAGATATAAACTTAATTTTTTTTTTTACAGTTTATTTTGGTGCAAAAAAATATAAAATCTACAATATTCAAAAAGAAGTAATTACAACTTTAAAAATCTTACCAGTCCTATTATATATTATTATATAAATATCCAAGAGGTACTACCTTAATGCTGCATAATTAAATTTTCATTCAATCTTGTGGATTATGATTTAAAATAATAATTTATTATAAATTTAGTTTGACATATTTAAAAATTTTAAAAATCCGTTCCTTCATATGCTCTGTACCTGTTATTAAAGAAGTAGATAATTTGGACCACAACCTCTGATGAAGATGTATCTTAATAATACATTTTTACTTAGCGACCTTACTTTAATCATCTCAATCTATTGAAATAGACTTTCTTGAGTCACAATACCCCTCAATTGTTTCCTTAAATTTTTGTGTGTTTTTAAAGGTGGAGATTAATTTGGTAATAAGTAATAAAAATTGGAGATGAAATTTTAAAGTTTATATCTTATCTGTTTAATTAAAAGCTGTTTATGCACTTATTAAAAGGCTGATTCAAATTTAGTCATTATCAAAGACTGTACCAACCAATTGTTTGTTGAATGAACAATCATTAGTTACTAAACTGCTATACAATATCTATTCATTTTTTCAAGCCGCGGAAATACAACTAAAAATTAAATTGAATCACTTACTTAATATTACTTCACAAATCATCTTATAGACCAACTAAATAATCAATTGAAATTTATAATTCATTAGATCAATAAACTATGACAAAATCATCAGAATCACAACTAATAGAAAAACTACGTCATTATATAGCACCTAATTATTCAAATAGTACAACATCAATATGGCATAGACTTCCAATAACAAGAAGATCAGCAGTTTTTATTTTATTGTTCTTAGGTAATATGGGGGAATTAAGAGTTTTACTAACCAAGAGGTCATCAAAGTTGAGAAATTTCCCTGGTCATGTTGCATTACCTGGTGGTAAAGCAGATGATGGTCTAGAATCTGAATGGATGGTTAGTAGAAGAGAAATGCATGAAGAAATTGGTTTGAGTTCACTGGATGAAAATTTAGCTAAGTTGGGGATAAGTATTGAACATATATGTCTTATGCCAAGTTATTTATCAAGAACTTTTTCATGTGTTAAACCATGTGTTGGATTTTTGAAATTTCAAAATGAAGATAATATTGAAAGTACAATAGCTTCAAAATTGAATTTGGTCCTAAATCCTGGTGAAAGTTCTTCTATATTTTCATGCCCACTTAAAGACTTTTTATACCCTACAATAGATGAGGAAAGTTTTGAAGCTTTGGAAAGAGTATCCTATAAAATAAAATGGGGAGGTATACCTTGGGATTTAAGATCATATACTTTTTTACAGAATAATTCAAATGATGTAGATTGGTTAAGAGATATAAAGGATTTATCTGCACTGGAAGAAGAAGAAGAATTAGGTGAAATATTAGATAAACAAGACAAAGGTAGAGTAACCCCACCAAATGCTAAACCAATGAAATCAAGATCAATACCTAAATCACAATCTAAAAAGAAACAAAACCTACAGTCTTGGGGTAGATTAGGATCACGAAAAGATGATGAAACAAATGAAAAAATATACGATGTATGGGGTCTTACAGCTAATATATTGCACGATTTAAGTGAATTAATATACACAAAAGATTCTTCAAAAATAACAAGACAAATAGGAGAAGAAGAAATGATTTATCTGCTATTTGAATTTGGTAAATTAATGCAAAAAAAAGAACGTAGTGATGATGAAGTTAAATTGATTCATTCTTCAAATTTAGGAGAAGATGGAAAAGAATTTGGATTTAATGATTTATTACCTAGAGAAGAATTTAATAGATTAAAAAATTTATATAAATTGTAAAGTTTTAAATATAAATTGGTAAGTTTTTTTTTTTAAAATAGTGATTGATATCTTGTATTGTAAATTTTCGTTAGATATAAATAAACAAAAAAAAGACTAAGTAGATATATCATATAACTGAAACCAACCACTATTTAAATGAACAATGAATCAGATATAAAAGTTGAAGAATTACTAAACCTACTAAATGAATATCAACAACTAACTAATACATATAGATCATCTTTCATTAACGGATTTTTACATCTAAGTAGAGCAAATTTTCAAAGTGAAAAAATCAAATTTGGTAAAGATACTTTGGATTTGAGAAATTATAAAGCTTGTAAAAATGTTGACACTAGTGATGGGGTACTAAAATTAGTTGACAATTTGATACCAATTGAGTCAATAAAAACAGATAAGGAGAAGAAATCAACTATAAAGAACAGGAAGACCAAGAAATCAATTATTGATGAAAAAACCACCGAAAAAATTACAGAAGAACCTACTGAATTAGAATTTAGAGATCCAATACTACAATTTGGTGCATTAACTCCTAAGGAACTTAAATTAAGTCAAAAAGATTTCAATGAAGGTCTACAGCTAAGTGTTAGGCTAATAAATTTACGAAATAAAATAAATAAATTAATAGATGAAATAGAATCAATGTCTTAAATTTAATGTTATACTTCTACATCACTATATAAATCACTATCATTTTCATAATCTTCTGCATTAATTTCAGGCATATCTTCATCTTCATCTTCATCCTCGTCTTCGGCGTCATCTTCATTCTCTGCTTCTTCACCTTCTTCAACTGCAAATCTTGCTTTTTTCCTATCTTTTTTAGCTTGTTTCTTATCCAATTTAGCTTGAACAGCAGCTTGTTGTTTAGCTCTTCTTTCCAATTTCAATTTTTCTTTTTGTTTATGTAATGAATCTAATTTTGCAACTTCGTCTGTGGTCTTGGAAACTTGTGAATGATACAACGTTTTGGATGATCCAACTAAACCTTCTTCTATTTTCACCAAAGACATATTTATTCTGGGACCCAATTCTATTAACTTTATTGCTCTTTTTTTGTTGGTAGTTATTGATTCTTGTTGTTGAGGTTTTTCTGATTGTTTTCTCTTTATAAGTTCTTCATGTTGGACTTCTACTACTGCATCATCTTCAATTTCACTATCTGATGTTATACCCCCAACAGAGTATGGATCTAAGATTAGGTCTGAAACGTCTTGGGAATTAGTTAATTTTGGTAATTTTTTTTTCAAGTTATGATGAGATTGAATTAATTTTTTAACATTTTTATTTTCTTCAACTAATTTTGTATTTATTGAATAATGTCTAATTTCAATTTCGTTCGTATCTTTATTTTTACTAACTAGTAAAACTCTTTTAATTGTATTAACTTTTGTATATTGTGGTTGAATTGGAGGAAACATATTTTGAAACATTGTAATCATTAATTTTTCATGCATTGGTAAATCTTTAACATTTCCTGAAAATCCATTCATTACCAATAATGGAGGTTGATGGAATTCAAAACTATCTTTTCCTACAGATTTAGGATGTTTTAAAATTTTACGAACATCTTTACATAAACTATAATTATTTATCATGAATTGTAAAGTAGGACCTCTTGGTAATTTTCCCATTCGTAACGTGATATTTCCAGTAGTAGATTGATTGAAAATGAATAAGTCAGATACATGTAATGGTCCACACATAACTATGAAATCTTTTAATTTATTTGATTTTCTTTCTCTTAAATTTATTGCAGTATGTGGTTGCATTATATTTCTAAAATCTGAAACTAATTGAGATAATGAATGATTTTTTAAGGAAGAACCTAAGTGAATGACCATTGATTTGGGTATTTTGGCATCATCTTCTTCTGATAACTTCTTGTGAGTTCTTCTTTTAGTTCTTCTCTTGGCCATTGTGTTTTTCTATAAGTAATGAAAGTACTAAATAAATGTTGGTTGTAAAAATGGTTTTTTAAATTTCATCTCATCGTAGTACAAAAAATTAAATATTTGATTTATCACCAAATATATTTTTAACAACCAAAACAACTAAAACAACCACAACCAAATATGTCATCAAAGGGGATACATAAAAAGACAAAAGCTGTAGATGCAACTAAGAAACTAGCGGAGAAGATAAAGAAACAAGCACTTTTAAAACAAAAACAACAACAATCAATAGAAGAATCATCAACCACCTCCACAAAAGAAGATAAACCACTTGAAACAACTACAATAGATCCAGATGCACAATTAAAATTCGAGACATTCTCAGAATTAAAACTAGTGCCAGATTTACTAGAATCAATTCAACAAATGAAATTCACAAAACCAACACCTATTCAATCAGAAGCTATCCCACATGCATTAGAAGGAAAAGATATAATAGGATTAGCAGTTACTGGATCAGGTAAAACTGCAGCTTTTGCAATACCCATCTTACAAGCTTTATGGCATGCACAAACTCCATATTTTGGTTTAGTACTAGCACCAACTAGAGAATTAGCATTTCAAATAAAAGATACTTTTGATGCCCTTGGAGCAACTATGGGGTTAAGATCAGTTTGTATTGTTGGTGGAATGGATATGATGGATCAAGCTAGGGATTTGATGAGAAAACCACACATTGTTGTTGCAACCCCGGGAAGAATAATGGATCATTTAGAACATACTAAAGGTTTTAGTTTAAAAAATTTAAAATATCTTGTAATGGATGAAGCTGATAGATTATTAGATATGGATTTTGGACCAGCACTTGATAAAATTTTAAAAGTTATACCAACAAAGAGAACCACTTATTTATTCTCTGCAACAATGACAAATAAAATTGAGAAATTACAAAGAGCAAGTTTACATAATCCTGTAAGAGTTGCAGTATCAACCAAATATCAAACTGCTGATAATTTAATCCAATCAATGATGTTAGTGAATGATGGATATAAGAATACTATATTAATCCATTTACTTAATGAATTTATAGGGAAATCAATAATAGTTTTCACAAGAACAGTTGCTCATGCACAAAGAACAGCATTATTAGCAAGAATATTAGGGTTTAATGCAGTACCATTACATGGACAATTATCACAAGCACAAAGATTAGGTTCATTAAATAAATTTAAATCTTCAAAAGCTAATATTCTTGTGGCTACAGATGTAGCAGCAAGAGGTTTAGATATTCCATCAGTTGATATTGTTATAAATTATGATATTCCAACGGATTCAAAAGCATATATTCATAGAGTAGGAAGAACTGCAAGAGCAGGTAGATCAGGTAAATCTATTTCATTAATAACTCAATATGATTTAGAAATGTATTTAAGAATTGAAGCTGCATTAGGAAAGAAATTACCAAAAGAAGAAAAACCAAGTAAAGATATTTTAGATGCATTACATTTACATGTTGACAAAGCTACTATTGAAGCTATTAGACAAACTAAGGAATTGCATGATAAAAGAGGTAGAAGAAGAAAAGATGATGATAGAGAAGAAAAATAGTAAAATTTAATGAATAAATATTAATATATTAAAAATTAACTCTACTATGCTAGTAAGTACTCTCATGAATATGTATAAACTCTATTATTCCCTATTTATGTAAAAAATGAACAGGACACTCACCATAACCCTTTTTATTAAACCAATCTTTAATACATTTATAATGAAACATACAAAGACATTCTAATCTACCAACTTTATCACCAGGTTTTAAATCTTCTAGACATATAACACATTCATCAAATTTTTCTTGTGTAGTAGGTTGTGGAGATTCATCAACAGAATCAATAGTTTCATATGTTGGTTTAGGTATTGGTGGAATATTATATACTAACATTTTATTTTTGGGGTTTGAATCTGGTGAAAATCTTGTTGAATTATCTGTATTGAAATTGAAAGATACTAAACAATCATTTATATGTAATTCTTTAAATTTTTCAAATTCTTCATTTGTTATTTGATTTATATTTTGTTGATTTTCTATATATAATTTTAATAAATTATTTGAACAAACTGGACATAGGTTTATATCACTTGAATTGTCTTGGGATGTTGTGGTTGTATTATGTTGTCTTCTACTTAATGAAGTTGTAGACGATGAACAGGGTAGTTGTCTAGTTTGTTCTCTTGTATGATTATGTTTAATTTGATCATTTTCTTGATGATGATGATGTAATCCAGGATTTGGATCATCATATAATACTCTTCTAATAATGTTTATTTCTTTAACACATTCATCACAAGTCCTATAAGTTTCATTAGATTTAGAATATTGAACTCTTTGTAAATTATAAAATTGAGAATCAGGATTAATTATAATTGGAGTATTATCAAGATAATGAATATTATTAGATGAACAATCTCCACAGACTACTTTCCCACATTTTCTACAATGATGTCTTCTATTTAGAAAATTGTACTTGGTGGAACATATAAAACATTGAGATACTTCATTATCATTTTGCCATATTGGTATTGATGATCTTGTATATGACATGATTTTAATGTGGGGTTTGTGATTAAGTGGGGATAGATGAAAATGAATATATGATAGTTGTAGGTGTAGGTCGTTGGTAAATGATTTTTAAATAGTCTTGTGATGGTAATAAATTATGTAGTCAATAAAATGTGGTTGTAAGTTGAAATATGATTTATAAATAATAATAAATCCCCCCTTATTAAAAAAATTAATTTTCTTATCTAAATATTTGAAACAATACAAAAAAAAAAAAAAGATTGTCTTAGAAATAAAAATTATTAAAAGTGTGACTTTATTTTTCAAATTAGTTGTCATAAATACTAAAGTTTAGTCATTGAATTTAAATTTGCGACAATGAGACAAATTTATTTATTATTTACATTTATTTTTCATATTCCATTCAAATTATTGCAACAAGATTTGAAATTAAATGTCTGATAGATTAACTCAACTACAGATTTGTTTAGATCAATTAATTGAACAATTTAATGCTACTGTTCATTACGTTAATACAAATTCAAAACCTGCACTATTAGATGAAGATGATCCAACTTCTGTTTCAAATATAGCAGCTAATGCACCAATTCCTCAACAACAACAACAACAACAACAACAACCAGCTCAACAACAACAACAACAACAAGTACTACAGCAAGAAGAAAATGGTCAGACACAAAATAACAAGCTGCCCGATGACGCAAAAGATGAAATAAAAGAAGGATCAAAACCACCAGAAATAAGTGAAGAAGATTTTGAAACAACAATAGATGAATTATCAACAGATATTGTATTAAAAAGTAGACAAATTAATATGTTAATTGATTCACTACCTGGTATTGGTGTAACTCCTGAAGAACAATTACAATTGATTAAAGATTTAAGTTTAGAATTACAAAAAATTGAACAAGATAGAATATCTAAAATTAAAGAAAAAGATGAATTATTATTTAAAGTTGATGAAATTATTGAAAATTTAGCTACTGGTACTTCAAAATCAAGAATTTGATAAAAGTAACAAATGTTATTTGTTGCATTAAAATATCCGCTTCAACAATATATTTCAGTTTATCGTCAAGTAGATGATTTGAATTAAGTAAGTACCGACTTCATTGGGTAGATTTACTAGAGCAAAGAGTTTAAGATTTCATTTCAAAGTTGTTCAGAAATTTTCTTGTGTTATTGTCACGATACAACCAAAATTATACTTGCAGAAATCAGGGCTATAAAGGTAATGCTTGAGTTTAATGAGAGACAAATTGACTCAGTTTATACGAGAAAGGACAGAAAGCACCTTAAGCTGTTATATTAGCTACAAATCCTCAAGTATTATACTCTCAATTAGTATATATATACGATATAAGAGAACTTAATTACATAATCGATCATTTAAGTTAAAACCTAAGATTTGTCTCCATTACTCCTGGTTGAAAAATACAATATTAAACTAAATCCAACCAGTACTCCTGCAACAATCTTCAACGATTTTATAACCAATCTAAAATAAGCTTCTGAACCAATTTGACTCTCATATCCAAAAACAGTTAATCCACTCAATATAAATAAAAGATAAATTCCAAAGGGAAATAAAAAATAACCAACTAATGCACTGATACCTTCAATTAAAATTAAAGTTAATGAAATAACTAATAATATTGTGCCCATACCAATTGAGTAAAATATTTTACCTTTAGAGCTTAAACCAGTTATTGATGATGAAAAATTATGTTGAGATTCTTCCATTATTAATGGTTCTTGATTTCCCTCATTTGAATCTTCATAATCTGGTAGTGATGAAGAGCTATTGAAGGGGTTCTCAAATGTACTATGGCCGTTTTTGAGGTTGCTCATGAGTGTGGTAACTTTATTATTAAAGGTTTTAAAATTAGTATTAACTTCGGGCTATTCTGAAATCTATCTTAAAAGATGTTAATATGAAATAAATCCAATTTTATTTTTAGAATATCCTCTAGCGTTTATATAAGGTAATATGAAAACTCCATAACCACATTTTTTGATTTTGTAAGTCAATTAGACAATATACTTATTTTTTAATTTTGTAAGTCAATTAGACAATATACTTTAGTTTGCTTCAGGCCCCAATAGCATTTGGCTATAGACTTTGTTGATAACCGCGAAGCTTTTGACAGAGAACAATTGATGCCGTATACTTTTTTAATTTGTTTGGGGGCTTTATTTTTAATTTAGATATTTTAGTTTAAAACACAAAAGCTATTCTTATCGTAAAAAATTGTGTCAATTGAAATACGAGAAATTTTGTATTGCAATGGTTCTTGTTGAATAGTTTGTGAATTGAATGTCTTTGGACTTGTTCTTTCAAGTTGCCACCATTAAGTTTTAGTTCAGTGCCCTATGCCTGATAGTTTTTCATATACTAAATAATTTAATTCTTTGAGGCAGTTTTGCATTTGACATTTAAATTTAAACTCACTTGATTTACGTTCAGGAAAGATAGTACGCCATATCTATGAGAGACTAAAACAATAAGAACTGCAACTAATTGAGCTCATAAAGTAGTTATATGATCCTAATTCAAACTTGAGTAAGAACTATTCTACAGTATAATTGTTTCATATAAATAGTTTTGTGTAATAAATTTTATAAGTTCTCATCTCCTTATGATTCCAGATTTATCAAATCATTAATTCAACTTCAACCAACCAATTTACATCACCAATCACAATGCCAAGGAAATTCGATAAAAAGAATGCTAAAACTTTCAATATAGTTCATAGAGCACATGATGATGTAAAATTCTATGACGATGATGCCGCTCAGAATGTTTTAGTTGAACAACAAAATCAAAAACCATCAACTTCGAAAAATAAAAAGATATATTCTACAAATGATCTAGAAGCAAGATTGAAGAATAAAGTAAGAGAGAATGAAGGACTAGCTGCACAATACGGTATAACATATGACGACTCAAATTACGACTATATGCAACATTTGAAACCTATAGGTGACGATAATGAAGGAGTATTTATCAAAGCAAAAGATGAGACATCTCAACCTAAGAAACAATTGAACTTGGAAGAGTTATTAAGAGATAATTTACCATCGGAAGAGAAAAGATATGTAGCAAGAGATTTAAATCAAAGTATACCCGATGAATTAAAAGGTTTTAATCCAAATATGGATCCAAGATTGAGAGAAGTATTGGAAGCATTAGAAGATGAAGCATATATAGAAGATACGCAAAAAGAAACAGGCGATGAAGAAGAAGGAGACGTAGAAGACGATGATATGTTTGCAGACTTGTTAAAATCAGGAGAAATTCAAGATGATGAATATGATGATTATTATGATGATGAATATAATGATGAAGATTATGATGAATGGGATATGGATAATTATGAAGATGAATATAATGAAAGGTATGATGAACAACCTGAAGAATTGGCTGGGAATAAAGAAATTAATGAAAATTGGCAAAAAGATTTTGTAAAATTTAAAAAAGATTCTAAGAATAAAACAAATGAGTGGGATTCAGATGATGAATTTGAAGAAGAAGATGAACCAGGAGAAGAAGAAGAAGAAGAAGAACACGATAATCTAGGTGAATTACCAAACCTTGAAAATAAATCCAAAAAATCAAAAACCAAATTAAGAAAAAAAAAAGGAGCAATGACAGATACATCATCATTTTCAATGTCATCATCAGCATTATTCAGAACAGAAGGATTATCAATACTAGATGATAAATACGATCAATTGAACAAAAACTACACTGCTAAAGATATAACCACAACTCAAAAACCATTTAATATGAGTGAAGAAAGAACTGATTTTGAAAATTTATTAGATGATTTTTTGGATAATTATGAATTAGAAAGTGGTGGAAGAAAATTAGTTAAAAAAGATGATGAAAAATTGAAATTACAAAAAGCTGCTAAATCTGTTTCAAAAGGTAAAAATGGTGATTTAAATAAATCTTTTCAAAATTTAAAACTAGATAAATAGATATTACCATTAATAGAACAAGTCCGTGAAAAATTAAATTCGATGTAATAAGCGTGAAGTAGTCTATATTATGTGCATTGTTCTGACCTCAACCTATATATGTATTACAATCTATATTCCAGCCAGGAAACCATTTATGAGCAGTACATTGATCAAAAGTCCAATTTGTTCCGAAAATAATAGGAATAAATTCATAAAATACATAAACTGAAGAACTTAATATTAAGATCATTAGTGTGTTTCTAATAATGGAATGTTGATAGTTTATAAATTCTGAAAGGATTAATATTGCAAATACCAATGCTGGTAAATAATGATGGGAGTATAAGTTTCGTTCCATCACAAAGTATGGGAAATAATTAATTACCCAACCAACTAAATATTGAGTAGAATTATCACAAAATTTTTGCTTATTGGTAGAATCAAAGTATTGAACATATGGATTTGAAATCTTGACCAAATGAAATGAGATTTTAATAAAAGTGAAAATAATTGCAATGAAACTAGCCAAATAAATAACAATATTCCCAAGAAAATAAATTTGAATTGGACTCTCATTGAAACCAAGGTATTTTGAAGAAGTGTTAAAATAAGGTATTCCTTTTAATACAAAAGGCCAACTTGAAGGGTATGAACTTGAACTATGTTCATTAGTAAAATCAGAATTTACCCTAATCATAGCTAAATGAATCTCCCAAATTTTTTTCCAGAACGGGAATGGTTGGTCAAATTCAACAAAATTTTCAGTGAGTAACGGATGATTGTTCGATTCAACGTACCACATTGAATTAGGAATAGTTGGTTCTTCAACACATAATACTTCATTTTGATAATTAGCCCATTGTGGTAATTTTGTAAAATGACTTATAACATTACATTTATGATGTTTATGGACTATTTGAAATATAGATTCAGTAGCTCTTAATTTAATCATTGGTAAATTATTTTTAGAATGTGGTTTTGAATTCATTATTCTTATTTTAAATTCATATTCTGAATCACCTAAAAGTCCTCTAGTTTCATTGCAATTTACTTCCTTTGAATAATCATGTTCGGAGATGGGTGGTCTTATATCATTCACATGTAAGTATTTTTCAGTTGATTTATGGTATAATCTTATTGTATCGCCATCTTTTACTGGTCGCTTCCGTTTCATTAATTTATCTTCATAGTATTTATGTGGAGTTTCTATAACCCATTCATTATTTACATCATCATCAAAATCGTATAATGTAACTTGTTGTAAATTAGAACCTTTGGGGTATTTTAAATCGTGAGAATGTAAATATTTTTCCAACTCATTGTGTTTGATAGTGATTGTGCTTCCATATAACACTTCAACTGGTGATGCTTTGTAATTTATAAATGATGATCTGAAATGTGGTGATATTGAACCACTGTTTGGCCCTTCATATGGTAATAAATTAAAATGAATTTTCCAAATTGATAAATAGATAGTAAGTGGTATAATGAATAATGCTAAAAATCTATAAAATACTTGAATGAACCATTGAAAAGTGGTTACTGATAAATCACCTAGTATATCCCATAACTCAACAATAGTAAATATTCCAACCCATAAAAAAGTGAAAACCCCAGTTGATTTAAAAGATATAGTCCAACCTAACGCAAGTCCAGTGGCTAATAAATAGCCCCACCACTTTCCAGTACCCAATGGTGTTCTTAGAAAACTTTTAAAACAAAAAGTAGTCAACAATTGACCTAAAATAAAAGGTGTATCTAACAATATAAATCTTGATTGAGTAAATAACGAATTTTCAAATAGTATTAATAATGATGTGAAAATTGAAATTAAACATCCATGATCTATTCTAACTATTAAATAGCTTAGTACTACTCCGATAATCCCACATATGCCAGAAAATAATCTCATTGAAATAAAAGGTATATTCTCATAAGGTTGACCAATTGATTCAAAATCCTGTGGTTGAAAACCTTTCCAAGATGCAATTAAATAATAAATTAGTTTCCCTAATGGTGGATGAACATCCAAAAAGAATTTACCTTGAGAATATAGCAGTATATAATCCATGATATGAATTTCATCAAATACTACATTTGGTGGGTTGTAAATCTTGTATAGTCGTATTAACGATAGACATATTAAATATAATATTATAATTACGTCGTATTTTGTTAGTTTTTGAGATAGTAGTTTACTTGATATTGATTTATATGGACGAAATGGACCCCTTTTAAGGTCATTGGGTGATTTTTCTGACATTGTCGGTTGGTTGCAGACCTAACTTTTTTGGTTTGAGAAATTTCGGATCTGAAAAATAAATTTGGTACGAGACCTCGAGCTAATCTGTTCCTCGGAGAATTATAAAAAACAAGTACAAGCTATAATACAAATGCTTTTATTATATCTATAAATTATATTTTCATCAAGTCATACTCTATACAGTTTCTTTCTTATGTTCAAATTTCTTAAACTTGTAATTCAATTCTTGTCGAATTTTCTTAATCATATAAAGAAAAACACCAATGCAACAACTACTAGTAATCAAAATACAAGCAACAGCGAATATAGAACCCATAACTTTAAATGTTAACAATGGATAATCACCAACTCCTCCACGACCAATTTCAATATTTGATAACGCCATTGTACCCATGGGAAAAGTCATTGCCCAAAACCCCTTGTGATGTTTTAATAAACCGTATCTATTTGTATGTTTTGAGTTGGGAAGTTTGGCAAATGGTGAAATTTTTGATAAGATGGAAGCTATTGCGACAAATGTCATAAAGTAACCAAAACTCAATAAGAATAATCCAATAAATCCACCAATGCATAATAACATTTTACCATATAATAAATCATGAGGTACTAATTCATTAACATGAACTCCGAATAAATAAATACTATATGAAGATTGACCCAAGAATCCAACAGGTAAAAAGCTTGTAAATATTAGATTAGTTGGTGGAATTTTATGAACAATTAATCTCCATATATAAATAGTCATAATCATATAAGCCAATGAAATAGATAAACACCATAACATTAAACTCACAATCATCGTTATTACAGTTTCATTTGTTGTGTATAAATCCAATTCAATAGCATGGCCACTTGACGAGCAAACTGTAATAGCAACGATTGGTAATAATAAAGTAGCATTTAATTTTGCATCAACTTCCGATTTATTTAATTTTGAAAAAAACGATAAATAAACAACCAAAAAAGAAGTATAAACTGCTGTGAAGACTGCAATCCACCATAATGTCCAAACAAAATACATATGATGACCATTCACCAATAAATTTATGTAATTAACTATCGTTATATACCCCATTGAAAAAGCTCCCATATATGTAGCTTTTGTAGGATCTAAATGATAACTCCTAAATCTACCAGGAAAATAAATACATGATAGTATAAATAATGTACAATTACCCAAAAATAGTATACAACAAATGGCAAACATAATATATGAACAATATTTTAACCATTCACCTGGAAATGGAAATTCATATAATAAAGATGATGATATACCAGTACCCATAACAGATACAAAATATGCAACTGAAAAATTCTTAACAACATCACCAATAATAAATCTCTCATACCATGAATTTTGTTGTTCTTCTTGACTACTATCACTAGCTAGTTTGTCGTGATTTAATCGTTCATATATTCCAGGTTTTGATGATGAAGCAATAGATGTTAGAGTTGAGTCATAATCCATAGCATTTTGTTCTGTAGTTAGTTGTTCTTGTAGTTGATTTTCTATTGGTGCATCATCTCTTATTTGTTCTTCTTTATTTGCGTTGTTTATTGGTTTTGCGTTTCCAGTTTGTTCTGAAGCCATAGTTTTTGAAATGATGAAATGTGGCTAAAATTTGAAATTTTTTGATTTTATATAGTGTTTCAAAATTGAAGTTTTAAATTGGCTGCAAAAAGGTAAATTAATTTATTTAATGATATAAGTTTTAAATCTAATGAAAGAGTATCTGGAAGTACTTTCAAAATATATTTATAATTATTTGATTATCTGAATATTATAATTATAAAAGGATGTAAAAACTTTTGATATGAAGGGACAAAATAAAAAACAGAGTCATTTATTATATAACTTGATCCGAGGGAAAATCTCTCTTTAACTTATGCGAGGTGCCGCATTGGTTTGGTACAAGCTCGACTCAAATTCTTAACAACTATAAGTCGATTTGGTAGTAAAGCTTTTTTGCAGTCTATGTAATCATTAATGTAACAAAGATAAGATGCAAAGTGAGATGAATTAACTTTAATATTTTATCAACAAATTGCTCGGTTTGTTTCTTTCATTAGCGCTCTTTGCAAGTAGATAAGGTTGGACTTCAATTTACCAATAAATAATTTGATTAAAGCACAAGTCATGCTAATGTTTGCAAACACTATAACAACGCATTTTTTTTTGTTCTTTTTCAATACTACATATGTTTATTAAGTGTCCATCTAGCTTGCTAAATATAAGGAAATAAACTAAATTCGAGAGAGAGAAAAGTTATATATGTAGCTCACTTCATTTTTCATAGCTTTATAACCAAAATCCATCGTTAGTATTTTTCGTTTCTGTTCTATTTGCTGTTCTATTTTCGTAATGAAGTATGATCATTACGCAAAGTTCAACCATAGCCAAAATGATACACAATTTGATGTTTTGATCGAAGTAATTTCAGAGTTCAATGGAAATTTTACTTCACAAAAAAAAGAAAAGATGGACCGCTCCTTTAAGGTTAAATTCTTTTCCAAATTTAGCCATTTAACAATTCTTTACTTATTTGCATTTTGCTCACAATTTTGTTATTGTTATTTGCAAAATTAATTAATTACGTGTTCTTCTTATGAGTTTACCCCGTCGATTGTTTATACGCATAAATCAACCATTTTTAAGCATTGTTACATGAGTTAATTATAAAAATATAATTGGTCATAATTTGATCGGGGTACTCCTTCTTTCAATATCTTTTCTGAGATATTTTCAATACAATATTTTGACTCACTTTTTGTAACAAACATTGCACTTATTGGTATCATTAGAATTCTACAAGCTCAGAGATGTCGATGCTGGTCTTGAAAATAAAAACTTTCAATCAACTTCCAACTTTTGCTCCAATTCAAATAAGTCTATATTCATCTTCCTCTTAGAACAATGAAATTTATAAAATGTAAAGACTAAAAATTTTTTCTTATAAAAAGTAGTGCAAGCGGGCCCGATTCTTGAAATTTCCAACAGTTGGAATTACCTAATTAAGTATTCACCGCTCATCGTCTAATAAAATATAAACCGTTTGAACCGTCCACGGGCATAAAATATAACTTATAATAAAATTCCCGTCATAATTAATTTTATATGTCAGGTGTCATATGACTTAGATAAAAAATAATAAATTGAAGATAATACTTCAACGAAATGTTTCATCCACAAGAATAAATACTAGATAAGATTATTTCAAGTTAAATTATCTGATGATAACTAAAAACTTATCTACAAGCTTTAGATCTTTAATACTAAAATTTTTAGTACTTGATGATGGGCAGTTAAAAAAAGTTTTTTTTTGTGTTCTTAGACTAAAATATTTTTGTATGATAATTTAAATTTAAAAAATCTCTCGTAAGTAAAATTATATAAATAAATAACAAATAAACTAACTATTTTTCCTTATCTTTTTTATTCATATTTTTACAACCAAATTCATTTCAACATTACATTTTGCTATCTCATTACAAATATTATAAGTTTATATAAAATGCTTTTAACTCCTTCATCAACTTCTTCATTTAATAATAATAATCAAGCCACAATCAATAATAGACCATCTACACCAAATTCTTGTTCATTTATAGCTGGTTCTACTACAAAAAATTTTTCAAGAGCTATACCAAATTCATTTTTAAAACCTTCTGTTGATCATGATTATGAAATTAATGGTACTACAATTGAAAATATAAATAAATCATCTAATTTTTATAAATTAATTATGGATTTAAAATTTTTATTAGCTGGTAAAGGATTATCTTCAGAAGATATAGATATTGAAAAAGTTAAAGAATTAATGAAAAATTATGATTCTAAATTAGATGATTGGCAACATTTAGCATTACATGATCCAAGTAGAAATTATTCAAGAAATGGTATTATAAATTTAAATGGTAATGCAAATTTATTAATATTAGTTTGGTCACCTGGTAAATCAAGTGCTATTCATGATCATGCTGATGCTCATTGTTGTATGAAAATTATAAAAGGTCAATTAATTGAATCTTTATATGATATACCTGAACAAAGTGGATCAAAATTAATTTGTAAAAAAACTACAATTTTAAATCATAATGAAGTTGGTTATATTTCTGATAAAATTGGATTACATAAAATTTCAAATCCTTTAAATAATGAAGTAAGTATATCATTACATTTATATACTCCTCCTTATGCTGCTATGTATGGTTGTTCAATGTATGAAGCAAGTAATGGTAAAAAACATCATTGTGATATGTCAAAATATTATAGTTGGCAAGGTAAGTTGATTAATGAAAAAGAATCACTGAGTTGTTAACCCAAAAAAAGCTATAGACTATAGATTACTAGACAATAAATACTATATATATAATGATGAATGATGAAATATACAAATAATTATAATAATTTATATTTCTCTATACTTCAATCTTATATAATTTGGAAAATTCACTACCACCTTCATATGGTACTTGTAACCAATTTTTATTATCATATTCAGTAACTCCATCAATAATATGAAAAGCATAAGCATACCTAGATTTATCACTTTTATTTTTTTCAGATTTATGTAACACAGAATTATGTATCAATATCAAAGATCCAGCTTTACATGGAACATGTTTATATTCACCTTCAACTGGTTTTTCATCTTCCAATTGTTCAAATTTACACCCACCTTGTAACCCATTAGTACGTACAAATCGTTTACTTACAGGGTAAGTTTTATGAGTTCCTGGAATATATGATAAACAACCATTTTCTAAAGTACAATCTTCCAAAGCTATCCAAAATCCTACAGCACTTTGTGGATTGGTAAATAGGAAAGTAGCATCGTTATGTGGAGGAACTGCGTTATCTCTTTCCTTAACGTCTCCACTTATTGGTTGTTTGAATATGCACATACTTTGTAAAACTTTTGGATCTTTATAATTTAAATCTTTAGCTATTTGTTTAACTGAATCACTAAAAGTTACTTTTTTGAACAATGGATTTTGAATATGTAAACCATGACCTATTTTATTTATAGCTTTACTTAATTCCACCGTTAATTCCCCATTAGATGTGAACGCATCAATATCAAAAAAGAAAGAAGTTTTATCAGCTGATTCGAAAAAGTATTTATCACCAATGTGATCTTCGTCTGCTGTTTTGAAAGTTGTTTTGGTGTGGTTAGATAAATCAACTTTTGTTAATAATAATTTTGATTGTTCTAGTAATTGATTAGTTTCTTCTGGTGTTAGGAAATTTTCAATACATAACATTCCTTCTTTGTCAAAAAACTCCTTTTGATCATTTGTTAATCCTGGCATTTTGGAAAGAGTAGAAAGACTTGAAGTTGTAAAAATTAAACTTATACGGTCGAAAAGTATTCAATTACTTAATGTATGAAAAGCTTTGAACTAGAATGGTTGATTTGTGGGGAATTTGATCTCTTATCTTTCTGTCTTGAAAAATAAAATTTAGAGACAATCTTGATCTCGCGCGATAACATTTTGCAACACTTACCAATATTAAGTAGGTCATATAATAATCTATGAATATATACAAAAATGAAAAATCTATATCATCTTTTGAAATACTTTAGCTCCAAGTATCTTAAAGATGGGTAAGTAATACCAGTAAAACCAGCAGCTAACCATATACCTATATCACCACCTTGAGAACCAATCAATTTGGCAAGAGGACCAATAAAGTAGACTTGATTCATACCTAACACAGCTCCAGCTACACCACAACAGAATGAGATACAGCAAGCAATACCTAGAGTTCTACCTTTTGGTACATTCCAATTCTTCCAATTATACAATTTATCCATATCATCATCATCAAATTCTTTTTCGTGTAATTTTTTAATCTTGATAGTTGACCTAAACAAAAGATTTTCTTCAAGTAACAAAACAATATACATACTAATCCAATAACCCAACATAGGTAATAAATTAGATAAAATCTCTGAGAATTTGTCTCTTCCAACTAATGATAATACAATATATATTGCAGAAACAATTGTGGCCCAAATCCACCTAGGCACAAAAACCAAATGTTTATCAATTAATTGAAACTCAAATGCAATTGAATAAGTATTCATGATATTATTACAAATCAAAGATAAGTATAACAAGACAGCAACAAATTTCCCGAATTTACCCCATGGTTGGAAAGTCTCAACTATTAATCCACCAACTCCCATATTTGTATATGCATCATTCCAAGGCTTGTATGATAATGCAATATTTCCACATATTGTACCTATAACTGCAACAAATGTAGTTGGTATTGCAATACCAAAAAATGTAACCATAAATACAGTTCCTGAAGGTGTATTTTCTGGAAATAAAATATAATAATCAGAAGCTCCTGAAGCCCATGAAGATGTAGAACTATATGCTATAGTCCAAAATGAAAGCCAAGTCCCTCTAATTGTTAACGAATCTAGACCCAATTGATTTACTATCTCATTTGAGTCATGAACATACCCAATCTTATTACAAACAACAACATAAAACAAAATACAAGCAATGAAAATAGGTATAGCCAAAATAGTTTGGAATTTCAACAACACTTTAATTCCAAAAACTGCTACAACTAAAGAAACAACAGCAATTACAACTATCCCAACAGCTAAACTAATATTGGAATTGATAGCAACTAACATTTGACCTCCTAAAACACAATTGACAATTGACCAACCTACTCCACCAGTAATAGCTAGCAAAGATACCACTACCACACCATAAGTTCCAAACAAAAAACGAGCAGTCACCATTTGTCTACATCCAGATTTGGGACCCATAGTTGAAGAATAAGCTGGTACTAAACAACCAATTAACATTGCTATGATTCCACTAACTAATGAATTTTTCAAGTTTAAATTGAATAATAAAGTAGGTAAAAAGAATGAAGACATCGATGTTAAACCACCACATGCAGCAAACCATAATCCAATAACTTGAATAAGCTGATAAGTTGTACTTGTTGATTTTGCTTTAGCGCTTCTTTCTTCTGCACTTACTCTTTCAATTCCTCTTGTTTCTATTCCAAAATTATCTAATTGATATATCCATTTTATAAAACGTGGTGCTCGTTTTTGGTAATTAAATTCATCAGATAGTGATGAATTAAAAGACTCGTCTGTATGGATTGAATCTAATTTCTCAGCACTCTTTGACATAGCTTGTACAATCCGTTTTAGATATGAAATAAGGAGATCATATTCAGGTCAAAATTTTGAAATATATTTGGGTTAAATCAAATTGAATCAAATCAAAACCCCCTTAGCGCATATTTTTTTTCAAAACAAATATTATTTTAAAAATCCAAACCCTTTTTCAATTCAACATAAAATATGCAAAAAAGAATACTTTTTGAATGTTAAAGTTAATCCATTCACCAATGACGTCTTTCGTGAGCGAGCTAATAGAAAAGCATAATGGGATTTACAACACTTCCATCAGTCACCCATTAACCAACGAATTATGTCAAGGTATACTTTTAAATTATCAATTATTCACATACTTAAATCAAGATTTAAAATTTTTTGATTATAGTTTGAATGTTTTGGGTAAAGCATTGGCATTGAGCAATGAAAAAAGTGCATCAATTAGATTAGCTAAACAAATTGGTTGGTTAGCAGTTGATGAAAATGATTACTTCACAAACACATTGAAAGAATTGGAATGGGAACAATTACCAGAAGTCAAAGGGTTAAGGGAGAATAATCTAACATTACCGCAAGTATCTAAATACATTGACTATTTAAAGTATTTGATAAATGACTGCAACTCATATTTAGAATTAATCACGTTCTGTTACGTGATGGAAAAAGTCTACTTGGGTTGGGTAGAGTACAATCAAGAGCAAAACCAAATTGCTGCAAAATTACCACCAAAATTTCAAATATGGATTGATTTACATAATGGTGAACAATTTATAGAATGGGTTAATTTTTTACAAAATGAAGTTGAGAGAAATATACATGATGATGCAAGTAAGAAAATTTGTGAGGACGCTTTTGTTAAGGCTGTGAACTTAGAGACTGAATTTTTTGAAGCTTGCTATAACTATAAGGAGTAATAACGGTTATTTGTTAGTCTTTCTTTATTAACGCATTATATACAACCCCTTTTATGAATTATTTTTAACTTGTATATAACTTACACTAAATCTATTATGAAACCAAAACCTGCATATAAATGATAATATTTTGCAGCTATCGAGGGATGTGATATGCTTTAAAGAATAATTGATGAAACAATAGAATTTGACAAGCTCCTTGATCCTTGCACGGTATGCGATTAAGCTGCAGGGCCGTTTTCACCGATATATATATTGCTACAAATCCATTAAATAATTTTGCTTTGAACTATTTAAAATTTACCTAAAATTTGTTTAGTTTCTTTATAATTGTTTAGTTTCACAATAATTGTTCAGCAATATGACTTCAAGTGATAAAATTAGCTTTTGTTTAAATTGGGAGGCTACACCATATCATATTCCAATTTTTTTAGCTCAATCCAAAGGATATTTTCAAGATGAAGGATTAAATATTGCGATACTCGAGCCATCAAATCCATCTGATGTTACTGAATTAATTGGTTCTGGAAAAATTGACATGGGATTAAAAGCAATGGTTCATACATTAGCAGCAAAAGCTAGAGGGTTTCCAGTTACTTCCATTGGATCCTTGTTGGATGAACCTTTCACTGGTATTTGTTATTTGGAATCTTCGGGTATTACTTCAGATTTTCAATCTTTAAAAGGTAAAAGAATTGGGTATGTTGGTGAGTTTGGTAAGATTCAAATTGATGAATTAACTAAATATTATGGAATGACACCTGATGATTATACCGCTGTAAGATGTGGAATGAACGTTTCTAAGTACATTCTCGAAGGTTCAATTGATTGTGGAATAGGTATTGAAAGCATACAACTAGTCGAATTAGAAGAAGCTTTGAAAAAACAGGGAAAAGATCCAAATGATGCTAAGATGCTTAGAATTGATAAATTAGCTGAATTAGGTTGTTGTTGTTTTTGCACTATTTTATATATTGCAAATGATGAATTTATTGCCAAAAATCCAGACAAAATTAAAGCTTTCATGAAAGCTATTAAAAGGGCCACTGATTATGTTTTGGCTAATCCACAAAAAGCATGGGGAGAATATGGAAACTTCAAACCACAAATGACTAATGAATTAAATACCAAAAAGTTTGAAAGATGTTTTGCTTATTTCTCAGAATCTTTGTACAATGTTCATCGTGATTGGAACAAAGTCAATAATTATGGTAAAAGACTTGAAATCTTACCTCCTGACTATATTCCAAATTATACTAATAAATTCTTATCATGGCCTGAACCAAAAGAAGTTGAAGATCCTTTGAAAGCTCAAGCATTAATGGCTAAACATCAAGAACAATGTAAGACATGTGGTGGATATAGAAGATTAGTATTCACTTAAATAGTTTACTCATAGAAATATATTTTTGATTATAACCAACCACAAAGAGTAAAGACAAGTAGTTACTTAAACAGTTTCACCGTAATAACATTAAATTTTGATTAAGACCCACAAAGGTTAAAAACTATGTACATATACCCTTTTATACTATTAACATATCATTTATAAAGAAATCCAAACATACCTTGCTTTTTAGCTTCAATTTGATCCAGTGGAATAAAAGCCTCAGAACATTGTGTAATTTTTTCAGCACTTTGAGGAGCTAAAGATTCTCTACCAATAACATCAACGAAATTACCTTCAGGATCTAAAACGTAAAAAAATATAGAATGATCAACTAAATAATCTTGACCTGGTTTAACATCTGGTGGTGTTGAAAAATAAACTCTATATTTCTTACATGTGTCTTTAACTGCTTCATAACTACCTGTTAATCCGATTATACCTGGATGAAAATCTTCTAGGTATTTTGATAATACTTCTGGAGAATCTCTAGCTGGATCACAAGTTATAAAAATTGGTTGGATTTCAACTTTATTTTCTTTTAATATATCTAGCATATCACCTAATTTATCTAATTCTTCAGGACATACGTCAGGACAATGACTAAAACCAAAATATAATATTGAAAATTTTTTACCCTTTGGATCAATTAAATTTTGTTCAGTAAATTCATTCCCATTAGTATCCATCAATTTAAATGGTCCTCCAATTAATGGTTTACCAATTTTTTTATTTTGTTCCATTTCTCTTAATTGATGTAATCTAGCTTTTTCCTTTTGGAAAAAATATGTACCTATACCTCCAACAACTACTAATAAAACTACTGCTTTCCATGTTGCAAATTCTAGCCCACTTCCCTTGTTAAAATTTTTATTTGAGTCCTTTGAGCCACCAATTGCTACTCTACTTAATGGTCTTCTTTTCGGTTGTTCTGATGAAGTTGATGATGGTTCTTTTGAAACTTCTTGGAATTTGGTGAAAGTTTGTGAAAATGATCTTATCGTTGGTTGTAGTAGTAGGCGTCTAACATTGGATATTCTTGTCTGTCTAAACAAAGTTTTTGACAACATTTTGCTTTAACTTTGAATAGTGGTATGTTTTTTATGATTTTAGTTTCTAAAAATTATTTACAAAAATTGAAAATTTAATTTACACGACTTTAACATCTTTTGCAGCAAATGATCATCATATAATTATACAAGTATTAATATTTACCGTCTTTCATCAATGAATAAGATCAATGAATTGATAGAATGGGCCCAATCCAATGGTGCCGGGATTTCAGATAATGTGGAGTTCGTGCAGATCAATGAATCAAATTATGGAGCAGAATCTACATCAAATTCAAAAGCATCAATTCAAATACCTCGAAAACTCATAATAACTTGCGACAAAGCGAAAGCTTTATTTGGTGAAAAGATTTACGATGAAAGCAAAAATCATATATCGTTACTAAAAATGTTTATATGTTATGAAAAATTACAACAAAATTCATTTTACAAACCATATTTTGATATACTACCTTCTTTAAAATCAATTGATTCACCTTATACTTGGTCACCAGAAGAAAAATCGTATATTCAAGTAACAAATTTGGGGAATTCACTAAAAGAAAATTTACATTCATTGATAGAAGAATGGTGGATAGTAATAAACCTTCTACCAGAAGATGTTGAAAAACCAGAAGAACATTTCATAAATATGAAATTTTACTACGAATATAAATTTTACAAAGATGAAGATTATTACAACTACTTTAATGAAATAAATTCCAAAAATTGGACAAGCTTTCCGAACTATCTATGGTCATCATTAATTTTCAAAAGTAGAGCATTTCCAGCGTATATTATAGACAAATCATTACCTAAAAATGAATCTATGCTTTTACCAGTAGTTGATATGTTGAACCATAATCCTCAGGCAAAAGTTGAATGGACTTGTAATAATGATTCTTTCGTCTTTCAAACTGATACAATTTGTGAAAAAGGTCAGGAAATTTACAATAATTATGGAATGAAAGGCAATGAAGAGTTATTGTTAGCTTATGGGTTTGCAATTGAGAATAACGTTGCCGATACAGTAGCTTTAAAGATTAAAGTACCAGAGTCAAAATTAAAGGTGCTAAAGGAATTGAATGTGAAACTACCAACCATTGACGATTATACTAATTCAGTATTGGATCAAACATGTGTTGAAAAAGAAAATTATGAGAACGGCATATTGTTCTTCATAAACTCAAATAATGTACCAGAAAATCTAATTCAAGTATTTCAGATATTAGTTCAAAATCCATGGGAAAGTGGTAAAATTTCATTACGTATGAAGCTAGCTGGATTAAATCATCTCAGAGCAGCACTCGCAGCTAAAAATAGTATGCTACAATTAGACATTCCAACAGAAAAATCAACTAAGTACAAGTACATCAAATGGTACATTGAATCTCAAAATAGAATCTATACATCTGCAATCAAGGATATAAAAAGACAGGAAAAGCATTTGTTAACGGAGTCAAAATCAAACCTAATAACCTTGAAAAATGTATATAAAAAAGATACAAAATTCCAACAGTCTTTATTATTTTTAGGTTTCAATTCCTATGAAAGTATTTTAGAATCTGAATTCCAAGATCAATGTTGGTTATTATGGTTGATACGTTGTTATAATAAAGAGATTTACAAGTCAAATGAAGAACTACCTGAATGGATCACAAATCTATTCAAGCATCTTAGAAAAATCACAGATATAACCAGTCAAGAAGTTTTAAACTATAAGCCAATTTTTGATGCTATAATACCTGATTTGGCCCAATCTGTACCTGAAATATACTCAACTGGTGAATGGTCAATTAGTGAATTTATCATAGCTGGTAAATTATTAGATTTGATTTCTTTTACAAGAGGTAAAGAACAAGAATGTATAGTTGTCAATCAAGAATACAATATTTAAGTGGTTTTTAAAAATAGAAGTTTTCTTTTTATCATGCATTATAAAATTTTGCTGTATAATTACATCGTTAAAAAAAAATTTATATATATATATATTGTAATTTATTACATTTCTTTATTAATCTCTAAATTTTTATTTAATCTTGTTTAATACCACCTGAACCACTAACTTCAGCATTTTCAACTGAAGCTTTATCAGTTTGAACACCAGCACCACCAGTTAAAGCTTCTAAAAATCCAGGAGCAGCTTTAAATGGTCTTTTTAAATCACCAGTAGCTGGAGTACCATATAAATGAATTTTAACAATATTTGATTCTAAAGCTGATTTTAAACCAGAAACACTTTGCATAATTAAAGGATTTGTATATTTCATATAAACATGCATAAACCCCATCATTGCTAATCCAGTGAAAATACCTTTAATTTGAGAATTAACTTGTTGTAAATCATATTCTTTTACAGTAGTGACAACAGCTCTTGGTTCAGTTTGTCCAGACATTGGATTTGGTGGTTCAACATATTTTATAGTTGTTAAATCATTTTTAGCATTAATTTTAAATCTTACAATAAAGTAAATTAAAAAAGTTAAAACTTGACATGATATATAAAATGCTCTTGTATAAAATAATACATCTGGATTTTCGAAATCTAATTTTTTAGCAACTTGCATACCAATAAGCATGATTGCAATATTTGTGAAAGCTGGATTCATCTTTGGTTCTTAAATTAGGTGATATCCGAAGTTTTTGTTGATAAAAGAAATGGAAATTCTTTGATAAATTTTTCAGAATAATTTTTTTTTTTCATTATCGCGAGTTCTATTAACAAAAAGATCTTACAATACTTAATTAATAATTTGCCCTTCTTTTTTTCTTCGTTTGAGATTTAACACGATTGCAAAAAAAAATATAATAAATAATTATAATTTGAAATACTTTTAGTATACCAAGAGATTTGTACTTTTAATTATGATATTCTTCAGGGTTCTTTCATAATCTAACCAATTAAACATTGATTTTATAAAGTAATTTCAAGAGTGGTTTACAAAATGGTTGTTCTTAAGGCTATGCAAGTAACTTTTTGACAAATTTGCTATTTACAAATCATTATATATATCTAAATTTCAAGTATATAATTATGCTAATAAATTATCTTCATCAAAAGAAACATCACCAAATTCCCAACAACCTAAATGATTAGCTTTAGCAGATTTTTGAATTTTTAATAATTCATCAACATATTCTTTTGTAGATGGTTTAATATTTTTTGAATCAACTATAGCCCAACCTTCTTTGACTAATTGTTTGTTTATAGTGTAAGATGAATCTTTTAAACTTTCTTCTGAATCATACAAAATACCTTGATAATCAGATGTAGAGCCAGGTAATGCACTAATAACTAAACTCTTATCGTATGTTAAATCTTCTAATGCATATATGGCATCAGTTAAATAATCAGTTGGTTTTGCAGGAGGTAATCTTATATTTTGTAATGTTGTAGTATAATGGAATTTTGGAATAGTGGTGGTATTAAATTTTGTAGGTAATTGACGTAAGGCACTCAAAGAAACTTTATCAATGTTACCAAAATCAATATGGTGTACTTCATATTTGTTTGATGACTTATCAACACCTAAAAATTTTGCACGATAGTATTTACCATCGTCCGAAAATTTAGCTGACACGAGTTCTCCCTTTTTTGGAGGTTTGTCTAAGTTTACAGGTAAATCTTGTGATAATTTTGATGCACTTGGTTGTTGTGAATGGAATTGCTGAAATTCAGTTTTAAATTTTGTAAATACTTGTTTTTGTTTTGGATCTGTTTTGTGGAAATATAATATACCTTCTGAATCAATGTAAACAACTTCAATATCAAAAAATTTAGGTTTTGATGATTCTAATTTTGTGGATTCTAATCTTGCTGCAGATTCTGAAATTTCTTTGCTTAATTTAGCATCATCATGATCCTTCCAAATACCTTTATTTTGAGATTTTGCATTATCTTCAGCTTTTTCCAACACTGAAGCTTGTGGATTAGCACTTATAGCATATTCATGTAATTTTGCAAAACCTTGAGATATAACTTGTTCTTGGATTGGAACTATAGCATTTGAGTTGGTATATAAATTACCAACAAATCCACCTAATTTATCAGTATCATAGATTTCAAATTCAACTGGTCTTTGTAAGAATTTTTTATTTAAAAATTTTAAACCTTCTTCTTGTAATACATCATTTTTATTATTTGATAAACCACCTAATAATAAAGTTAATTTTAAGCCTTCTTTTGGGTTAAATAATTTAACTCGAGTAACGTTTGGAATGTATTCAACATAGTAGCCACTAATTCTACCCTTTTGTTTAAATCCATTGAAAAAAGTTTTAGCTTTTGTTAAATTTTCAGAAGCATCAATAATTCTAGTACCAACAGTTAAAACTTTATTTAAATCTCCATAAATTCCCTTTTTACCTAATTTTTTAGCATCATTTTCTAATTCAATTAATTTATCCCAATTTAACGAACGTTCATTTTGAGTTGCCTTGTTGTGTTTTATAACTGTACCAAATCCGTTGGTTACAATTAATTCTGATAAGTCAGTGTTAGCATATTTAAAACTTACCAAGAATCTTGATTCTAAACTAAGGTCTTTGTTTGCTTCTCTAAATCCATCAACATAAAGATTACCTTGTTTACCAATTACTTGATTTCTTACAAATTCACGAGCTGTTGCAACCAATGCTTGCTGTTTAGATTGATCTGATGTTACTGTTGTGTCATTTGGTTTTGGTGCTCTAATTGATGCTAGTTGTACAGTAATTTCTTCATCTGAATCTGGTAATCTTACTAATAAAGTGTCAGCATTTATGACTTTAGCTATTGTAACATTGGGAATTGAAACACCTGGTTTTAATTTAGATCCGTGTTGACCAGAGCCTGAGCTTTTTTTGGTTGTTGAATTAGCAAATATTCCTTTACCTAATGCTTTTGCAGTTTGTTCAGCTTTTCTTAATTGACTCATTGCAGTTGAACCAATTAAAGTAGATTGCCAATCAACAATTTCTCCAAATCCAGATTCTAATAATTTTTCATGAATATTGTTACCTGATGGGTGAGTAATTAAAGCAATTGGAACACCAGATTGACTTTCACCAATAATTTTTACAGTTAACTCTGCTTTTGTACTTAATAATTTATCTTCAACAAATTGTTTTGCTTGTTGTGCTACTTTTACTAATTGTTGTGATTGACTTTGATCATCAGTTCTTGGAGATTTGATACCTGCCAATAATAATGATGAGTTTGCAATCTGATTTTTATTTACAAAGATATTACCAATTATTCTATCACCACTTATAACTTTTTCCACAATTAATTTCAATGGTTTAGTTTGAGAAGAAATAATATTTTCTTCAGTTAATGGGACTGTTTCAACTTTTTTAACTTTGCTGTTCCAAAGTCCATTTTGTTTTAATTTTGAATTATTTTCAATTTGTTTTAATTCATCAACTTTATCATCTTCTGGTATATTATCTCTTAATTTAACATAACCACTAGATATTAAATATTCAATTAATGACTTAAAAATTGGTGATTGAACATCTCCAAATTCTCTATTACCAGCTTTGTTAAATACTTTAAATTTGATTTCTTTACCAATTAATAAATCACGTAAATATTCTTTTGATTCAAATTCACTTATTGGTTTAACATATGATAAAGTTATAATTCTTTCTGGTGGTGGGAATTGATTTGTTTTTAGTGGAACAACAACAATTGTATCACCACTTAATACATTTTTGACTTTTGCAACAAATAATGACATCTTTGATAAGCAATAATGCAAATGAATGTAAATGTAAAGTTTCAAAAAAATTGGTGGTAAAATAAATTTGGTCCAACACTGAAAAATTATTTTTGCAACCTCAGACACCACATACAAGGCTACCAATTTTTCTCCACTATAAATTTATAATTAACACCGAATAGATTTAAAACTTGATTCCACCACCAGTTCTCCAGATCAAGTCAAGGTTACAATACATAATTAATTCAACAATTTCACAACATTAATCTTTTTTTTTAATGCCCCCAAGATCAACTGCTCATAAACGTCTTTTAAAAGAATATCAATTATTATCGAGAGATCCACCACCAGGTATAATAGCAGGACCAAAATCAGAAGATGATTTATTTAAATGGGAATGTTTTCTAGAAGGTCCTTCAGAGACTCCTTATGAAAATGGAGTATTCCCAGCAATATTAACCTTTCCAAAAGATTATCCATTAAGTCCACCAACATTGAAATTTGATCCACCATTATTACATCCAAATATTTATTCTGATGGGACTGTTTGTATATCTATATTACATCCACCTGGAGAAGATCCAAATCAATATGAAAGACCAGAAGAAAGATGGTCACCTGTACAAAGTATTGAAAAAATATTGTTGAGTGTAATATCGATGTTGGCAGAGCCAAATCCTGAAAGTGGTGCAAATATTGATGCCTGTAAATTATGGAGAGATGATCGAGAGTCATATAATGAACAAATTAGAAAACATGTTAGAGATTCTTTAGGTTTATGATACGTTTTACTAATTGTATAGCTATAACTACTTAATGAACAATATTAGATAAGATAAATAATAGCCCATGAAAAAGCGCACCTAATTGCGTACTGATTACAAATTAAGTAAAAACATGCGCTTATGATCTCTATCAATTTATTCAAATCATAATGATGGACTTAGCATTATGAACAAAACCCAGTTTAGCTAGTATCATCAATGTCGAAAACCCCTAAAGTGACTATAATTGGTGCAGGAATTTCTGGATTAAAAGCAGCTCATACATTGCTACAAGATCCCAATATAAAACCCGAAGAGGTCATAATAATTGAAGCTCAAGATCATATTGGAGGTAGACTAAAAACCACCGAGGAATCACAATCAAAATTGGGTATAAGGTATGATTTAGGTGCTTCTTGGTTCCATGACTCGTTGAATAATAGTACTTTGAATTATTTGATTGAAAATAATAGAATTGATTTAGGAAAAGATGTTTACTATGATGATAAAGATGTTCAAGTTTATTCCAGTGATGGATATCTAGATTCAGGAGACCTTAAGCTAAATAGAGTTTTGGAAGATATTGAGAAATACATTGAACTTTACTTTCACGAAGATATAGACAAAGAGGATATTTCATGTATTGAAATAGTTGATAAATTTTTGGAAAAATATGATCCATTGTTAACTGACGAGCAAAAGAAATATTGTGGTCGTATGATGAGATATTTGGAGTTATGGTTTGGTATAAGTAACGATATATCAAGTGGGAAATTTGCAGTAATGGATCATCAAGGTAGAAACTTGTTAAATAAAAAAGGTTATTATTATTTAGTTGATGTATTAGCAAATGAAATTCCAAAACTGTCTATTTTATTGAATGAACCAGTCAAAACAATTTATAGACAAAATAATAACAAAAAAATTTGTGTTGAAACTAAAAATGGATTAAAAGTGTACTCAGAATATTTAATTGTCACCGCTCCATTATCAATACTACAGTTAGATCAAAATCATGAATATGGTATCAAATGGGAGCCTCCATTATCGGAAAAAATACAAAAATCACTCAAAACTATGCATTTTGGAGCTTTAGGAAAAGTAGTATTAGAATTTGATAATATATGGTGGGATAAAAATCAAGATAGATTTCAAATAATAGCCGATCAGGTATCCACTGATAATTTATCAAAACCATTAAAATCACTACCTGCTTCATTCACTTACCCAGTGTATTGTGTTAATTTTGCTTGTGTACATCCAAACAAGAAAGGGGGTAGTTTAGTGTTTTTAATACAATCTCCTTTAACTGAATACTTAGAATCACACCCAGAAGAAGTTTGGAAGTATTATAAACCAATGTTGGAAAAAATGCCAATAACCCCAATAACAGATCCAATAAATATAATAGTTACAGATTGGACATTAAATCCATATATTAGAGGTGCATATTCTGCAATGCATGTTGGTGATGATGCTAATGATTTAATTATAACATTATCGGGAGAATTTGAAAATTGTGGTATAAGTGAAAAAAATATTAGATTTGCTGGTGAACATACGGTTGCAGACGGTGCTGGATGTGTTCATGGTGCCTATAATAGTGGTGAAAGAGAAGCTAAATGGATATTAAATGATTTAAATCAAAAGTAAATAATTGATGTTTTTATAAATTTTGCAACCAATTTGGTAGCCCATTTTTCTTCGGTATAATTCTTTAATTTTCTGTAACTGTTTCAATTTCACTTTCTCTCTCTCTCTCATCTATATTAATTAGAGCAATACCATTTTTAAAAGAAATTAATTAATTATTTCAATTACTTCAATAATAAAAACAATGTCACAACCACCAATTGATGGAGAAAATGCTGATAATTTGGAAGAAATAGAAATGCAATTTGCTGTGAAAGCAGTACAACAAGCAGAAACATATTGGTCATTATTAGAAAAAGTACCAGGATCAAAATTAAAATTAACTAAACATGATGATCAAATATTTGAACAATTATTAGAGGATTTCCCACAATTTAAAGACAGATCTGTTGCAGAAACAATAGATGAAAATGAAATGAAAAGCCCACAAGGTAAAACAAAATGGAGAGAATTTTGTGAAAAATTCAAAGATATTGAAGATTATAATTTTGGTACTTTATTGAGATTGAAAGCAAGTGATGAATATGGTCAGGATACTACCATGTTTGCCGTTAGAATACAATTTTATGCTGTTGAAATTGCAAGAAATAGATATGGATTAAATGATTGGATTTGTAAAAGTGAATCAAAATAATTTTATAAATAATAGAATAAAGACTGTACAACAGAACAATCAACATTTGCTCATTTATTTTCGAGGTCAACGTAAAGAAATTAATCATCAAGAAAGTTCCCCAATCTCTACTAATAGTCTATGAAGCTTAGCATGAATTAAACCTCGAGCTCTATATAACTATATTTTTTCAATGATGTAAGAGACTCGATCTATATACAGTCTCTTTTTGATTAGAATGAATATTCACGTTAAAGAAATAAATTAAATTGATCTCTTACGATAATTAAAAAATAATTAACAAACAAAATAAAACAATAATTTACTACATCAAAACGTTAGTTACATAAGTAATTATAATAGCTTTGTCAAGAGCTTAATATGCCACCATCCAAAGATAATTCACAACAAATCAATCCACAAACACAATGGAAAAATATCAACAATAATAACAACAGCAATATGTCAAATGGTCAATCACAACAAAATTCAAATGATTCAATATATACATTACCTGGAGTTATCAACTATCTTACGTCTGAATTCACTAACCTAGAAAGATTTAAAATCATAACAAATTTAGAAAAATCAGAAATGAAATATAAAATTTTACATTTACAAGCAGAAGTTGATTCATTAAAATTTATAAAGAAGAAGCAACAATCCAAAATAGAAAGTTTAGAGAGAGAAGTTAAAATATTGAAGGGTAATTTTAACTCATCATCAGAATCTCAAAAAGAAGAAGAAATACTATTACCAGAAGTTGACCTAGATATGATTAAAAAATCAAGACAACAATTAAAAGAATCAATGAAAGAAATATTAACAATTTTAAAAGCACCATCTTCAAAATTGGATCAATTAAACTTTCCTGATAATAATGAGAACGAATTTGAAGAATTGATAGACAAAAATGATAGTAATGAATTTAATTTTACTGGTTCAAATTTAAATAATAATAATCCACCCAAAACTAATGTAATATCGAGATTTTTCAATGAAGGTACTGAAGAAATAGAGGAAAATGAAACAAATGAACCAAAATATATAAATAGTGATGACGTTATTGATGATGTATTGGAAAAAGCTTTATCAAACGATAGTGAAGCAGTTACTGTAATATTAGATGATGAACCAGAAATACGACAAGAACTAGAAGATATGAAATTGAGTTAAAAAGACAAGTATATTGATAATAAATATGGTTAGTTTTTGGAGCATACGGGGTGACTAATACTGATCGTGACCGATTGAAGTTATCAAGGTCCTATAAATTGACAGAATTATTGCCAATACATATTCTCAGGCATACAATGTTGTGTAAAGCTTGAAAAATTCATGAGTCACTTCATTAGACTTAGTTCAACACCTCCGAGATATATACAAATGTGGAACTTTGTCCATTCATCCCTGAGACTCAGATCAAAAGTTGTTACTTTATTTCAATAATACTTTCAATAGCGTATCTAATATTTCTTAATTAAGTAATTTAAATGCGGCTTACTTCATCTTCTAAAAATTAATTATTTTTTGTAACTTGAAAATTTTTAATTTTGTACCAAATAGAAAAGAGGAACTTCATTTACTATATCGTCTTCATTTACTTTATATATCTATTCCTAAAACTTTATTAAATCATGTCGTCAAAGTCATTTGATGATTTTATAAAACAGCAGCAACAAGCTCAAAAACCAAAAACTTATGGTTATAAAAATGCAAATACTAATGGAGCTGGATCTCAATATAATTTTAATAGCACGTTTGTTCCACAAGGTCAAACAAATTATCAACCACAACCTCAACATTATCAATCACTGAGCCAGGGTTTCAATCAAAATAGACATAATAATTATAATAGACAATCACAAGCTCCATCATCAATTGCATCACCGGTAGATTCTTTACCAACTAGTGGTAGATCTACTCCAAATCCAAATGCATCAACAACATCATTAACATCATTAAATACAGCATTGTCAAAATTAAACGTTGATGTTCCATTTGAAGAAAACTTATCAAATATAGAAAAAGCAACTAAAATAAGTGAAGTCAAATCTGAGGTTAATACTATTGTAAATCAAATAAAGGAACAAGATAATTTATCAATTATAAATCAATGGAAATTAAATGAAATTATAAAATCATTATTAAGACCTAAAAACCCACCATTAGTTAAAGAAGGTGCATTATTAATTATTGAACAATTAGCAACCCAAATAGGAGGTCAAACACCAAAAGAAATTTATTTATTACAATTTTTTTCAACTGCATACGATATGTTTATTGATAAAGATAAAAATGTATTGAAAGCAGCTAAATCAGCAACCGATTCATTATATGGTATATTCCCAACTGAAGCATTAGGTTCAATAGTTATAGATGAATTCTTAACATATTTTAAATCAGGAGCTAAATGGAATTCGAAAGTTGCTGCATTAAACAATTTCAACAAAATTATTGAAGATGTACCAGCAGATATTCTTGAATTAAAATTCGTTGATGTTGTTCCTGTTTTAACTGATTTATCAACCGATTTCAAACCAGAATTAGCAAAAGCCGGTTTGACTACATTGAAAAAATTTGTTAAAGTTTTGGATAATTTGGATTTACAAAATAAATATGATTTAATTGTTGAAACTTTAGCTGATCCTCAAAAAGTTACTGATTGTATTAAATCATTATCTTCAGTCACATTTGTTGCTGAAGTCACTGAACCAGCATTATCTTTATTAGTACCAATATTAGATAAATCATTAAAAATGTCATCTTCATCAAATGAACAATTAAGACAAACAGTTATGGTCACTGAAAATTTGACAAGATTAGTCAACAACAAGAGAGAAATTGAATCATTCATTCCAATTTTAAAACCAGGTGTTGAAAAAGTCTATAAGAATGCTTCATTACCAGAAGTTAGAGAATTAGCTGGTAAAGCTTACAAAGTTTTAAAAGATGCTGAAGAAGAACAAACTGATGGTAAATTTCATGGAAGAATAAGTTTAAAAGATGCTGAAAATTTTTATAAAGATAATATTTCTGCAGAAATTCCAATCTCTTCATATTTAAATGATTGTATTACTGCTGATTATTTAGCTCAGATTTTACAAATTGATGCTCATGTAAATGATTGGAAAAGATTACATGACTACTTGAAAATGATTTCAAATGATAATGAAGAATATGCACAAACTGTAACAGCTAATGTCAAACACTTGTTTGTTCCAGAATCAGCCACAGAAGAAGAAGATGATGGTTCAATTACAATAGTTAATGCTGATTTCTCATTAGCATATGGTACTCGTATGTTATTAAATAAAACTAATTTAAGATTATTAAAAGGTCATAGGTATGGTTTATGTGGTAGAAATGGTGCTGGTAAATCAACTTTAATGAGAGCTATTTCAAAGGGACAATTGGAAGGTTTTCCCTCGCCTGATGAATTGAGAACTTGTTTTGTCGAACATAAATTACAAGGTTCAGAAGCTGATATGGATTTAGTTCATTTTATCGCTTCTGATCCAGAATTAGTTGATGTTGGTAAAGATGCTATAAAAGCTGCATTAATGGAAGTTGGATTCCCAGAAGAAACATTATCCAAAAACGTTGGATCCTTATCTGGTGGTTGGAAAATGAAATTAGAATTAGCAAGAGCAATGTTGTTAAAAGCTGATGTCTTATTGTTGGATGAACCTACAAATCATTTAGATGTTGGAAATGTAAAATGGTTACAAGATTATCTTGTTGAACATACTGAAATTACTTCATTAATTGTATCTCATGATTCTGGATTCTTGGATGCTGTTTGTACTGATATTATTCATTATGAAAATAAAAAATTAGCTTATTATAAAGGTAATTTATCAGAATTCGTTAAAGTTAAACCAGAAGGTAAATCATATTATACATTAACTGATTCAAGTGTTAAAATGGCTTTCCCACCACCAGGTATATTAACAGGTGTTAAATCAAATACAAGATCAGTTGCTCGTATGTCAAATGTTACTTTTACATATCCAGGAGCTGCTAAACCATCATTAAATAATGTATCATGTTCATTATCATTATCATCAAGAGTAGCTATAGTCGGACCAAATGGTGCTGGTAAATCAACATTAATTAAATTATTAACTGCAGAATTAATTCCAGCAGAAGGTAAAGTTGAAAAACATCCAAATTTACGTATTGGATATATTGCACAACATGCATTGCAACATGTTGAACAACATAAAGAAAAAACAGCAAATCAATATTTACAGTGGCGTTATAAATTTGGTGATGATCGTGAAGTTCTTTTGAAAGAATCCAGAAAAATTTCAGATGATGAAAAGGAAATGATGGAAAAAGAAATTGATATTGGTGATGGTAGAGGTAAAAGACAAGTTGAAGCTATTGTTGGTAGACAAAAATTAAAAAAATCTTTCCAATATGAAGTTAAATGGAAATTTTGGTTACCAAAATATAATTCTTGGGTACCTAGAGAAGTTTTGAGTAGTGAAGGGTTCGATAAATTAATTCAAAAATTTGATGATCATGAAGCATCAAGAGAAGGGTTAGGTTATAGAGAATTGACCCCAAAAGTTATAAGAAAACATTTTGAAGATGTTGGATTAGATGGTGATATAGCAGATCATACTCCAATGGGTTCATTATCTGGTGGTCAATTAGTTAAAGTTGTTATAGCTGGTGCAATGTGGAATAATCCTCATCTTTTGGTCTTGGATGAACCTACAAATTATTTAGATAGAGATTCATTAGGTGGATTAGCTATAGCTATTAGAGAATGGTCAGGTGGTGTTGTTATGATTTCACATAATAATGAATTCGTTGGTGCATTATGTCCAGAACAATGGCATGTTGAGAATGGTGCAGTCATTCAAAAGGGATCAGTAGCAGTAGATAACAAGAGATTTGAAGATGGTGGGGATGAATCAGTTGAAGGGTCACCAGCACCAGAATCTGCTCCTACACCTAAAAAAAGAGCTGATGATGATGATTCTCCTGCTAATATTAAAGTTAGAACAAGAAAGAAAAAAATGACTAGAAATGAAAAGAAATTACAAGAAGAAAGAAGAAGATTAAGACATATAGAATGGTTAAGTTCTCCAAAAGGAACTCCAAAACCTGTTGATACAGACGATGAAGAATAATAGATTTGATAGATTTTTTTTTTATAGCTTAATTTCAAAAGTGTATAACAGAGCTTAATTATAATAGTGTATAATAGATTAATTTAAGGATAATAGACTCAAAGTAATCAAAGAAGGACTATAAACCGGCAATTAATTCAACTAATATGTTAGTTTATAGTAAAGTAATAGTAAATAAGTTGCAAATATTCTAGTCGTGTGATTGTGTGAAATTTTGGTTCACTAATTGGAGGCAAAATCAAATAATATTTGAAAATTACATTAATCAAATACTGTTTCATAATATTAAGATCCCACTTCTCAACACATAGCATATTTCTTCACAATGGCTGATAGATACTCATTTTCATTAACTACTTTCTCACCTAGGTATGTTTCAGATTTCAATTCTCAAATTTACAATTTCTTTTACTAACTTTTTCATTTTAGTGGTAAATTAGTACAAATAGAGTATGCATTAAATGCAGTAAAACAGGGAGTAACAACAATTGGTATAAAATGTGATAATGGAGTAGTATTAGCAACAGAAAGAAAATCAAACTCGGTACTTCAGATACCAGATGTAAATAATAAAGTAGAATATATTACACCAAATATTGGAATGACATATAGTGGAATGGGACCAGATTTTAGAGTATTAGTTGATAAAGCAAGGAAATTAGCACAAACAAATTATAAATTAATATATAATGAATATCCACCAGTAAGAATAATGGTTCAAGAAATTGCAAAAGTAATGCAGGAAAGTACACAATCTGGAGGTATAAGACCTTTTGGAGTATCATTATTAGTTGGTGGGTATGATGAATATTCAGAAAAATTTCAATTATATCAAGTTGATCCAAGTGGGTCATATTTTCCTTGGAAAGCAACTGCAATAGGTAAAACTTCAAATAGTGCTAAAACTTTTTTGGAAAAAAGATGGAATGAAAATTTACAATTAGAAGATGCTATACATGTTTCTTTATTGGCTTTAAAAGAAAGTGTTGATGGTGAATTAATTGGTGAAAATTTAGATATTGCAGTAATAAGTGATCCTCAACAACAATTATTAGGTTTTACTGGTACAAATATTGAAGGTCCAAGATTTAAAAAATTAAGTGCAGAAGAAATTAATGATATATTAGATAGTTTATAATTTATAATATAGATTGAAAAACAAACAAAAAGATTAAGTGAAGCAAATTGTAAAAACTAATTTAGATCTTGTATTTGAACACCTGCTTGAATAATGTGAGACAAAAAATCATCTCTCTCGGTATGTTTTCAAATATTACACAAAATTAATAGTATTGAAAAATTGAATTATTTCTTATATCATCTCTTATATAATTTACATTTACTACATTCATATATCAATTTATATATAACATTATATAAACGAGCCATAACTAAAACCAAAATAATGGCACGTAAAAACAACAGTAGATCCAATAACAAATCAAACAACAAATCACCAAATAATAATAATAAGAAGAAAAGTGGAAAAAGTAATAAAAGTAGAAGTTCACAAAAAGTATTAGATGCTTATCAAATAGCAGAAAGACAAGAAAGAAGGAATAATAATATACAAGATTCAGAGGATGATGATAATAACTATCAAAGTGGATTAGCATTTGAAGAAGGGATATTAGATGCACGTAAATTCTTAAAAAATGGACAAGAAAATGAAGATTTATTAGATGAAGAAATTGATTCAGATGAAGCTTTGGGAAGTGATGATGATTTTGATATATTAAATAGTAAATTTTCACAAACTTTACGAGATAAAGCTAAAAGAGAAAAATTGGGACAATATAGTGATAGTGAGGATGATGAAGATGATGAGGGTTATAATAGTATAGATGAAAGTCAGTTAGTTACATTATCTGAAGCCTGGGATATGGATGATAAAGATTTAGCAAAATTCAACAATCAAAAGAAGCCTACTGATATAATATTAAATGATGAATGGGTTTCTGAAAGTTCATCAAGTGGAGAAGAGGATTATGATGAAGATGAAGACGATGGAGCAATTGAAGAAGATTGGGGAGAAACTACAAAACAAGGTGATACAAGTTCAGAAGGAGAAGAATCAAGTTCAGATGAAGAAGACATTTTTGCCAATGATGAAGATGATGAAGAAAATTTTAATTTAACTAAAACTACAAATATGTTGAAAAAAGAACTAGATTTAGCAAGACCAAAAGAAAGAAAGAAATTTATAGTAGAGAACCGTGAAGAGAATGAATTTAATGTACCAACCAAAGGAGAAAAATTATCATTAGCAGATATGATGTCAGGTGTTGAGGGTGTAGACAACATTTTAATAGATAAATCAGCAAAAGCAATTGCAACTCCATTACCTAAAAGAATACAAGAAAGAAATGATAGAGGTGCAGCATATGATTTAGCCAAAAAGGAAGTAAGTAAATGGAGTGATACAGTACAACAGAATAGACAAGCTGAAGTATTAAAATTTCCAATGCAAAAGCCAGATCAACATAATGATTCAGCTAATACTTTTACACCAGACAATAGAGAACCATCAAATGAAATGGAGAAAAAAGTAAATGATATATTAGCTGAATCAAATCTAGACACTAACAAAAAGGAATCAACTTTTGAAGAACTAGCAATGGCGAAATTAACCTCAGACGAATTACAAAAAAGAACAAATGAATTAAGACTAATGAGAGAATTAATGTTTAGAGATGAAAGAAAAGCAAAAAGGTTGAAAAAAATTAAATCAAAGACTTACCATAAGATCAAAAAAAGAGAAAGATTAAGAAATCAAGAATTAGTAGATGAAGCTGAAGGTGTTGATGATGAAAACGAAGAAGATCAAGATTATAATAGAGCACAAGAAAGAATGAGTTTAAGACATAAAACACAACTGAAATGGGCTCAATCATTAATAAAGAGTGGATTATCAAGAGACGCATCAAATCGTGAAGAATTAGAAGAAATGTTGAGACAAGGTGAAAGATTAAGAGAAAAACAAATTGGTAGAAAAAATGAAGAAGATTATAGTGATGATGATCTTGATCAAATTGAACATGATTATAACAACCAAGAAGATGACGTTGATCGTTCAAAAATAGGTAAAGGTGTAATGGCAATGGATTTTATGATTAATGCTGAACGTAGAAAGAAAGAAGAAAATTTAAAAGAATTGGAAAGGTTAAGAAGAATAGAAAATGGAGAAGATGATGGATTGGATTTATTTGATCAAGATAATGATAATGGATTAGTCAACATCACCAAGAATACAGGTAGACGTGTGTATAACCCATCAGCACAAGATACATCAAACATCAACGAGGAAATAGCGAAGGAAATCGAAGATGATAATGCAAAATCATTGAGTAAAAAAATAAATAAGAATCAAATCAGAGAAGAACCAACCACTCAAGATACTTCAGAAGCAACTATAGAAAAATTAGAAGTAGATGAATCAAATCCATGGTTAACCACTTCATCAGAAAAGCCAAAACAAAAATCATCCAAAATCTTTGTGGTGGATCAAGACTCTTCAAAATTAGCCAAAGCAGCAGCCAAAATAGCCAAACAAAAATTAAAAAAACACAACAACAACAATAACGATACATTAATAGATATAAATGAAACATTAAATGTAAGAGATATTCACAATGATAATTTAGATCAAGAAGATCAAGAAGAATCCGTACCCAAAATGTTTAAACAAAAAGATTTAATAAAAGAAGCATTTATAGGAGATGATGTAATAACAGAATTTGAATCGGAAAAACGTAAAATGATTGAAGATGAAGATGATAAAGAAGAAGATTTAACATTACCAGGATGGGGAGATTGGGCAGGTTCATCAAACCCAAACAAAAAAAGAAGAAAATTTATAAAAAAAATAGATGGTATAACTCAAAAGGATAAAAGAAAAGATAAAAATTTAAAAAATGTAATTATAAATGAAAAACAAAATAAAAAAAATTTAAAATATCAATCTTCTGATATTCCTTATCCTTTTGAAACAAAAGAACAATATGAAAGATCATTACGTATGCCTGTGGGGCAAGAATGGACAAGTAAAGAAACTCATCAAAAATTAACCATGCCTAGAATTATAACTAAACAAGGTACCGTAATTGATCCATTAAAAGCTCCATTTAAATAAAATTGCATTTTTATTTTAATTATCATACTAATAAAATTCATCATCTATTTATAAATAATTTTAATTGTCTATATTTATATATATATATATCTTTTCTAGATTATAGTGTAATTGTCTAATAATTTTATTTACAAAAGTATACCATTTCTATCTGCCCATTGTTTACCAGAAAGGAAAACTCCATCAGGATCAGTCAATTTTCTAACTTTATTAAACTCAATCAAATCTTGACCAAACCAATTTTGCATCTCCTTTTTAAACCCAATCATTGAATAAAATGACTTTCCTCCAAATTCTTTTTGTTTAGCAAAATCTTGTTGAATAATTTCAGGTTCTTGTTTTTCCATTGGTAATCCAATGAAATTTTTAGCCCAATGAGGTTTACCTCCACCTTGAATCATTACATCTTCAAAAAATTGATACCATTTATGAGTACCTACGTTTGTACCAAATGGTCTATACATAGTTGCATTAATAAATAAAGTTAATTGATCATTTGTTGGTTTTGAAGTGTTTTGAAATTTTAATCTTGGTGAATTATCCATATATGGACGGAAATTATTACCTGGAATAGGACCAGGACTTGTTTTTTTACGATGAGATAACCATTCTTGTGATGGGTATAATGAACTTTTACCTTCTGAATTTTTAAAAGGTTCATTTGATTGAGTAACGTTTGAACAACGTACTTCAATTGGAGCATGTACATAAAATTCTCTATTGGTTTCTGCATTTTTTATAATTGTTTTTAATTGTTTTAAAATATCAATTCCATTATTTAATGGAGCTGACCATTCATTAACAAATTGTGAAAATAAACAATCCATATTTAAAGCTTCAACTGAATTTTGTACTGCTACATCTCCATTCCCTATAGTTTCAACATTTCCATATTGTTGATTAAATACAAATTTTTCAACTATTGGTGTAAAACTAGGCATTATATGAACAGATATCCATAATAAAGATTCATAAAAAAATCTACCAAACCAAGTTCCATACCAAGAAGGTCTTGGTAATGATATATCATCTTCTGATTTATTAGCTCTCCATAATATACATTTATCAGTATATGGAAACCACCAAATTCTAATAAATTCAGAATCTAACCATATAGTATCCCATGAATTTAATAATGTATCAAAATTTAGAACTTCTTGTAATGATTTTATAGTATATTTACGACATGTTCTTAAAGTTACATGAGTAATAATACCAATTTTACCTAATGATAATAATATAGCTTTAAAAAAATGAGGATTTTCAATAGATGAACAATTTATAGATTCACCTTTTGAATTTAAAAATTTTATTGATACAACTTGTTGAGAAACTAATCCATGATATTGAGTTGAACCATGAGTTCCAGTTGAAATTAATCCAGCAATTGATTGATCACTAATTGATCCTAAATTTTGTATAGCTAAATTATTTTTTTTTAAATATTCATTTAATTCAAATACTCTACAACCAGCTTCAACAGTTAAATCAACAAATTTAACTTCTTTTTCCAAAGAATTTGGTAATATGGGACCATAAATTTCTTGTTCATTTAAAATATGATTAAATTTATCTAAATTACATAACCAATCTTTTGTCATTGTTAGATCACTTGGTGAATGACCAGATCCAACAGTCATTATTGTCTTGTGATGAATTTTAGCTTGTTTAATTAATTCTTTAATTTCTTCTTCATTTCTTGGTTGGAAAATTGCTTGTGGTTGACAATAAAAAGTACCTGCCCATGTTTTATGAATAAATTTATTAGTAACGAACGGTCGTAAAGATTCAGGTATTGAACTCATTTTGGAATAGTTAGTTGGTGATACTAAATAATCTGAGTCTTGAAAAGTTAAAATTTGATGAACTTTTAAGAGTTGTTGCAATAAGTGTTCGAAATCTAGACTAAAATTTATTAAGTAAATTGGACCATTTTATTAGATTTGATTTTTTTTTCAGTATCCAATATCTTATCTCCGCCTTGAATGAATAACTTGAAAAAAACTCCGTTTGGTAGAAAAATTAGTAATCTTACGTAAATTCTTTTAATATTTGACATCATTGACATCAATGTATCAATTTGATCTACAGATCATTCATTGCTAAACTTCAATTATGTTATAACTCCCAGAAGAAGTTGATTTTAATCCCAACTTTGAGTATTAGAATTAATTAAACGTTATAATAAGTTTAAGAAAGAGTTGAAAAGCTATAGGATTGAAGACACATCTTCAAATTTTCATGGATTTACCAATAAGTAGTAATTGCTCGATAGATCGTCTTGGTTCTCTTACAGAATTCGTTACAAGTTTTAAGAAATTAAAAATTCATCTTACTGAAAAAAATGAAACACGTCTCTTATTAAGCTCTTTAAATTATGAGAACACAAATGTCATGTGACTGAGTGTCGTAAAATACAACAAATTGTCTTTTATAAATGTTGTGACAAATTAACTCAAAATCATAATTCTCTCGTTTAAATAATCAATCAACCCCAAAAGACATTTTTTTGATATACGATGATTGATAGAAATATAACTAGCCATTCACTTTACTTAATAAAGAGTTATAAAAAATAAGGTACACACAATACAGATAATGCCAAAAATAATAAAATAAATTTCTTTTTAGATACGACCAAATTTTCTGTCTGTTCAATCAATCTCATCCACTTGCTCTAACTGATCATTTATATCAAAGCTATTCAATAATCATTTTGCTAGAGTTCAATTTATCAACAATTTCAGTTCATTATAATTTACTTAAGTTTTTTCTCGAGATTATATTTGACATAATAATTTAATAAATTTCTTTGTGTGTTTCAAAATAATTTTTATTATCGATTGATTTTTTTTTTGTTTGTTTTGCAAAAAAAAAAAAATTAAAATTCTCGACAAGTGAAAAATTACATCAATTTTTGAAGTTTACTTTCTTCTTTCTTTTTTACAACAAGAAATTAAAATTTAGTTCAATTCTTTATATATTCATTCATTTATTCATTTATTCATTCAATTGTTTTCAATTTTAACATAACTAATATACTTTAAAATGACTAAATCTCCTCAAAATATTGGTATTAAAGGTATTGAAGTTTATATTCCAAGTCAAGCAGTTAATCAAACAGAATTAGAAAAATTTGATGGTATACCACAGGGTAAATATACTATTGGTTTAGGACAAACTAATATGTCATTTGTAAATGATAGAGAAGATATTTATTCATTATCTTTAACTGTCTTGTCAAAATTAATTAAAAATTATAATATAAATGTTGAAAATATTGGTAGATTAGAAGTTGGTACAGAAACTTTATTAGATAAATCAAAATCTGTTAAATCAGTTTTAATGCAATTATTTGGTGATAATAATGATATTGAAGGTATTGATACTGTTAATGCTTGTTATGGTGGTACTTCATCAATTATAAATGCTATAAATTGGATTGAAAGTTCAAGTTGGGATGGTAGAGATGCTATTGTTATTGCTGGTGATATTGCTATATATGATAAAGGTGCAGCAAGACCAACTGGTGGTTGTGGAGCTATTGCTATGTTAATTGGTCCAGACGCTCCAATTGTATTTGATTCAATGAGAGGATCATTTATGGAACATGCTTATGATTTTTATAAACCAGATTTTACAAGTGAATATCCAGTTGTTGATGGTCATTTTTCATTAAGTTGTTATATAAAAGCAATTGATAATTGTTATAAAAATTATTCAAAAAAATATACTGGTGATAAAACCAAAACAGTTGGTTTATATAATCATTTTGATTTTAATTCATTTCATGTACCAACTTGTAAATTAGTTACTAAAAGTTATGCAAGATTATTATATAATGATTATTTATCACAACCTGAAAAATTTAATGAATTAATTGATGAAACTACAAAAAAACATATAGATGGTTTATCATATGATGAATCATTAACTGATAAAATTTTAGAAAAAACATTTGTAACATTAGCTAAAACAGAATCAAAAAAAAGAGTTGATCCAGCATTAAAAGTTCCAACAAATACTGGAAATATGTATACAGCATCAGCTTGGGTTTCATTATCATCATTATTATATTATGTTGGATCAGAAAATTTACAAAATAAAAGAATTGGAATTTTTTCTTATGGTTCAGGATTAGCATCAACTTTATTATCAGTTATTATAAAAGGTGATATATCATATATTACAAAAGTATTAAATTTTGATTTTAAATTAAATGATGGAAGAAAAATTTTAAAACCTGAAGAATATATAAAAGCTATAGAATTAAGAGAAAATGCTCATTTAAAAAAATCTTTTAAACCTATTGGTAGTATTGAAAATTTAGAAATTGGTACTTATTATTTAACTGAAATTGATGATAAATTTAGAAGAAAATATGCTATAAAAGAGTAAATACTAAAAATAATAATTAATAATATTAAAAAATTTGCTATGATAAAGAAGAGGTTAGAATCACATGTGTCCATTTGTAAGATGTTTAAATCTATTCTGCATGTCTCGCTTCTTATTGTAATTATATTTGGTTACAATTTATCAGCTGCGTAGTAATATATTTATATTTAATTAATTCATGTTTCATAAATTCTTTATGAGCATTATTAAAGAATATTTCATCATCTGGTGAATTAATAGTATTTTGACAATTTGAATTTAAACCTTCATCCCTCACATGAGGTACTTCCTCATTTTTAGTAGAATTAAATTCTCTATATTTTCTCAAGAGTTTAACTTGTTGTGTTTTGGATCGCTTTTTAATTTTTTCCAATTTTTGTTTCAAATTGGAATTAGATTGGCACAACTTCTTTCTTAACTTTTGAGTTTTGATTTTAGCTATATGGTTTAGCCTTTTTGTGAATTTTGGAAAATCATGTTTGATTCGTTTCAATTTAATCTCAATCATTGTCTTGAGCACAGTTGGTTTGAAATATCTTGAAAATATAACATATTTAAGTCTTTTGAATTTTTGTTCAACCGTTTTATCATTGGATTTCTTTTTGAATTCTTTATTATTATTATAAACCTGTACTTTTATCTTGAGTCCAAAATGAACTCTTTCAGATGGTTCATTAACTTTTCTAAAAAACTTTTTACAATATTGACTTATTATAGGCTTAAACTTAGACTTATTTTAAATCGGTATTAAACTCAACTTCGAGTTTTGCGAACTATTCACCAGTTGATTTCTAAATCCCTCTACACTTTTTCTGTAATTTTTCATTTGATCTTGATATATTTTATCACGTAATTCATTTAATTCTTTCATTTTCTGACTAGTTGAATTATGTGATTTTGAAATATGACCATAAGATAATTCTTTAATTAATTGATCTTCTTTTAATTTTAAGTCTATAAAAACATGGGACATTCCATTGTTAATGGCTTGTTTGTTAAGTTAGTCTGTTTTTTTGAAGTATTTGTATCGGTGTTATACCATGAACTTGTTTTGTTAGACAAGGTTAAATTAGATGAAAATTTACAATAAAATATTTTAGTTTAGTTAATTATAAAGATCAGATAATGTTTACTAAATTATGTATTATTTAAAGTCTAATATAAGATTAGAAATATTAAGTATAAAATTTAAGTTCAAGAACTGTCAAGAATTTTACGACAATTTGGTTGCAAAATTAAAAATAAAAATAATATAGATCTCGTAAATTATTAAAACTAACCTTTTATATACAAGAATATCTTATGCCAGTTATTATGTTATGCATATATTAGAGAATTTTTAATTTAACTAAAGATTTTCATCTAAGGAAGGTTGAATCTCTAAAACTCAAAAGATCCAATTATCATACGAGTTATAATGATGTCAAAGTAAACGAAACTATTGCAATGTTATTTGTGTCATATGTGGGGCAACATTAATAATTACTTTTTTTTTCTATGCAGAAATACTTAATTGAATATTTGGACTATCATCGAATAATTTAGATTGAAAATATGAAATTTGCATTTTCGTTTAGAATTCTTCTAAACGTAACTAATTTTTGGTTGACATCTTGCAAGTATACTTTTTGTTCTCTCGTGTTGTTCTCTATGTTTGCCAAAGAGTAAAAAGTCTCAGAGTCTTTGAATTCTCTTGTACTTTCTAATTTGAACAGAATATGTGAACACGTATCGAGTTTAATCGAATTAGTCTTTTCTTTCGAAAGGAATCAAATTTTTATAGTTTATGTAGGAGAAAAATTCGTCGTCACTGTTTCAAACATTATTTTTGTAGTTAATGATGTAATTAAAATATGAATTTTTTAATTCTAATATATTTGTATAGTTTTACCCCTTAACTTTATTTTTCATAAATTAGATTTACCCCCGTTTTTTAAGTTTGTGGTTTTTAAATATCTACATTTTTTTTTTTCAAAGGTTGCTAAATTGCTGTTTAGTAAAATGATCTTTTTTAATTTTATTACATTTATACATTATTGAAATATGTGGGTTATATTAATATTAATATTAAATAATATGTAATTTCTTATAATAAGTTTGTCGAATTTCTATAAGTTTCATTTTTCCATTGCCACATTTGAAAAAATTTAACAATTGTTTCATACTACTCCTTTTATTATCGAAATTAATACCAATTGATATTTCAAATCTAACTCATATCAATTCAATTATATTAGGTAATTCAAGAAGATGAGATTCGTTTGGTTATCATTAATTTTTATTCAATTAGTTCAAGCCAATTATGGTTTTGAAGAATGGAGTAATAATGATTTAAAACAATTTTTAAAAGATTGTAAAATTAAAGAAAATCCATCTTGGGATAATTCAAAATTAATTGAAATTGCAAATAATGAAGCTAAAAAATTAGAAAATGGTTATAATAAATTAAAAATTGAAATTGATAAACAATTAAAACCTAAAAAAACCAATTTAGAAGATTATTTAAGTTTTAGTTATTTATTTGGTGGTAAAAAAGATAATAAAACATCAATAAAAGATTGGTTTTTTGAAAGTTGGGATTTAAATTCATTACAAAAATATTTAAAATATAATGGTATTAAGTATGATTTAAATGCAAATAAAAGTGATTTATTAAAAGAAATAAAATCAAGTTTTGATAAAATTGCTAAAAAGAATAAAGGATCTTCTTATTATCCTGGTAATTGGTTATATGATTCTTGGTCAAATGATGATTTAACTAATTGGTTAACTCGTTATGGAATTGAATATGATAAAAAATCAACAAAAGATCAATTAATTGATAAAGTTAAAGAATTTAATTATAAAGCAACTAATGATATTACTGATACAAAAGATTCTTTATTTGATTCATTAGATCTTTTTGATAAATCAATTTTTGACAAAGTTGGACAAATTAAAAATGAATTTTTTGAAACTTGGTCTTATTCTCAATTAAGAGAATGGTTATTTTTATATGGTTTTATTAATTTTACTCCTGATGAATATGTACCTGATTTAGATAAAGATGAATTAATTGCAAAAGCTCAAAATTACAAGAGTTATTTATTGCAAGATATTCAAGATTGGTTACAACATTCTGAAAAGAAACATCATCCATTTTTGTCCAAAGATGCTGATACTTCAACTGGTTCATCATCAAATAAAATTAAAAAAGGTGGTGTTTCTAATTTAATTAATGATACTTTTTTTGTTGGGATTGATAATTGGTCAAAAGATAAATTACGTGAATTTTTAAATGTTCGTAAAGTTCCATATTCAATTTTCACTACTAGACATCAATTAGTTGATTTAGTCAAAGAACACAGAGCCGATCCAATTCATGTTGAAGCAGATGCTTATATTGTTGATAATGATGTTTCTACAAACTCCATTAAACAATGGTTAATTGAACAAGGACAAAATATTGAAGGTTCAAGACAAGATTTAATTACTGCATTTCAAGAACAATTTAAAAAATCAGGTTCAGGAAGTAATAATATTGAATCACAAATTAGATTTTATACCCCAGATTTAACCACTTATAAACATTATTTAAAAAATAATGTACCAGGTTCTGAAAATTATTCGGAAAATAAAATTAAACATTCTTTTAAATTAGTTCAAGAATATTTCAATAAAGCTAGTGAAACTGCAAGAGAAGAATTCAACAAAGAAGAATATTCAGTTGAAGAAGCATTACAAGAAATTCAAAAAGCAAGTTATGAATATGCAACTGGATTATCTGAAGAAATTGATGAACATGCCAATAATATTGGTAAATTAATTCTTGAAGCTAAATTAGCAAGTTCAAATTATGTTAAATCATTAGTTAGAAAATTAGTTAAAGATTGGAAAAAAATTGAAACTAATTTATTTGGTGGTAAATCTTCGAAATCTTGGTTAGAACAAGGTCAAGAAAAATTACAAAAAGGTGGACAACAAGTTTTAGAAAATGCTGATAATCATATTGGTGAATTAACTGCTCAATATGGATTATTTGCTCAACAAGCAAAAGATATTTATGATGATTATTTATCTACTGCTGATGATTCAGTTGATGATTTATCAAAACAAGCTGGTTTGAAATATGAAGAAGCTGTAAAAGAAGCTAATGAAAAATATGCAGATTTTGAAAAGTTAGTTAACAAACATGCTGATAATGTTGCAGAAGCTGCTGGAAAACAATATGAATTAGCTGTTAAAAATGCTAATGAAAAATATGCTGAATATCAAAAATCTTTTAATAGTAATTTAGATAAATTAACTACTGATGCTGGAAAAGCTTATGAATTAGCAGCAGCAGAAGCAGCTAAAAAATTTGAAGAATATTCAGGTTTAGCTAGTGACGCAGTTGATGATGTTAAAAAGGAAGCTGGTAAACAATATGAATTAGCTGCAAAAGATGCTGAAGCTAAATATAATGAATACACTAAATATGCCAACAAGAAATATCAAGATTTATCCAAACTCGCTAATAAACAATATAATGAATACTCAAAATCTGCTTCAAGAACAGCAAATGATTTATCAAAAGAAGCTGCTAAACAATATGAAGTTGCAAGAAAATTAGCAAATGAAAAATATGAAGAATTTAATAAATTAGCTAATCAAAAATATTCAGAATGGTCAAAAGATGCAAGTGTTAAAGCCAATGAATTATATAAAGAAGCTGGTAAACAATATGAAATTGCTGCAAAAGATGCTACTAAAAAATATGCTGAATATTCATCAATCATTGGTGCATTAGCTATTGATTTAGGTTCAAAAGCTAAAAAAAAAATCAATGAGTATTCAAAAGATGCTTCTAATAAGTTTGATGATTTATCAAAAGAAGCAGCAAAACAATATGATTTAGCTGCAGCTGATGCTTCAAAAAAATATGATGAATTTTATAAATTAGCAGGTAAAAAATATGATGAATATTCAGAAGAAGCTTTAAAAAAATTAGATCAAGCACAAGTTGAAGCTGCTAAACAATATGAAATTGCATCAAAAGAAGCAGGTATCAAATATGATGAATACAAAAAATATGCTGGAGAAAAAGCTACCGAATACTCAATTGAAGCAGGTAAACAATATGAAAATTTAAAAAAGGAAGCTGGAAAAAAGGCAAGTGAATGGTCAGATCAAGCTGGTAAATTAGCTCAAGAAGTTTCAAAAGATGCTCAAGAAAAATTATCAACTGCTTCACAAGATGCTTGGACTTCAACTCATAAAAATTATATTCATTATTCACCAAAGATTCAAGATTGGTTTAAAAATCAATATAGATCAATCTTATTTCATTTAGGTATATTTAATAATAAAATCTCAGATGTTGCAGAATCAGCAAATGATGCACTTCATGAAAAAATCGATTCCATTATAAACACTTATTCAAATGCAGATTTAAAATCTTATTTAAGATCATTTGGTTATAATTATAATTGGTTATCAGGATTAAATAGAAAAGAATTATTAACTTTAGCAGAAGCTCAAAATAAATTATTTTCAGGATATAAAAATTTAAAATGGGATAGATCAATTGGTGAAGTTTTAAAAGATGTTGGTGAAGATTTAGGTGATAAATTAGGTTTGAAAAAACATCCAGTTGGAATAATTGAACATTTGAAAAGTCTTGTTGGATTAAGTTATTAAGTGTGGTGGTGAGTATTAGATTTGATGGAATTAGTTTAATTATTAATTTATACAAAGAATTAAAAAAAGTAAAAAAAATATGAAATACATGTTTTACTGAAATTATGAGGTGATTGTAGTCAAGTTTACTCTTTCAATTCTCTAGGAAGAGTTGTCATAGTTTTAATCGTATGAGCCTAACCTTCTTATCAAATATTTTGATCTAATTGGTAGCTCCAATCATTTTTATTAGTAGTCTTTCTTAATTAGGTAAATTACGTAATAAATTACATAATAATTAATAACAAAATGTAAACAAACAAAAAAACAAATTTTTAAATCAAAAATTTTAATTAATCAGATTTGTTTCAAGTAGATCAAATACTTAATTTTTTTTGATATTATTACAACAAAAACTACTTTACAATCGATCAATTAATTAATCAAATATGAGAGAAGTTATTAGTATTAATGGTATGTTCAATAATTACTATTTGATCAAAGGATTATAACTAGTTGGGAGATATAAAGTAACTGATTAGTTTGATACACGTCGTCAATTTTACAACCACAATAATGAACAAAATATCAAAATAAGTCAAAATACTGATAAGGAAACTCAAAGGGCTATAAATTCAACTCAAAGCAACACTCCCTAATGTGAATTACCCCAGATCACTCAAACGCGTAATTAAATACTAACTCTGATTTTTAGTTGGTCAAGCTGGTTGTCAAATTGGTAATGCATGTTGGGAATTATATTCTCAAGAACATGGTATTAGACCAGATGGGTTTTTAGAAGAAGGATTAGATAGACCAAAAGGAGGAGAAGAAGGATTTTCTACATTTTTTAGTGAAACAGGATCAGGTAAATATGTTCCAAGAGCATTATATGTTGATTTAGAACCAAATGTAATTGATGAAGTTCGTACTGGTCTTTATAAAGATTTATTCCATCCTGAACAATTAATTGCTGGAAAAGAAGATGCAGCAAATAATTATGCAAGAGGTCATTATACTGTTGGTAGAGAAATTTTAGATGATGTATTAGATAGAATTAGAAGAATGAGTGATCAATGTGATGGATTACAAGGGTTTTTATTTACTCATTCATTAGGTGGTGGTACTGGTTCAGGTTTAGGATCATTATTATTAGAACAATTATCATTAGATTATGGTAAAAAATCAAAATTAGAATTTGCAGTATATCCAGCTCCACAAGTTTCAACTTCAGTAGTTGAACCATATAATACAGTCTTAACTACTCATACTACTTTAGAACATGCTGATTGTACATTTATGGTTGATAATGAAGCAATTTATGAAATGTGTAGAAAAAATTTAGATATTTCAAGACCAAATTTTGATTCATTAAATAATTTAATTGCTCAAGTTGTTTCATCAGTTACTGCTTCTTTAAGATTTGATGGTTCATTAAATGTTGATTTAAATGAATTTCAAACTAATTTAGTACCATATCCAAGAATTCATTTTCCATTAGTTAGTTATGCACCAGTTTTCTCCAAAACAAGAGCAAATCATGAAGCAAATTCAGTTTCTGAAATTACACAATCATGTTTTGAACCAGGTAATCAAATGGTTAAATGTGATCCAAGAACTGGTAAATATATGGCTACTTGTTTATTATATAGAGGTGATGTTGTAACTCGTGATGTTCAAAATGCTGTTGCACAAGTTAAATCTAAAAAAACTGTTCAATTAGTTGATTGGTGTCCTACTGGTTTTAAAATTGGTATTTGTTATCAACCTCCAACTGCTATTGCAACTAGTGAATTAGCAGGTGCTTCAAGAGCTGTTTGTATGTTATCAAATACTACTGCTATAGCTGAAGCTTGGAGAAGAATTGATAAAAAATTTGACTTGATGTATTCAAAAAGAGCTTTTGTTCATTGGTATGTTGGTGAAGGTATGGAAGAAGGTGAATTTACTGAAGCAAGAGAAGATTTAGCAGCTTTAGAAAGAGATTATATTGAAGTTGGTACTGATTCATTCCCTGATGAAGAAGAAGAATATTAATGAGGTGATTGTGAGATATTGCTATATTCAGATACTTTTTTTTTCAATACCATTTCCTTTCAAATACCATTTCCTTTCTACTTTTTTGGCTATAATTTTTTTCAATATTTTTGTGTTTTTGGGTTAATTTTTTGATCTTGTTCTCTAATTCTTTTTTTGTTCAAATATATCATATATTAGTATAGTATAGGCTTTTTGAACTATGTGTATATATATAATATATGTATATTAATACCACTTTTGTAATGAAATGTTGGTTATAAATTATAAATGTAAATCTCACTAAATATCGGTATTAAAATATTTATTAAGGAGAGATGAAAAAAAAAACGTTATATTCTTAAAATCATAATAAAAAATTGTTTAGTTCTTGTTTCAAAATTTTTCATCTATCTAAATACCAATTGATTACTACTGAAAATTATGGAAGATAAGAGAAAATTACTAGATCAACCATTACATGGTATATATATACCTATTGGACTTATATTATTTGGAACATGGTTATTTAGTTGGTCATATATGCCTTATACTATAGCTTTCATAGTTATTGTATGTTCATTTAAGTATTATGAAGCTTATCAAAGAAGATCATCATTACATAATACAATATGGAGAGATTTTGAATTAATTGAAAGAACAATTATTGCACCAATGACATCGATATATAGATTTAAATTAAATCGAGAAGATGAAATTTTAGAAATCCCTACTGGTCATCATATATCTTGTTGTTTTACAATTGATGGTAAAGATGAAATTAGATATTATTCACCTATATCAAATCAATTCGATGCTGGGTTTTTTGATATCCTTGTAAAACATTATGAAAATGGGAAAGTAACTAAAAAATTAGCAACTATTCAAATTGGTCAAACTGTTAAATTTAGAGGTCCAGTTGGGAAATTAAATTATCAACCTTCAATGGCTAAAGAACTTGGTTTAATTGCTGGTGGAACTGGTATAACCCCTATTTTACAAGTAATTACTAGAATTATAACAAATTTAGAAGATCATACTAAAATGTATCTTATATTTGGTAATGAAACTGAAAAAGATATTCTTTTAAAGAATGAAATAGATGAAATCGCGAAAAGATATCCAAATTTTGAAGTCTTTTATACTGTAACTCATCCAACTGAAGAATGGGATCAAGGTAAAGGTTATATTAATCGTGATATGTTGGAAAAACATTCTCCAAAACCAAATGATGATAATATGTTGTTTATTTGTGGTCCACCTGAAATGAAAAGAAGTATATTTGAATTGAGTCAGGAAATCGGTTGGAATAAAGAACAAGTATTTTGTTTTTAATTTAAAAGTTATGTGTAAATAGAATTAATTAAACGTGCAAGGTTTTTTAATACAGTGAAAATGGTACTCTCTTCGGCTAACGGGTAGTATTTATAGCTTCTTAAACTTCTTATGGTCTAAACCTAATTATTCGTAAAAGTAATAAAATCACCAAATTGAGTATTTAAACGGTTCTAATTCCAGATAAATTAAACTCCGAGTTTCATGTTTAATTTCGCAACTTTAAATTTCTGATACTGAAAATACCACAATTGATAAAAAATATATAACCAATTGATTATTATAAATAAGGGATCAACTATTCCTCACTTTCAATCTATTTTACTCAATTGATCTATATCATTATCACCATTCAATTGCAATATGTCAGAAGAAATTGAAAAAGTAGAAATTCCAGGTAAATTTGGTTTCGGAACAATGAGTCTTACATGGACTCCTAATCCACAACCAATTGAAAAATCAGTTGAAACTATAAAATATATTACATCACATCCAGAATTTGGTACAAAACTTATAAACTTAGGAGAGTTTTATGGTCCTGATGATGCTAATTTAAAATTATTTCAAAAATTTTTAGAATCAAGTGATCCAAAATTGAATGAAAGTTTGATAGTTTCTATTAAGGGAGGTTGTGATGTTAAAACTTTAGCTCCAGATGGATCTAAGAAAAGTGTTTCAAAATCTATCGAAAATATTGTTTCATATTTCCCAAAGGAACATAGACCGAAATTATTATTTCAAATTGCAAGAGTTGATAAAAGAGTTCCATATGAGGAGACAATTGGCTACATTAAAGAATACGTTGAAAAGGGAGTTATAGATGGTATTTCATTATCAGAAGTTGGTAAGGAATCAATTTCCAAGGCATTAAAAGTAGCTCCAGTATCATGTGTTGAATTAGAATTATCATTATTTTCCCAAGACTTAATAGATAACGGAATCTTGTCATATTTATCAGAACAACAAATTCCAATCATTGCTTATTCACCACTTTGTAGAGGTTTGTTAACTGATTCAACTGTTGAAAATTCAGATACTTTTCTTTCCAGTATCCCAAAAGGTGATATAAGACATCATTTAGATAAATTTAAACCAGATATTTTTAAACATAATTTACCAACTTTGAAAAAACTTTATGATTTTGCTCATAATGTTAAAAATACATCTTTAGAAAGTTTATCATTATCTTGGATTTTAAAATTATCTGGTCAAAAAAACTTCAAAGGGATTGAAAAAGTTACTAGAATTTTACCTATTCCATCTGGTTCAACTCCTAAAAGAATTGAATCTAATTTTGGTAGTATTGTTGAATTAAGTGATAATGATTTAGAAGAGATTGAAAAAATTATAAAAGAAAATCCTGTAAAAGGATTTAGATATAATGAACAATTAGAAGGTACTTTATTTCAATAGATTTTTGCTTGGAGACAGTGGTCAAATAAAGCAATTTGTGTGTTTACTCAATAGACTTGTGTATGTTATTTCTTTAGAACTTTAGATTATTTTTTATGGTCCAGCTTTTGTAATTCTTTAATCTCTTTTGAATTAATCGAACGGCTTCAATATTATTTATGTCAAAATTTGGAAATATTAATTAGATTAGATTCGCGATAAAATTCAAATCTTAGATTTTGATCAAACCTTAAATTTAGTCAACAAACAAATTAGAAGAACAGATCTAAGGCTTCTATTGATACATTCAATCTTATTCAACTCAATTGAACCAATTACTTCAAAATGTTGCTTCATGAACTACTACTTTTTTTCATTTGTCAATTATCATTTACATTAGCTACCCCAGACCGTTCAATATTCTTCAATTACCAAAACAACGCAGCTTGTATATTAGTAAATGATACAGTATATGCAAATTTCGAATTTGAATTCAATAATCCTAAAAATGAACCAATTCCATTAATAATTTTTAATTATGAAAATTTACAATATTTTAAAAATTTACCAAATTTCGATACTTTTTTAAATCATACTTATTTAGATGTTAAAAATGATGATAAATTTGTTCAAATTAATTTAAAAGATGAATCCGTTCAATTTAATTTAAAAATGTTTAGAAATTTGGAAATTCCTGAAGATACTTTTACTGAAGTTATTACAACCAAATCAAATTTGAATTATAATATTCCTGAACCTGGGGTATATTGCGTTTATTTACCATTATATTCTTATGATGGAGATATCATTCATCCAACTGCATATACTTCAACTTTAAAAATTAATGAATTTGCTTCAGTTTCAGTATTCAATGATATTTCATCTCGTATTAGTTCAATTATATTATATGGATTATTTTTAATACCTTTAAGTTATTTGTATCCAAATATTAGAAAAAGAAGTTTTGAAAAATTACCACCAGTTATACAAGAATTATGTCAAATTTTGATTGTATCACTTCTATTAAATATTGCTCATGTTGTTTTAGAATTGTTTTATTTATTTTTCCCTAATGATTTTGTTCATTCATTTGCTGAAAATTATTTTGGATATTTTAAGGATATCTTATTGGAAAAATGGCAAAAATACGTTGTCTGTCAAATTTATTTGGGTTTAGGGTACGAAAACTCACCCATTAAGACTCCAAAAATATTATTTCAATCATTTTTCATCTTAAATTTGGCTACCACTTTGATATTAGATAATTTATTAGGTCCAGCTTCATCAATTATTGATATTTTTATTAATGGTCAACATTTTGAAATTGTCAAGAAATCTATTTTAGTTAATGGATTCTACAAAACTATTTTCATTAATAAAAATTACTCTGATTTTTTAAAGTCATTAATCACTACTTCTACTTCAATACAATTAGTTTCTGGATTTATTATGCAATTAATAAGTTTGGTATATGGAATTAAGTATATCATCAGATTGAAAAACCATCCACAACTATTAAAACCAATGACTTCCTCATTACTAGTTCATTTAATTGCGTGGAGTACATTTGGTAAACACGCGTTATATAACATAGGTGTTAAAATTTCAGTAACTGGTATATTTGATGCTGGTGAATTATTAAGTGTCATTGGTACTTTGATTGAACAATTTGAAATTAAATTGGTGGGTTTACAAGTTATTGAAATTATGATATTATGGTATTTGTGGACTACTGTTAAACCTTATGATTTGAATGCTTTAAAAATAGAGGAAGAAGAAGCTGCTGAGAAGAAAAATGCTGCAACCACGTCAGAAGTCAAGACTAATAAAAAAGCTACAGTTAATGAAACTAAGAAAGTACCTATTAAAAAGAGTAAAAAAGTTGAATAGAATTCAAATATCAATTTTCATCATTTCTCCAAGTAACTAGTAAAATGTCACATTGTTTACTTCTCTTTGCCCTTGAAGTCTAGTTTTTCAAAGTAATTTTTCCGCCAATTATGATATAACAGAGTAGAAACTAATCCTTAGTTATTGTATAATCGATCAATGTACAATCATGCTAAAAATTAATCCAAACACATCCTCATGCTTACAATTTTATCTGTGATTTTCATGTGGTAGATTATTTGGCACAAATCTGCCGCGAAGGTAGAAAAAATTACATGGAACAAGAAAGTCATGTTGAAACAAGTACAAAGTCTTTCAATAGACAAATATTTGTTTCAGATTGTATTATTTGAATAATCGTAACTACGCATCAGTCACATACTTAACACTAAGTATGTACTGCATATGAAAACAAAAAAATTATAAAAAGAAATCTAAGAAAAAAATTAGCCACGAAGTTAAAATAATTTATTACACAAAAGCGAGAGTTGCAAAATTATCTACAACTTCAAAAATTATCTACAACTTCAAAAATTATCACCAAATTAATTTATTAACTCTATAACAACTCTATTAACAGACCCCACTAACATATATATACCAATCGAAAGCTCTGTACCTCCCTATTTCACTCTAGTAAGCATATTTGGATCTAGCTCTCAATTTAGGACCATTTAAGTAAAAAAATACTGGAATAGCTATCATAATCATACACAAGAAAGCCAACAACGTTGTACCCCATCCCACAGGGTAGTTATGGATGGCTAGGTTGTTATATAAATAGTAGGAGAATAAAGGAAATACACTAGCAATAATACTTCTGAATAGAGCATTGGATGAGAATACCGATGCTAGAAATTCAACTTTGAAACTTGCAGCCATATAATTGAATAAAGTTTGAAATATTAAAAATGCTCCACATGCAAAAAATGCCATTCCAAGTAATGGAGGGAACCAATGAATGTTTGGTGATGAGGTCCAAGCAAAGATGAATAGACCAACAGGCATTAATATTGAACCAAATATAGCTGGAGGTAAAAAGACTTCTGGGTAAACCATTTGACCAGCTAATAATTTCACGGTAAAAGTTTTGTAGATAACAGGAATATAAAGTGCAGCACCAATGATTATACCAATAACAATACTTAAATAAGTAGTACCCATTGGAATTAATGCAAAATGTTTAGTTTCTTGAAAAACAATTGGAACAGCTTCAAAAAATAAATACATGATACTGTAAACTAAAGCAATATAAATATCAATTAATAAAACAACTGGTTCTTTTATAGTAATTTCAAAAGGTCTCCATAATAATTTACTTAATATTTGACTAGTAGTTTGTTTATTAGTCATATGTTGTAATTCAGATTCTGAAATAATCTTGTCGTTACCAGTTAATCTTCTTAATCTTTTAGCTCTATTTGTTAATAATTTAGGAGCATAAGTTTCTGGTAAAGTGAAAGCAAGGAAAATAAAAGATGAAGAAAGTAATGCCATAAACCAGAATGTCCATCTCCAACTTTCATAACCATTGTGACCACCTCTAACGACTAAAACAGCACCAATTAAAGGACCTAAAGAAGGACCACATACTGCACCTAATGACCAAGTAGCTAAACCAACGACTACGTACGGCATCGTTATGAAATCAGACACAGAAGCACCGCCCGTACTCAAACATGGAGAAGCAAAGAACCCAGCAATGAATCTCAATATACATAATCCTGCAATATTTTGTGACAAGGCTGTTGGAATTTGCATCATACAAAAAATGAAAATTGTAATAATATATAATGGAGTTCTACCAATCCTAAAATCCTCGGATAATGGACTAAAAATAATTGGACCAATACCATAACCAACAACAAATAATGTTAATGGTAATGTAGCAACGACTTGTCCTATATTAAATTTTTCCATTATATCTAAAATACCAGGAGTATATATTGCTGAACCCATATAAACAGAAGTAGTCATAAATGCAATTTGCAATGCCATTATAGCTTTCCACCAAAATTCCCAATTATATGGATTTTCAGGATCATTTTCATCCCATTTTACTATTATATATCCATCTTCTCTTGCTTTTTCATCTTCTTTTTCAATTTTAGCTTCTTCCAATTCTTTATCTTCTTGTATATCATTTCTACCAATAGTTGAATCTGATGAATTATTATTTTTTATATTTTCTAAATTTTCACTTGTATCTGAACCATTGTTATTATTTGTTGTTGTTATTGGTTCATTTTCTTCAATAGTTTTTTCATTTATATCTTTGGAATTATTTGCAGAAATTAAATATTTTTCAGGAATTACGTAATCAGGTTTTTCTTCATTATGTAAAAAATATTTTCTACCTGATAATCTATAAATTATACGACCCATAAAGGAGTCATTAAGATATCTTGACATTTTTTAAGTAGTATGATTAAGGAATTGTTGTAATGAATTGATATAAAAAAAATGATTGCAAAAAAGAAAAGAAAATAGAAACTTTTAAAGTTTATTTAAATATTGCAAAATAAAATAAAAATAATAAATAAAAATAAAATAAAAATAAAAAAATAAATATATTTGTAATCTCCGCTGTATAAATTTTTGTAGTATTGATTATTAAACAAAATTAAGACACTGGCAGTACTTTAATTATTCGTCTATTAACTAAGTTCAAAACCATTTACAATAATAATAGAATGAAAATCAAAATTTCAAATGTAAAGAAATTTGTTTATTGTTTTTTTTTTTTTAATTAATAATATTTTTTTTATAATTAGTCTTTCAATCTTGCATAAGTTCGCATTTATACTTAATTTAGTAATTTACCGATATATATTTCTTCTCATCTGAAATTTGTTAATAACAAAGCAAAGCAAATGATTTACATTATTGAATTTTAACCACTTGAAGAAGAATGTAAGAGAAAAGAAGGAAATGTATGAAGTTATAGCCGTATTTCTAGGATATATGATTTATAATTATTCAACGGACTCGGTTTAATATTTAAAATGGTGTTTGGTAATCTACAGAGACTTTTTCTTCTTCAATCTGGGTATAATTTAACCTCATTAGATTACAAATAGGTTCTAAAAAATTAAAATAATTTATTATAATTTTGAGTCAAAAGAAAATAAAAATTGTTATCAGGTACCGCTGTATCATTCGAAGTAAATTTGAAATCAACTTATATATAACATGTCTTACTTTGACAATTGTTGATTTAATTTGGCATTCCCTTTATACGACTAAAAATTCTCATCTTTTCTGACTAGTTCTAATTTTCACCTTCCTTTTTGATTATATGGAAATTTGATTAAAAGCAATGGTTAAAATTTAGCCGCTTGTACGGTTAGTTTCTAATTCAAAAATAGGAAAAGGGTAATAAAATTTCACAAGACTCTGTCCAATTTAATGCAAGAACAATTACTACAGCTGCCAGGTTTTGTAATTTGTATTACTAACTTTGTCTTTATTTATTTATATATAAAGTGACTCATTTGAGATGGGGTATTTACTATTTGTAGATGTAATCTAACTTGATTCATTTGAGGGCCCTGCTCTATTGTTCTTCCCCAATCATCAACATGTGTCATAAGTATAACATGCAAACAAACAAACACTTCAGCTCAATATTGATTACAAATTCAAAGAAAAAAAATCAAAAGTTGTATGTCATAAATTATAATTATTCTAATTTTAGAAAGAGCGGCTTTATGAAATTTAAAGTTTATTAAAAAAAAAATTAAAAAATATTATCCGAATAGTACGGAAATACGAAGATTGAGATTAGTAGTCTTTTGCGTATTAACGAATTATTTAACTTTGTATTTGAAACATTGGTGGAGTTTGAGAAAAAATAATACGGAGACAAATTGTTTCATATGCCAAATTAATTTTTGTGGATTATCATGTTAGACCTCAATTAAATTTGTTAAGAATTATGAATACGATTACTAAAGTTAAAATATCGGCAAGGTACCGAATTAGTTTATAATTAGCTCTTAATTTTTAAAACAAACTAACTTTTTTATTTGAAACATAAATTACGAAGTGAAATTGTTTAGTATGTCAAAAGATCACACAAATAACCAGAAGTTTTAAAGTAACAATTAAGTTCAGCTATCGGAAAGGTATCAAGATATTAACAAAAACACCTTATTTTATATATTTATTATCTATTAATTATCTTGTGAATCTATCTTTTTTAAATCCTTTTATCATCAAACTTTATTTTTTTAATTATCTATTCAATATCCCCGAAATTGTTTCATTTATTTGATCTTCATCTTCATCATCATTTTCTTCTCTTTTAGCATAATCAAATATTTTTCGCCATTTAAGATATTCAATAAAAGCTTGTTCAAATTTAGGTACAATTTCTTCAGTTTCTAATTCAGCTAATGATATAGCATCAAATAATTCCATAATTTTTAAATCTACGTTAGATTCAGTATTTAATTCACAAAATTTTATTGCAACTTCTTCAAATTTTGGTAATGAATAAGATTGTTTGAAAAATGACAGTAATTTTGTTTTGATATCTTGATGTTGCTGATGATTTTGATGATTTTGATGTTCTTCTTCTAAGTCATATTTCAAAGTTTCATCAAATTTTTTCTTATTTAGGTTTTCATTTAATGCATATGTAAAATAATAAGGTGCAAATTGATTTATTAAAATTTTATAATGTATATTTAATTTATCTAGTTTATCTGCTGTTTCAGGATAATGAAATAATTCAAATGAATAGGTTAATGATAATGCATTTAGTATCAATAGTTTTGAAGTTTTTACTGGATTGTATATATTGTCAATTTTTAGCAAATCATGTTTTGAAACTATTATGAAATAGTTTAAATCAGATATAATTGAATCGAATTCGTCATTTTTACGAATGAAAAGATGTAAAATTTTTTCAATTTCTTTAAGATCTAGTATTTGTTCATCATCTATATTTTCATATATATAATATATTATATCTAATATATGTCTTCTTGTATTATTTGTTTTTTGAGGATTTAATATCAGATTTTCTAAATATAATACAGCGATTTTATAATTTGATTTATTTAATTTATTTGTAATTGGTTCTAATAATTTTATGATATGATTAAATACTTTAATTTGATATTTAAAATGTATAGTAGTAGTTTTTGATTCTCGTATTGATGATTTAATTTGTGCATTAGTTTTTGGAATTTTTTGGTAAGGTTCATCATTGGTATTCAAATTAATATTATTGAAAATATTTGGATCTAAATCTTCAAATATTCTTTGTAATAAATAAGTTTCAATTTGATCAAACATTATCGATGAAGAAAATAAAGTTCATGAAAAAGATTATACTGAAACACCTAAATGTTAGCAAGATTGAAATATTTGATATCTTATATATTTTATTTTTTTGATAATAAAAGAAACAAGATATGCTACGATTTTAAATTTTCACATAGATTTGATGGTGTAAAGTTAGTATTACAGTATGTCAGTAAAAAGAAACGTCAATATCTAAAAAATATATCTTGTAGTCATTTGAAAAGTTAGACTAAAAGTTCTGTCAATTTCATGAAAAAATGTTTTATTATATAGGGTGATTAAGTTAAAAGTATGCAAAATCATGCAATGAAATTTTTAATTTATCAACTATAAGTTGGAAGTTAGGAGATAATAATCATAACTCAAGTTAAAAAGCAATTAAACTCAAAGTACTTATTTTTCCGATAAATTTTATTGAAGAAGTAACAAATCAATATTGAAATCAAAAAGAGCAAATTTTTTTTTCTTAAATATCGTGATGTTTCAAATTTGTTTCAGATTTAAACTATTTAATTTAAATTATTTTTTGTAAAAACATAAAACCAAATTGAGCAAATCAAAAATTAATCACAATACATTTGTGAAATTTATAACTGTGTTTGTACACCTTCTTCTTATTATAAAGTTTGAAACTATATTAAAATTAAAATTACAGCCACCCTCAAAATGTTTTTTATTAGGTCCAATAGATTATACAAATTTTCTAAAATAGAAGTTTCGTGTCTTGAAACAAATTATGAGACATAAACCTTGTTGTATTAATTAGACGCGTTTATTATAACTAACGTGTAGCTTATATACAGGTCACTAACAAATTAATTTCTAAATTTAGAAATTTACGAAATGATAAATAGAGGCTCAAATTTAATAATAACAATAAGAGAGAGAGAGGCTCTGTTTCAAATATTGCTTGTATGAAAGTTCTTCATTTTTCTTGTATTATACATATTTAACTACAGATGAACGGTTAATTGTTTAATAAGTAATTAGATCATTCATTTATAATTTCAATGATATAATTTTTAAAACTACTTTGTTACAATAAACAAATTAAAAATTTTTATGCAAATAATTAAGAAAAATTTAAATATTATAACAATCTAATCATTAATTAACTACACATTAATGCTAAGTAATTAAAGCAATTTATTATTTATATAAATTTTTATATATTTTGATTTGAATACCTTTTCTCAATTTTTTCATCAAGTTTTTTTTCTATTATTGTTATTAGATCAAAAGTACTTCGAGATTTTTGTATTTTTGTTTTAAATTTATTTACGATTTAGAGATTTTAATTTTTTTTTTCATTTATAGATCGCGTTAAATCAAAAGGCTTATACTTGACTACTACTATTACTACTATTACTTATATTACTACTTCAATCAACCACTTACTATTTATCTCCTTATTACTTATCATATATTTATTTATCACTACCTAACTTAATCAACATCTTACATCAATTTCATGAGTTATCAAAGACCAAATGATGATTTCAATCACCTACATCCTAATAGATATAATAATAGATCTAATCAAAATCGATATAGAGATCAATCAGATCAATCAGATGATGATGATGATTCATTAAATTTTATTGATCATCATAATACAAGTCAAACTCCTTTAAATCATGGTACTTATAATTATCAAAATTTATCAACAAATTCAATAAATTTTCAACAACCTGAACCAATTTATCATCATAATCAATCATCAACTTCTTTAGGTGGTGGTGATCTTGAAAATATTAATTATTATAATCAACCTATTTTTAATACAACCACAAGTGATCCTTTCACCAACACAAATGGAGAACAATATGAAATGCAATATCAAGGATATAATAATAATTATAATCAAGCATTTGTACCCCATGTTTATGATGATGATGATTTAGAAGAAAGAGAATTTGATCAAAGAATTCAATATAATAATTTTGAAGGTGATCATTATGATTTAGCAACTGCAAGTTATATAGATGATGATAATGAACCACCAACTAGTGAATATTTACCTGTTGAAAGAAATATATTGGAAGATGAAGAAGAACCACCAGAATCTCCATTTGGGAATGAAAATATGGATTATCAACAACCTCCTCCATTACAAGAAGAATTGAGGTCGAAAAAACCTATAAGAGCCTCGGGGATTAATGGTCATTTAGTTTTAGATTGTCCAGTTGCTGGTGAATTATTATCGAAATTTCCAGATTATAAAGTTGATGAAAAAGATGGTGGATTATCTAGAGAATTTGCGTTTATGAGATATACTGCAGTAACTTGTGGTCCTTCTAATTTTTATAGAGATGCATATATTTTAAGACCTGTCCATTATCCTATACCTAGACAAACTGAATTAATGATTGTTGTAACAATGTATAATGAAGATGATATTTTATTAGGTAGAACTTTAAAGGGGGTTTTCAAAAATATTAAATATCTTGAATCTAAATCAAGATCTTCTGTTTGGGGTAAAGATTCATGGAAAAAAATTGTTGTTTGTATTGTAAGTGATGGTAGAACTAAAATAAATGAAAGAGCACAAGCATTATTAGCTGGGTTAGGAGTATATCAAGAAGGTTTAGCTAAAAGTAGAGTTGATGATAAAAAAGTTCAAGCTCATATGTATGAATACACAACAAGAGTTGGTATAAGTTCAGTAAATGATGATGTTGTAAAATTAACAACTGAAAAAATTGTACCTGTTCAAATGTTATTTTGTTTAAAAGAAAATAATGCTAAAAAGATAAATTCTCATCGTTGGTGTTTTCAAGCTATTGGTCAAGTATTAGATCCCAAGATAGTTATATTGTTAGATTGTGGTACTCAACCTTCTGGTAAATCACTTTATAAATTATGGAAAGAATTTGATAGAGATCATAGAGTTGCTGGTGCATGTGGAGAAATTACTGCATCCTTGAAAAAAAGACAAATGATTACTAATCCTTTAGTGTATGGACAAAATTTTGAATATAAAATTTCAAATATATTAGATAAACCAACGGAATCATCATTTGGATTTATATCAGTTTTACCTGGTGCTTTTTCAGCTTATAGAAATATAGCATTACAAAATGATATAAATGGTAGAGGTCCTTTAGAAAAATATTTTAAAGGTGAATTTTTACATAGTTCAGGAGAATTAGATCCACAAGATGATGAATATGAATTAAAAAGAACATTACTCAAGGAAGAAGCTGGTATTTTTACATCAAATATGTACCTTGCAGAAGATCGTATTCTTTGTTTTGAATTAGTTGCAAAAAGAGGTTGTAATTGGTTATTAAGATATTGTAAATCTGCAAGTGCTGAAACTGATGTACCTGAAGGATTAGCTGAATTTATATTACAAAGAAGAAGATGGTTAAATGGATCATTTTTCGCAGCTATTTATTCATTAGTTCATTTCCCCAAAATTTGGAAAAGTTCTCATTCTATTGGTAGAAAATTTTGTTTTCATATTGAATTTTTTTATCAATTTATTAATTTAATTGTTTCTTGGTTTTCAATTGGTTCTTATTTTTTAGTGTTTAGAATTTTAACAACTTCATTAACTAGTTCAGAATTGAATTTTGCACCTGGTAATGTATTATCAGTTGTATTTTTATGGTTATATTTAGCTTCAATTGTTACTACTTTTGTTTTATCATTTGGAAATAAACCAAAAGGAACTGAGAAATTTTATATTGTTATTGTTGTATTTTTTGCAATATTAATGGCATATATGATATTTGCAGCTATATTTTTAGCAGTTCATGCAATAAAAGCCATATATGATGCTAACAATTTTAGTGTTGATTTATTTTTTAAAAATTCTCAATTTAGAGATTTAATAGTGGCAACAAGTTCGACTTATGCCCTTTATTTTTTAGCAAGTTTTCTTTATTTTGAACCATGGCATATGTTTACATCATTTGCTCAATATATTTTATTATCACCATCATATATTAATGTATTAAATATATATGCATTTTGTAATATTGATGATGTTTCTTGGGGTACTAAAGGTGATGTTGGTGGTAAATCTTTGGGAGAAGCTAAATTAAGAGAAGATGGTACTTTTGATGTTAGTGTTCCAATCCTAAAGGAAGAAATTAATCAATCATACCTTAATCAATTAGAAAAAATTAGAGATCCTGCTCCACCACCTGAAAAACAACTTATAAAAAATACAGAAGATTATTATGCATTCATTAGATCAATGACTGTTTTAATATGGATGTTTTCAAATTTTGTAGTAATTGCATTAGTTTTAGAAACTGGTGGTTTCAATCAATTTAATTCATCTTCTGAAACCGTTGATGAAATTAAAAATAATAGATCAGAAATTTTCCTAACTGTTATATTATGGACAGTTGCATTTATGGCTCTTTTCAGATTTTTAGGGTGTATTTATTACTTATTAAGTAGAATTGGTAGAAGAATGAGAGGTAGTGAACATGCTACTAAGATGTGATTTATGATTTATAAATTAATAGATTTAATTTAATGTTTTAATGTTTAATTTTGATTTGTAGAATCTTTTAATTTGCTCTAGTATGTTTCAGTATATTCTTATAAGATCTAGATTCTTAGATTAAGCTGATTCTTGAAAAATTTTACTCTTTTGATGAGATCTGTACCCTATTTAAATCGATCCGTTTAAATTTTATAACGTTCCGTTTACATTTTTCATTTTTCCGCACATCGTTCCGTGAGCAGGTCCGTAAATTTCATTCCAGATTTTGTGTTATTCAATTAATAATTATGGCTCATACAGAAAATGAATAATTTGAATCAAGTATATAAAAGCTTAATCAATTAATTTCATTTACAACAGCTTATTAAAACAATTAAATTTAAAAATGTCACATTTCTCAACTAAGTCAATTCATGGTGGTGATCATTTAAAAATTACACCCGATGTTATAACACCAATTCATATTTCAACTACATATAGTTATTCCAATAATCCAGATGAATTAATACCTGGTTCATTAACTGATCCAAATACATTTGTATATTCAAGAGAAAACCATCCAAACGCAGCACAAATTGAAGCTATTGTTGAATCAATAACGGGGTATCCTTGTATAGTTTATAATTCAGGATTATCTGCTTTTAATGGTTTAATTAATTATGTTAATCCTAAAGTATTGGCTATTGGTCAAGCATATCATGGATGTCATGGAATTGCAGATATTTGGAAACGTAATTTTGGCTTAAAAAAAATAAGTATTGATGATGAATTTACTGATTTAGGTAGTGGTGATTTAGTTCATTTAGAAACTCCTATTAATCCATATGGTACATATGCTGATATTTCCAAATATGCAGAAAAAGCTCATTCAAAGGGAGCAATATTATCAGTTGATGCAACTTTTGCTCCCCCTCCTTTATTGAACCCCTTTGAATTTGGAGCTGATATAGTTTTGCATTCAGCTACTAAATTTTTTGGAGGTCATTCTGATTTATTAGCTGGATTACTTTTAGTTAAAAATAACGAAATCAAAAAAAAATTATTACTTGATAGATTAGTATTAGGTACAAATATTGGCAATTTAGAAAGTGCCTTATTAGTTAGAAGTTTAAGAACTTTCGAATTAAGAGTTGCAAGACAATCTAAAACTGCTGAAATTATTGTAAAATTTTTAAATGAAAACAAGTCAAAATTCCCAAATTTAGATAAAATATATCATGGATCATTACAAACTGATGAATTCATTCAAAAACAAATGCCAAATGGTCATACACCTGTTTTTGGAATAGAAATGATTAATGAACACACAGCAAAATCATTTCCTTCAAAATTAAAATTATTTCATCATGCTACTAGTTTGGGTGGAGCTGAAAGTTTAATTGAATGGAGAGCAATGAGTGATAATCATATAAGTAAGAAATTCTTAAGAGTTTCTATTGGATTAGAAGATCCAAAAGATTTATTGATTGATTTAATTGGTGGATTGGAAAATAATGATGATGAGAAAAACCTGTTGGTTGAAGAGATTAATAAATTGAGTATTTAAGCTTGATTTTAGCAATAAAATTGCAAATATAGTTAAATAGTTTTAATAATAAAAGTGAATGATTATTTGAACGTGGTTCAAAAGAATGAGTTATCAATTCTGAAAACTTTCTTTAATATAAGTACTTTCTAAAATTTCAATTGAAAGCGAGTTAGACTTGATCCGAATATTTTTTGGATGAAATTGATTTAAATAAAAATTTGGATGACTATATGCATATAATTTAAAACAAGTATAACTACTAAAATTCAAACGGCTATTTACATTTAAAATAATTTTGATTGATTTCAAATTTAATCCAATGGAACGGACATAATTGATTTGAACTTTATTTAAAAGAATTGAAACGGTTATTGAAGGAATAACAATATTTCGAAAAGATCATTAAATTCAATATGTATATTGCTTACACGTTGATACTTTCTAAATCTCTACTAAAGTTGATTTTAATGATAAGGAAAATTATATAGTTCGAGTACCTTAATACATCACGTATTTAAAAAATAGAATTTTGAAACCGACACGGCTTAAGACTTTTTATAAAACCGATTTAATTTAGGGTTCAATTACACAAAATTAAAAAAAAAAAGCTGTAACCCCAAGTTTCGTAAAAAAATCATTTTTTTAAAGAAACTATAAGTTTAGCTATGAAATTTATAAATCCTGATGAAAGACATTAATCGCTTGTCCAAGGGGGTTAAAAGGGCTTAACTCAAATATTGATTATAAAAATTCTCAATTCTCTAGATATCAAGTAATTCTAACTTAAACGTTAAGAAATATTCGTATAATTTAATTGACATAACCATATGGATAATTAAGAGTACAAAGTCTGACTTTGTATAATTTTAATAGTATTTGGTCATGAGTTTTTCTTCACCAAATTGTTGATTATCTCGAAAACATTCAATACTGTACTAATAAGTAATAAACGTTTCATTACTTATAATACTAAGAAAATTTAATACATAATAGGTAATGAACTTTTTAATTTTAAATAATGTATGATGTATGATGTATAAAATGTTAAAATTCAGATTATCATAATTATTCTATGACATATGATATTTTCGAGGAGATAGATCCTTTTCAAGTTAATCTTTTTTCAAGGCTATGCCAATCAAATTACCTTCAATTACCGTTATCAGTGAACTTATGGGTACCCTATCAATTGATTCAATGAGTTAGGCCTAGTGTCGTTGTTACATGTTATAACTTCTTATCTTTTATACTTAATTAACTTTGTGTCAAGTTTCTAATTTTAGTGTCATTCTTTTAATTTTGATTATTAAAGACACAAGCCCTCTTTCTGTCTGTGATTGAATGAAAGGCTGACTTGAGACTGTTAGTAATAAGTACGAAAAATGATAATTTAAATTGTTATTATCTTAGGGAAATGAATCTCAACTGATCTACATACACCTAAGAAAATTATTATTATACATCACATACATTATATATACATTACAATACATTAATTTATTATACTATTAAGAAAATTATTATTATTATTATTATAATATCTAATAATATTATAATACTAAAATTAATAAACAAATCAATAAACTAATTTTTTCAAGAAAATTTTTATTCTATAAATATAAGTTTAATTTCCCCTTGAAATTTTAGAAAGTTTAATAATTCTTATTTATTATCTATAATTAATCTATAATTTATCAAACAATTATAAATTAATCAATTATATTCATACTTATTTACAAACTATTACAACTAATACAATTATTAACTAAAAATGGATATTCACTCTTCTGATTCTTTTGATCCTGAAACATACAAGAGAGAAAATAATATTCAAATTCCACCCCCAAATGGTAATGGTCAATATGATGATAGTACTTTTAATAAATCAAATATTATTAATCAAGAACCAAGTGTTAAACCAGACATGGTATTAAAAAATTTTGCCAAGACTTATGAAACTCCAAAAGCTGGTGGTTATCAATCATTTATTTCAGGTTTAGGTTCAATTTTTGGTCAATGTGGTATGTTTTGCTTTTTATGTGAAAATCCTTATAAAGAAGTTGATCAAGGTGAAGTTGGTTTAGTTCAAACTTTTGGTAGATTATCAAGAACTGTTGAACCTGGTTTAAGTTATGTTAATACTTGGAGTGAAAAATTAACAAGAGTTAGTATTAAAATTAATATTAGAGAAATTCCAGCTCAAAGATGTTTAACAAGAGATAATGTTTCTGTTATTATTACTTCAGTTGTTTATTATAATATTATTGATCCAATGAAAGCTATATTTGCTATTCAAAATATTCATGAAGCTATTATTGAAAGAACTCAAACTACTTTAAGAGATGTTATTGGTGGTAGAATATTACAAGATGTTGTTGAAAAAAGAGATGAAGTTGCTGAATCAATTGAACATATTATTTCCAAAACTGCTTTTGATTGGGGTGTAAACATTGAAAGTATATTAATTAAAGATTTACAATTACCTGATAAAGTTCAAGCTTCATTATCAATGGCTGCAGAAGCTAAAAGAATTGGTGAAGGTAAAATTATTAATGCAAAAGCTGAAGTTGAAAGTGCAAAATTAATGAGAAAAGCTGCTGATATTTTAGCTTCACCTGCTGCAATGAATATTAGATATTTAGATGCTTTACAAAATATGGCTAAATCTCCTGGTACAAGAGTTATATTCATGCCATCATCTCAAGAAATTGAAAAAATTGCTACAACTAATATTTATGATAAGGGTAAACATAAACCTCAAGATTTAGAAGAAGATTCTGCTTGGGCTGGTAATGATTTACCACCTGTACAAAGACCTCAATCTTCTCAACAAAGAGTTATTACTCAAACTGTTGGTTTACAAGAAGCTTTAAAATAGTTTGGGTAAATTTTTTTTCAATATTTTCATTTCTTCTTTATTTTGGTTGTTGCAAGCAACAATTTTTTTTTTTCAAATTTTTTAATTTTTGAATTTTTGATAATGATTATGATTAGTGATTGAATTTTTTTATAGTTTTATACTTTAATTTATAATTTTTAATGAGTGATTAAATATTTTATAATTGACTTTGTTAATCTCTTAAGTATATTGATTGCAAAATATTATGATAAGAGTAAAAAGAATATTAAAACGCGCGTGATTATCGCATTTGCTGCGCTTTATTTGGGCACTACTACCAAATTAAAAATAAAAAAGGAAATTAGTCCAAATTTATACCGATTTGATAAAATCAAAAAAATTAATTAAATTGGCTATTAAATTTTTCATCAACAAAATCATTCACCATTTCAATACCTACCCCAAACCTTTCATTCCAATTTGCATTACACGACCACAAACAATACGATGAATGGGTATAATATAAACAATGGCTATCCACTAAATGATAATAATTCTCCATCAATTCCACAAATCAACATTGCCAATCTGAATAATAATAATAATAATTCAAATTATACCCATAATAACCAAAATAACAATTCACGACTAAATTTTAATAGTATCAAACATTTATATACGGATCAAAATAAATTAGTTCATAGTGATAATAATAGTTATGAAAATCTATCACCTCCTTATCGTCGACCTTCAATGTCTGTTGATTCAATACCTTATGATGATTCACCCCAAGATGATTCAAGTATTCCATTAAGTTTAACTGCTCAAGAACTCACATTACAAGAATCAAAAACTTATATGAGATGGTATAGTGATATTTTAGCAAGAACAAATAATCGAACTATTTCAATTAATGACGTTTTTAATTTTTTAATAAATTTTAAAATTACAGATGATTGTAGAAATCAAATAAATCAAATTTTTAATAAAATAAGTTATAGTGTTAATATTGGAGAATTTTTTGCTTTATTAAGAGTTATAAGTCATACATTAAAAGGTGAAACTCCACTGAGAAAATTAATTAAAGTGGTTGCACCAGTACCTACACCACCTTCAATATTATCAAAAAAGAGATTAAATGATGAAGAAGAAGACACAACAGAAGAACAAACCCCAAACACATTAGACGATAATAAACCAATGGCACCATTAGATATAGATAGTTTTACTCAATTTTTATTAACTGGAGAAAGACCAGATTCAAACTCCAACGTAACAACATCAAAAATTAGAAAATCAAAAAAAGTTAAATTTTCAGATCAAATAAATATTCATGATTCTTCACAAAATTATATATCACCTATACATTCACCATTACCAACATTAGAAAATCAATTAGATTATTCATTACCAATGGATCAATTATTAATACAAATGGCAAATAAACAACCACAAAAAGAACAAGAAGAAGAAAAAGAAGAATTAAAAGATATGGAATCTCAAATTAATCATTTTCATAATTTAAATACTGTTGATACTATTTCAGTAGATGGTACTCCAAGACAACCACAATCTTTAGAAAATGATAATGATAATAATAATAATAATGATAATCAATTATTAAAACCAAATATGACTGGTCCTGCACAAATGTCAAAATTTATATCATCTTTAAATTCAGAACAACCTTCGTACCAAAATGATAACTTAACTCCATTAAGACCAAATGTAACTGGACCAGCAGATATGGCAAGATTATTCGCACCAAACCAACAACAACAACAAAATCACCAGCAATCACCACCACATCAACAACAAAATCAAAATCAACAGTATAATCTACAACAATCATCATCACAACAACAACAACAACAACAACAAGAACAACAAACAAGTCCTAAAATCTCACTACTGGCATTCTCATCCCAAATGACTGGTCAAACAATGGAAAATACTTTACAAAATGGTAAACCACCAGTACCTCGTCATAGATCATATTCATCACCAACACCAAATAAAAATGCCCCACCACCTCCACCACCACGAAGAAGAAACATTTCAAACACTAATCAAAGATCAATATCTCCATTACCACAACAACAACAAAATTCACCATCACCATTGCGATACAATGCATATAATAATCAACAACAATTTCTGCCTCAACCTCCTGCATTACCTCCTAAGATTCCCAACGACGTTTATTCGGGGAATAATGACTCTACTACTAATATCTTGGATGATCTTAAGGCGTTACAAGAAGAAGTTGATAAGATTAGAAATTTAACTGGTGGGTTTTAGACCAAATTTTTAAGACTGTTAGCATACACATAGAATTTTATACCTTTTACAATACAAATTTTATCATCATTTTATCAATCACTATTGATTCATTAATCTATACTTCTAGTACTCTATACATATAATTACTCTATTATTTAACCTCAGACACAATCAGCTCAATTTCTTTTTCAAAATCATCAACAACTTTATAAAAAACATCTTCAATCTCTTCAATACAACCAAACAAAACATTCATTCCATTCAAATCACTAACAACATTTAATTGTAAATGACAACCAAACCCACACCCTTGATTGAAATAACAATCTTCAAATGGTAATTTCCCAACGTTACTTAATTCAACTGTATGTCTACCATATGAGCCTATTCTTTGTCTAAAGAAATCCTTGATGTTGACTAATTTTAATAAAGCTACCTGATAAAATGGATTTCTTGATTCCAAATCTTTAGTTAGTTTTGTTGATATTTTTCCACTGGTTTCTATATTATCAAATGGTGGATCTAACTTTATAACTGATTCTGCAACACAACCTTGATACTTGTCTATTGATTGATCGTATTTTCTACCGTTCAATGGAATAGTCACGTCTAATGCTTTTTCAGGATAATATTTCAGTAAAATTTTTAAAGATATAGCAGCTAAGAATGGTGTTAAAGTTAATTTATTGGATCTTACGTAAGTTAGCAACTTTGATAATTTTTGAGAATTGATTCTAAGTATTTTGAATCTGTTATTTAATATTTGATCGACTGATATTGGGGTAGTTTTGAAAATTGGATATTTTGTAGTTTCATTGAACCATGGAATATAGATACTTGTGAGATTTTTAATTGTTTGTATGATTGGTAATGAAAAAACTGAGCTTGTGTCTGTTATTGAAGGAGGAACTGACTTTATATCTTCTGCTCTTGAAATGAGCTCTAAATTGGGTAAATCTTTAAGATTTTTTTGATTTAATATATTGATTTCTTCCATTAAATCTTTATGAAAGAAACATCCACTGTTCCCATCAAAATAAATATGACTACAAACAATAGTAAGATAATTTTTGTTAATGATAAGTCTCCATAATGGTTTATTAACATTTATTTCCAAAAAAATATCATTCAAATTTGTAAAATATTCCTCATCTATATCACTTGACTCATTCACTATCAAATCATCATATTTAATATCTATAGCTCGTATCATATAATTTTTATAATCTTCGTCGTTGTCATTGGTTTTAAAATAATTACAACCTAATATTGGGTTTTTCTCAATGACTCGATGAATAGCATTTGAAAGTAAGATTGATAATTGATTGGAGTCATAATTTTGAAATATTGGATACTTGACGGTAATATTGAAATTTGGGTAGTATTTATTATCAACTCTACATAATTGATACCTTTCTAAAAGTGAAGGTGATCTTAAGTCCATTGTTGATAAGAATCTATCAAAGTATTAATACTGAGGGTATAGAAAAAGCTATTTTCTGTGAAAAATGTAAAAGTCAATCTTATCGATTTAATTCATACTTTATTCAAAGAAAATTCCGTAATTTTAATTCCGTTTATTTTTGTTAAGAATTACGAGTTAAGTTTTTTTTGCAACCTCTTGTCACAATTATCATCAAGCTTGAACACCTGCTTCAATTCGACTCATTATAGTTACAACTATACTAGATTATACTTGACAAACTTGAAAACTTGTCAGCTTAAGATAGCATAAAAGATTCTCTACTACACTTTTTTTTTTTTATCTAAAATATCTATATTATAAATAAATTATTATACAAAATAAACTAATATACATGTAAAGTAAAATGTAAAAATTGATAATGAAATAAACGAAAGAATAAGCAACGAAATGATGAAATGAAAAAAATAATTGAATTGATTTTAATTATCACTTAAATTTTAATTTTTAAGCTTAACTAAATAAAATTATCAAAATAGTTAAACTTAATAACCATTTTGAAATTATTGATTTTGAACTTTTACCTTCATAAGTATTGATAGGAGTTATCGATGATGATGATGAAGGTAATGATAATGAACTAGTACCTGTTGATTGTTGAGCAGGTATTGAATATGTTTGTGAAGCTGATGATGTATTAAATGTGTAACCTGTAGAAGATGATGATGGTTTAACAACTTCAGTTTGAGTAGATTGTAAGTCTTCAGGACCGTTTGTATTAATTGGAGTTGAATCAGTTGGATTATCCAAACCATTTGAATTATTAGATCCATTTGAATTACTAGATCCATTTGAATTATTAGATCCATTTGAATTATTTGATCCATTTGAATCATTAGATCCATTTGAATTATTAGAACCATTTGAATTATTAGATGCATTTGAGTTATCAGATCCATTTGAATTATTAGATCCATTTGAATTATTAGAACCATTTGAGTTATTAGATCCATTTGAGTTATTGACACCACTATTTGAACCGTTTAAATTATTTGTACCACTATTTGAACCGTTTGAATTATTTGTACCATTCGAGTCTATCGAACTATTCAGATCACCTGATGAAGAAGAATTGTCTGAGCCATTAGCATTGTTTGAGCCATTAACACTGTTTGAGCCACCGGACTCATTAGAAACGTTCAGTGGGGAAGAACTGTTACCATTAATAGACAGATCTGAATTAGAAGCATTTCCTTGAGCATTGTCTGAGCTAGCAGCATCAGGATTCAAACTTGAAGCTGTTGTAGGTTCTATGCTAGAATTTTGTTCATTAGTTGAAGGTTCTTGAGATGATGGCGTACTTGAATTGGTTTCTTGAGCTAATTCCGAATTGGCAGATGTAGTTGGTGGAAGTGGATTTGAAGTGTTTGGAATTTCAGTGTTCAAAGGTAATACTGGTGAGTTTTCTGGTGTGACTTGTGATCCAGTTTGAGTGGAAGTATTATCCCCTTCCTCACCATTAGTTGACGCACTTTGAGCTGCTGTAGTAGTAGCAGGAACATTTGCAATGGTATTTGGTGAAGTATCACCGTCTTTTGTTTCCGATTGAGATTCTAAGGTAGGAATATCAGAACTGTTTTCATTCGGAGATTGTGTTTCCTTTGTAAAAATTGATGGTGGGATTGATTCAGTATTAACAATTGGTGTGGTAGTTGCTCCTTCCAAATATGTTGAAGAATCGATGATGGTGGCTGGGGTTTCAACTTCAGTTGATGGATAGTCCGAAGTCTCTAAGTAGGTGGAACTAGAAACTAAAGTTGGAGCTTGAGTACTCGAATTTCCATATGGTCCATAAATTGAAGAACGTGGTTGAGTCAGGGTAGTTGAGGAAAGTAATGATAATTGAATTGTGGAAAAAGATGAGGCAAGACTTTCAGTATTAATTTTTGATGCTGATGGATTAGTAACAATGGTAGAATCTGCATCAACTGCTGAATTGTAACTTGGTGAGGAACTCAAACTTGATGGATAATCAGTAGAACTTGCATCAACTGCTGAATTGTAACTTGATGATGAACTCAAACTTGCTGAATTAATAACAATGGTAGAATCTGCATCAACTGCTGAATTGTAGCTTGGTGAGGAACTCAAACTTGATGAATTGATATTATCAGTCGAACTTGCATCAACTGCTGAACTGAAACTTGGTGAAGAACTCAAACTTGATGGATTAGTAAAAATGGTAGAATCTGCATCAACTGCTGAATTGTAGCTTGGTGAGGAACTCAAACTTGATGAATTGATATTATCAGTCGAACTTGCATCAACTGCTGAACTGAAACTTGGTGNAACTGCTGAATTGTAACTTGATGAAGAACTCAAACTTGATGGATTAGTAAAAATGGTAGAATCTGCATCAACTGCTGAATTGTAGCTTGGTGAGGAAATCAAACTTGATGGATTCAAATATTCAGTAGAACTAGCATCAACTGCTGAATCGTAACTTGATGATGAACTGAAACTTGATGGATTAGTAAAAATGGTAGAGTCTGCATCAACTGCTGAATTGTAGCTTGGTGAGGAAATCAAACTTGATGGATTGAAATACTCAGTGGAACTAGCATCAACTGCTGAACTGAAACTTGGTGAAGAACTTAAACTTAAACTAAAGCTTGGACTGAGACTTGGAGTAGTGGAGTTATAATAAACAAAACCAGTGCTGCTTGTAGTAGAGTCTAAATCAGCGCTCGAGCTATAAGATGATAAATCGCTAATGGAGCTTAAGACTTGGGTTGGCACACTTGATGATGTAAAGTCGAATGATGTGGAATCAGCATCAACAGCCGAATTATAACTAAAAGTTTCGGAAGAATAGCTTGAACTAGATTCTGAGAAACTTGATGAAAATTCACTACTGGAACTGTAAATTGAAGATGATGGTTTGATCTCTGAGCTAAAATCAATGGAGCTTGATGATGATATTAAACTTGAGGTATTATCTGTGGAGCTCGGCGATGTTTGGTAAGTTGTGTAGTCTGAGCTGATTGATGATGTTTGATAACTTGAAGTGTAATCTGAACTTGATGAAGCTTCATTAGTTGAACTGTAATCTGAGCCGATTGATGATGATTGTTGACTTGAAGTGTAATCTGAGCTTGATGAAGCTTCATTAGTTGAAATGTAGTCTGAGCTGATTGATGATGATTGTTGACTTGAGGTGTAATCTGAACTTGATGGAGCTTCACTAGTTGAAATGTAGTCTGAGCTGATTGATGATGATTGTTGACTTGAAGTGTTGTCTGAACTTGATGGAGCTTCATTAGTTGAACTGTACTCTGAGCTGGCTGATGATGAAATTGAGCTATAATCTGAAAAGCTGGATGCCAAATCACTAGATACAGATGGGACTTCGATATAAATAGTATCTGTCTGGCCAGGTCCATTAGTGCTTATGATTGTCGAGGTAAAATCATTTGTCCATGTTTGAGTAACAGTTATAGATGGGTTACTTGGATCCTTGATAACAACATAGTCAGTTCCCTGTACGTTATTGGTTATAGTGGAAGTAGTTGTGTAATTTTGATTCCAGAACTCAGTTGAAGTAATCGTTGGGTTAGATGGGTACAAAAGCAATACCATATCAGTACCCCCAGGTCCTTCTGTTATCGTTGATTGAGTAGCTTCTAAACCAGTCCAGAACCCGGTTGTAGTGACTGTTGGATTGTGAGGATCTAAAACATGAACGATATCGGTACTTCCTGGTCCATTTGTTTCAGTAGATGTGGTGATAAAGTCCCCTGACCAAAATTCAGTTAATGTGACTGTAGGATTGTGAGGTTTTAAAACTATAACACTATCAGTTCCACCTGGTGCTTGAGTAAATGTTGATTGAGTAGCTTCTAAACCAGTCCAGAACTCTGTTGTAGTGACTGTTGGATTATAAGGATCCAAAACATGAACTATATCTGAACTATCTGGCCCATTGGTTTCTGTTGAAGTGGAAATATAAGTCTCATTCCAAAATTCTGTTGTAGTAAATGTAGGATTGTGAGGTTTTAAAACTATAACACTATCAGTTGCACCTGGTGCTTGAGTAAATGTTGATTGAGTAGCTTCTAAACCAGTCCAGAACTCTGTTGTAGTGACTGTTGGATTATGAGGATCCAAAACATGAACTATATCTGAACTATCTGGCCCATTGGTTTCTGTTGAAGTGGAAATATAAGTCTCATTCCAAAATTCTGTTGTAGTAAATGTAGGATTGTGAGGTTTTAAAACTATAACACTATCAGTTCCCCCTGGTGCTTGAGTGATTGTAGATTCAGTAGCTTCTAAGCCAGTCCAGAACTCGGTTGTAGTGACTGTTGGATTGTGAGGGTCTAAAACATGAACGATATCGGTACTTCCTGGTCCATTTGTTTCAGTAGATGTGGTGACAAAGTCCCCTGACCAAAATTCAGTTAATGTGACTGTAGGATTGTGAGGTTTTAAAACTATAACACTATCAGTTCCACCTGGTGCTTGAGTAAATGTTGATTGAGTAGCTTCTAAACCAGTCCAGAACTCTGTTGTAGTGACTGTTGGATTATGAGGATCCAAAACATGAACTATATCTGAACTATCTGGCCCATTGGTTTCTGTTGAAGTGGAAATATAAGTCTCATTCCAAAATTCTGTAGTAGTAAATGTTGGATTGTGAGGTTTGAAAACTATAACACTATCAGTTCCACCTGGTGTTTGAGTGATTGTTGATTGAGTAGCTTCTAAACCAGTCCAGAACTCTGTTGTAGTGACTGTTGGATTATGAGGATCCAAAACATGAACTATATCAGTACTCCCTGGTCCATTTGTTTCAGTAGATGTGGTGACAAAGTCCCCTGACCAAAATTCAGTTGTTGTGATTGTAGGATTAAACGGCTCTAAAACGAATACGTAATCAGTAGCTCCAGGAGTATTGGTTTGTTCTGAAGTTGATGTAATTGACCCAATCCAAAATTGAGTCATAGTAACTGTTGGGTTATGAACTGCCAATACTTTTATTGTATCGGTTCCGCCAGGTGCATTGGTCATAGTTGTAGTTGAATCGGATGCACCATTCCAGAATATTGTTGTATAAACAGTAGGATTCGCTGTGTCGAAAATTTCAACAGTGTCAGTTTGACCTGGAGCTTTGGTATATGTAGTAGTACTAGCAAATGAGCCAGTCCAAAATTTCGTTGTAGTTTCAGTTGGATTAGCAGTGTCAAATACAATAACATTATCCGTTTCACCTGGTATATTCAGTTGCGTGGAGGTATATTGATAGTCACCAGTCCAAAATTGTGTTGTAGTTTCGGTAGGATTTGCAGGCATCAAAACTTCAATAACATCGGTACCACCTGGTTTATTGAACTCACGCGTAACACTTTCCATAGATCCAGTCCAGAATACTGTTGTGGTGATTGTAGGATTGGATGGGTATTCCACAATAACAGAATCAGTACTGCCCACTCCATTCTTGACAGTGGTAGTAATTATTGATGATCCATTGTAGAATTCGGTGACAGTTGAAGTAGGGTTGTATGGATATTCCACAATCACTGAGACGGTACCTCCAAATCCGTTTTTGATTGTTGTTGTAGTTAATGAAGGACCATTATAGAAAGTTGAAATAGTAGTTGTAGGATTGATTGGGTATTCAACAATAACTGAATCTGTACTACCTACACCATTTTTGACTGTTGTTGTAGTTAATGAAGCTCCACTGTAAAAGGTTGAAATAGTTGTAGTAGGATTAATTGGGTATTCAACAATAACTGAATCTGTACTACCTACACCATTTTTGACTGTTGTTGTAGTTAATGAAGGACCACTGTAAAAGGTTGAAATAGTTGTAGTAGGATTAATTGGGTACTCAACAATAACTGAATCTGTACTACCTACACCATTTTTGACTGTTGTTGTAGTTAATGAAGGACCACTGTAAAATGTTGAAACAGTTGTTGTAGGATTGACTGGGTATTCAACGATAACTGAATCTGTACTTCCTACACCGTTTTTGATTGTAGTTGTAGTTAATGAAGGACCATTGTAAAAAGTTGATATAGTAGTTGTAGGATTGACTGGATACTCAACAATAACTGAATCTGTACTTCCTACACCATTTTTGACTGTTGTTGTAGTTAATGAAGGACCATTGTAAAATGTTGAAACAGTTGTTGTAGGATTGATTGGGTACTCAACGATAACTGAATCTGTACTTCCTACACCGTTTTTGATTGTAGTTGTAGTTAATGAAGGACCATTGTAGAAAGTTGAAACAGTTGTTGTAGGATTGATTGGGTATTCAACAATAACTGAATCTGTACTACCTACACCATTTTTGACTGTAGTTGTAGTTAATGAAGGACCATTGTAAAAAGTTGAAACAGTTGTTGTAGGATTGATTGGGTACTCAACGATAACTGAATCTGTACTACCGACTCCATTTTTGACTGTTGTTGTAGTTAATGAAGGACCACTGTAAAATGTTGAAACAGTTGTTGTAGGATTGACTGGGTATTCAACGATAACTGAATCTGTACTTCCTACACCGTTTTTGATTGTAGTTGTAGTTAATGAAGGACCATTGTAAAAAGTTGAAACAGTTGTAGTAGGATTGATTGGGTATTCAACGATAACTGAATCTGTACTTCCTACACCGTTTTTGATTGTTGTTGTAGATAAAGATGCTCCACTGTAGAAAGTTGAAATAGTTGTAGTAGGATTGATTGGATACTCAACAATAACTGAATCTGTACCACCTACACCATTTTTGACTGTTGTTGTAGTTAATGAAGGGCCACTATAGAAAGTTGAAATAGTTGTAGTAGGGTTGATTGGGTATTCAACAATAACTGAATCGGTACTACCTACACCATTTTTGACTGTTGTTGTAGTTAATGAAGGACCATTGTAAAAAGTTGAAACAGTTGTAGTAGGGTTGATTGGGTATTCAACAATAACTGAATCGGTACTTCCTACACCATTTTTGACTGTTGTTGTAGATAAAGATGCTCCACTGTAGAAAGTTGAAATAGTTGTAGTAGGATTGATTGGATACTCAACAATGACTGAATCTGTACCACCTACACCATTTTTGACTGTTGTTGTAGTTAATGAAGGGCCACTATAGAAAGTTGAAATAGTTGTAGTAGGGTTGATTGGGTATTCAACAATAACTGAATCGGTACTACCTACACCATTTTTGACTGTTGTTGTAGTTAATGAAGGTCCATTATAGAAAGTTGAAATAGTTGTAGTAGGATTGATTGGGTATTCAACAATAACTGAATCTGTACTTCCTACACCGTTTTTGACTGTTGTTGTACTTAGAGAAGGTCCATTATAAAATATTGAAACTGTAGTGGTTGGGTTAGTTGGATAATAGACAACGACTGAATCCGTGGAGCCAACACCATTTGTTGTTGTTGAAGTGACAATTGAATTACCTCCGTAAAATGAACTCATTGTTGTAGTTGGGTTAGGTGGGTATTCAACTATGACCAAATTTGTACCACCTGGAGTATTTAAAGAAGCTGTAGTGGATAATATGTTTCCAGACCAAAATGCTGAGGTTGTAGTAGCTACATTTGAAGGATATTGGGCCACAACGTAATCTGTTCCACCAGGTCCATTTTTAGTTGTGCTTGTTATTACACTTGATCCTGTCCAATAGGTGGTTGTAGTCCGAGTTGGATTAGGGGGATAGTCTATTACTATTGTATCTGTTTTACCAGGTCCTAATTTAGTGGTTGATGTAGAAGTTATTGAACTTGACCAAAATATTGATTTTGTAGTTGTTGGATTAGATGGATATTCAATTACTATAGTATCGGTTCCACCTGGTCCATTAGTTGAAGTAATTGTGGAAATATATGAATTTGACCAAAAAGATTTGATTGTGGTAGTAGGATTAATGGGATAATTGATAATAACTGTGTCTAGTGTGTCCGATGGATTTATAATTGTTGACGCCGACTGACTCAGACCCGTCCAAACTGAAGTTAGTGTAGTTGTTAAATGATAAGGATTATCAATATATACTGTAGCTGTTGCACCAGGTGTATTGGTTATTGTACTATATGATGTAGATAAACCAAGATGAGAATTTGTAACTGTCACTGTTGGTACAGGTTGAAAAACTTCAATTGTTTGTGTTTTATCCTTACTTGGATTAAATGGAAGTGTAGTAACACTTGCTTTCAGACCAGTTATTGTACTAGTAGTCAATACTACCACTTTCCCGTTAGCAAAAGCTGATTCTTGTACGTATGGCTGGTATTCTATATACCCACCAGCACTTAAAGCATAGCTTAAATCTACACATTGTGCAGTATTTTTCATAGTAAATTTAACATTAACGCCATTTGGAGTGTTATAGAACGTGTCAGCAAAAGCTTGATAACCAGCTGGAACATTTTTATAAGTAACAAGTAACTGACTTGATGAACATGATTGTGTGACAATATAATCAGTGATGAAACTTTTTGGATAATTCCATGCATTGAGACCCCCAGGTGCGAAACCAACGTGCCAATTTGAACAGTCAATCGTCTGACCAGGAGCTGCAACGAAACCAATTGTACCACTACTATAACCATTTGAACATTTCGGAGCAGCTATATAAAGTTGTTCTTTGTTTAATGATGGAATGGATCTCACAAAATTGTATCCGAGTACTGCATCGCTTCCAGGACCTGCAAATACAACTGAAGTTGAAAGTTGATTTGAACCATCGTAGAAAGAAACTGTATTTGTACCAACTCCTGAAAAACAAGAAGCGTCTTGAAGATCAACATAATTACCTGATCCACCAACATTAAATTCCAAAGGAATTGACACTGTTCCAGTTGCAACTTTTGCAGGTGTAATAGCTGAACTAGCTGTACAAGTAAGTGTTGAATAAGAAACAATTAATTCACCAGGATTCAAATTACACGTAGCATAAGTTGCTCCTTGTGCAACTAAATCAACTGAAGTTTGACTAGTAATGAATTTGAATACACATGGCATAGTTAATGTAAAAGTATCTCCAGGATTAACTTTAGTTCCATCCATATTCCAACCTAATACGGCTGTCCAAGTAGGATTATTTGGAGCTTGAGTTAGCGCCGAGTCTCCCGCCCAAGTAAGTGAATTGAAACTCGTGAATATTCCAGATACTTCTGCAGCATGAATTGACCGCAGTATAAATGCAAATAAAATCAATAACAACTGTAGAAGCATTTTATATGTGATAAAATTATGATGATGATGGGAGTTTGGTGATGATTAGGTTTTGTAAAAGATTATTGATTTAATTTCCCTACATGATGAATTTTGATGGATTTGGATAATTTAAATATCTTATACTGCTACATTTTCTCTGAATTATTACTCAAATGCATTTTTCCAGTTATGTATGATGTAAAAACACAACTCCTGTATTGTCTCATTGAGAACACAATTTCTTTTTCGTATCATTTTTTTTATTTTATTTTTTATTATTTCATTTTTAATTATGTGAATCGGTTAAATTTTGGAATTAATACAATTCCAATTGAATTAAACTTTCACAATATCTATCAACTTTTTAACCTTAACTATCTAAATTTGATTTATAACATTTAACATGTACAATTATTAATTTTTTTTCTATTTTATTTTTTCTTTTGTGTCAAAGAAATTTTTAAATGGAATAAAATTATAATTTAAAAAAAAAAAAAATTAAAAAAAAATTAAAAAAAAAATAAAACCCTTTAAAGAAAAAAAAGATTTAAAAAAGTTTAAAGTTTAAAAATATTTACGAAGAAAACTAAAATTAATTTTATATCAAACTTATTTTATTATATAAGAAGCTAAACTTTTTTAATTAAGCAAATTTTTTTGGTTTAATACTGTGACTTGAAAAAGTTCATTGAAACATCCCCTCAATAATTTAAAGACTTAACATCTAATTTATAAACTTCAATTAAAATTAAATGTCAACCCTCAAACGGCTTCAATTAAAGTTGTGAAAGTTTGTGTGAAGTTTTTTCAGTTTTAGTTTTTAAAAAAAAAAGTAATATTAACTTCACATATCAACACAAAACAAAAGCTTTTTGTGTGAAGTCTTGAAATTGCCTTGATACATTTAATTTACATAAGTTAGATATGTTTTTGAGGAAAAAGCCGTCGGTAGAATCTATTACTCATCATATTGTTCATTAATAATAAGTTTCTCAATTGCTTTCATAGAAGTATTGTCGAAAATTTATCGCGACTAGTAAAACAGATTACCATTGAAAATTGTAAGCTTCGAAATTCAGTAGTCTTGATATCAATCATTTTGGATTTTAAAATAATCGATGTTGAAAGAATGGAGTAAGAAAATTAGCTAAATTGTGTAGATCAGAATTGAATCTTTCACATTGGACTCGGAATTCCAAATCGCAAACTGATACTTTGGTTGATTAAAATGATTAATAGAATATATAGTTATTTCTTTTTTTTTCAATACTTCAATTAAGCTCAAAGTTTTAAAAGATCCATGCATATGCATAATGAAGTTGCTTACGCCTTTTAGTTGATATTTTGATTTTCCGTTTTAAATTTACGATTCAAATTAAAATGGTTCATTCAGTATTTTGAAGGTTCTAATGTTTTAATGTCTTCACCAATCATTTCTTTATCTACCATTAAAGTTTGTTACAAATCTAGTTTTATGTCATCTTGTAATCTAGTAATCTCAAATTACAATCGGCTCAAAAAAGTATAATGAAAATTTAATGAACATATACATATTGAAAAAAAAAAAAAAGCACTAATTAGCTAGCCAAATTTAAACCACAAATTCTGCTAATGCACAAATGCTAGAATATGAATTGAAATTTGTGATACTTGAGAGGTCTCAATTTAGTTAGTGGAACCATGAATTGACGTAAATTGTAATATCTTATCATGTGAGATTAATCATATATAGTAAAAAAGTATTAGTTCATGACGACTTAAACGATAAGATATATTTATGTAGACAAAATTAGTTAAATTTGAATAGTAATAAACTAAAAATTTTTCAGTGAAGAATCTCTTTACAAATCCCAAGTAATAGTCCATCACAAAACGCTGATTCTATTCGTACATGTTGTAAATACAATCTATGAATTTAATATCACTCGATTTTACCCAAAGTTCATGTTCGTATTTCATATAAAGAAGGCGCAAATCATTTTTAAAACATTGTAGATCTTAATTCAAACTTTAAAATATAGTTTTGTAAAACCTTCGCTGTTACAATTCGTTTACAACCTTATGAATCACCACCTTATCAAAATAGGTTGACGATGACAATTAAATAACAGATAAACTTTGAGCAAACCCTTTAAGTACAAAAGTGAGCGAAAAAGCAATCCTGATGAAGTCACCCCAATTAATTATCTGTTTTTTTAATTATCTTAGCCAAATGGAAAAATAATTACTCCGCGCTATACAGAACAGGGAATAATTAGGCATCATGACTTAAAATTTTATAGCAAAATTAGGCATGAGATCATAAGTTAATCACTTAAAATATAGAATAAATGATAATTAGTAAATACTATGATGATCTTCTTGATATCAAATTGCTGATCTTTCAAAGCCTATTATCTTTCAATTTAAAAAAACTTAGAGTTTGAAGGGTCTTTCTATTGTTCCTATTTGCAAGGAAAAAATGTTATTTTTGATGATAGTCTTGAAAACGTTTGTGTTATAAAACGATTGCTGACAACTCCATAGTCAAGAGTGAGTAAACGATGTAGAGAAGTTCGAATCAATTTGGTAACAAAGTTAAGTTCATTTTAAAATTCTACTTAAAACTTTTATCATAATTATAATAATTTATTATATTTCAAATATCCATGTATAGAATATTATTTTAATTATGTGGCAAGATTATTAAATTTCTTTTTAAAGAAATAAAATTTACGAGATGTTATTTTTTCAAATCTTTAAAAAGAAGCAACACAAAGTTTTTAACTTTTTAGTAATTAATGTCAACCGAAAATAAACTGAACTGATAAGTTAACTCTTTATGTAACATCAAAAGTTGCAAATCTAAAATGTTTTAGTCTTAATCAAACATTAATATATACGGAGCGTTTCGGATGAAATGTCATGTTTTAAATATACACATATATTGATCTAGTATTGGTTATTCATAATTTAACTCAAGAGTTCTTGAGTTCAAAAAGATAACTATATTTTGGGTGACGAGGTGATCGATCAATTCAATTGAATAAAATGAGATTTGTACGCCTGAATACTATGGGGGAAACTCGGTGATTGATCTTAACATTTTATGTTAACACAAACTTAATGCAGTTAGTTATCGTTATGAGCTTTGGACAAAGTGTATTCTGTTATTTTTCCGGTTTCTCTGCATTTACCGTAAGGGAAAAGATAGAAAAAAGAAACATTGAAGTAGTAACAATACATGTCAGTTTGAAAGATTTACTTTATCAAGGCTTTTAGTCCTTTCAATAATGGTCTGATCTTTCAAGAAAAGTTGTGATGAACTCTTGTTTGTAGAAAACTTGAAAAACTTGTTCGCCAATAGACAATTTTTGACTTAATAGGTCATTTGTATATTTCAAAATATCAGGCGGCCAGTATGTCAAGTACGGCCCTTTAAATTTAGTGAACGCCCTCAATTGATGGTAAGTCAATCACAAATTACAGTTTATCGGTAGCCTCAAATAACCAGTTGTATTTTTGCATTATCGAATGTTTCGGGTTTCTTGTAATCACTTAAAGGAATCTCATAACCAAAATTTCATCTTTTCATAACAACGTATACCGAACTATTAAGAAGTATTGATAGGTTGTGCATCATTCACTTAGTCGGAGAAAATATTTAGTCCTTATTGATCGTCGAATTTAGTAATGTTCGTAAATATTTCAAGGCTAAATATTATGATTATACATATACCTTTTGTAGGATCTACATAAAATGCTTTTTTAGTTACTCAAAATTTTGAAACTCGGGTTTTACTACTAAACCTAAATATCATTCATAACCATCTATAGACCCGTTCTTTAGAATAATCAACTATGTTCAAGGCGCTGAGACCCCTCATCTGTTTTGAACTAATTATAGTTTTGTGATTAGAAAAAGTGTGATCATGGTCACATCATTTGTTTCTTTCAATTCAATAAACTCGTGTATGATTTGTGTGATTTAACCGCAAAAGCGTCCAGTTCAATCCTATAATCTCTTTCCAATTTTCAATTCATATTCTATAGAATTAATCTCCAAAATGTCCCGCCCGCCCCATAAGTAATAGCCAGAATCTTGCATAAATCCGCCCTCAAATATTTTCCGTATTTTGAATAAAAGTAAAACTTTCTCGTAAGTGGTACCAAAAATGGAAAAAGTTCTTGATTGCTTGCCAAATAGGAGATTTTGCAAATCTTACAAATATATTACTAAAAAAAGTAAGATTCATTGAAATTAATCCGTACAATACCAAGGACAAAAAAAAATCAAGTGTGAGTGATGCCGTATCTCACTTATCTTGATTTTATGTTTTTTAGGACATAAAAAAGTGTTGTTTTTTTCATTTTTTTTTCCACGTCGAGGCTCTACGTCGAATTAGGTCGATTTTTCGACCCAAAAAAGTGAAATGGTAGCAGAAAAATTACCGGATTAGGTAATTTTTTTTCTCGCCCTAATTTTTCGACCCATTTTTTGGTCGACTTTTCGCATACACTTTTGAATTAGGTCGATCCTTCTCCCTGTTCTTGAAAATTATCACGTGATCAAATTACTACTACTCATCTCAAGTACACTCACACTAATTTTTTCCTCCCACTTTATAGTCTACTTTATTTTACACTCTTTCGGTTGCGGCCATATCTAGCAGAAAGCACCGTTTCCCGTCCGATCAACAGTAGTTAAGCTGCTAAGAGCGAGACCGAGTAGTGTAGTGGGAGACCATACGCGAAACTCTCGTGCTGCAATCTTTTTTTGACCTTTTTTTTTGAAAATTTTTTTGAAACTTTAACCTTATTTTAAACTTTATACTTTAATTTTTCGTCCATGTTATCTACTACGCTCCTTCTTTGTATACATTATATCTGTTGGTTAATAGATCTACAAATGACCAGTTTTGAGCACATATTTGTTAGACAAAAAGATTTGGTCCCCATACAAATTACATTCACTTTTTGATCAGCTATCTAATGATGGTAAAATTACAATTTTTGCGAGAAAACTGAGTTTTTGGGTT